GAGAAATCTTTACAAACTTGACAGAGAAACTTGTTTAACGATCAATTTAGTGTATTCAAGAAATATACTATTTTACCTATTGGATTTTTCATGGAGCCTGAATCGTCACATATGAAAACAATTTCATAACCACGTAGTTGATGAAGTTTCGTAGCATAATTTTTATTAACTAAAGAGAAAAAGCAGCTCTCGTACAAGAACTGCTGTTTAAGGATTGTATTGAAAGAAAAACTTACTCGCATAGCGGTGAGTAAAGTCTTCGTAAGCGGACATAGAATCCCGAGTCGGTTTATTGTTTGTTGATCCTTGTAAATGAGGATACATTGTTCCTGTAAAGTAGCTGTGTAAATTTTAATGAGTGTCTGTGTTTTAGAAACTAATTCGTAGATATGGAAAATTGCGAAAATTTTGAAAAGTGTGACCTTCTTGTTTACACCTTGTCAATGTATTGACCGGCGAATTTCGTTACTGAAACTGTGAATCTATAATGCGAAATAGAATATATCAACGCGGGTGTCACTCACGAAGAAAAAACAAGTAATCTTAAATTCTCTGCTTAGCATTCAAGCAATGCTTCTTTAAAGGCATGTTTCGTATTCAGTATCCTCTAGATTTTTTTGCGTGAGCTGCGTAAAGTTTATTAGTTTGCAGTAAACGTTTTATTAGCTGATAGAAATTTATGCTAGTTATTTTTTCTCCTTATGGAAAATACATCTGTGTCTTTTTTACAATACCCCAACGACGATATAGTTTGTCTATTAGTTTTGGGCAAGTATGACAAATTGAATTATTCTTTTCTTTCCTTGATTTTTTTTATCTTGCTTGAATGGTTTCTTCTAGGTAATGTATCAGTCATATTTGAAGTTTTTTTGTCCCTCCGTCTTGCTCATATTTAGCTACAGGTATTCTACTTTGTTATTGCTTTGTTTTTCACGCGAAGATATTTATGGTTGAGTGATTCAATGATGATATTAGTATTTCTTATATTCAACTAAAAATAGGATATGGGTGATTCAAGGAATAAATTGACAAAACGGGGCTCCTCTTAATCAAGTTCATTTAATTATACTGTAGTCAACTGATCGTATGGAGACCAAAAATATTGTACTACCTAGTTTCTTGAGCATTTCGTAGAGTATTGAATAGAAGAATGCATGAACTGACCTAATATAGTTTTTCATGATTGCTCCCACGATTTCTGATATTGGGATATATTCAATTTAACATGTAATTATTTTGTTATACTCGACTCGATGAAAATACGCATAGCATGAATAATTTGTCTTATTTAGTAAAGGATAGATTCATGCGCAACAACAAGAGATACATACAGAAAAGAATCGCTAAATAGAATACGTCGATCACCATATGAAAGGTTGATTCACCTATTGAATTTGCTCTATTTCAGAAGGTAAGAACTATATAATATGATCTGACTTCATTCGGAAACTGATATTATCTTTCAATCACTATTTAATCGTTTTTATTATTATTTAATAGATTTGAAATAATTGACTCTTAGGTACATCTATAAGTTAGATAGCCATGGTTCATAAATCGCCGTACAGTGAAAACTGCATATATCTATATATTTGCTCTTGATTAATCATCTCTGCTTCCCAATATTCACTCTATGAGACTGTCTGTTTACACTTGCAAAAATCTAAACGTTCATGTTGAAAGATGATGATTTACTTTTATTTATATCATCGATGTCTATACTAGAAAATTGCCCACTGGTGTATTCTCAATTTATTCTTTTTATTAACTCATTGAAGCTGAAACTGGAAATATTGAATAACTCAAGCATAACCATGTGCATTTACCCGAAAAGGCCCCATAAATATAATTATGCATGTGTGGATTCGAAGCAAACCAAATTTTTTATATTGGCGATGCTTTGATAAGGGGAAAATGTATAGTGGGTGTATCAAAAAATAAATGAAGTAATAGAAAGATTGTTTGATTTATCACATTTAATTACTTTAAAATGAAAGAAAGTGTATATCATATCCAGCAAGTTAAAAACAATGCTACTTTATCTTTGACACAACTGACTTTGTAGTACAACCATTAACACCTAAAATCGACTAAAAGAGCTATTGTAAATTTTTGCACTTTAGACTGCGATAGCAGTTGCATTTCAAGTTTACGATTGCCGACTGTTTTATACTATCACGAATAACAGTTCATTGAGTTTTTTAACATTTTTCTGCGACTTTTCGTTTTTATTCGTGACTTGCGGTAATGAACAGATTCACAACGAATCCATCATTGATTAAATTTTGGAATTTTTTCTTCATTTATTACATAAACAAATTCATGTATAAGGAAAACAGTGATAACAATTCACACAATTTATTCCAGGAACAATGTATCCTCATTTACCAGCATCAACAAACAATAAACCGACTCGGGATTCTAAGTCCGCTTACGAAGACTTTACTCACCGCTATGCGAGTAAGTTTTTCTTTCAATACAATCCTTAAACAGCAGTTCTTGTACGAGAGCTGCTTTTTCTCTTTAGTTAATAAAAATTTTGCTACGAAACTTCATCAACTGCGTGGTTATGAAATTGTTTTCATATGTGACGATTCAGACTCCATGAAAAATCCAATAGGTAAAATAGTATATTTCTTGAATACACTAAATTGACCGTTAAACAAGTTTCTCTGTCAATTTTGTAAAGATTTCTCTAGTCGACAGCAGGAGGAAACGACTCGCTGTAAGTTTCTATCGTATAAATTTGTAATAAACAGAAAATAATCAATTTCTTATTGTTTTTCTCTGTTCACCAGGGGAACAACTGAAGAAAATAGTATCAATCGTTGTAGATTTGGCAAGTACACTAGATCCAGACGGCGTTGATGTTTATTTTTTGAATAGAAGACCTGCACTCAATGTGCGTAGTTCAAAAGAATTGACTAATATATTTGCCACACCTCCCAATGGTATTCGATTAAAAGATTTTGTACTCGAATATTTATATATTTTATAAAAATAACTTCAGGTATGACACCAATCGTTCGTGTGTTCAGACAAGTTCTTCAAGATAAGGAAAAAAGAATTCGAGAAAGAAAATTATTGGTTCTTCTAGCTACCGATGGTATACCGACCACTGAAGATGGTACACCCAATGCTCAAGAACTTTATCAGGTTCTCTTAAGTGAACGTATACCAATAGACCGAGTTCCTGCAACGATTATCTGTTGCACAGGTAAATATCTAATTATCAAATACTTATCTAGCCATTATAGATAAAACACACCAGATAGACTTTCCCAAGCGGCTACTTTGTCAGTTCAGTTCATATATCTCACATTCATGGTGTGTTTTCTATTGTTTAAGATGATCAGGAATGCATGTCATATCTTAATGATTGGGACCGAAAAATTCAAAATCTTGATGTTGTCGATAATTACGAGAAAGAAAAACAACAGATTTTAGCTTGTCAAGGCAAGTCTTTTCCATTTAGCTTCGGTGATGTGAGTGATCATTGTTAGACAAAACTCGAAATGCTCACAACGTGTATTCATTTCTTGTTTTAGTACGTCGTGAAAATTCTTTTAGGTGGTGTGGACAGTTGGTTCGACCGTTTGGATGAAGAAAAAGTATCTTTAGATAATGATAGATCATCTCAACACTGAACAGATTCTTGATGAACCGTCTTCAATCTTGACATTTGCTTTTTTTCATATTGAGTATTCTGCTAAACGTATTTTCAGCTTGGTAGATTCTCTTTCAGCAAAATTCTGAATCAAATCTTATCCTCAGTAATTCTACTTGCATAAGATAATAATGCATGTTTTATTCAATCATTTTATTTGCTTGTGATAAATGCGCATCCTACGATTTTCGAGTAAACATAGCATTATACTTATTGTTCAAGACAAAATAGTTTCCTGTGGAAGAAATACTTTGAGTACGTTATTTTGTTCGATACTGGTTTTGAGTCAATGTCACAGTTGCAATAGATGGCAAAGTCACAGTTAAAATATTATTATTAGCTTGAATAATTCAAAACTATGCATGCTGATGTTAATACACAGTGTGATAAAAGTGGTAAATTGAATAAAAATATTCATTCAAAAGAAGATGTACATTTAATTGATTAGTTAACCAAGTAGCTTCCCGATCTTTTTCATTAGATACAATTTGAAATGTATGGTAGACATTAGAGAACAATGATGATAGGGATTTTTTTGTGATCGAAGGAATTATTACTAAGTGCGATGGAAATGTGTAGATAGTTTGTACGATTGCTTGAAAGGTGCTAACAATTTGAAGACTTTTGGAAGTCTCTTAAAACATTTCATTCATTTATCCGTTAACAATAAAGAATGGTTGTTTTCAGTCGTGTGAAGTAGAACGATGCGGTATCAACGCTAAAAACTGTTTGTCATTGAGGTCTACGTATTTGATAGGCCAAGTTGTTGTGAGCAGTAGGGGCTCGTTGATAATCTTGAAAATAGTGCTAAAGGATCGACTATTTTCTAATATATAAGTGCCAGTACATCGGCAATAATCCAGCAATGTGTAGCATAAGTTTTGAACATTTTTTGGCATGTATAATCAGCAAACATTCTCCAACAATATGATGTCAACAGATCCTGTTGAAGTCGAAAGAGAAATGTTCAGTTTTCGGACCCTGGAGGGGAGTACCTGAATGTGGAAAATATATATTTTTTTAAATAAAGAGGATCCATTGCTAAATTCTTGCAGGGTTTCTACAGTTGATGTAGTATGTCTGATTGAAATTGAGTTTCGCAGAAGAAAGGACAAAAATTATAGATCTACTATTTCTAATTCGCATGCCGTGCCCTCCTTCAGGATCCTAAAAGTGAACATTTCTCTTTCGACTTCAAAAGGATCTGTTGACGTCATACTGTTGGAAAATGTTTGCTGATTATAGATGCATCAACGTTTTCAAAACTTATGCTGCACATTGCTGGAATATTGCCTATGTACTAGGGCTTCTATACGAGAAAATAGTCGATTTTTTAGCGCTAGTTTTAAGATTACCAACAAGCACCCACTGCTCAGAATAACTGGGTCTATCAAATACGTAGAGCTCAATGACGGACAGTTTTTAGCGTTGTTACCGCATTGTTCTGCTTCACAGGACTGAAAACAGTAAAGTGCATTTTTGGTGGATTAATGTCTTTCATCGATAGAAGATGACTCTTTTCAGTAGCAAAGCACCATTGATGAAAACTATCAATTATAAAAAATTGAGCACCACTCATAATTATATCTAACTGAATTATAAAACTAAATCTGTATACACTCATTAGAGATGATCATAGGAGTGTACATTTTCTATTAGTACCGTCCCTGTCTCTATGCCAGTATAGATAGTATATCGACTGTAACTACACGAAATCGTTATGAAAACTTGACTTCCTATATACCATTTGATGTATCTCAACGAGCTCTACAATACTATATAAAAAGGATATCGATTCCAGAAAGGTTTCTTATCCGGCGGGGTCTTTTACAGCAAAAGAAAAATAGTTTTAGGTGAGACAATTTATTCTAAAGCATAATTTTGAAAATAATATGTCAAGGTGAATGATGAAACTACAGACAGACAAGGAAAGGATGACAAAACTTCAGTTTTGAAAAGTTGTTCGTTGGTGTAAAATAGAAAAAATACAGAATCACGTCATAGTCAACTTTTTTCTACGACGATCATGATGTTGAAGCTTTTAAGCACGAACAAGATTATAAATGGTTCTGATGGCACATCCCATCATGGTAAAGAATCCACCGTAGCCGAATGCACTATATTGACGCTTTTCTGGTTGACCAGTTGCATAACCCTTTAGAATACAAAAGAAAATGTCAAGAATTAAAACTGTGGAACAAAAAGAAATTAACGTTCATACATGGAAATAGACTATACGACTAATTAACCAAATAGCACCCCCAATTGAAGAAATAAGTGGATATTGAATTGAACCTAAACCTAACATAAGAAGAAATTGTGGATAAGTTTCCAATGTATTTTGATGTCCGCGTTGAATGCCTAAAAAATTAATGTTAAATATTAATAAGAAATAAAATAATAGCTAAACTTACAATTAAATATATTTGCGTGACGATTTGTGTCGGGTGCATATAGTGCTGGATATTCAACATTATATCTAAATGAAAAACAGTTATAGAAAAAATTTCCATGCGACAATGACAAATCGCTAATAGAATGTAATTTTAACTAAACGATTGAAATTAAATTGTATAAAATATTATATTAAACTTAATTTTTTTATAAATTTAAGTAAAACAATATTATTTTGTGATTATAAAGATTATTTCGTAGTGTTTCTTTTCGATAATCATTGTTACAAGAGTTTAACTGGTTTTCTTAATTCGTTATCTTTGATGAAGATAATTGGCATGAGGTAGAATTGGGCAGTATAGTTTCAAAAAAACGTTTACTTGCAAATCAATTGTTATTCTGGTGACAATTTTTGGTGAAATAATAACATTTATATAAATTCTTACCGTTTACGGGCTTTCATTACATTAATACCCATGTATTGCAAGACAACCCATGATGATAAAGCTACACCAGCTGCATAGCCATGTTCGCGTGATAAAACAATTGTTAAAAGTTTTGGACTACCGAAAGTTCTCGACATCTTGGCTATCTCCTATTGTAAGTCAGGCAAAAGTGAACTACAAATCTGAAATTTCTGGAATATTATATTTGATCGATGGATTAATTCATTCTTTTATTTTTGCTTTTCTGGGAGATACATTTTAATAGAACTAAAATATCGTTGACTGACACAAAAAAAAAGAAAGAGTTACACATTCGATTACACATACGTAAACTCTAAACGACAAAATATAGAGAAACTACAACAAAAACACGTGGAGAGCGAGAATGAAAGTAAAAAGACAAGAGTGGCCACATTATCTTGGTTATTTTAGGTAAATGATTATATGATAAGAAAGGTTTAACTAAAGACATTTATTTATATTTATATGGAATATAAACGCAAAAAAATATATTGCTTCATCGAATGATATATATATATATTCAGATCGATAATATGGAATGAGAGATTAAATTTAAAAATCTGTGCCCCAAAGTATGCGTAATACACCAGCATTAGCACTTGTTAGTTGAGGTCCAAATAATGGTTTCCATTGATGAAGATAAAAACATAACCAACTAAAATAAGAAAAAAATATACAACGACATAGAGTTAAATATCTATATATATATATTGTGAATGTTTTCTTAGCATACAAGAGCCAGCAACAAGCCGATGTTAATATTAGCATAGTTTGAATAAGACTAGTATACAAAAAAAAGATACAAATCAAAGAGCAGAAGATAAATGTTAAAAGTCTTACCGTCGATGGGGTCCTTTGGGTATAAGAAAAGGTAAACCGATACCAATGAAACCCCAAAATACAGTAAAGAGAATGAGAGCTATACTGAATTTTTCCATGTTTTCTTGCTTGATTAAAAATAATCTAAAAAGAGATGATTATTTCACTTGATTTTGAAAACGGAAAAGAATTAGATGCACATAAATAAATAAAATCAACTATGGAGATACACATACATCAAAGAAGAATTATTTTTAAAAAGCGTATGAATAGAATACAGAATGTGATAAAAACATATTGCATAAATAAAATAAAATATAATAAATGGCATGATTATGCTCTGAGTAACAATCAGGAATGAGTCTTGTATTTTTCATCTCGGGTGTTAATAACAAGATGTAACTCTCTGCTGCATATAGGAATGATAGCGAATCTTATAATCGAACAGTAATGGAAGAGTACTTTTTTTAGATCGTCTAAAATCAGTCATAAATCCACATGCAAACAGAGTATCTACTTGACAAAAAGCATTTCCATTATCCACTAGTGTAATCTTTCAATGGATCAATGTCTATACTTCTAACAATGATGAAATAAAAAGAAATAACAATAGAGAATTACTAATTCATATCCATAGTAAATAAAAGTCATCATTATAAAATAAATTATGTAGATAAAAACAAAAATCATAGCTGCTGTTGCACGAAACAAGAGAAGAGAAACAAATAATATTGATAATTACAAGATAGTTAAAAAGAAATCAAGGGAAAAACACATGCTCGTCGAATGTATACAATTTTACATGTATCTTTTTCTTTTATTAAATATTCTTAGTTAAAGTGTATAGAATTAATTGATTACGTAACAAAATGAAGAGTAATTCATTGTTTAAGTCATGCCAGCTATTTCTTCAAGTTGTGTAAGAAATCGTAGAACACGTGAATTCTCATCTGCCTGACGTGCTACTTCAATTTGATCAAGTAACGATTTGATACCAATCCATACTCTATATAAGAGAAGAAAAAAATTAGTCGTATATCTTTATGATAATCAATAAACAGAAAATAGAAACTTACTTTTTATCATGCAATTTTTTTTCTAAAATTCTCATTTCGTTATCATTAAAACAATGTTCAATCTCATTTAATACATGTAGTATATGTTTACCGCTACTCATATTCGATAAGTGAACTACTTTCGAAAATGATGGTAATAAACCGAGTTGTTCAAGTATGTCGCGATGTGTTGCTGTTGCTATAATTAATAATTTACGACCTTTTGGTGGTGGACGTTTCAATAATAATTTTAATGTTTGTAAAACATTATTCGAATAACGTGGACCAACAGGTGCATATTCAAGTAAACTTTCAAGTTCATCAACAACAACACCTATCAGAACAAAAATACAATTGAGACTTGAAAACTATCTTCTCTTGACTTACATGATAACGTTGATTTATGTGCATCTTCAAAAATTTTCTTTAATTGTTGACATTTAGCTAGCTCTGAAAAACCAAGCATTGTTTGTGCAGTACAAAATTTCAAGTATGGAAATTTTGATAGAAGTGCAATATGAGCAGCTAATGCTGTTTTACCACTATTTGGTGGTCCTAAAATGAAATAAGAAATAAATAATTGTATTCAATATGGTTCATTTAGTTTTATTTCAATAGCTCGTGTGTTTCGAAATGAACAAGATGGTTTCGGTTAATAAGAGATTGAGATTAAAAAATAATGATTTCACTCATGCCTTACAAAGAGAAGCTCTTGGGGAAAATAGCGAATAGTTATAGTGTAGAATTTATCATGTCAAATAAGAGTTTCTATTTCAAATATTCTCTTACAGTTATATTTATTTTTACCAGGTCAAAACCATACCAATTTTCACCTAAAAAATGGCATCTTCTTGGATGCCTATACTTTGATTCGATGAGACTCTTTTCCATCAATGCTCAACATATTATCTGATTAGTATTTTTTTAAATATTGACTTATCAAAAGTATACCTTCTATTAAAATTGATACAAGTGGTGTCATTTCACTTTTAACAGTTTGACGTATACGTAATTGTCCTTCTTCAAGAACATCAGTAACAGGTTGTCCCCAAACAATAATACCATTTGAAATATATGAATCGAATTCGTCTTTACTGACGCCAAAAGCCTAAATAATTTTAAACATCATTTATTTCATAGAAATATTTTTACTTATCAAAAAATACCGGTTTAATATCATTTTCAAGAGCATGCATAAAATCAGCTCGGCAAATTAATAATTTATCTGCTGCGTTTGGATCAATTTCAACATGTTTGCCTGCCTATAGAATATATCAAATCGAAAATTATTGTTAACGTAAAACGTAGATTTCTTTATGAAAATTTACTTTAATATGTCGATTCATAGCAAAAGACATTGCTGCTCGAACTAAACCTTCAATTTCTGCTCCACTGAAATTTCTTGTTAATTCACTGAATTCTTTTAAGTCAACATCAGAACTTAATTTCCCATTTTCACGTAAGCGTCCTGTATGAATGTTTAATATTTGTAATCGGCCAGCTTGATCTGGCAAACCGATTTCAATTTGTACTTCAAGTCGACCAGGTCGTAAAAGAGCTTCATCAATCATATCACGACGATTTGTCATACCAATAACAAGAATATTATTTAATTGGTCGACCCCATCGATTTTCGATAATAACTGATTGACAACTGTATCGTGAACACCAGCACCACTTGCCTATTCAAAAGGAAATCGTGTTCTATATATTGAAAAAAAAAACTTTTACGAACCACAGAGCCACGAGATTTACAGATTGCATCAATTTCATCGAATATAATTATATGTAAACCACTATTAGGTCCAAGCTAGAAAATAAACGCCAATAGTATGAATTTGTTAGTCAATATTATTAATTAGCTTACTCGTTTTTCTTCTTCATCGGCTTCAGCAAATAATCTTCGAACATTTGCTTCTGATTCTCCAACATATTTGTCCAGAATTTGTGGCCCATTGACTATTTTTGGTTCACGAGCATTTAACATTTTACCAATTTGTCTAAAACATAATCTTAATTAACATACAAACATAAATAAAGATTTTATACCGAGCCATTAATGTTTTTCCGGTACCAGGTGGACCGTATAATAAAATACCACGACAATGTTTCATTCCTAATCAAACAAAACTTGATTTTCTTCTAATCGTTTTTCTTTAAATGCAATAAAAAAAAGAAATTCTACCTAATTGATAAACAACTTCAGGTGGAAAAACACGTGAAGCAAAAGCACGTCGAAATATTGCATTAAATTCTGCATCAAGACCACCAATTCCCATCGTTTTAAAATCAAAATCTGGATTAATAATTGAAACAAATTGAGATTTTCTATTTGAAACAAAAACCATTGACTGCATTTGATTCAATATTCCTTACATTTATCAAACATACCCTTTTGATCTTCCAACTAAATTGATTGATGAGCCTTCTCCACGTTCAAATACAACCATTGTATTTGGAAGTGTAACACCAAGTGATATTTTACGTGCCTTAGAACTTTGACCACGAGCGATCGCAGATAGATCAGAAGCTAAAATCAATCCAACATAAAATAAATTTTATTGAAATCTTTCTTACCTTCAATTTCTTTGACAGCTAATGTTAAAGTTTTTTTATCCATAAATTGAAATGGTAACTAAGAAAAGAAAGTTTTGAATTTTTCTTCATCTTTGACTATCTATCACATACACATTGTCCGACTGAAAAAGCATGATCGGCGTATTGCTGTAAAAATTCTGTTGCCATTTTATCTGTATCATATGGGTCAGTTGTTACACTAAAAATAAAAGCAATTAAAAAAAAACAAAGTTAACCATTCATACTTTTTCTTATTCAAAAAATCCACTTCAAGTACTACTGTTGAAATAGATTGAACATTTTTATCAAAAGCATATGGCCGAATTTGATATGGTCGATCAAGTTCAATGCCAGCCCATCGGCGCTGAAAAAAGACACGCCTCTGAATGGTAGAAGCGTCAAAAATAGAACTTTTACCTGTAGAGTATTGAAACCAATTTTGCCTTGTGGCATCGGTCCATATTTTTCTATTGTAAATATATATTTTGTAGTTGTTACATTCGATGATAATTCAATATGTCTTAAATAGAGAAGGAAAAAAAGGTATCATTGTCTATTATATATATAATAATCTCATCATGCTTTTTCATTACCTGACACGTTTTGTATCTATATCTTTTTCATTAATTATAGCACAGTTCGTGAATGTAAGCTCGTCTGTTGGACATTTGGTAGCCACTAGTTGCATTGATGCAGCAGCCATTTTATCTGAAAAGAAATAGACGAAGTAAAGATCGAATGTTTTGTGTTTTTGGTTTTTCTTTTCTATTCATCAGTACATTAGAATGCTTTAAGCATTCTCTTAGCTGAAGAAACAAAAGAATACGATAACCGAGAGAAAAACACCTGCCAAAGTCACCACGGAACCAATGAAATCGCATAACTACAGGAAAGAAAAACATTAAAAGAAAGAGCAAAAATATAAAATTTACTACTAGTTCTTAGTATTTGCATTTTCTATTTGTAGCTGTCTGTCGGTAATAAAAGAAAAAGATTACCGGATATTCATTAGCTTAAATAATATTGTCTTTGCAGAAAGAATTATTCATATTTAAATCTATTTAGCATGTTAATCATGGAAGTAAGATAGTAAATTATCTACTTTCTATAGGAGAGCAAAAAAGAGAGGATTGCAAAAAGTAGCAGTCCTACACATGATCATATTACAAAAATAGAATGCTCAGGATCATAGCACGAGACAAAAAAGCAAAAATATTATGAGACAAAACTACTGATGCAAAAGATACATGGTCTTTTTTTCTTCTCATTATTTGTTCTCGTTCGTATTTTTAGACAAAATACAATGGATCGATTAATAGGTACTAAAAAATAACACTTTGATCAAGATCATTAAAAAAACGTATTCTACCGTTCGAATGTTGTTTTTGATGAGAAGTGGACGATGCTGTTTGCGGTAGAGATTGAGAAACAGTATATGACTGATTACTCGCAATACTATCATCAGCTGTTGTTGTTGTTTTATCACGTAGCCAAGAAAGCATTTTGTAGTTGCTTGCACAATTAATATCTATAGTACAATCACGTATTTATATAGATGATCATCTGTTTTTATCCACGTCGACTATGTGACTCATACGAACTGCAAGTAAATAAATAACTGACTGACAGATCAGCTATGACTCATCTCTCTAGACTGCAAATGAGCTTGCTTCCTATTCAACCAATCTTGGTCGTTCTTAAAGGACAATTTGAATACGATACAAAAAACATAAGGTTTTGTCAAAATAATAAAGGGCGAACACTAATTTCATATGGCTAGATTCTCGCAAGAAACAAAGTAAAAAACAAAAAGTCATGGAAGTATTATATTCGTTTTCTTTTTGGTTTGACAAACAGTAAAAAAAAATTAACTTAGAACACAACAGTAACAAAATTTTCGAGTTAAAAACCCAGATCTTAAAAAATGTCATCAATAAAAAAAGACAACAATGATCTATAACTTAGCACGGAGATGAATTGATACTGGTTGGAATATTTTTGTCAATATATGACGAATTTCAGATAATGTCTTCGATGCATTACTTGAGTTTAGTGTTCTTAGAGCATTACTTATCACGTTGGATGATGATGCTAATATATTGATTATATTCTGTGAATCAAGTTTAGTTAATAAATTTTTTTGATAGACTTTTGTTAATACTGATAAACTTGTTTCTGTTAAATTATTTCCTTGTTCATAAATTAATAAATAGGCACGAGCGTATTGTTCAAAAGGACTAGTTATTAATGAAATTTGCTGAAGAAAATTTGAATTAATTTTAAATGTTGATTCATCAATATGAAAAATATAATTTTTATTTATCCAATAAGTCAGATACCTATCAAAATATTGATCGTCAATATTATCTACTGGACATTGATCATAAACAAATTCATAAGCAAATAAATGTATAAAAAAATGATAATAAGTTTTTAATTGTTGATAAGAGATTGAAGCCTAAAAGTAATATAATGAAACAAAAAAAAATGATCAATTACTTTCTTTTGTTTCGATAGTGAGACAAATGATTATTGAAAGAAAACATTAAAAACGTTTTCGATGTGGAATCGACATTTATGATAATCGTATATGATTGCTGCTTTATTATAGGCTTTTTTTCATGACAATGATTTTTCTCATTTCTAGATAATGCTAAAATTTCCTGTTAGCTATCAGCAATCAACGGGCATATCTATCACGAAAGAGAATTCTATTAAACGTGTGCTATTAATGGGTTAAGAAACATGTCAGAAAATTTTTTAATCCTTAGTTTACGATGGAAAGAAATCGTTTGCCTATTATAACGGATATATAGGAATTAAGTCAATTGATTAAGTTCAAAAAAAAAAGAAAATAACAATACTCAGTTACTTCGTTGCTTGAAAACTAATGAAACACTTTAATTTAGCTTCGACAAAGTGATTAACGTTAACCATTAGATGGATAGAAAAAAATATTTATTTATGATAGAAAACAACAACGGTGGATTTTTCATCATTATCGTTTGAGCTTTCGTGTTTGTATGTCTTGATAGGTAAAACATTAGAGAAAAGAAGATCCGATTTCTTGTCAGTCAGTACACTTAAAATAGCTCAGCTTTGAAACAAAAACAAACTCTATGAAATTTCAAGTCATAATAATATTACATGAGTTATATCTATCATTGAAAAATGCCAGTGACTTTTCTTTCCTAATAGAGACAGAATACAGATACCATAAAGTTAAAATAGTCGCTATTTGTAGTACTTAATCATGTCACTAAATAGTGCCAATCTGTATTTTTTTCTTAAAATGACCTTTCAAATAGAAACTTTCACTATGGGGGAAAAATACAGCAATTGCATTTATTTTTCTTACACTATCCACCTATTATAACTATGCGTTTTTTGTATGACAGCATTTGTTTTAGAATAAAGTCATCGGATTCATATACAATTTTGAGCGCGTGATGAATATGTCAAACTAGATCATGACAAGATTCCATTCTGTTTTCTATTGGTGCTCATAAATAAACTTACATATTAAGCAAAGTTTTTGTCTTGATGACAAAAAACAGATAAATGCATCAGGCATCACGAACTCTATATATTCTGGAGAATGTCTTAAAAGATTTTTCATTTTCATGTAAAACATAACAAGGTTATCTTTCTTGTAGCATTCACTTCACCTCGAGGAAATGTTTCCTTTTCAAAGATTTATAACTCAAGGATAAAAGAAGTCTCAAAACTATGCGTGCAACCCACTATTCATGAAATTATCTGACAGCGACTATTTTGAGACAACATTCAAAAACTTAATTTTTCCAAACAAATTCGGATTGTACATAGTTTCGAATATTAAACATTCAATAGCTGTATTCAATTTTGACTAAAGTACTATTTTTAGTTTAATTTCGGTCTAAAAACAAGCATAATTCTTGACTTTTAGTAATCTTCTCAAATTTCTTGAGTGATTTAATTAAAAATATTTATAGAGGAGATATTCGAAAGAAACCCTATTAGATTGTTATGTTAACTGTAAATTAATCAAAAGAAAATTCAATGTCTTAACTGTTTTATCTACCTGAGAATTAACTTGACATGCCAACAGAATATACGCTGGTTTAGCAAATAAATGTAAACACGTATTTCGATACATAATCAACTTCATAAGAAGTGAAGCATCAACGAGATTGTCTCCTGTTATTTTTAGTTTCAGATGATTATTTCCACTAATATCAAATACATCTGAATAAAGTGATAAAAGTCGTTGTTTCAAATTGTTTTTATCATTATTTGATGGCCAAAATATTTGACAATTAGTAGAATAGTATTCAACAATATCATTATGTTCGATAAACAACGTTTCTTTATCTGCAAATAGTTGTTCAAGTGATACTGATCGACTTCTAGGCATCACTGTGAACGAAGAAAGAAAAGAAAATGCCACAACAGTTATTGGATAGATTGCTGTTAAACGTTGTTGTTCATGGACGATTCGATAAGAAAGTTGATCAACAAAATTTAGTTCCAATTCATTAAATCCATCGGGTTGACAAGTGAAACGTGGTTGAACACCACGCGGAATCGATCGATTGAAAGAATCGCAACGACCTAAAATAATCAAGACGTGATGTATTTTCAAATATGTCATAATAAATGTTAACTACTCCTGAATAACAATGAACAGACTTCATTATATTATTTATTGGATGTCTTCCTGTTTCGACAGCACATTTCATTCGAGTCAAAAAAATGCTTCCAATCAACGACATGTAGCTTGGAGATTTCTTTTTCTTCTGACGCCTAGATTAAAGGCTTAGCATGATTGAATGAATGAAGAACAACTTGATGATAATATGAACAAGCATTCAATAAGACAATTTAATTTTCGAAATCAACAAAATGTTTTCATTCAATAAAATTCTAGGAAAATTTCCTTTTAATCAAAACAAAATTTTAATAAAATTAGTTAAAAACAAATTGCTATCATATTTTCTTGCTATGTTCAAAGAAATAATTGAATTGATTATTTTTTTCTATTATAAAAAATAGATTTATCTATTACAACGTCATAGGTTTACTTTTCTTTATAGAATAAATCTAAATAAAATATGTTAATATAATGAAACTAAAGTAATTTACTCAAAAATTTTTTTTTATTGCAACTCTTTGGTGTCCTTATACTCGAGATTGCTTACTATTTAGTTTATTTTCTTGTTGTTTTTTAAATAATTCATAAGCATCATAAACATAAATTGGATCACTAAATTTTACAATCATTGTTCCAAATGATTTTTTTAATATTTGTATTGATTTAAATAAACCACTTTTAGATTCTTTCGGTTTTGGTATTCCTAATAATTCATTAGCATGCAAATTATCTTCTAAAACTTTTTCATAATTAATTGAAATAGGTATCAATATTAAATTATCGACTTGTCGACGAAAATAACATTCTAAACATGATTTTAACATTCCTTGTCGAACAGGTAATAAAGTTTTTAATGTTCTAGAACGTGCTCCTTCAATGAAAAATTCTAATGGATAATCTCCATGAATTAAATGCGTTTTGACATATTCATCAAATATTGTCCAATAGAGTAAATCACTGCGAAATGAACGTCGAATAAAAAATGCACCACAATGTCGAAGTAAATTAGCTAATAATCCAAGACCAAGAAAATCTTGTGCAGCTGCAATACATGGTAATGGAATATTATATTCGAAACACAAATATGTTAAAATAATAAAATCCATGTAACTTCGATGTGTTGGTAAATAAATAATTCTTGGTGATGTTATGTAATGTTTGGTGGTTAATGGTGATGATAATGGTGTTGCTAATAGATTTGAATCTGGCGATGATGATGAACGTGAAAATGTATTTAAAATAGCAAATAATGTTGATGAGATTGTTATTGGTGACGCTGGAATATTTGGTAATTTATTGTTTGGTGTTAAACAATATAATTTGTATAGACAATCTATACCATTTCGATCGATATAAATATTTTCATAAACTTGATTGAATATTTTCGAAAATATAAATGCAAGAAAACGTGCCGTTCGTATATTTAAACGATGCGACATTTCTTGAATAATAGATTTTGCTTGTTCATTGGCATTTGTATCATTACCTAATGTTTCGAGAGTATATTTTAATGCTAAACTATTTAAAACATCAGATTTTATTTGTTCAGAATTTCTTGGTAATGTTTCATAATGTACTGGTGTTATTATTGATGATACCTGTGTAGTTTTATTAATTAATTTTTTAGATTTAATTGATTGTTCTTTATTATCAACTAATGGATCATGCCAATTTTTTAATGACCACAAAAGATCACTTGATTGACGATGACGATATATGAGATCATCATATTCGATAGGATTAAAAGTTGACATATCTAGAAAATAAAAAAGAACATGTTTTTCTTTTTCTTGTTGATGCTGTTATTTTAATTATCTTTCCATAACTCATCTATATGATTGCTTTTAATGCCATCAAGACAATTTTTTACATATAAACGAATTTCATTTTGAATGGATTCTTTATCACGCATCTCTATATTATCTTTATCTATTACATTAACATCTTTCCATTGTTCTGATGATGATGAACGTAATTGTTCAAAATAAAATTCAACTTTTTCTTGAAATGATTTTGTTTCATATCGTTCATCGCCCGTATAAGATAAACAATTTGATTGTTTATTACGATGAAAATAAAGAACAAGATCAGGTTGAAGTAAACCAATATCACATGATTGACACCATTTTATATCGAGACCTTTAGCTTGTGTAAATGCAACACCAGAAAAAGCATAACGATCAACAATTAATGTATAACCTTGAAGAAGTTTTGTTCGCATTGAATCAATAGATTCCCAACGATTAGCAGAAAATAAAAGATGAATTGTATGATCATTAAAATCAATTTTACGCTGTAAATAACTATCAATTAAAGAACCAATTTGTGTTGATCGATCAGGAAATGATAAACGTTCACATAGAAGACCGCATTCAAGAGTAAGATGATCATACAAAAGTTTGCTTTGTGTTGTTTTTCCAATTCTATCGAGACCTTCGAAAATAATCAAACCACCACGTTTTACAGCCATAAAATATCTGACAATAGAATCACTAATAAAAATAAAATCTGAAATAAAAACCTATTTATTTTTATTCTCATTAATTATACTGTTTAGAAAATTGAATTAGACAAATGAAAAAGAAAAAAGAAAGAGAAAAAAGCAAAACTACATTTTTCTAAGAAATGCTACACAAACAAATATATTAAACTTTTGTTGTTATTCTTGCTTGAGTTAAATTTTCTTTTAAACGTTCTAAATCTAATTGTCGAAAATGTATATAATCATCATTTTGATTTAATTGATCTTGTAACTGTTTTATATCTGTTTCAAGTTTTTTACGTAATTGTAAACGTTGTTTATTCAATTCTAATTTATCTTCACGATCATTAGTACGTTGTAGAGCTGATTCTTTTTGTTCAACTTCTTTAAACATATCAAGACGTTGACGGTAATAATTTTCAAGAGATTCTAATTGATTACGATAACGTGAGAGAAATAAAGCATTGTATTCTTGTTTGTATTTTTTCATTTCTTGTAGACGTTCACGTTGAATACGTATCGAATCTTTGTAAGCTTGTTTTAATATTAATTCTTCATTTGTGCGTTTTTTTAATAAACGTTTTCGTTGATCAAGACAATATTCTTGAAAATAACGACGTACACGTGCTTGTTGAATACGTTGATCACGAATTTTTGATTTAAGAATACGTTCAGCTGATTGTTTTAATTGAATGTCTTGCTAAAAGAGAAAATGAAAATCGAGTTTAGTTTTTGTGAATCAATATTATTTTACCTGACGTTGTACAGCACCTATTTCTTTACGTAGAATTTCAGTCATTTGATCATGTTTCTGCTTGACTTTTTCAAGCTAGAAGATATAATCATAAAAATTTCTATGAATTTAAAGATTAATATAATAAACTTAATCAATATATATATATATATATATATATGAAGAAATAATTTATGATGATCATAGAGTGTTTTAATGCACTCAACATTTCAATAAAATCAGCATAGTCATTGAAAACTATCATATAATTGTTGTTTACTATCTATTTTGTTCTCTGAAATTTTTATGAACTCTCATTCTTTTGTAAATTACACACAAATTTATTATTCAAAAGAGTTTTGATAAATGAATTTTAAGTTTTAAAAAAACAACGAAAATTTTCGTTTTCTATTCTTACGTCATTCAAATTTCCTTGTTGAGAATTGAGAAGTTCAACTCTTGATTTAAATACACTGTCAATATGTTTACTGAATTGATCATTAAGTTTTGCTTGCATTTCTGTTGAAACATAAATTCCAGGAAATTGTTCATTTAATACTTGAATTAGGTCATTCTCATTGCCAAGTAATAAGCGATGTTTATTTGTTGTTTTCACATTTGTTGTTATTTCATTATCAATTGTTGTTTCCGGATCATTAAAATCATGTTTATGTACAAGAGGTCGTACATTTAATGCATTTGTTGATGCACAAAGAAAGCCTTTTCGTAACGCACCTTCTCTTATTTTCGATGAAGCTGAATGTGAACGACGCACACGAGATTGATGTTCATTAATTCTTAATGTTGATGTATCTATGTCATGATGTTGCATAGCATGACGTTCTTTGTCATTTTGCAGTAATGTTTTTGTTGATTTATAATCATCAAGATCATCGTTAAAATGTCGTTCAAGAAAATGATTTAGATTGTGTTTTACATGATATTGTTCTTGAAGTTGATTTCGAATTTGATAGAATTCATCACTATGATTTAAACGATTACGTCCTATTGTTGTTGTCGTTGCTGATATTATAGAATCTTGCGTATTTGATCTAAAAAAAATTTTAAATAATTTTGTTGAAAAGTTAAATTAGATTTTCTTTTTCTTTCTAAATTCCGATTTATAACTTACTTTATTGTTTCATGATCTTCTATTGATTCGATTGGTTTTATTCGCTGTTGTAATTTTTTATCATTAAGAATTAATGCTAAGTCATCCTCAATATCATCATATTCTTTTTTATTACTAACTGTACGTGTTTCTTTATGATAATTGTCTTGCTTTTTACCATTGTTATAATTTGTTAAATCATCAAGTAGTAGACGTAAATCTGGCGTTGTTGTGGACGGAGCATCTAATAGAGATGAGAAAAAACAAAGGAGTTTGCTTTAAAATAAACTATTGACATCATTGAAAACCTTCTGATATTCGTGAAAGATTAAGTGGATCTGATGAAATGTGTACTGTTTGTTCGAAACGACGTAATAATGCTTGATATTTTTCTTGTAAATCTTCAACAACAGTATCATGTTCAACATTCTCTTTAGGATGTCGACGAGAAGGTGAACTGGACGGTGAAACAATTGGGCTAATTTCTGTATAAACAAGGCTATTTGGAGCAGCCATATCGTGACCAAATGCACGTCGTCGATCAGCTAATTGAGCAATTTGAGCTCCGAGAGACGAAGCTTGAACACTTGATCGATCGGAATTAAGTGGTGGAATGTATGTTCGACCTGGATAAGCAGCTATAAAAACATAAATATATTTATACGATTAAATCATATGGAAGAAAATATTTTTCAAACCAATTTCATCATTCTCTTGTCTGTCATTTTTTATCCAATGATAAACATCGGTTAATATTTCAAGTAAATCTTCCATTGCATATAAATCTCCATTAGCTACTTGTTCGCCTGATATATGTGAAAGATCAAATTCAACTGTATCAAAACATAAGGCATTTATCACAGATTGAATATTATGTATTTCATCAGCAAGATTATGAACAGGTAGACGAACATCTAGAATATCAAATCAATAATATTTTAATTTTGAGAATATATAATTCATCGATTTTAACCATTTAATTGACATGAACAAATCTTTTCATAAACTGGAATGAGTACTGGACTGGCGAATTCACTGATCGAACGAATACGATGGTCAATACCAAGAGATTCAAGAAGATAATTTGTACCACGAACGATATCTAAATATATAAGACTTAAAATCAGATAAATAATAATTTAGCTTTAAGATCTGCCCCTACACCACAAATTAGTCTATCCTATAATTTTCCAATTTTAATTCAGCGCTAGATAATGAACATATTTTTCTAATATAATAAACAATATACACATACCAATTCGTTCAGGTGGTGGTTCAACATATGGTTCTTGCACCATATTATTTTCTTAATCTAAAATATGTATTTTATATAGTGTAAATAGAAAAAGAAAGCAAAATTCTTTCTATATTATGAATGAGTACAATCGATAAAAAAAAAAAAAAATTTTTTTTTCTTCATCACCATTGTCTCTTTTTTTCCTAAATATATATATATATATGTACGTATATGAAAATATTTATACAGAATGTATTTGTGTGCATATAGCGTGAATAAATGAGTATTTTGTTTGGTCAATATCACTAGCAAACACGGAAGAACAAAAGCCAGACGATTCATCGTGTACAAAAGAGATAAGAGCACAGATGAAATTGAAAGAAATTAAATAGAAAAAACAGGAAAAAAGATCAAATGCAAGAAAGAGGAATCATTATGTTGTTATATTTATACAAAAATATACGGATTGTTATCCTCGAATGAGACGCGTCAGCACGAGGAGAAATGAAAATCTACTGTTCTCGCAAATCATTCACGCGCACAATTCTTGCTAAAGCAATTGAAATAGAAAAGAAAAAAAAAGAAATAGGCAAAAAAGAAAAATTTGAGTCAAGTGGGTTTGAGTTGAATAGATACCAAAAAAAAAACAAAACGAAAAACAATCTCGATTTTTTAGTGAAAACAGAACAAAACAACACTGACTCACACATGCACATTTAAATGGTTCATAATAGAAAATGTAAAAGTTGCTGATGTTGTACATGCTACATATATGCAACAAAAAAAAAGAACAAAGACAAAAAAACATGAGACGGAAAAATGAGCATTGAATTATATATTTATTTTTGGTTTATCAGTAAATACAAAAATAGAGAGCGGAAAAAAAATATTTAAGTTTTGTATTTTCAATTTATATCTTCGGTAATTTTGGTGCAGTTACCAATGGATTATTTCTTTCAATCAAACGTTTTCCTTCAGCTTTATAATCAAATGCACATGCATGCGCTTCTGGATATCGATGTTCACTACAAAATGAACTTCCACATCTAATAATTAGAAAAACAAAAACAAAAACATATTTATATTTTTTATTCTTGTGAAATTTCAAACTTAAATAAAATTTATATTCTTACTTGCATTGATACGTTGTGGCTAATCCAGTTTTCTTTTTACAGAGAAAACATTTGGACGTTGATTTGCGATTGACAACGACTGGTGGTAGTTTATTTGATTGAAGACTACTGCTCACTGTTGAAAAATTATTACTTGTGGTACTTGACCATAGACTATTCAATTTTGAATCTAACTAGAAAAATATAAGAAAATAAAAACAATATATATATATTTAATTATTTAATTTCCGTTATTATATTACTTTATAGCGTTCTTCAATTACTGCATCGCGCGATGTTTGTTTATAACCTAGACAGAAAAGAACAATGAGTAATAAATATCAATACTACTGATATAAAAAATCAAACCAGTTTTTATAGATGTTGTCTCTTTAGATGCTGTTGTTAATAGCGAAACAAGATGTTTACCAACACCTCGTGATGTATCTACTGGTTCAATTGTAGCATTTTGTCGTAAAAGAGCAGAGACTGTTTTAGATCCAATTGTTTCTATAAATAGAATTATATGATGTTTTTATAGAGATTTTCTTTTTTTGTCTTCTTCTGAACAATTGATTTAACTTACCAATAGTTACTTTAGTATTGTCTAATGGAATATGAGACGATGACGATGATGTTGACGGAGGTGGAATACTAGATGTCACACCTACAGGCTTGATATCTTGTTGTTGAAAATGTCTTTTCGATAGTGAAGATGCTGGTGGAAAAATCGTAGCTGCCGATGATGAAGAAGGCGATGAAACAGTCGATTGTGTTGACTGTTTTTTACCTGGTGTTTTTAATACTTCAATCCGTTTATTTAATATTAAATGATCATTGTAAGAATCTGTACTATTATTATTATTATTGTTACTACCGCCTTCACTGCTCACTAAATCATTCGATGGAGTATTCGATGTACCTGTATGTGTTTGTTGTTGTGATGATGTTGTTAAAGGTATATTTGATGGCATACGCTTATATTTTGATACGGACGATGGAAAAGGTGGTCTTGGTGATGATTTTGTTTGTTTTGCATCATTAGTATTTAATGGTTTATGATAATGAAGAAAATGTTGTGTTGATGATGGTAATGTAGATTTTTTTACAACACTAGGAAATGTTGGCACTGGTGTAGCAATAGTTGTACTTGTTGAACTGTTTCGATGACGAAATAATATTGAATGACTTGTCGATGTACGTTCGCCTACTGTATATTCATCGCCAATAATTAATTGATCATCGTCATCAGTCCACATGGGTTTACTCAATGATGTATCATTACGACTTTGAATTTCAGCTGTTCGTTTTCTATACGGTTCAGTTTTATCATCGTGTATTGATGCTGCACTTGTTAAACCATTGGTTGGTGAAATAATATCATCATCAAGTAATTCAAGCATAGGCGATGTATGTGATTGCTGATAAATTATTTCACTAGCTGAAGTAATTTTTTCATCTTGATTATCTAATAGAGAATCAATATTGTTCGATTTTGATTCTCCGCAGGTACTAAATTGTTTACTCATTGTTGCTGAAAGAAAATGTGAAGATGTTGAAACAATTGGTATTAATTGTTGGTCTAATATTGGTAATGTAGAATCAATATTATTAATTAAGACAGCATCAGTGCTTTTATCATTCTCACAAGTAGTTGACGTTGTTATTATAGCCGTTTCTTGACTCACAGGTCCTAAAAGAAATCATAATAAAGAAGAAGAATAAAAATGAAAAATGTTTGCTATTGTTTCACAAATGCGAAAATAAAAATAAAATTTTATTTTCAATACAAATATTTACCAAGCGTTTTTGATGGATAATTCGTTGAAAATATAGTATCGTTAGAATGGCGTGTACAAGTATTTAATATATTCGTTGAATTATGTTGTTCAGTTTTTATTCTTGTACTCTGGCTTTGATAATAAGAATCATGAAGAGATTTTTTTGATAATTTTACTTCATGTTGATGATGATGATGATTTTTCTTACTAAAAACTGATGGTGAATATGATCGGGATGTTAATAGTTGTTGATTTTTTTGATTAGTTAATGTAATTGGTAGTGATGTTAGAATTTGTTGTTGATCAGATGGCGTTTGTTGATCATCATCTTCATCGGGACTATCATCTCCATCTTCGCTATCTTCTTCATTGAGAAAAACAGATTGTCCAATAGCAGCAGCTGCTAATATATTATATGTATTAAAAATATTGGTTGGCGATAGCTGATAGGGTACTGAACAAGTTTGTTTTTGTGGTTCTAAAGATGATGTACCAGATGAATTATCACCGTGAGTGCCTATGTTTGAATTTGAATCAACAATTATATTACGACGACGATGATGAATTATATTTGATTTCGTTTGTTTTGTTCCTGACGAAGGACGTAATGGTAGTATATCCTTAGAAAGAGATATAATAATTTAATAATAATCACTAACATTATTTATAAATTTTTACTTTTCTATCATGTGTTTTTAATTTTGATCTAATCAATTCCATTTTTTGTTTTGTTTTACGATCATCAGCTTGTCGCTTTTCATCATTTTCAGGTTCTGCTTCAACAGTGATTGTTTCATGTGCATTATACATCGATGCATTACTAATGATAAACAAAACAAAAAAGACAATTACGTCTTTTTTTTTAAATATTGCTTTCTGTTATACCTTATAGAACCTGATAAAGGTGAGAGAGTACCATCACCTCTATCAATAACTTGAAAAAAATTAAATTGATCACCATCACGTAAAACAAGAAAAGTAACATTTTTATTTGACGATGGTAATAAATCACTACTAATTGTACAATCATCTCGGCTATTTTCAATATATTCTGACATTTCACGTATAAAACTATCCTCAATTGGTACACGTTTTGTATTAACAGGACCGCCACGCATAGCTAAAACAAGTTTAATTGTTGTACCGGCTTCGATTTTATAATCATGTAAACAAGATTCATCTTCAAGTTCATTTGATTTCCAAACGAGATGTTGATGCGAAACAGGTATACCTTGTCGTCTTTCAATTTTACGTTTAATATATTGAATCTGTTCATACGGTGAAACAAGTAATTCAAATGATGATCCAGCTAATGTTTCAATATTAATTGGAATTAATGATCGCTGTAAAGGTACTGGTGATGTTTGACTTATTGGTAACATATTACACAGAAGAAAGTCTTTTGTGAGAAATACAAAGGAAAAAAATCAGAACATATTTTTGTTAATAATTGAAGCTTACATCATATCATGAAATGAAATGAAATGAACTAATTTAGATTCCTTTAGTTTCTTTTTTTGTTATTTTTTCGATTTTCAATTCGATTTATTCTCGACTACAAGTTATTAAACGTAGAAAAAGAGAAAGAATTGATTGACTACAAACTAATCATCTAAAATAGAAAGATTTTTAAAAGTAGATCAAAAACGATTCATCATGTTAAATCAATTGAATTTCTTTCAAATACTAGAATGATATAGTTCAAACATGTTTCCAACTGGTAATTCTCATCTTATGATAATCATGTTCGTAGTTACAGCTTTGAAACTGTCAGCTATTGTAAAGAGCAGAAGAGCGAAGAAAAAAAGCACTAGACAGCGAGTAGAAAAAAAAAATCTATAGTTTGAAGCAACTTTTGCTTTTATTTGACTGGCAAGAAGCCGTCTAAAGATTAGAGATTGTTTATTTGAAAGGAAAACGAGAAAAATTTAAGTCAATAATCAAGTTAAATTAGTTCAGATAGAAAAAAATAAATTTGTAAATAATGGAAACTGTCTCATACTTATTTTTTCAGGTAACTACTATTATTGTTTACAAAAATATGATAGGAAAAAGCAGCGACATCTATAATAGACCTCCAATTTATTGTCATGATTGTCTGATTTGTTCATTTTAACTTGAATTCAGAATCGAACCGAGTTATATAGTAAGATATACAGATAAATAAATAAACCAAAAAGACTGCATCGTACTAAGAGAAAATTATCGATCAATTCGTATATTTTCATAATTCATTTCATTTATTGGAAAGCTTCTTGTCTTCATCTTAATCGATGTTTAATGTTTTTGCATTTTTTATAACCTAGAGTACTATTTCAATCAGCTCTTTTTTTTTAAACAAGGGTGTTCTAAATAAACAAACAGAAACATTTTCTTTTCGAATTTTGTTTTTCTAATGACTTTATAGAGTCATACAATTATTGATTGCTTTTTATTTCAGATAACCACCCTTTTTTTATCTTAACCCGAACAAAATGGGTAAGTTACTACAGGTTCTTCAGAAGAAAAACAATTAATTATATTTTTTTTCTTGAATAAAATAGGTAAACCTCGTGGTCTTCGTACAGCTCGTAAACTTAAAGATCATCGCCGTGAACAACGATGGCACGATAAAGATTACAAGAAATCTCACTTGGGCACGCGCTGGAAAAGCAATCCATTTGCTGGTGCTTCACATGCTAAAGGCATCGTACTTGAAAAAGTGTATGCTTATCATTGAAAAATATTATTCTCTTAAAAACCAAATTTTCCTACCATTTTCTTAGTGGTGTCGAAGCTAAACAGCCGAACTCTGCTATTCGTAAGTGCGTTCGAGTTCAATTGATTAAAAATGGTAAAAAGATCACTGCTTTCGTACCACGCGATGGCTGTCTTAATTACATCGAAGTAACTATTTTTTTTTGTTTTTCTAAGACCATAGTAATCGTATTTCTGATGTATTATTTTTATTAGGAAAATGATGAAGTTTTAATCGCCGGTTTTGGTCGTAAAGGTCATGCCGTAGGCGATATTCCGGGTGTTCGTTTCAAAGTCGTCAAAGTTGCTAATGTCTCTTTGTGGGCATTATATCGTGAAAAGAAAGAACGACCACGATCATAAAATATCGTTCGACTACAACATCAAATTAAATGTGTTAACGTTTTGTTTTGTTGTATGTTATTATTAAAATAAACTGCAAAGAAAGAAGAATAGAACTGACAAAAAATGTCATTCAACAAAAAAAATAAAAATAAAACAATCACCATCAGTTCAATTTAATGAAAGAATCATTTGAGCTGGAAAACTTAACTTGAGTTTGGATTCTCTATGTAAAGTAGAGTCATGGGATAATAAATATTAAAAGCAACAGTCAGAACCTTCTGCAACTTTCTACCGGATTTATAGTTATTATACCTAAATCTTCTTCATAAATAACTTTACATGTATGTTAAACACAAATTCATATTACACACTGGAGTTATTGAGCGTTTAGTGAGATTTAAGCCAATTTGTGGAGAAAACATTCTTATTACAAATAGGGCTATCTAGATGGCACATGTAAGGTCAAAATTCAGTTGTTCCATCCGGTTCTTAAACACTGTTATGAATGTTGTAGGAAATGTCTAGAGATTCTATCTGTCTGATACGTGTAATGCCTCATTAAAATTTGCATTATGCATGCAGTTCGGAATCAACAGCAATATTGAAATGGTTCCAATCGTGAAAATTCGATTTCTGCTGCAGAATTAAAATTTATATCTATCATTAGGTTACGGGTTTCGCAATGCATTTCATATTCGAGTGAAGTTCGGATATCATCTAGATTACATTTGTTTCTCTCTGAACTGGGTCGGTATAATAAAACAAAAATTACTATTAATTAAGATTTTTCTTTTGAAATCAATCTTAAGAATTTCCATCAGCACTATTGATATAAAACTATTGTTATCGTATGTGTATCGTTATTTTATGGTCGCGTCCAACAGCGATTGAAGCTTGTACGAGTTTTGAATTCTTTTCCAGCATGTTACTTTCAACGTTCTGTTCGTGTAAATATAACATGAAATTAATTTCATATATTCATTCAATATGTCTTATGATGATTTTAGAAGCTAAAAAGATTCAGCAATTGAAAAATGAAATGGCTAACGATGAAGAAAAAGAGTGAATACATGTTATAGAATGGCTCACTTTGTAGACACTTTTGTTAAGATATTTTTTATGAAATATTAATAAATATAACACTATTAATGTGTTTCTTTATCACACTGCATTCTATTTGCTGGCGTAAATATAAACTGGAACACTACTTCGATTTACTTTTGAATATATTCAACCAAGATTTTTTCCTCTTAATTTGAACTTCGAAAAAGACTAGACCAAATTCACCATTTTTGAAAGCATTAAATACGCTATGATCAATTCTTTATTTTTTCAAGATGGGTTGAGCGTCGTTCCGACATGTAGACTTGTCTTATTTTCTTTTTATATCAAGTTCTATCATAGTTCAATACATGATTAAGATATCTCGTTGAAAAAACATTCGTTCTAATATTTTTATTAAATGGAATGTTCATGATAGATTCAACTATACTTAGATTTTATTATCATATTTCTTAAAATAAATGAGCCAAATAACTGCATTTCATAGATTATAGCAAAATACACAGAAGCTCAGGTCGAACATTACGACGACTAGAAACGATCGTACACGGCGGAAAACGCTAACGAATACTATCGTTTCTTACCGTTTTCCGACCGTAAATCGCCGTAAGTTAACGTTGTGGCACGTACCGTATTTTGCCATGCCGTAAACGGCGAAACACCCCCATCATCTGGTCAAAAAATTGAGTATCTCACTGGTGACGATCGCTTACGACCGTGTGTCTTCCACCTGTGGCATTTTCATTAGCCTTACTAATATCAGCAGCAGTTTCTACAATAAAACAAGTAGTATACAAAAGCAAGTGTGGAAAACGAAAAGGACGAAAATTGATGCATGTACAAATTGGCCTAGTATCTGCTTTTCATAAGCAGTACATCTATCAATGAAGAGATCAATAAAAATTTATTTGATGAACACAAATTCAAGAAATCTACAAAGCGTTTAATTAGATACTAAAGTATATTACCAGACTAAATTTTTATCCGTTCTCTCAAGAACCCTTGTTCCTTACCCTTATACTCCTAGGTCGATCATCCTGAGTGTGGTGTGGATATTCCTCATGTATGCACCCACATCCATCTATATGAAGATCTCGAAAAACTTGCTAAACACGATGTTATGAATTCGCAAATGATTTAAAGAACTTCTAGAATTAATCGGTAAAGTTACCGGTGATACATACGATAAACTAATTTCTGATATTTCGAAAATTTTAGATGCATATAAAAATTGACGGAAATAGTTGACAAACTAAAAAGGAACGTCGGATCTTCAAAAAACTTCTTTAAAATACATTTTCATGGTCAACTAAAACTTTCAAAGACAATGATATATCCAAAGAAACTATTCAGCAAACACCATATTTTCTGAAGAAGCAAAGAAAAACCGTGAATATGTTGCAAAACAACTTAAGAATAAGAAGCAGAACTCAAATATAAATTCACTTTATCTTCTTGTTTGTATTCATACCGTATATTTTATTATTGCATTTTGCATCATAGATTAAAACATTTGTTTCACTTATAGACTCTTAGTGTCTTTATGCATTGATTCACTCAAAAGGAAATCTTTGCGTATGAAAAATAAAATTGTAGTAAAATTTCTAAATATTTCGATAATATGAATAGAAAAACTACGATTTATTTTCATGATAGATTTATTCATATTTTAACGTTAAGTCGAAAAATCGCAGCTAGGCATCGTGCACAATGCTATTGTAACAACAAATTCACAAAAAAAATGTTCTTCATTCTTTTTACTTGAATCAAGAACAGAAGAGTCCTTGATGAACTGAGTTTTAAATAATAATTGAGTTTCCACACATTTTATATCTCTGAACATCGTTCAAGTCTTGTTTTCTATTTGGTGTTGACGATTGCGCTGTAAAAACAATTCCTTCATCTGTATTCGTTGTTATTGTTGAGCTATTGTTATTATTTATATTTTCAATATTGCTCATATTTGATGTTGATGCTTTTGAAAATATCAAGACTGGTGGACAATTTTGATCATTGGTTAAACATTGATAATTATCGTCAGCATCACGAAAGGATGTTTCATTCAATTCATCTCCACCATCAACTGATGGTAATGTTGACGGTTGACATAGTTCTTGTTTACTAATTAGTTTATTTAAATGTACGAGGCTCATACTTCGTGTATGTGTTTTTTCTATTGGCTGTGTGATTATTGCCGTTGTTTCAGCAGTTGACTGATCACTTGTAGTAACATTAGTATTTGCCATTTGTTCCTTTATCGGAGCTGCACTGGTTATAGTTTCTTTTCGATTATTAGTTATATATTCACAGGAAACACCCAATAAAATTGTTCCGACAGCAAGTTTTGTTGCAAATAGACTAAACAAGAAAAAGAAACTCAAAGTACTATTTAAAAGAATTATTTATAATAAATAGTTTACCATAGAAATGCTAATAGAACATTCATGAATGCTAAAACTGTTTTAACATTAATTGTTTGAAAAAGTACACCAAAAATAAGACAAGCAAATGGTAATGGAATAAATCCTAATCGACGGCTAAGCAAATCCGTATAATCGGATAATGCCTAAAAAATACAATTGCCAACTATAATCAAATAAAAAGTCAAAATATAATTAAACATACAATATCTTGTTTTGTTTTAACCATATCCAGTGCTAGACTTAATATATATTCTCGATAGACTTCAGACGAAAGTTCATTAAATTTTAAAATAAATCCATGTTTTACCCAATCAACGAAAAATTCAACAACAAAAACCACAACAATAAAATCAATTAACGGCCAAAATTGACTCATATCCCAATTAAATTGATCAAGATTACGTACACAAACGACAAATAATAAAATAACATAATGAAAACGCTCACGACAGTCACTACATGATAGTTGAAATAAATTATTTCGATCGAATTTTTTAAATACACTATGTTTTAATTCAATAAACTATGAAGGATAAAAAGCAAATATTTATTTATTTAAATTCAATATGAACACTTACATTATTTGTTAACATAATAATTAATAGCATTTTATTTTGGGAATTAAAAGCAACATTCAATGTAATGGCTTGAAGAAGTACAAGAATAGCATGAATTGCTAAAATTACAAATCATACAGAAATATTATTGTAGGGATAATTGTATCGATAAAATTGAATGCTACCATTGGAAACACATCTTACAGAATATCAAAAGCGAAAGCGTACTTCCGAAGTTTTTTTTAAACACACCCTCAAGATATGCTTAATGTTAAGACATTTGTCAATGATCTAAATATATGAGAAAATCATCAGATGTAAAGATGATAACAGAACACCAAAAGGAAGTTAATCTGATCAAGCTTATAGTTCTGAAGCACTTCAATAGATCTTAGAATGAGTTTATTGAAACTTATTAAAATAAGATCTATGAGCTGAATAATTGACGAGACGTTAGTTTTTTTTTCTATTCTTACATCTTGGCTGACATTTTTTCGGTTTACTTCAACAAGTGTCTAGCTACCTATGCTAAAACTATTATATACATACTATCATTCAATTAATATCGTTTGAATGCTCCTTCTTGTCGTTCCTTCTGCTCTTATACATTCATTTCGCACTTCAATAACTAGCTAATTACATATTCTACGTGTCAAATCGTTATTTTCTACTTTATCTTTAAACTCGCCTATCATTGCAACATATACGTTATCCGTCATGCTTAAATATTTACAATCATCGCTTTCTCTCTTTTTCTATTCTCTGATAACTGTCATGTTCTCCAGTGATAACCAATTCTGTAGCTATATCACTAAATAATCTTTCAAATATGTCATATAGATAATTACTATTAAATGATATTACTTATGACTTGTTGGGTACTTTCTACTATTCTATACTGCATTTATTAGCAAATTACTTACTACAATAAGTAATAGCGATAATAAGCCACAAAAGTAATTTCCAAGCACTATGTTTACGACGCGGTTCAGTTGCCGTCCAATAGACAGCATCAAGTGTATCTTGACCAAATGAAGATAGCAAACGATCACATACCTTTGAATTTCAAATTTCAATAGACATTCATTTGTTGTAGTCAATTTTTTTTATATCTACTTCAAGCATATTAAAAAACATATACAGTTTGATAGCAGCCTGAGCACGAACTGTATGGTATACTACGGAAATATCCATAAAACACATGGGTGCAGCACAACCGAGTACAACTAAGCCTTTGACCATGTCAATAATTTGTGCTGGTTCAAATAAACGATTCCTGAACAAAAAAAAACTTCAATACTAAACCAAAATAATCATCTATTTTCTATGTACGGTTTTGAAGTTCGAAAACGACATAATGTGCCAATTGCTTGCATGAGAGCAAGTGTAATACGCATCGGTAAGAAAGTCCACACGTATAGAAATGTATCCAAACATTGACAAAATCCATAGAGCATAAACTATCAAAAAATAAAACCACATGAGAAAAACCGAATTTCTTTTTTGAAATTAAAACATCAATCTCGTATTACTTCTCGAAATATAAAATTACCCACCTGTAGAACAAAAAAATGATTTTATCGATTATTTCTAAAATAAAAGTAGAGAAATGAAAACAAAAAGAAAAAAGGAATCTCATCTATATTTGTATCATTGCTCGAGTGTAGCTGCGAATAGCTGTTTACTTCATCTATTTCAGTTGTTCCTCGAGGATAAAATTATTTTTGCGAAAAATGTTAAACTTAATTTTCAATAATAAGAAAATCAAGCCAAACAAATATATTTTTCGCTTCGGGTTTTAATAATTTCAATTTACCTTCTCAAGACTTGATGACATCAAGAGAAAATTATATATTCTTTCTCGCTTTTCTAGGTACTTTTGTTCTTCACATTCGAGCATATAATCACGAGTAAATTCGGCTTGAATGAAACCCCAAAAAGAAAGAGGAGCTATAAAAGAAAATGGAATAATTTTCTAATTTTTTCAACACAATAAATTATACGAACTTCTTTGGCTACTCGTCGTTGTTTCAGTCATGATACTGTTGTTCGTAGAAAAAACTATCTACAAAGGATGCAGCTGATATATATATATATATATATATATGTGAATGTGACGTGCGCCCTCATCTAACATCACGTCGTGCAATTTCATTGGTGAAACGACTGCTCCAATCATAAACTGCAATCGTTCTTTGTGCGTCAAACGAAAACATACACTCTCGAGTCATATTCCAACCAAGAAAATAAATTCTACAATGTATAGCAATGTTGTTCCGTTAACGACCGTTAGTACCGCACAAGTATTACCTGGTACTGTTCTACAAACAGCTGGTAATATTTTACCTACAACAACAGTTGGAAATAACGATTTAGTTATCATACAAGATTCATCAAATCAAGCTGAATTAATCAATCAACTACAAAATCATATAAATGAAAATCAACAAATTTTGATTATTACAGATGATCAAGGGCAAGATCAATGTAAATTTTCTCTAATTTGGTCTTGAGATTTATGCTGAAAATTGTTTTTATTTTTGTACCATTTCAGATATTATCATTGATAAAGATCAAGATATCAATGCACTTTTACAAGACGGTAAGTTATTTTAAAATGTATCAGTTCAAAAATGATGATTAACTTAAAGAACGGATATATGAAATATTCTATGAATAAAATATACCATACACTACTATTCAACTGATTTGAACTGATTAAATATTTCTTACATTCGGATATAATCGTAAAGATCGATGTATTTTACTTCATATGTCAGTTGCTACGACTTTGATGTGTCTATTTTGTAAAAAAAAGCAGATTTCTCGACAAACCTATCATTTAAATTGAGTTGAAATTTCTGAAGTAGTGATCGTAGTAATTGAATATTTATATCGTGAATCGAATCCATCAAATTTCAATGAATTTAGGTTCTCTATTCAATCATTATACGGAACAACAACAAATGGCTCAGATTTCTGCAGGTTTACAACAACAAATTTTACAAATCGCATCAATGCCAACAATTCAAACAACGCATACTTCGTCTGTTGTTTCAACACCTGTACCAATACAGCCGAAACCAACACCGAAACCTATTGCACCTGCTACAATGAATCCATCAATTATACCACATAAACAATCATTTCAAAGCAAAGTAAAATAAACATAGATTGCATTGTATCAATTTATTAATATACATATCTACATCAGGTTAATGCCAATGCATTTCATGTTCAAAATGTTGAAGAATCAATTCAACGTGTTACAGTTCCACCACCAAAACGAAAACCAAGTAAAAACATTTTATCTTTAAAATTAAGAAGAGAAGAAAAGTCTATTGGTCGTTCGTTTTAGTTGAAATTCATTATGATCCAAAAGAGAAGTCATTTCATAATGCATTTCTTAAATTTCTTGCCGGAGAAAAAGTTCCATCATTAGAATCGATAGCAAATGAACCGATTGTTCGTAAACCAAAAGATAATATATATATTGGTGCTGTCAATGCTGGTATTATTCTTAATAATCTTGGACAACAAACTGGTTCAATGGGTTATCAAACCTATATGCTCAATGATGAATCACGCATGGAAGAAATCATGGTTATTGGACGACCAGTATATGATGATAGTAAAGGCGTTAAAATAAATCCATTATTAAAAAATATTCCAACGAATGTAAATAATAATCAAACAGGAAATTTTCTACCACAAACAATAACGTTAACAGCAAATGCACAACAACAAAAAGGTAATCAACAACAATATATCAATACATTGAATGATTTATTTCGTAATGCACAAACTGTACCAAATGTTCTTAATAACTCCGTAAGAAATATTTATTTTTCATATTTTATTGAAGATTTTCTTTAAAATATTTCTAGACAACAATTACATTACCTCAAGACATACTTAATCAATTAAATGCTGGTACACTTACATTAACACAAACATCCAATGGAACTGAGGCTATTGAATCAGCGACTGCATCAGCAGCGGCAATACTTAGTCAATTGAATGAAATGGTACAGGAACAACAGCAAAATAATCAAAATTCAATGAATTATATTTCGAATGAACTACTTTCTACAACGGATCAAAATAGAATGCAAGTTGAAAAGGTAAAATTCGTTTCACATATGATTATAATTAAGTGACATTCATTTTTTATATAGGAATCAACAGATGCACTGTTAGTTGCAGCTTTGTCTAAATCAAATTTTGCTACAAGTAATTGAAATGCACATGATATATTTTATTTTTAAAATGAGATTCTTAAACTTAGATAAATCTCACGAACATCATCACTCATCACAGAAAAGAAATCAACAGAATAATTCAAAGTAAGAAATTTTTGTTTTACTATGTTTCTGGTCATTCTTGATTTTTTTGAAAGTTCATCATCAACAACTGGTGGATTATACGAAATGAAACATGATCAATTACAATTAAACAACAATTCTCTTCAACAACAAGTAGCTGCTGAATATTCTCAATCAACAACAACTACTGATAAACAACAACAGGAAGCATCAACTTCGACAGCAATGGATCAATCAACAAATACTCAAAGTCAACAGTTTTCAGAAGAAGGTAAAAATGAAAGAAAATCTTTCTTTGCTTGATTATTTTCTCAATACTCTAATCATAGAAATGGGACCTGAAATTCCATTTGAACTTGGTCAATTTCTATTGTATAAAGGACATTTCCTTAATTTACTTCATTTTCCAATATGGAAAGTACATACAAAAACACTTTTACTTAAATATGATACTGTACTTGCTGATTCTGAAATAGCATGGGAAGCTACAGATGAAGTAAGAATATAAATTATTTTCGTATAGAAATCGAATTCGTCTTATTTTTCAAAGGGAATGCTTTATACAAATGTGTATGAAGATTATATTCCACTTAAATGTGAACTTAAAGGCTTACATAATAATCAAGAAGTTGTTCGTATTGCTAATGAATCACATCCAATTAAACTTAAGTACGATAAATATTTTAGCAATGAAAAATAAATAAATATTTTATTTAATTCTATTGTAGAATTCATGGTCATATGAGTTCAGTACGTATTCAACATGATGTTTATGCACAAGTACTTGTTAATCATGTCTATGATGCCGATGTATTACCAAGAATTAAAGCCAATACAGGTTGAATTTTTCTTCGTAAATTATCAACAACGTAAAGAATTTATTTTCAGACGAATATGCAACATATATTCGATTGATTGATGAAATTCTTGAACAACGTTATAATTATGTTATTCAATCACGACGTACAATAGAAACTTTTCCTGTAAGTGCACTCTAAAAATTGACATTGTAAAAGAATATTCTCTTTGAATAGTGTGCAGTTGCAAAATATCCGTTACTTGATATTATAACTCAACCACAACGACAATTACATTGTCAAGTAAATATTTTTGTGTATTTTTATCTTCTAACTATGTATTTCTCTTCATTTTAGGTTACAGAAGATAAAACACAATCGGTTTCACATACATTACGTTTTCATGGAAACCAATACGATGTTGATACATTAAAAGCAAGTGAAACACCATTACAAATACTAGTACGAAGAATAAATTTTAATCAGTCATTTTCTTTTTAAAAAAGAATTCATTTTCTTTTTCAGGAAATATTTGTCTGTGAAAATATTGCTATTTTAGCACAAACAGCTCATCAACTTAAGCATCATGTTTATCATATGTTTTGTCATGCACAACAAAAAGTAATAGAGAATTAAGTTTGATTGGAATAAAATGTTATTGATTTAGGTCGCTGAATTACAAGCACTAAATCCAACAGCCGACGCAACCGAATTAATTAGTGCAATATGTGGTGATTCAGCATGGTTACAAGAAGTAATTTTGTTTTCTGATCTTCCTTCAAAAGAAATATGATCATATTTCTGTTACTCTTTTAGTTGTTTGATCGGTTTGATTCGATAATGCAACAAGCCGACACATACATTTTTTCGAATGTCGATATAGCTTGGTAGAATAGAAGACACTTTATTATATTCAGCACTAGTCATTATTTCGTCGTAAAAAATATTCAACAACATTCTTTTCTTTTGTTTTCTTTTGTATTCAATTTTTTTGTATACATCGTATATTGTAACTATTTCAAAGTTGTTCTAAACACATGTTTGCTCATTTATTTGGAGCGTTTGTTATTGTATAAACTTGAAAATGTTTTCGTTATATGTACCGATAAGAAAGTTTTTTTTTGTTGAGAGGTTTACTAAAGAGAAAAGATGATTAGAAGCATGATCTAGTGTATTTACTTAGCAAGTTATTCGATCAATATTATGGTATTTATCGTTGAAAATCAGCAGTTAGTATGAAAAACAAATGGAAGTTGCAGCTCTTTTAGAAACTTCTAAGATTATTAAGCTTTTTCTTCACTTCGTTCTAGGGTTACCAAATCTCCTGTTTTGACCAGGGACCTCCTGGTTTTTGAACTTTTTTCCTGACGAAAAATCTCCTGATATCAGGAGCTGTTTTTGTATGATTTCTCCTGTTTTTGTTAATGTGACGACTAGCGACATTTTGAGCCTAGAGCGATTTTAAAGAGAAAAAAAAACAAATCTACGGAAGCGTTAAACAGATATAAGAACCAAATAAGGACATATATCGCATTTTCGTGTAGAAATCGATATAGTAAACAAAGAAATATTTTTGTATTTTGAATGTTTTCTCCACCAATAGCTGATATTATTGAGATTGAGATATCAAATTCATTAGATGACGATGTTTCCTTACAAGTTGATCCATTAACTGTGAAAGAAAGTATTACTGTGAGACCAAAACCTACCACAGCTGTAACATCTGCCAACTCATCATCAGCATCGTCAACAACAACAACAATAATAAATAAACGTTATTGATCAAAATTTAAAAAAGAGTGACTATTCAATTAGAATTTTTTTACGTTTTTGCGAGAATGTAAATCGAATCTTACAAGAGCTTTATGTGTTGTTTGTAATTTACAATTTTCCATTGAAAACAGTGGGGTTGGTGATAACTGAATGATAGTGATCCTCAAAGTTTATGTGATGAATGTGATGATGATGATATACAAGATTTTGATTCCGATGATGATGAACGTAATGCTAAATGCCATAAAAATCAAAAAGAAAATCATCCAGTAAGAGCTGATCATTTGTGGGCCTATTTACTTGATGATGAAAGCGTTCCTAACTTAAAAAAACTTGTTCAATTCGTATTTTATATTCCTGCTTCAAATGCATTTTGTGAAACAATCTTTAGTCATATGAAATATTTATGGAATGACAGTAGAAACCGAATGAACCATGTTTCTACTTTGTATTTGTATGCAGCGGCGTAAATAGGGGGTGGGGTGGGGTGGGGCGTAAAGCCCCCCTGCTTTTGAAAATTTCGTGTTTTTTGCTCACGAAAACAGAAAAAAGTTTACGCCTCCTGCTTCCAAAAGTTCATTTTTTAGGTCATGAAAACAGAAAAATTAGAGTTACACCCCCCCTTGCTTTGACACCTAACTTACGCCCCTGTTTGTATGTTTTGATTTTGATTCATAATAATTCGCAGTTAGTTTTAAATTTCTATTTTTCATGTATTCTAATAAATGCGTTTTAATTATCTATTGAAATAAATTTTATGAAATCAACATTGTATTTACAATTTTAATTGGTCTACATCTACAAGGAATTTTTTCATCATCAATCTGATTAAGAAAAGAGATTAAGATGTCTATTAGTGAAAAGTCGGTTGTTATCAGATAAAAACCATCAAATGAGTGTTCAATATAAACAAAAAGCACGCCTGATAAACGCCTGTTTTTCCACAAGAGCTCCTGATTTCAAAAATTTGAATTTGGTAACCCTGCTTCGTTCCGATTACTTTAGGATTAAGTAAAAAGAAAGATTTGTTCAAACAATAGTTTTCACTATCCCAGGTCGAACAGTCCGACCTGGAAACGACCGGTTCCGGGTAGTTCCGTTGATTTTGTGGAAGCAGTATTCCGGTTGGAAATTTTTCGGATTTTTCCGGTGATTTCCGAACAATTCCTGCCGGAAGGCACCGGAGCTTGGCAGGAATTCGCCGGAAAAGTCCGGCCGTATTTTTGACCGGAATACTGCTTCCATGTTCCAGCGATTTCCCGTGTTTTCCTGCAGGATATGGTGACTTTCCCGCGTATTCCCTGGAGTATCCTACGGGATCCGGTGGCCGGAATGTTCGATCTGGGATATGTCGATCTTTGTTTTTACTGACCAAACATACTTGATTCACTTATTCTTAAGCTATTAAATGATCACCGTATCGTATATTCTTCTGATAATACAGTTCATAATAGATTCTATTCATCATAATATGAGTGAGTTCATCGTATTGTGTATGTATATCAGCATTGGGCTCTCTATTTTTAGCATTAGTCAAGAACACAGGTTGATGTTTTGGTTAAAATTTGAACTAGAATAAGTCAGTCTGTTTTATAACTACTCACCTACCTTTATACATTGTTCAATCCACAAGTGCAAATGTTTCATAGATGCATAGACTTTATAATGTTCTCTGAACAAAAAACAGTATAAAATAATTCGCTCGAATTGACCGATGATATACCCGGTCTCGAAATGAATTAGTTAGCAAGTTTTCATTTTGTCAGAGGAACTATGAAAACAGAAAAATACTGCGCATGTACCACACACATTATTATTCAACTGTCATGCAATGAATGATGAATTTCATATTTTACTCGGCCGTGAGTGGATTGTTTTTTCTTGTGGAAAAGTATTCATGAAAATTATGATGGCACTTGTAATAACCCACAGCAAATATTTAAATTTTATTATAGAATAAGTACGATTCAATAAATTTATTTAAAAAAAATGCTTCATAAAAAGCGTTTATTATAATCTTAGGCTGATCTCTTTTTTTCAGTATATGTGACTTATGGCTGAATAATATTGCAAAAAAAGTTACACAAATAAAATCATTCAAATTGTTTTTTGTATAACTGACAAGTCAATATTTTTTGTTCGCTCCTACAGATTGAATGCATTAACAATCTCGCCTAATGTTGAATCATGCAAACAGCCAGTCACAAACTCTTCTCTTGTTATAATTTTATCTTGATTCGTATCAAATGAAAGCATGATTGTTGTTGTATACAGCTTCGCATCTTCTTGTGATACGCCAATAATTCGACATATAATGCTAAGCATTTTTTCTGCCTCCTTCCTTTCAATTTTCTCATTTTCGTTTATATCAAATAATTCAAACGCATATTCAAATTTTTGACGACTTGATCCTACAGTTGTTGCGAGGTAAGCAATAAGAAATTCGGAGAAATCAATTGTGCCTAATTAAATAAACATATGAAACAATCAATACTCGAAAAATTAAAATGAAAAAAAATTGTTTACCAGAATGATCAGTATCAAATACTCGAAAAATATGATCTGTAATTTCTTCTAATTTTGTGTTTTGCTTTAATTTTGTATAATACGATTGAAATTGTCGTTTATTCATTCGATCTGCACCATCACTTTCTTTACGAAATTCTTCATACCATTGGCGAATTTCATTTTCAGTTTTACCACTTGATTTAACTAAAACTTGTACATCTCTTTCAGTAAATGTATGTTTTCCATGTCTATGACCCATATTCAATCCGCTTTTATTGGTATTATTTTCTTAATTTTACTCGAACTGTTTTCTGACGTTAAAATTTTAGGTTTATGTTGGTAAACGTAACTGGTTGCTCTTCACCTATTAAAATAACTATATGAAAAAAAGAAACAGAACAACAAAGCGATTAACAGATCTTAACGCATACTTTCGTATTGGCCTCATGACTATATTTACTACACTATATATTTTTTTATTCAAAATATTCATTGATGTAATACGTTTTTTTTTCTTTGGTGTGCATACGATATTTAGATTGAGTTGTGTTTGAATTCTAAATTGAATTGTCAGAAGATGTATTGAAGAAGTAAAATAATTGTTGACTATTAAAACAATTTCATTCTCTTTTTCTTTTTGTTCTCACTTTATCTAACATACAGAAGTAGGGAGAATTTTTGTTTACGATCAACATACGTAAAAAAAGAGAAAAAAAGTGAGCTTTCATCTATTTTTTCTTGAAATACTCCGCTTTCTTTTTTTCTTCTCCACTGGCATACACATTATACATCAATCAATTACACAGCATGCTTAAACTGGATTTCGTTTTTGTTCCCATGTACACCGCATAACTCTTGTGTAGCATTGTTTTCCTTTCATCATCGCCTACACCGTATGCATCAATTGTGTCCTCGAAAAAAAGGTTTATTCTTTTTCTTTTTTTTGCATGAAGCGAAAATGCACGGAAAGAAAGGAAACGAAACGAAAACGCACCCAGTACTCATACTTCCCGCTCGCACTTTGTATGGCTGTGTATGTGCTTTGCGAAGAAATCAACAGACAAAAAAAAGAGAGAACGACCGAAAAAAAAAGAAGAACGAGTCTTCAATAGCTACAGAATATATACTTATAAATACACGGATGCTTGACGATGAGGAATGATGAAAGAAATACGAACGAATTGCATGCACAAAGCAATAAGAGAAACAAACCAGATGGATATGAGATTGATAATGATTTAAGAAACGAAGCATCCTTTGATTGTTTTTCTAAGTATGAGAAAATTACATGCGCACATATGGTCGATACATAATCCAAGTGGAAATAACGAAAAAATATCAGGATTGGAATAACTGAAAGGATGTAGCCGTTTTTAGTCTTTTTTTACTATTGTCGCTGCTCTTGTTGTTGTTATTGTTATTTTTTTGTCATGCAGCTATCGTCTCAAATCTTTGAAAAGAATCGAAAAAAACCGAAAAGAACGAAACCCTTTACGATGAAAAAAGAGAAAAAGGTGGGAGAGAAAAATGTCATTCCGGAACATGCGCAACGACGTTTCGAAAGTTCCGGGTTGGCTGCTTTGTATTTGTTCTGTGTGAGAACGAAAGTGCGTTGCTACCTCTCTATTAATGTTACTATTATATTTTTGATCGAGAGAAAAAAGACGCCGAAATCGGAAATAAATACTATCGTCATCATTTTTTGTTTGAAACGAAAGAACAATGACCAGGTAAATAAGTTTCCTCTCTGGATTTTTTCTTAGATTTTATCATCATACCTAAATTATTCGACTGCATAAATAGGACAACACAAGTGTATTTCGTTTCTTTTCTTTTTTTGATCGCATATGTTGAAAAATATTATCGCTTTGAGTGAGTGAATACGCAAAACGATGACATTATACAAGCGCAGGAAATATATTTTTTTCTATTTCATGTTTTTCACTGATTCTGACCATATGAGCAGTATATCTATACAATATGCTTTTTCTCTATTACTTTTGAGATAGTAAGTGAAAATATGTCTAAGAATAATATAAATCAATGATTCTATTTATTTTAATTCTATTGAAAAATTTTGCTAAATAAAATGGTTCGTATGATTAGGTATGCATTATCATTGTGACTGGTGTCGTGTGATTCAGGTATGTTTCCTTGCTTCTTAATTTCTTCTTCTTACTTCGTCATTCTCACACGCATATATTCTTATCACCTTCATCATAAAAGTGGCTCTGCAAGTAAATCTTTCTATCTTTTGAGATGGTAAACAGAACACATACTCTTCTTACACAGTAAATCAAATTTTCGAGTTACTTCTATCTTCTTATCTTCCGCGAACAGGTTAACTGCTCTTTCTTTTTTCTTGGTTGCCTTCCGTCAAGGGCATATTTTCTCTTAACGCTTTTTTCTTCTCCTTCTTTTTTTCACTCTTTCAAGTCGTGTCGCATTCCCATTCCCATTCACTAGACGGGAACATTCGAATTGAAGCGATACATAAGTCAAATGAAGCAAAGCCTACAACGATCGAATTTATAGCCTGTAAAATGGAAATTCTACTTGACTATGACTATACGATTCATTCATTTTTTTTCTCTTTGCTCATTGAGGAGTACAATAGTCTTCTCTCTCTCTCTCTCTTTATATGTATATATAAAACATACCTATAAAGATTGAACAGTCTTTATGAAGGGCGTCGGTGGTTTCTCTCACTTGTTTTTTGTTCTTTTCTTCCTATTTGAACGACAGGATATAGTAGTTGTATATTTGCATATAAGAAGAATTGAAAACCTATAACATATGAGTGATATATTTTCGACAAGAGCGCATCTAGGTCAATGATCACATGATGATGGTGATTATGATTGTAATAAGAGACTGTTTGTGGTGACCTATTTCTTTTTCTTTTTTTTATTAGTTCGTGTATTGTAAACGAAAGAACAAAAACAAAACTGTTGATATGATCATAGTATTTGCATTAGCACTTCTTCGCACACACAGCGAAAAAGGAAAAATAGAGATTAACGTAAATGTGCGCAATCGGTCGACTGATGTTTGTCCTCCGTCTTATCAGCGTCATCATTGCTCGCAAACACCTGCTGATCATATACACATATACATATGCTCATCTTCTAATTGGGTCGACTAGTAGTCAGTCACTATCTGCGATTGAGAGATTACATCTTAATGTTGATAATGGATCGTTTAATGATGTGTTTGATTGTTCAGTATCGTGTGACGTGACAATGATGGTACCACACAGGTTGAACATGACAATCAGACGAAAAATTAGAAGGAGGAGAAGTTCAAGAGAGACGAGACGAAAATTCTTTTCTTTTATGTTTTGTTCCGGTCACCTCCATTCATGCACTTCACATTGAGAAAATTGCACATACTTTAGTGCTCGTTCTCATTTTGAGGTCACCGAGATAAAGACCGAAATATATGTATATATGCTGAGTGCATTGGTGCGGATATCGTTCAACACAATGAATTTAGTATAAGCGAGAGAAGAAAGAAAAAACGAAAAATTTGTTTTATTTCATATGCCGTTTCGGACCTTCCTCTTCTCTGTCTGTCGTCGTCTCGACAGGTAGAAAGGATAGATGATGATGATGATGGAGGGGAAAAGAGAACAGAACACAAGGCCAGTGTATGCATGTTCAAAAAACGACTTGAAATTATTCCTTTTCTTTTCTCATCGCAGACTGACCGCGAGGCGGCAAAAGTATAAAAAACAGAACAATATGCGTGAGTGAAAGAGCAAAAGAAAGAACGGGATATGTCCTTTACTGCGAGAGAATAGTGCTCTTGAACTTCCAAGGTAGACGACATCAACGTAGACAGTAAAATCAAAAATAATGGATCTCTCTTTTCTCTCTCTCTCTCTCTCTCTCTCTCTTTCTGCTTGACCCACAATAAACTTTCGAAGGAAGGAGGTCATTTTGAGTGTTCACTCTTTCTTTTAAACAACAGAAAAGAATGCTGTAAGTATAATCAAGACCAAACACTAAGATCCCTATCTTATTCCATCAATCATTGTGCGTCTGCCTACTGGCACTTCCCTGAACTTGCCTTTTTCGCGTTCTTATTCTCACATTGTTATTCTTCATTCTAGTCAAAAGAAGGTTGTCCAATAAATAGGTCTTCTTTAGACTAGTCATCCATCTTAGATATAATATAACGAATGAACCGGTTAGCAAGAAAACATTTTTGAATTTAAAATTCGTTCTTCTTCCAATGACGAAAAGTCAATAAAATTATTTTATTCATATCAACTATTCTCATTTGAATACATACTACGTTTCTCTTATATTCTTAAGTATTCTTGTATATTGCGTATCTCATAATTTTTATCTTGCTATTATCTTCTCTAGGTAAAACGTACGGAAGTTTACATCTTTATAAAAAAAATAGCTGCATAGAAGGTGAAAAAATGCATTATTGCTTCCATATGCGTCAAATATACAAGGGCTCTAAATATATAAGTAAAGATATTTTACTCAACTAGAATAAGCTTAAAGAATATAAATGATAACAAATATATATATATATAGATGTACAAGTATACACGTCTGAAAGATTCATTATGTAGACGTCAGTTTTTTTTTGTATTTTTCGCCTTGATCAAATTTTTCCTATTGTGTCTAAAAATAAGCATCCCTTGTATTTGATTGTCCAATTTTTTTTTCTTTCCGTATATATACAGCGTGCATTTATGATTTATCACTGATTGCATCCACTCTTTTACTTCACCTTCTTATTCATTCGTCTCTGTCTTTTTCTCTCTCCCTCCGACTATGCCCATCTCTCGCATATCTTATTTATATTTCGTTTTTTATTCGTTGCAAAGCAAGGAAACTTTCATATGTATAGTACAACTAGTCATCGGAAGTACTAATAGGCAACTTTCTCATGCCATTCTTTTCGAATTATTTTTCTTTTTCTCTTTTTTTGTCTTTACCGTATAACTACTAATAGGTAAAAGAAGAAAACGAGAATAAGAGCGCAAGCATAAGAGAGAGAGAAAAACGCGTCGTTCGTTATCGAGGGTGTGATGACCATATTATCAGGTGCACAACCGTCGTCGTAGCCTGCTGTTGTCTTTCGTGCTTCCTTGTGTATATATACAGAAAAGGAAGGATAAGATGATGTGCGTTGCTGCTCCTTTCTGTTTTTCTTCTCTTTCTCTAGGTCTTCTCTTTTTCGTTAGATATAAAATGTGTGCACAAGAACAAACCAGAGTCCATTTGTTTATTTGTTTCCTTCTTATTTTAGCATGGTAGCACATACAGGGAATTCGACGATGACTACTACAACTAATACTACTCTACCAACAAATAATTATTTATCACCAACAGTTAAAATGAATTTACCTCAAAACTTACGTATGTAATTTTAAAGAAAAGAAAAGAAAAGAAAATCATTTCTATATTTGATTTACTAAAATTTAGTTAATCCAATTGACTATTGGACAAAAAATGATGTACAAAAATGGATTGAATATTGTATCGATGAATATTCATTAGGAGATGTTAATTTGAAAGATTTTGAAATGAATGGTGAGTCATCTTTACCTTGTCTTCTGTATAAAACAACAAGTTTTTGAAAATTTTTAACTACGTTTTGTTTTCTTTTTATCTACCAAGGTAAAGCTTTACTATTATTGAATGAAGATAGTTTTAAACAACGTTCTCCACGTTCTGGTGATATCTTGCATAAAGCTCTTCAACAACATAAAACTTTGCTGAAGTCATGGCAATGTCAAAGTAAATAATAAATGAACGTTTCTTTCAAATAATAATCAAAATGAATATATTTCCTATAGCGTTTCCATATCCTCTATGGAACAATTTTGGCTTTCCTCCACCCTCATCATCGGCACGCCGTTTTAATATTCCTCCACCACCAACAACATCATTACCTCTATCATCATTTCATCCAAATGCTGCCGGTGTCCTTTCACATCAAGCTGCTGCGGCTGCTGCTTGTATGCATCCGGCATTTAATTATATCTTTAGTCGTCCTGAAACAATGTCTAAACCATCTTTAATTAATCATCAAGCAAACTATTATAATATGAATCAACACCAATCAACACGAAATCGTGAAATATCAGGTTCATCGTCATCTTCAACATCGTCTTATTGTCCAGATGTAACATCAGGTTTGTAAAAGTCAGAAAAAAGCAATTCATATCAACATTCATTGTTTTGTTTTAGCCAAGAGGTTACATAAATCACATGAAAAATGTGAATTCAATCATCCGGTGCATGAATCTATGGGCATTAAACGTGAAGCATTATCACCAAACGATCATCAGTCAAATCGACAACCAACACCAAATTGTTCACCCACAACAACAAGAACTGCTAGTCCATCTATAAAACAAGAATCCATGGACGATGAAGACGTGGATATTGAACAACATGAAACAGCTCCAACACCACCTATAACATCAAGCTCACCATCATCATCTCTTAAATCATCATCATCAGGTTTATCAAAATTGAATATTTTAAACAATGAATCAATACCAATTAAAATTCGTTCACAATTATCACCAAGAATAAAACAACAGCCAAATGATGTAACAAACACAGGTGAAAATAATGACGATTTAGAACGAGATAGTCTTGCAAATGATAATACAAGACAAATACGTTATTATCATGATCGAATTGATTTTCGAGGTGATATTCTCATGAAACCACCAGCAGCTAAAAGTAAATTATCGTTTTTTTTCTCTCTCTCTCTCTTGTATTTCTAATTTATTTTTGCCATGTTAGATTGTCGTATTCTATGGGAGTTTCTATATATTTTACTTGAAGATTCTCATTATGAATCAATTATTCATTGGGAAAATCGAGAAAAAATGATTTTTCGAATTATTCAAGCAGATAAACTTGCTGCTCTTTGGGGTATGTTATATCGAAATGATTGAAAATAAAATAAAATAAATAAAATAGTCATTAAATATATAATTATACGCATGTTTATTTAGGGCTTCAAAAAAATCGTTTATCAATGACATATGAAAAATTATCTCGTGGTATGCGTTATTATTATTCAAATAATATCATATCGAAAGAACAATCAAAACGATTACTCTACCGTTTTATGCGTACACCAGATGAAATTCGAAAAAGTATGAAACGTACTAGTGGTACAACAAGTATGGTTTATTCGAATTTAAATAAAAAAACGACACTTTCATATCAAGCAACTGCTGCTAGTCCTATTAATCAAGAAACTAATGTAAAATTTAGTCCAGGTAAAATATTACAAACAGCAATTTTTCATTCATACGTATAATTTTTTTCTTTGTTATCATATTAGATCATGATGATAATTCATCATCATCATCACATTTTACAAATCAGCCATCAGCACAAATACATCATCAGCTTCTTCAATTATTTTCAATTTATTCACCATCGACTTCATCGATGGTATCGAATTTAAATTCAACAAATGCGGCTCTATTATTTCCTCCACGTAATGTTACTAATAATTCATCGTCACCATCATCGAACATTCCATCATTCGATACAAAATCATTACCATTATTAGCAACAATAGGAAAAAGTGATCGATCCACTTCATCATCACCTGATTCATTTGATAGTAGTCGTGATCGTACAAGTGACAGTGAAAAACAACATTGTAGTCCATCACAATCATTATCATCATCTACATCAACATCATCTTATTCAACATCAACTAAACGTAAACAAGCTGTTCCATTATCATTAACAGCACGTCTATCTCATCAACATCATCATTCAGATCAACCGCTTAATTTAGCTGCTAATAAAGAACATACAATAGAAGATTGTAAGAAACCAAAAATGATTTCACCTCAGTCCATTGGATGATCGAACAGTTTCCTTATTTTTTTTCTTCTTCATGCTATTCTTTGGAACAGTCGAATCTATGCCATTCTATACACATTTTAAACATCATCTTTTGTTTTGTTTTTTGTTTTTTGGTTTGTCTTGTATAAAACCTATTGTTAGACCAGTAGCTGTAGATCAGTGCGTGTGCATCATTATTCCATATTATTTGTTTGTTTTATTCCACCATATCATATGCACTATGTGATACGAAACACTGTCTAAAAAAACAGGAAATCAAAACTATTTCTGTTTGTACATTTCGTGTGCTTGATTTATTTCTTGTATTTTCTTTTGTTTTGGTCTAGGTGCTGATTGTTTATGATGAAACTGTCTTTTTGTTGTTCTTTTTTTTGGTTATTATGTTTTTTGTTTATGTATCTGTGTCCAAATGATGGATTGAAACACCCGTCTGAAGCGAAAACAAAAAAATGTGTATATTGTAGTTCATACTCGCCTGTTTTTTTCCTATATTGTTTTTTTTTTAATCAGGTTGTTATCGTTGCTTTTTTTTGTCTTTATTCTTTTTTTCTATGCATATCGCAAACATAATGAAGTCTTCCCGAGTTTTGATCAACGTCTTCTCTTTTCTTTTTGCTACTTGAACATTTTCATTATTATGCCTTAATGTTATTCACTTGATGATAATCAAAAGGATAAACTTGTAATTTCTTTATTAAAATCAAAAGAAGTATGAGAAATCAATATTTTTACTTTGTTAATCAAAATTCAAAAGAGGAAATTTTATTGAAAAACATCAAGGATGACTTGCAATTCGCTTAGTAAAAAAAGAGAAACAGTTGAATTCAATATTAGTAAACTATCGGGAAAATGGGTTTGAAACTGATAATTAATCTGAATGTATGGCTTTCTATTAAATTTTATTATAAACATCAGACAAAAAGCATAGAAATCTTTTTTAGACGAATTTTCAATCATGAAAAAAATATTAACCTTCGAATTTTTAGTATTAAACTAACGTGATCGTTCTTTTCTTTCTTTCTTTCTTTACTTTTACTTTGTTATTGTTACGGTTGAGTGTTTTTTAATTATAATTGCCATTGATCATCAATAGCTTGTCGCTTTTTTCTCATAAAATCATCTGTAATAGTTGGGTCACATTGTATGGATATTTCAAAATAATGACAATATTGAACTCTGGAACAACACGTTATCTAATTGAAGAAAAACGTTTATCATTAGATCATAGATTTACTATAACGGATAATACAGGAAATATTCATTATAAAGGTAGTTCGACATTCTTTGCCATTGGTGACAAACTTTTACTATGTGATGAAAATGGAAAAGAACTAATTCGAATTCGTCAAGAAAATTTCCATTTCCATTTAACGTATAAATTATTTATTGTTCGTACTCCTGGTATTGAGCATCAAATAGCATTCATAAAAAGAACTGGTCCAATGTGGCACCATATATTAGAAATACGTTCTAATAATGGTGAATATAAATTGTACAGAACCGGTAATCTAGCTTCGAAAGAATATACTTTAATAAAAAACAATAATATCATTGCAATTATTACAAAAGACGCTTCAGCTACAAAAAATTTCTATTGGGTAGATATCCTAGATGGAAATGGAGAAGATCATGTTTTTATATTAGCTCTCGTGATTGTCTCGTCAAGTGCACAACGTTTACTAAGTAGTCCTATTGCAATGCCTCATATGAATAAACCTTAATTGCAAAATGAAAGAACACATTACTGCCTGTATAATAAATGTTGTTCAATTAGTGATCATATTTGTCTTTTATTTGGTATGATGTCAAAAAGATTGTTATATATCATTGAAAAAAAATGAATGGTAATTTACAATATATATGTCGTGTCGAAGTTACATTGTTAGTCGAAGTTAAACTTCGACAAGAAAACTTGTACATCAAAGTTGTAATTTCGGAAAAAATTTCATGTCGAAGTTTAACTTCGACTAACAATGTAACTTCGGCACGACATATATATATATAAAATAGTAAAACTATGTGTTTCTTATATTTATTATGCTTCTCGTAGCATGAGCTTACATTTCTATGCCATTTGATTATTACTGTTTGCAAAATACAAAAAACAAGAATTCCTTCAATAGATTATTATTTTATCTATTTCTTTTTTAACAATAATGACATTCAATTATTGTTGTGATGTTAAAAATATTTTAATGATATCACATTTTTCATACATATAAATTGTTAAAAGATATAATCTTACGTATGATAAAAAAATTATTTGAACATGCGTTTTAATGAGATCGAATCTTAGAGAGTAATCTTTTGACTGGCATGTATTTCATGTTATATGAAGTATACATAAATATTTTCAGTGTAATACGTAATAGCGATCAATTTTCTATTTGCAATCTACACTATTATAAACAAAAAAAAACAACAATCTACTTTTGATATGTATTCCATGTGAATTCGATAAAATGAAAAAATCTTTAATTAAATTATTTTTCATTTTCAATATCTATTCATAGACTTACTTTAGTATTTTTCTATCTAGCTACAACTCAGTGTGTGTTTAGTTGTCTCCAATTTTCTACATTTGGTTTTGTTTAACAGATCATTTTCATAGCTGCTTCAGATACAAGATTTAGAGAATATCTTGAACTTGAACTCAATCATAGAAAACACAATAATTATCAACGAGAAAATCTAAGATACAAATACATATAGTTTTTATTTGAATACTTTAGTATTTTTTTATCTGTTGCATACTTTCGGATTTAGAATCATGCTGCTTGTGTTCTTTTCTTTTTGTACATATACGTCACCATTAATATAGAAGAATATTAATCTTATTTATCGTGTTAGATACTTTGATGTAAGAACAATGGATTAGTTAGATAACTCTCAAGTAAGTAAATACGTGCAGATGTTCATCGAAAGAGAGACGTCATGTAAACAAAAATTTTTTTTTTCTTGAAAAATATCAAAGCATAGTAAAAAAATAGGAAAATCGATTTGTTGTTAGACAAATTTAACTCATAAGCAATCATCATATTATTAACAAGATAATAGTACATATTGCCTATTATAGAATAGGAAAATCGACGAACAATTATAACTAAATAAAAATTTTCAATTTATTTCTTCGGATACAAATTCTTCTCAATGTCATTGTTTGTAGATGGTGTCTGAGTGAATAGAAAAAGAGGCGCCTTATTTGTTGACAGATATGTTGAGCCTGTAATCTGATGAAAGAAAAAGCGTTCTCAATATACCAATCGAAACTACGTTGTGACATCGCACTTGCACTCAGTACATAATTAAAAGACGAACGTGAATTTCATCTAATTGATTTCATTATTGAAATTTGAAACTAAAAAAATACATATTGAATTCGCGACGCTTGCCTATAAGAATCAATTGTGGAGATAAATTCTATCCATTAGATTCATAAAACATTCATTTATTAATATTACTTCTGTACGAGAACCATCAACGTAACAAATGATTTATTAAACAACATATCTATCGATGACAATCGTGAAGGATTCCTTTGTGGTTACCGCAAGACCATAATGATGATGGTCATGATTAACTGTTTTTAATAAATCTTGAACTTGATTTGTTCATAGTGTAATCGATACGAAAATAGGCATTGATAATAACCTTGAATGCTTATTTACGTAGTATGTGAAATACACCTGTTTTCTTTTAGCATTGAAAGTCTTCTAAATATTAGCAGAAAAAAGAATCTATAAACAAGTGAATACTACAACGAATTCCTCATTGTGTATTGATAATTGCAGACTTATTACAACACAATAACTGCTAGCAGCTAACGACAAACGAGGTTATCCATATACACACGCGAACGCTTACTGAACATACAAATTGTTTATGATATATTTATGCGTATGTTCTTCTAGAGCCAATGTTGTTGTTATTCGCTGTTAGTTCTATTCTGTATATTCTTCTCGCTCTTGCGTCATCGTGTTGTTCTTTAATATATATATATATATATAGCGTTTGTAGTATGATTACTGATCATTTCAGTATGTTTGCCACCTATAACATATAGATTCTACTCGAGCAATGATCTATTTTTCTCTTATAGAGATCATGCTCACAACTACAATAGTTAAATATCAGAATAATCGGAAATGTTGTGATTGACATAGCACACGCGCATTCAATCTGAAGACAACATATTAGTTGGCTAAAGCAAGTGAGATAAGTTCATCTGCAATCTTCCTTTTCTTTGCCTCTCTTTGTTTCTCTCTCTCTCTCTCTATCTGTTCTTCAAGAGATATTATAGAATAATGATCAGACAGACATAGGCCGACGAAAAGCTCCTCTTTTGTGTAGTTCTCTCGTGTTCTCTCTCCAATTTTATTGAATCATTCGCTTATCGTTGTAAAGAACGGACAGCTCCTACATAATCCGTACATAAATATAATAACTTGCATAATCGTACTTTTGACTGACTGACTGACTGACTGACTGACTGACTGGCTGTGTATACTCGGACCTATAAATCACCAGAACATTGTAAAAAAAGAAGAAGGAAAGAAGTAAAAGAAAGATAACATCGAAGAAAAGTCAGTACAGTTATCCGTATGCAGCAAGTTATAACACGTAAACATCGATCGAATTTGTATCGATATCTCGAGAGGGAATTCGCGATAGACAATGTTGACGGGCTAACAGACTTTCTACGGCCATGAAGACTATAAGAGAAGAGTATTCTCTGATAAGTATATGCTGAAGCCTTGATCTGTCTTCCTTTTTTTTGGTATTCATCGGTAGAAACACCTTAGCTCTATATTCTGGATAACAAGTAAATTGCGCGCTTCTTGCTTAGTCTGATATACTTTTAGTTTTTTTTGTCTACTTGTTCGTTCGATTATCGAATGGCTGCATTCGGTATTTCATTTCCTAAACTTACTTTTTGTCGAACCCCAATATCGAAAATTGATAATAATACGGATTCAACAATAACAGCAGCTACAAATACGACAACAACAACAGCAGCAACAACAATACCTATGACTGGTGTTCGAACGCTTTCTCTTTCTATTAAAAATATCCCAAGTCAACCACTTCATTATGATATTTCAACTACAACAGTGAAAAAGAAAACAACATCATTTACTACAATGCTTGCTATTGATGGTGAGACTAAACAATTGCCTAAGACTTTGTCTGTTTTCAATGAGCTTCAACTTGATGATGGTAAGAGTAATAAACATTCTCTATTTTTTTTCCTTATACAAACATAAAGAAAGTATCCTTGTACGTGCCTAGAAGCTAGCAATATTGATGAAAAAAGACGGCGAGAAGAAAATTCAAGTGGTATTATTGTTCCTTCATCATTATCTCCTTTGGGGACCATTGATTATCGTCCTGATATTCGATTTCTTGCCAATGTTGATTCAAAGAAAATATTACATGATTCTAATGATAAAGAGAGAAAAACGATACAAGAAAAAAGATCAAATCAAACATTTACGCCTCCAACAGCAAGTTTAAGCAATGAATCAGTATCATCCAACGATTTACATTTAACTCCATCAGCGATATCAGTTGATTTACCTCAGCTTAAATATGCAATTGAAAATTTTCTTATTGATGATAACGAAGATCCCGCTTATCAAATAGCCGAAGACTTTTCTCCTGCTTATTATTTTCATCATCAAGGTAGTCGTGTTGATATTTGTTTTTTTTTAAGTAGTGCTATCCCATAGATTTTATTAATATTATAGATCACAGTGAAAATGCTAATAGATCAAACGAAATAACATCCGAGTTGAAATATCATCAATACGATCATGTTGATAATATAGAATTTCATTCGATACTCAAGACGAATATCAATAACAAAGTATCGTCTTCTGCTCAATCGATGCCAAATAATATGAAATGGTACGTAAGTGAATTACGAATCAATCGACCATTGATCTATCGAACACAATGGGCATATGGACAACAACGAGGAAACGAGCGAAAACTAAGTCGTTCAGTGAATGATCTCAAACAAATTTATAACACTATAAATCGTTCCGGTACTGATAAAAGCAAAGCAGCGACAGACAAAACATATGATATTGCAAATTCAAATTTATCACTACAATACTTGAATAATCAACAGGAACAACAACAGCGTCGTCATCAGTCTGATGATAATATTTTTCGTAATAAGCGTTTATCATATACAGACGATGATCTCAATGATTTACATAATGATAAAGATGACCAACATCGATCACGTATGTTTTATTTTTTGTAGTTTTATTCATAACGTATTATTTAAATTGTCTTATAGCCATAATAATTCAAAGAACATTGGATCTATCACTTGGTAAAGCTGATAAATTAATTAGAAATGAATCAGTTAAGCAGAAATTATTTGATATATTAAATGATGATGAACTTGAAAATGCATGTCTTGAAGATATGAGTCAAGAATTTGAACAGCTATCTCTCGCTCACGATCATCATCGTCGTGATCTGCCAATTATCAATTCATTTTCATCATCATCCGATGATGCTCTCTATTCTTCACCGCCTGATGAGCTTCATTTATCGTGGCCATCAGCTCCACCACATTCATCATCTTACAATGAAAATCTTTCAACAAATATAAATCATAGTACAGAACGTTATTTCGGTCAATCACGTTTGATTACTACAAGTCTCGATAAAATTCCAATGAATTATAATACATATGATCATAGTTCTTCATTCAATCTTCCTCATTCATCATATGAAAAAACTTCGCCATCATGGTATACATCACCGTCACCACAATGGCGTACAGAGGATCAACTATCGATGGTATCAATGTTAAAGAAATATTCATCGAAAAACGATGACCACCTGAATGGTATCGATTGTATTGATCCTAAACAATTATTAAGAACAAACATTGTCGAGTATGAGGTCAACGAACATAATTATATACAAAAGTATAAGCATCACCATCGGAAAGAGCAAAACCACGTAAACTATTCATTATTGAATACATCGACACCATTAGTCGATGATTCTACGACGATTCTTCCTATTATTCAAGATAAATCATCAAATCTACTCATGTTTATTTAAAAGAGAAAGCTCGTCTTCGTCTTCTTCTTCTTCTTCTTCTTTTTCCTGCTGGCGATGTACCAGCATTCGATTCCCTCTCGTCATATAATACGTGCAATTACAAGTGTCTTTTGTACATCGACTAAGAACAGTATACAAATGTCTTGTTTTTTTCTTCTTGTTGTGTATTCTTGAACGCAAGCAATGAACGATGAATAGTTTTTTTTTTATATATATATTGTTCTTAAGCTATAATTGAAAATTTTCTAGCAAATCATCCGTATTGTTTATATTTTAGTCTAGCTGATAGGTTGTTAATTAAAAAACAACCATTTTCCACACACATATTTGAATTTAGCATAGTTAACATTTGTTGATTTAGTATAGCATTCTTTAATAAATTGATACTTCATTATTAATATATATAAATACAAGGTCAAAAACTATCAAAAAAATGTGCTAATATTTACCAGATGATAATCGTATTCTGTACAAATATTCATACTATCTCAGCGAGACTATGAAGGGCAATCTAATGATGTATAGATCATTACAGAGGTATGCATAGAATTAGCAGAAAGAAAAAACGTCGAAAGTACAAAAAGTCAAAAGAAAAAATGTCGACAGTGCTATAAATCGAGTTTGAACATACACTATCCAATTAAAAGTACAACGACGGATACTCCTACAGATTGCCCATATAGGATTGTTGAAAAGCTGGGCTTAGACTCTATCTATAACATTTTCGACATTTTTTACTTTCGACGTTTTTTCTTTCTGCCAATTCTATACCATTCTTAAAATATTATTTTTTCATCATCTTCCTTAATTGTAAGACAATAGGATTTATTTTAATTAGTTGAACAATAATATAACGAATTTTTTTAAAGAACACAATCATACTCAAATTGAATTATGATGGTAGTACTCTTAAGCTACGTATTCTAATTAATTCTCATAAGATGTAGAATTACTGAGGTGTTTTCTGTTCAATGCAATTTAAACCTGAATAAGATCATGTTTGATAGTATGAATATTTTTTGTTTGAATGATGAGTATAAAAGAATTACTAAAATAAAAATTCAGTTGGCGCGTCCAAAGAGAAAAAAAAAGAACAAATAAAACACATAGAAATAAATAAATATATATATCTATATATGATGGATTTGCTTTTTCCCTTCCATCATTTTCAAAAGAAAATTGCACGAGAAAAACGATTGTTCTTCATATCATTACTATTCTTATAATTCAATGAAAATAACTAGTGAAATATTCTGATTCTACTACAATCAATTCATATCAACATTTATCTAATGGATTTCAATCAGCAAAACAGCGAGGGTGATAATGCTTCATTGCCTTTAACATCATCGATTCCATCAACATTAGAGTCAATATCAACAACTACGTCTCTTATGCGACCAAAACCATCGAATATTAACGTTGATTATTCAGAGATTCGACCACAGTCATTTCGAGAACGGTATAATCAACAACAAAAACAAATGAAACATTACATTTCATCTTATTCAGCAACAACAAATACAAGTGTATTATCGAGTACTACGACAATAATGAAAAAAAGTGAAAACCATCAGAATTTATTAAACAGGATTTTCCAAATACAAAAACAAGAAGCTCAACCTTTAGGAATTTGTGTACGTAAATGTGGTCTTTGTCGACAATTTAAACATATTCTCTTAGCTGAATGTACTGTATGTTGTCGAATGATGGACGTTGATCTAAAAGACTGTAAATGTCGAATACTTAGAAGCAGAAATATTATTGATCAATTGATTTGTTCTATATGTAACAGTGAATTAACACTCGATGGGTACATCATTTGTGCTAATAGAACATGTCAAACAACATTATCAACGTTGATAAATAAAGAAAGTACTGCTGAAATTGAAGAAATATCTGTTCCGTCTGCCATTCTTACTGACATTTATTATCCTAAATCAATACATAGAACAGTTGCTATACAAGTTAATACATTGATCCATTTACCATCACTTCAAAGATTTTTGCCAAATATTATAGATGATGTCAACAAGGAATCATCATCATCATTATCATTGTCTAAATGTGATTTAGATTCGACAAAAGTTACATCAGCATATTCCTCAGACATGTCCTACATGAGTATTGAGAGTAATATGAATGTATCACTTGATAATGTTACAAGAAATATGACAGCTGCGTTTAATTCAAATCAACCGACGAAATTAGCTCTGCAATCTGAAGACAAATTACGGCAACAGCTGTCACAAGTACGTAACATACATATGTATATGGTTTTCATCAGAACACAAGAAAACAACAAGCTTTCATATGCATTCTTTGTAGCTAACGAATACTAATGACAAAACAGTAGATAATAGTGTAGAATCTATTGAAATGCCGAAATCACCTCGATGTTTAGCAATAATGAATGTTCAAAATCGTCACGATCGATTGTCAGCATTACTTAAACTAAAACAACACAGTGCATGCCAAACAGAATTTTCTTGTCTAATCGATATTGATAAAATGATCCGATGTGATGAATTAGCTAATGTGACTGTCGTACGAACGAATAGTTCAACTCAAATTGAACGTCAAATTCAAGTCGATACAATTAAAGAACGCTTTTATAGCTTATGTCAAGCACGCGTTGAAATGAGTAATCTTCTTGACTCCACAATAGATGCAACTAACGATGAAACAATCTTAAAAGCACTTATCGATAGAGACGGTAAACAAATGAATATAAAATAAGATTTGAATCGAACGAATTCAAATACTTTTCTAGGTCAACGATGGTCTGAATTCATTGATCATTTGATAAATGCAAAAACGAATTTTTCACTAATTAACATTGCGCAACGATTACTAAATACTGTATACGAAAGTTCAGTTTTCAAATTATTTCATTTTGCTTGAATTTACTTTTCTAGATTGAACGTTTGCACAGTTCAGGTAGATTAAATAATTTAACAAATGGCCAATTACAACGTAAAGTCCGTTATGCAATGTCTCAGTTAAAGTGTACTGATGAATATTCATCTTTACGAAATGATTTTAAATCAACAAAAATAAATCGTTCCACTGTAAAATCAACAGGACAAACCGATTGTAATGGTGCTCTAGATATGACAGTAACTGTAAGACCTATTGATCAGCATCATAATCGTCAACAATCAGTGATATCATCTCATCCTATTTGGAAACCAGATGTCGATCGTTTATTTGACCAAGGTCATTCAGCTGATGAAATTCACCGATTAATACACGAAGCAGCAACATCAACACCAAGCCAATGCGATGATTATCGTCTACAACATGTTTTTAATTATATAGATGCAAAAGCAAAGCAACAACGAGCCAGAACAGCACCATCAAAAATAGCTTTTGTTGCAGCCTCACCAAAAACGAAATCGATAACACACAAAATATTCCAATCGACTACCTTATTTCAAACAATCAAACCAACTGAAATCGCAGATGGTGGTAATACTGGAATCACGGCATGTCTTTCATCTTCAACCGCAGTAAATGATTTTTCCTTAATTAGTGATATAGTAAAAGATATATTCTAATTGAAAAAAGAAATTTCTAAATCCTATAGACTGGAAATGAAATATCGAGCAACAACTTGCTATCTGCTGTTAAGAACAACGATCGGATGTTTCCAATCGAAGCAACTAAGAATAGTTTCAAATTGTCCGATAATTTGCCGCACACTGGCTTAATTGAATCATCTAATATTGAATCGAATAAAATTCGAAAAATAACAACTGAAAATAAATTCATTATTGATTTGAGCAAGAATGAAAAAGAAAACAATTTACCAATAAGAATATCTTCAAATCAAGGATACGTGAATCTAATGTCAAATGTTGATTCAACTATTATGAAGAAACAGCCATCTTTAACTAATATAGGTTAGTTCTTTATGTACCTAGTAGGAAATTATTGTGTCAGTTTGAAAAACTGATTTTTATTTTAATATCAAAATTAATTCTCTGCAACATTTAAATTAAATTGTTCAATTAATCTAAACGTATTCTTTGTTGAATAGAAACAATAATACAAAACGAAAGAAATACTGACGAAAACATAGACAGTGATAATGATAATATTATAAACGAACGAAAAGCAACGCAAAGAAGCCGCGAAGTAGTTAACTCTAAGATTTCACAAACTAGTAAAACGTCTGCTTTTCATAGTCAAAAAAGTAAAAATAAAAAGAATTGTATATTAAAAATATGAACACACTATTTCGAAAAATACATCTTCAAAACATCATAGATTTTTCAACTACTAAGATGACAGCATCGAGTCATTCAACTAATGTGCCCTTGTCAAGCCTTGAAGAGCAATCATCGGATAGGTTACAACCAGTCCAAAGTATGCTGGCCACTATCTACAATAGTGATGTCCATAAAAGTTCGCATTCTTCAAACATTCTATTACAACTAAATCCATTAGTTGATATCATCGAATCAAATTTACATGAATCGGATAAAATTCGTCGTGATGACATGGACTTGTTGATGACAAAGTGTATTGAACTCTTGCATAATCAAAATAAAGCTAATATGTCACAATCAGAAAAAGTTCGCTTTCAGAATGTAAATGATGGAATATCTAATACATCAAATCTCTTACAAGAATATACTACACTAACCATACCATCAATAATACACAACGAAGATTCCTTGTACGAGCAAAATCTTTCAAATATGATTATATTATCATCTGATATTCAAGGTAATCTCAGTTGCTTAGTAAAACAATTTAATTTGATTGATCGAAATATTATAGCTTCGTTAAAACGTGTTAAAGACAGTCCCAAGCAATCTATTGAATCTATATTTCAACCTATTCAATCGCCACCTAATGCCGAGATGGATTTAAAACAACAAATGATTACATCAGAACATCAAGAATTTGCTAGTCCTATACGATGTCGTGCTAATGCATTCAATTCTTCAATAGAGAAAATATCAATGGAAACTTTAAAAACAGTAGCTACCCATTCAAAAGAATATATTTCATTGGAGACAGAAGATCTCAGTAGACCATTAATCAAGAATAAAATGAATCCGAATGATATATCCAACATAGAGTTAAAAAACGAAAGTGTTTTACATCATAAATCAGCTCAAAAAGAATGGCTAGATTCTTTGCTTTCAAAACTTTCTGACAATGTCAGTAGAACATCGAGTAAGTGTTCAATAGATTTTGTTGCAAATTACTTGAGTACGTCTCAAATGAAAATCTTCCATAGATGTTTCTTCGACTTCTCCATCGTTATTAGTACTCGATGGAACAAAGGTTAATGACAAAGACAAACAAGAGATTGAACAACAAGAAAAACAAGAATCCATCAAGATGAAACCATTAGACAACGAAGTATCAATATTGAGGGAACATTCGAAATCATCAATCTCTGGTCATGAACATGCAACAAGTATGATGAAAATGACTGTTGGCAGTCCGAATAAGCAATATGTAGCAGATGTAATCATACTCAGAAAAGAATATGCTATGTCAATCATCATTCCTGATCAAAGCTCTTCTATGATTAATGAACACTGTCAATTAGTTGAAGCAAAAATATCACAGAAAAAACTAGCGATATCTACAAAAACACTTTTGAATTTAAAAGATCAGTTAACTCAATTGCCAAACGACAAAAATCATGATGTTCATAGTGCATTTCAAAAGTCTCCTTCTGCTAATATCCTACATAAAAATTATTTCAAAGAGGAAAAAGAATCTAATTCATTTGTTGTTCATGATGAAACATCTTCTGTAAATGGTCAACCATCTTTGTCTTCCAATATTGAAGTATTAGAGCAATTAGATCAAGTTCAAATACTAGACACTAAAAGTACATCGAAAAGTAATGAAAATGTTCAATCATTACAAAAACTAGTCGATAATGAAACTATAAAAAATGCATCTCCGAAATCGGTATTAGAAGACAAAGATGTTATATCATTTTCTTCTAATGATGATACTCATAAAGTAAGTGACTGATTCAAGATTTGCATGTCCGGTTTCAGTGAAATTCTTCTATGGTTTTCAGAATGTAATACGAAAAAATGAATCAAATATATATATTGAAAAAAACTCTAAAACTTCAGATATCGATGTACCCACACTCAATCAAAATGCAACTTTAATTATGTCAGAAGCCTACAAGCAACAGAATGAAATTAGTAAAGTTCAGCTACCAGTTACAACAAAGTACTTTGCTATTTCCGATGGAATACAACAACATGAGTGTGTTCTGGCTCACTTGAATGATCCCGATGGGACGCATTCATTGAAAAAAACAATATCCGATGATACTCATACATCAAATGAAGAAAAGCACTCGAACATCGACTTGCATGATCAAGATACTCTAGGGAAAACCTCAATTCGAAATAATAACGATATAGGCTTAGTAGATGATAAAATAGATAATAGAATTACTGATCAATTACATACACCTACGAGTCTATCATTGAATCCTAATATTACTCAACAGTCAATAAAATCAATAATGTTTCCATCAAACAACACAGTAAATATCTGTTGAATCAACAAACCTATCAATGATAATTAACTATTTAGAGAATTAACGATGTACAATACGCAAAGATGTCTACATCATTAATCGCCTCAATAGAGTCAACCTCAATTTCGAGAGCGTAAATTTGACAGCATTTGATATTCAAACAGGAGACAATTTATTATATTTATTTTAGTATGAGTAATGCACTCAAAGAAAATGAATCCATGATTATGCGTACTGGCAGTCCACATCTTATAGGAGAATCATCCGGTAAAAGTATTGATTGGTTTTAAGTAAATTTCATCAATTGTTTTTTAATGAACAGAAACAAAATCATCTTTGATGAAATTAACAACTGAGTATGATGTTCATAACGATGAACATAATCATGTGAACGATAATATACCGAAAAGCAATCAGGATGATGCATCAAATCATAAAAAAGATTTTCCCCACAATAATCCTGGTAAACGGGATTGTTCTTCTGGCTAGAAATTATTTCAGATTTTGTCCTCAATGCTGATTTCTTAGATCCAACCTTGCTCTACAAGGAGTTCTCACAAGAATTAAACTTATCTGATGATACTATTCAATTATTACCATCATCAATCAAAAATAAAGAAAATTTACTCAACGAAACAGTAAACAATCAGCAACCAATGATACAGTTCATACAAATGGATCGAACTCATTCTTTACCTAAAGTCGACATAGAAAATATTCAAAGTAAGTAAAAAGTAGAAGACTACATGCCTATGGTCGAGAGTGTACTCGATCAATACAATAAAATAATCGTTTTATGGCAACAATCATTTTGGACTCGTACTATTTTCAACTATTAACTAATTTAGATGATAGCACGCTCACTAAAGTGAAACAACTATTGAAACATGAGATTCAACTAACTACAAACAGAAATACAGAGTTTCTCAATGCATCATTGCCTAACACAGTCGATTTGGAAAAGCGAAAAGAACTTTCTTCTTCAAATCAAATTATTATTAACAGAACTCTTGAAAACATTGCTGCATCAAAGGTAAATGATAACTTATTTATTTAACGTATAGAGTGTAGACATGGATGCTTTTCATCATTTTCCAAAGAGTTCAACTCTTAAAAATTATAAACTACAAGAAAATCCAAGTTTAAAATCAGAATTTGACATTGAATCGAGGTTTGTCGAATAAAGTTTAATCATCATTACTATTCCTTTGTTTTCAGTCATCGAGAAAACGATCGTCAATCAGAAAAAATAAAACCATTCGAGAATCGAAACTTTGATAAACAATGTAAGAAAAGTGAATCGATTACGCTCGATATTAGATATTATATTTAGCATTGCCAGTGTTCAATATACCAGTATCAGTTAATTTTGATAGTGAAACCAAGAATCTAATCTATGAAGTACTTAAAATAGGATATTTATCGATACGCAGAATGACATTTTCTTTTCTAGATTCCTCCGTCATCGCTTAGTAAACTTCATGATGCTAACCAAGATCGATTAAATGATCGAAAATCCACTAATACTGAAGAGCGAAATTCGGCAAAAAGTTTTACTTCAGATGTGCAACGAATGGATCGATCTTCTGTAATAAAAATACAGCAGCAACCAATACCTTCGACGACTGATGCTGTATTACTATCATCGTTTACTAATATTAACATGAAACAACAAGTTGCTCAACCTTGGATGTCTTCATCAGAAATTAAAGACGATAGATTGACATTTGGCAAGACAATGAATTTGGTACCTGAAGAAATTGCAAACCTGAAAAGAATCTTACCATCCAATCTTGTTCATCGAAGCAGGTAAGCGCATATCTTTGTTTAAATATCAATATACTTCTCATATAATCTATGAATTTATGGTAGTATTTCTTCATTGTCAATGCCAAAACTTTTACTAAAACGATCTTCAATCAAAAGCAATTCTACTGCTACCCAAATTATAAAACCCAATGCAGCATTATCGATAACAGATGTTAGTACATCTTCAAGTAATATAGCAACTAATGATCGCATACGAAGTACACATTCAGCCTTAGGTGATCAAGAAGAAATCATATCAAGGAAAAAATCAATTAACAGCAAGAACTTCAAAGATAAATTCATGTCAGCTGTACAACCTTCTTCTAAACGTAACATATTACGACAGAGAACATTACGATCATCACACAATCAATCATTGATATCTTCGAAACCAGAAGAACGAAATTTAAAATCATTGAAGAAAAAGTTTATGAATAATAGTTTAGTGTCAAATTCAAATTTAGTGTATGATAGTGAGCAAGGATCTGATACACGGATAAAAAGTCATGAAAATCATAATCAAATTCTTCGTACAGATCAGCGAGATCAGAAAAAAAAACAAAAACGACCAAATAAAAGTAAGACTATCGATAGTTCTCAACTTGCGCCGTTCAATTTACAAGCACGTGGTGATCATCAAGCTTCTACTGTAGATTCTTCAAGATGTAACTTTCATTTGTATTTTTCTCGAAATCCCAGTGACGTTTTTTCTTCATAGTACCAAATATTGAGCAATCATGTGGTACACATTATTTGAAAAAATATTCAAATTATTTTTCTCGTCGTCCAATTATTCGTCTTCCAGTAACACAAATAGAAAAATTCGAATGTGGCACCATTGGACCTCGTCTCCATTCTTCTCATGTTGCGAATAGATTACTACCGTCGATTGATGATCGTCATTATTCATCTGGTCAATTTCATCAAACAACGGAATCATTTACTGATCGAATTTATTCTCTGATGTCGTCAGAAAATATTGATGATAAACAAGCATTTGAATCAATACTTAATTGGCAATCACAGCAACAAAATCCAATAAGAAAAGTTGAACAGAATAAATTTCAAAATATCCATTTATTAGATGCATCAACAAGTCATTGCGTTCGTGGTAGGCAATATCCTATCTTAGCTGATGAAATTGATATGATTGATGATCCGAACACATGTACTATCGTTAATGAATGGGCTTTCGCTGAGTTAGTCAATGCTGAACGAGACAAATTTATGCAAAATTCAACAGATACCATTATAAAATCTAAAAAACGAGCAAACATAAATAAAAATATAAAAATATGTTTAAGAAAACGACCATTAACACGATTCGAACAGAGTATGCTTAAAGAAGTTGATATCATAAGTATTGTTAATCCACAAACAATATATCTTCATATACCATCAATAACTGTTGATAATCAAGTATTTATTAGAAATCGAAAATTTAAATGTGATCACACATTTGATGAGTATTGTCAAATCAGTACTATTTATCATTCAACCCTTGCTCCATTACTTGATCTAGCAATCGATAGCAACAAGTAAAACTATTAAAGAAATGTTCGTTTTTGTACAACATAATTTATAAGCTGTTTTGAAAAAAATTTGGGAAAATCGATAAATTCTCCTTTGCACATTGAAAATCATGGATCACAACGCACTAGGCAGATAGGTATCCTAGCGAAGCTCGTCAGTCGTGGCAATGATTGCAATAGATGTTTTACATATACGATTACAAATTTCATATTAGTAATTTCTTATTATAGTAATTATATAAACCAACTATTTCCTTTTTCAATATCCAGAAGATTAAGTAAAATGATGAAAAAGAAATATCTCTTAACACTGAGAGACAGAGAGAGAGAGAGAGAGAGAGAAAGATAGTTTTGACAGACAACAACAATTATGCTGTGTTTGAATTTTTAATCCTACAGGGATTATGATAACAGGTTTTTCTACTGCTCTTTTTCTTTATCTCTACAACTATTTCTATATAGCTGCTTATATTTAATTGGGGGTGGAAAATATTCGGGGAAAAACTTTCTCCTTCATGAATTGATTGATCGATTTGCATTTGATCTAAATCGTCTTCTATCATCATATGATATTTATATCAAATTATTGGGAATATGTCATAACCGAATAATTGATCTTTTACAAAACTATTCTCCGATACGTATTATTAAGTCTATGAATTGGACATTAATACCAAATGATGTATTTCATTTAAAAAATGATAAAGATATTGATTACGTAACATGCCAAATCAAGAGACGACGTCGTTTTATTCATCAAATAATTCAAATTAACTTTCATGAGAAACATCAATCGAAAGTTATGGGTTCATTAATGATTGTTGTTTTAGCTTCATCTCAATATGTTTATACACGAAATTTATGTTCGCATAGAAGAAAAGTTTTGATTAATTCATTAAATAAAACGATATTATCATTCAAAAGAGCACTTATTGGCAATCGACAAAATCCAGATCGAGTTCGAGCAGGTGCAATATAATATTTATGATTAGGATCAATAATTTTTGTTATTTTTTCTTTTAGCATTTAACAATGATGTTTTAACTCGATTGATCGAGCCCTATGTGTTTGATGATCAATCAAATATTTGCTATGTTGGAACACTTAATCCAGGCCATCGACATCGTACAGCAACCAAATATACAATAGACTTTGCTCGAAATCTTCGTTTCTGTTTGAAACGTATCAATAAACAACGTCGACAACAGAAAAAAATAATTCGAGAGAACATTAATAATCATGATGATGATTTATTTTAAGACATAACAACAATTATCTTGTGTCCTTCGCATTATTGTTTGAATTCTAAATTTGTATGTGTAAACTTAAGGTTTTGTCTCTGACTAGATAAAATGCAATGCTACGATATTATTCAAAATAATACTTCAATCGATGAAAAAGAAAATTCACATACAACTTTTTTGATTTTCTTGTATTTGCGCTTTTTTTTTAGAAATATCAATGAATAGTATTGTTATTATAGTAAAAAGTAAACTAGAATTAAGAGAGATGTGTTTTCATTCTTATAGTATTACAGTCAAATGGAATTTCTTTGAAACAATTATTTTGAAAATTATCATCAGACTCTTGTTCAACTTTTTTAACATTTTGAGATGTTCCCGAATTGAAAATTAATCGGAGATAAAATTTCAATTTATGATATACGTTCCCATGTAATAAAAACCGCATGAAAATCGGCGGTTAACCGCGGTTTTACCGGTCCGGTTACCGGCTCCCATTACAGCAGAACGGATAAATACCGCGGTTTACCACAAAAAATGAACTGGCATTTACCGCGGTAAACCGCCGGTTTTGATTAATACCGCGGTTACCGCTAAAAAAAAGCGGTTAACCGGTTCATCTATAATTTTTGACAGAAAAAGTCTTNTTACATTTACATGGGATCAAAATGGGCTTATAACCGCGGGTTTATCGGTCCGGTTACCGGCTCCCATTACCGCAGAACGGATAAATACCGCGGTTTACCGCAAAAATTGATCCGGTATTCGCAACATGGGTTTCTTTTTAAAAGAATGAGATGAACCTATTAATAATACGTCATTATTTTCAAGTTATGAAACTTCGAAACTTTACAAATATAAGTGAACTAAGCATGATGATTTCTGTTTACATCTCCGTATGAATGCATATCGTAGTACTTATGTCAAAAATATAAGAGACAAATATATGTTAACGATTCATCATTTTATGAAATTGAATATAAAGGTTTTGCTGTAAAAAGAAAGCAATGAAATAACGCAATATGCATTCTATGCTTTCAAGGTTGCAAAAAGAGAAGAATTTATTTTATTGAATGAGAAATTTTGTCCTCTGATGAAAAAGAAGAAAGGTGAGGGCCATATCTTGAAGGTCAATTTGTGGGCAATTATTAATGATTTAGTGACATCTAGTTGGAATAAATGGAAACTTTTTAGCAAAGTTTTAAAGTTCTTTTCATAATTATTAAATTGAAGAAGATGATAAATTATGTTCAAATAATGATTATCTCCAATAGATGTCATTATAAATGAATCCATTGGTTGTCCCAAAAAACAAACAGATCGTGATTGAACACCTTTCAAAAAAGTCATTATATTGAAACTTTTTTATTAATTTTGATTGATTGGGCTTGATTAATTTTCTATTCTAGATGAACCATATGAATATTATTCTATGGTTTCACTTTCAATTATTTTTTACTTTTACAACAATCTCTGCTTATCAGTCATCAGACTTTTTCCCATTCTATCCTGAAAATGATACAACTAAATTTGTTGAGAACGATGATGGTCTTTCTATTTTTAATCAACACGAAGAACTTGCTAATAATATTTATGTTAATCATTCTATTCACCGTCGACAAATTCCATTGAATATCATTACATCACAAATGGCACGAGTACCACTAGTGCCAGCGTATATTGTTTTAGGTCCACGTGTCATTCGACCTGCACAATTAGTTGCATTAAGTGTAACTATTCTACGTGATGAATGGAATCCAATGATGGTGAAAGCTTTAATATCCAATGATGATATGGATGTTGCTGCAGCTGAAGATTTATTTTTTGTTGGTGTGCCTCGTACACTTGAAATGCGTATACCAAATAATGTTCGTAGTGGTACATATCGTTTAACACTTGAGGGAAAATTATTAACAGGTGAACTGAAATTTTATAATGTTTCACAATTAGTGTTTGAACAAAAAGCTGTAACAATACTAATTCAACTTGATCGACCAGTTTATCGTCATGAAACAGTTGTACAATTTCGTTGTATACCTATATATCCTGATCTAAGTGGTTATTATCATACAGTTGATGTTTATATACATGGTCCATCTGGACATATTTTACGTAAATGGGAAAATCAACAAACAACAGCTGGCATGATATCACTTGAAGTAAATATTTGTATAAATTTGCAGTGCTTGAACTATCAACTTTTTTTTCTTATTCTTCTTAGTATCCAATTAATGATGCACCACCAGAAGGTATCTGGTCAATAAAATGTCGTGTGATGGGCTATGAAGCTGTAAAAACATTTGAACTCTATGAATTTTATGCAAGAAAATTTGAAGTTAATGTTACTGTTCCATATTATTTACCAATGGATGCACCCGGTGTTGGTGGTATTGTAACAGCAAATTATTCTACAGGCATGGGTGTGTTGGGTTTTGCTCGAGTTTTTGTACGTGCACGTGATATGTCTGTTCCATATGATCCACGCACATATCCATTAAAAGATGTTGAATTCGATCAATCAGTACCATCATTTATAACAACGATTGATAATTTTAATGGAGTTGCTGGTTTTTTTATTCCTATGGCTACCATTCTTTCGCTTGTACCAGATCTTGATGGAAAAGAAATTTTAATTACAGCTCTTGTTCATGATCCATGGTGGAATGAAACCAATAATGGTACGACTGTTGTTTCTTTTTATACACCAGGTGTACATCTTCGGTTTCTTGGTGGCCCATCAATGGTCTATAAACCTCGTATGCTTTTTTCTACTTATGTTGCTGCTGTTAATTACGATGGTACGAAATTCGCTCCACGTCGTAATGGATATATTCGTATATATACAGAAACTGATCTTGGCATATATCAAGAACCTGCCAATTACATACTGGATTCATCTGGCATAATTCGACATTACTTTTTAGCACCAGGTGATCTTGCTATTACATTTATACGTCTTCGTGCTGAATTATATGATAATGATATAAAAATTGATGGTGCTGATGATGAACAACGTGCTATACGTTATTTATCTCCGTCAAATAGTTATCTACAAGTTACATCTAGTACTGAAACCCCACGAGTAGGTGATTACATGCTATTCCGTGTTAATGCAACACAATATGTTGATTTTGTTTCTTATCATATAACATCCGGTGGAAGATTAATTTTTACAAATATACTTCCCATGGATGGTGCAAAACAAAAAACATTCGATGTTGGTGTTAGTCGTGAAATGGCACCATCAGCTCATATTCTTGTTTATTATATACGATACGATGGTGAAATTGTAGCTGATAGCATGAATTTTCATGTGAATACATCATCAGTTACCAATCGTGTTAATATAACAGTCAACAGACGAAAAGATTTTACAGGAAATACAATTGAAGTGTTAGCATATGCATCACCACAATCATTTGTTGCATTCGCTGGTCTTGGTCTTGTACAAACACGTTTATTTCCACCAGGAAATCATTTTACTCCAGTTATGGTATGATTTTGTTTTTAAACAAATATTTTATTCAAAAAAAAAATAAATATGTGTATTTATTTGATTTTAAATTATAGATTTATGACGAATTATATTCATTTGATAAATATTCATCAACTAGTTTTCAACATACATGGTATTCTGAAATGAATATACCATCCGAGAGAGTTTTCTTTCCATCACAATCCTATGGCTATGATGCTGCTTCAACATTTAATTCGTCTGGCATGCAAATATTTACTAATGTTAATGTTCAAGCTATACAAACTGCATGTAATCAATTCGGTTTAATGCAATGCACAGATGGTTCATGTTATCCACCACCATTACGATGTAATGGTATTCTCGATTGTCGAGATGGTTCCGATGAAGCTAATTGTGAGAAATAATTTTCAAAGGAAACCTATGAATAAATATTCTCTATTCATATCATGTTTAGGTAATATAACAAGAACTCAATATAGTTTTACTCCATTATATCGTCGTTTATGGCCATATTGGGAACGTGAATTACAACTTGATTTTATGTGGCATCAACAATTTGCTTATCCAGATGGTCGTGTACAATTTCGTGCAACAGTACCAAATGTAATTGCAACATGGGTTATAACAGCAATTGCTGTTAGTCGTTTAACAGGTTTTGGTGTTCTTGATGTGCCATGCATTTATGAAGGTACTCGACAATTTTTTATCAAAGTTGAAATTCCACCTATTGTTCGACTTGGTGAACAAATTGGTGCACGTGTTGATGTTTTTAATTTTCAAACATATCGTATTGAAGCATTAATTATTTTACACGCCTCAGATAATTATCGTTTTGTGAATGTTGATGAAAATGGTGTTGTTACTGCCTATGCACCAAGGTTAACTGATGGACAACATCATGTTTTAGTTATTTTATATCCAAATGAAGTACGAAGAATTTATATTCCTTTTGTACCAATTGTTGCTGGTGAAATAGAAGTCATGATTGAAGGTAAATAATTCAATAGGAAAATAGAAAAATAAAATTATTTATCTATTCATGTCTATTTATTTGTGTCTGATTCATACAAGAAAAGAAAACGATAATTGGCATTTATTTTTCATCAAAATGAAGAATTATCATTTTTTGAAATATTTCTTATGTTTCGATCGAAGCAAGAAAAAAATGCTATGAAAGATGATAGGAAATGACATGCTGTTCTTAGTATAGACCTTTGTAATTTCTCAGGAGAAAATTACTGGAGTTAATACTTAACGTGGACTATTATTATCAGTGTCTCATTGATTTTCATATAATTAACATAACATAACATTAAAATGAAAGTTGTTCTTTCCTCTTATAAATATCTTTTTAGACTTACGACAATGATATCAAGTGAGTAGTTTTGAAGGTATCATATTTATGATTGTATAAGCTGTGCATGCAAATATGTCATATATATTTTTTTGTTATCACTATTGAATGAAAAATTGCTGTTTCCTCCATCTAATAGCAAATGTGCATGACGACGAAAGCGGAAAGAAAGATATTTGTGCTTATTAAATTAATAAAAGAGCATGAAGATAAAAATTTTCATATAAATACTTCAGAACTAATAGTAAACTACCTACATTGCCTTGTCAATGATGATTCGGTCAAATCAACATTTGTTTTTTTACCATTAATTTTTCTATGATTTTAATTTATGGCATTTGTTATTCCATGAAAGAATATATGATGAATTTTTTTATATCTGTTTTTATTTAGGTATAACTGGTGTTTCACGTGATTTCTATCGTGAAATCATTAAAGTTAATTATGAAGGTATACGTAATTTTTATCATACACCAACTATATTATCATTGAATAATTTACCTCGACAAATGAATGAATACGATGTAACTGTACCTCAACAATTTATAGTTCCATTGGAAAACTATTGGAATTATATACCAGGTTCGGGCACATGTGAAATATTTGTTTCTGGTGATGTAGCTGGACCATTTTTCATGTTGGGCTATGATGAATGGTTAAATACAGATAATTTAATTCAACGTACAACTGCTCCAGCTGATTCTGGAATCTTTGATTTTGGCATGATGATTTATAATCTTCGTTATATGTTACAAGGTGAAGAATAAAAATCAAACAATAGAATCACTTTATTATTATCGTAAATAATATTAATTTTTTAGGTCATGGTGGTCGTGCATTTGATCAAGAAAAATTAATGAAAGTTTTAACATTTGCAAATATGGAATATCTTCGTTTTATGGCAATGTATGTTGGTGATAATCCTGATGAACCATGGCGTAAAGGTTCGTTTAGTCAATATGGTTTTAATAATGAATCATCTGTTTTTTTAACATCATGGTCATTAATGACATTACGTGATGCTGTTTATCCTGAATGGGAAGAAAAAGCATTATATATTGATCCAAATCTACGTTCAGATATAGTAGGTTTTCTTTTAACTGTTCAGCAACAGAATGGTTCGTGGGCTGAATCGACATCATACGCAGATCGAAATAAATTTGGTATACGTTATACAAATATCAGTGGTACATATCAACAATTAAATTTATCCTTAACAGCTCAAGTTATTATTTCCTTACAATTAAATCTTGATGTACGTGGCATACCAGCAAAATTTTTAACAGGTGCTATTAATCGAGGAAAAATGTGGTTAGAAAAACATTTTCGTTTAATAACGGATGCATTTGATATGGCTATTGTTACATATGCATTACATTTAACAAATAGTGCTGAACAAGATGCAGCTTTTGCAATGGTGCATTCATTTAAAAAAATGAGTAATATTCGAAAGAAACTATTTGTTTATGTTGAAAATAAATAATTTTAATTTTAGATGAGAATGGTGTTTATTATGCAAATTTTAATCTACCTGGAATGACTAAAACATGGCCAAATGTAAATCCTCGATATGGTCCCAAGCCTGTACCAACAGATTTTGAATCACATGCTGTTTCTGCTACAGCTTTTGTTGTGATGACTCTGACACAGAAAGCTCGAGTTCGAGACGCTGAACAAGCAGGTAAACTATTCAAAAAAGTTATTTTCATAGACTGAAGAAACTGAACCACCCGTCTCACTCAGTTAAGAAATAAATCACTATGAGATTGAAATCCAATGCATAAGGTTGCTAAGGTTAATTATTTAGAATCTATCTATTTTAGCGTTTACTTTTTCGTAATTTTTCTATTTAATATATTTTAACAAAAATATTAAGGGACTAATCAGTATATGTTAATGAGATATTATTGATATATTTATGCAATCCTTGATGTTATATCAACAATATTTGTCATAATTTGTATATGAAAAGATTTGATGATGAAAATATCTGTTGTAGCTTGTAAAGATCTTTGACTAACACATCTATCACGATCCATCGAAGTGCTAAAATCTACTTTTATATGCCATTAATCTGTTTATATCATATTTGAGAACATAGACAATTTTTAAAATTCAAATTATTTGTCTTTCTAGTTACTATCTTGAATAAAGATCTTTTTCGTTCTAATATTTAAATCATTTTTCTAGTATTATGGATGCAATCAATGCGTAATTATATTGGTGGTTGGTCTGCAACTTATGATTCTTGTATAGCACAGCGTGCTATTGTTGGTTATGCTGTCTTACGTGGTTTTGAAATTATTGCCTATAATATTCGCATAGATTTATCATCATCAGTATCGGCTGACCATGCTCATGCTCCAATTGTAATTGTTGATGAAAATTTAATAGAAACACAAGTTCGAGATGTTGAAAATGTTTTCGGTGTTGTTTATCTTAATGGATTCGGTAATGGCTATGCACTTATACAAGTATGTCATATTTGATCTTTTATTATTAAATTCTTGTCTACTTTTGTGTTTCAATTTAAATCTAGATGCATGTTGGTGTTAATGTTGAATTTGATGAAAAAGTTCGTCGTCCACATTACGTACCTTTTTCAATCGATGTTCAACCGATGCTATCCGGTCGTAATTTTTCAACAATTGATTATAATGTTTGTCTTGGTTGGCGCCCAGAAAATGTTAATGTACTCAAGGCATCACGTAGTGGTTCAGTCATGATTGAAATACAAATTCCAACAGGTTATCGTGTTGAAGAAAGAGATTTAAAAGTGATGATACGTAGTTTAAGCACACGTAATTTACGTGAAGCAGAAAATTGGCCTGGACAAATCAATTTTGGTTTTGATTATGTGGATTTTGATCCAATATGTTTTGAATTTCAAGCTAAACGTTGGATACCTGTTGCTAATATATCTCGTTACTATGAAGTACGAGCCTATGAATGGTTTGAACCTGGTAACATGAATCGAAGCGTTTATACATTAAGAAATTTATTTGCATTAGATATATGCCAGGTAAATATTCATATACCTATATATTTTTTACTATTTAATAAATTATTATTTTTCGTGTATTTATTTATACTAGGTTTGTGGTTCATATCAATGTCCATATTGTCCATATTTTAGTCATGCAACATTATTAGCTCAACCAACCATTATTATTCTATCTATTTTATGTTTATTATTAGGATTCCATGTTATTATTATTATCTAGATACGATCTATTGAATTCTCACATTCCAATACTCGTTTATGTATATTGAATTCTATCGTTTGCTTTTTTTTTAAATTAAAGAGTGAATCTCAATGCGTATCTATTTCATGGAACTTTGTGCAAAAATATTTCTTTTTTGTGTTTTTCTTCTTCTTCTTCTATCCTTTGATAATATACAAAGATTTTCTTGTTTTCTTGTCTTTTGCTCATATGAACTATTGATTGTTTATACATTCCATTTTTTCTATGCGTGTTTTTTTTATACAACAATTTCGCTAAATAATTGACAATAGCTGTTTTTCTTCTTTTTTTCTAAAATAAAATAAATAAAATAAAAAATGTAGTATGAATTTTAGATATGAATATTGAACGGGAATTTCCTTTGCATGTGGCTATTTGGAATAATGAAATAGACAAATTAGCAGAATTAATAAAACACGATAAAGTGAGTTATTTGTTTTTAATGTCAAATAGAAAAACGGAACTTCAATTATTGAATAGTTTTTCCCTTGCGCTTTTTTATTCTGTCTTAAAAGCGAAGTCTGATTAATTTCTTTGTATTGAGTCATAGTCTTGAGGGATATTCATTGTACAAAAAAATCCTCGATAGAATGTACACGAGAGATTTTACATAGTATAACAAGTTAGAATAACGAAACACATTAACAGTATGACGAGTCATACAATATTTGATTTTAAAACTGTTTATTATACAATTGACATTTTGCTTCAGGATCGAATTGAGCAATTTGATCCTCGCCATCGAACTCCAATACAATTAGCTGTGTGTTTGGGTCGTGTAGAAGCAGCTCGATTGTTAGCACAGAATGATGCTGATTGTAATGCTGTTTCCAAGGATGGATGGAATTGTAAGATTTTTGTTTTGTACTTTGGATCTATTTCTATTGATAACATATCTTTTAGTATTACAAGAAGCTATAGCAAATGGTAATCCATCTTTAGTCAAACTTATTATGAAATATCGAAATTATCAAAGAAATATTCAACGTATTCGTGGAATTCCAGAATTATTACGAAAACTGAAAGAGGTAGAATAAAGAATTCTTTTTTAATATTAGTAATTAAATATAATGAGGTTTTTCTTTTTGTTTTTTAGTCACCAGGTATTTTAAATGGAAATTCATCGTTTGATTCACATGAATCATCTTTTTAATATTTATTTTAGATTTTTATGTCGAAATGAAATGGGAATTTTCCAGTTGGGGTAAAAGAAAAAAAATTTGAAAGAAAATAGGATAATTATATTTGCTTTCTATTTAGTTCCTCTAGTCTCTAAACTTTGTCCGAATGATACTTATAAAATTTATAAAAGTGGTAAGCAGAATAGATAACGAAGAAGAGTATTTTTCTATTGATTATCTATATCTATATATATGAAGGTCCGAATGTTCGTGTTGATACAACATTACTTGGCATTGAAGGTACGAATTGGCAAAGAGGCAATCGTACATTTATTTTTTCATTGTTGGGTAAGATATTTTCATTGAATTTTATTTCTCTTGGAAATTAATGTGACTTCAATCTTTAGCTGATTGTGCTAAAATGATTGATATTGATCATGAAACAAAATCAGCATTTAGTGAAAATTTAAGTATACCAGGTGAAGAAGCTATTCTTCTTGAACCAAATATGGATCAAATCGATAGTAAACTTATGTCACCAAATTTAACTGGTATGTCTTATAAGCTTATTTTGTCTTATTTGAATTGTGTGTTTACCTGTTTAATTTTTAGTCTATCTTGATGTAGATAAAATTGAATTCGAACGGTAAAATAAAAATTTCAGAACAATACAAAATAAAGCACGTTTTTTCTTCTTATACATTCATTTATTTTAGAAGTAAAACAGGTGTTTGGGGAATGCGTAGTGAAAAAACTGAAAACATTAATGGTTACGCATGTAAAGTCTATACAGCTAATAATTTTGAACTTGTGACACGTAACCGTATTGAACATATGTCACCAGATGATAGAAAAGCTTATGAAGCCGGACATTCATCGAATAGGAATTTTCTTGGAGGAGTGTTCAATTTTCTCGAATCATCAGCGTCATCGTCATCGTCGAAAGCAACGACAGCAGCAGCAGCAGCAGGAAATGCATCAATGGCAACAAATGCATCAGCAGCAACGAATGTATCAGCATCAAAGCAATCAAATGTATATAATTGTATTCAGAATAATGTGAATCGTAATGATTGTTTTTGTTTCTGTAAAGGATTCATCAAAATATTCCAATCAAGCACCAGTAACACTTGAAGAGTATTTTAATAGTCGAGTTGAACTTAAAAATCGAGATATTGGCCGAGCACGTGAAGAGAATGTAAAAATTCAAACATTCAATGCTCAAATATCTCTTTGTGATGAATATCCACTCAGTCTCCAAGAGCAAATATTACCTATTATCGATTTAATGGCAATAAGGTAATTAGTCATGTGGGATTAAAATATATGATTTTATATCTCTTTTTTCAGTAATTCTCACTTTAAAAAGTTACGTGATTTTGTTACACTTCAAATACCTAATGGATTTCCTGTTAAAATTCGTAAGAACAATGCATTTTTCCGTTCTAACTCAAAATAAAAAATAATCGACGTTTTTGTAGAGATTCCACTCTATCATGTTCTTACAGCAAAAGTAACATTTGGAAACATCCATGGTATTGATAAAACTGTTGATGGTGTATCAACAATAAAAGAAGATTCAATTTCATTTTGTGCTGTTGATGAAAATATTTTTGCTGTACCGGCAGGATATCGCCGTCAAGGTTTATTTATGAAAAAATATCAAACATATTAATTAACATTTTTGTCTTTATTAGGCGAAGGTGAAGGTTATCATCCAATGATGTATGCGGATGATGATGCTCTATTACAAATGGCCATTGAAAGAAGTCTTCTTGATTCTAATGAAACTAATCCAACTAATGATGCACAAACTTCATCGGATCAAGTTACACTATATGAAGCTTTAGGACATGCAGGAAATCGTGGAAATCGAACAGATATTGCTAATCGTTATGTAGATTATGATTTACAACGGTAAAAGCTGTAATGTACTATGATATAGAAATTTTATTTTCGACTCTAATAGTGCTTTGGAAGAAAGTTTATTGACATCAGGTTTAAGTGAAGCTGAATTAAACGAAATTAGGCAACAAAATCAAATACAATCAGGTGTTACAGCTACACCACAAGATTTATCTTTAGTTATGGAATTATCAAAACATGAAGAAGAAGCTCGACTGAATCGATTACGTGAAGAAGAAGAAGAACTGGAAAAAGTATAGTTTAAATAAATAAATTTAGATCTTACTCGTACATTCATGATTTTTGAATGCATATCAACTAAATCTAGATTTCTACTATTAGATCGAGTATGAAATCTTTCGTAGATTAATAAGCTTATGTACACGTAGAAGAAAAAGCCGTTAGCTATTTGAATATCATATGTAAATCATAGAACAATAATGAATAACTAAGATATATATATATATATATATATAACAAAACTTATGAATATCGTTTATTATTTGATTGAAGATTATTTTCTATATTATTATTATTATTGCTAAATATTATATTTTAAATTTAGGTTCTTCAATTATCACTTCAAGAAAAATAAGACACTACAAATGTTAATCAAAATATATCAAACTTCATCTCTTCTGTGTGTGTGTATTATACTATAAAAATCTGCTTCATTTTTCTTTCTTTCTTTTTTGTCAATCATTTAATTTTTAATCGTGAAATAAGTACTGTTTTATTTTTCCTAATTTATTTGTCTTATCGAGAAAAAGAAATATATATGTAAAAAACAATTTTAGTCGAGAAAATCGAAATGTAAAATTCTTGAATTGATTCTTCATTTAAGATTCATATGATGTCTCCATCGCCGAAGTCACCGGAAGAAAAAAAAACCCCAGACGATGAAAACTTATCAAACGATGAATTATCCCATCCACCAATTCATACACATCATGATTATATTGCATCTACTGATGAATCACCAACAAATTCTGATGATGAACATAACAATAATAATAATATTAATCAGCAATATGAAAATCTCAACGGTTATTGTCTTTTACCACAGGAATCTGACATGAATCAGCAACAAAATGATGAGGATAGTGAAAATGGAAATGGAAATGAAGACGATGAAGATGATGATGATGAATTTCTGCGTTTTGCTACTCTACGAGTACATTCATCAATTGATGAGAATAAAGGTTCTCAAACAATGAACTCAGCTCTATGTACAAATGAAGCTGTGTGGTCAACCAAATTAGAAAGCGAATCATTTCCTGTTGATGATGATAAAGCAAATTATATAAAAAATTTAATGTCCTCAGTAAAATTGCCTGAATCAAGTATACCAATGTGGGCACAGTTTTGTACAGAACAAGATTGGCAAGAGAAACTACGAGAAAGAATCGCTTGTCGGCAAACAACATTTTTTCTTAACGAAAAAAACTAAACGAAAAGTGATCTTTCCTATTTGTAAATCTTATTTTTAATAAAAAAAAAATAATAAAAGAAAGCATTAGCAATAGAAGGATTTCATATTGTTCGCGTGTGTGTGATTTGTAATACGAGCATGAAAAAAAAACAGCAGCGACTGAGAACCGCAGAGAGAAGGAGAGTGAGGAGAGCAAAAAGCGAAAAAAAAAGTAATTATTTGTCAAGAGAGAAAGAGTAAAAAGAAAAGAAAAAGAAATGTACGTACAGACATATTTGCATCGTTGTGTTCTTTTAGTTCGAGTTTTTAACGACATCGAGGGTTTAAAACAGCAGTAAAAGTTCACTTGAAACTGTTGTTTGCACGCCATCGTATACGTATCGCTTGCTAGACGCACGACAACAACATAGATAACAACAACAATATTCTAATGTCTACAGATTCAATTCAGGTAAAAGTTAACTGAAAAAGGTTACTTATTTTTTCGAATCGTGTATTTTGGCAAATGGTCATGAGATGTAGATTTGTCATAAATCAAACAAACGCGTCAAAAAAAGATTTTTTCTTTCTAATCAATAAATGAAAATAAAACAAAACGGCACTGGGCGTAGAAAGACAGAGATGAAGATCGAACGAAAAAAGAAATAATTGAATTTTAGAATCATATTGTTGCCATACATATAAATAAGGCTACTATTAATAGAGTATTTACATATCTGTTGATAGTAGATTGGAATTCCCGATGCAATTCGCGCTTGTCGTCGAGTTTTTCCTTGACACTCTCAAAATGAATATTAGCCATTTTCAATGACGACGGCTTTTCTTTTTAGCAAAACTATCTATGATCAGAACCTAGACGAATAAATTACTAATCATTTTGAAATTTATTTGTTGAACTCAGTGTAACAGTAGTTCATAGGCCTTCAAATACTTTATATTTACCCAGTCTTCCTTTCATTTTTTTTCTGACTCGGTTCCGTTATTGGTACGCATATATGTATACTTGTCTGCTTATGAATGAAACCAAGCATAAATTTGCAATCAATCATTTGAATAGAGTCAATCAAATTCGTTGCTTTTTATACTTTTTACAGTCATCTTCTACACTACGACCATATATTGGTGCACGTCGAATTCGGAGTTATTTAAGTGATAACGCAAAAACTTCATCTTTATCGAACAATTGTTTTTCTTCAACGGCTCCTCTATCAGAATCAACTATAATCAGTGAGTCTGAGCAAAATAATGATTTATCAAATGTAAAAACAGCGGGCGCTTTTCAAACACAAGAGGAAGAACAACTTCCATTGAAGCGCTTCTCATCTGCGATTCTTCAAGACGAGCGACAGCCGTATCTGCAAGAAGACCAGAAAGTAAAAGGATTTTTGCCGTCAACATTATCGTCATCACGTTTCTTCTCTCCAACTACTCACAACATTACGCCTTTATCTGTCTACGACTATTCTTCTTCTTCTTCTTTTTCTTCTCCTACTTTCGTTACAGAGCAACAACATTTTCACTATCCTTCTCGTCAATACGAACAACATTCATACTACCAACCATTGAATAGTGAAAAAGAAAATAAGCAACTTACAGCTTTAGAAAAATTTGAACAACCATTAGAAGAACAGCAAAAACAAAAACAATCATCGACAAATTTAATATCGATTCGTAATCAAAACGTTGATTCAACCGACGCCCCCGAAGAAAATAGTTTGCTTTCATCAACCTCCTTTTCTTTAACTGACACAACCGTAGAGAATAATAACAGCGATAATCAATCCTACCTTTTAACGTCGACACCCATTATTTCTCCCCTCCTATTTCATAGTGCAACAGCAAATAACAAAATATTCCCTACATTATTATCTGATAAAAACAATAATAGCCAGCTACAACCTTTACAATTAGACAGTACATTAGATCAATCGTCTATTATATCAACAAACGGCTTAATAAGTGATATTCAACGTGTAGTCGATGTTAGCCCATTAAACAAGATGTCATCATTACGATATTCATCAAATTTAGGTGATAGTACAATAGGAACACATCCGTTTGATCAACGAATTACCGATCAAGGCAATAAATATATAATTCAACTTAAAACTGATGAATACCAAGAAAATGAATTTACAATAAAACCACGTTATTCACTGAATCAATTAGTTATTGATGCTAAACATCGTGAAGAAGATAGTTTTGGTGGCTATGTACATCGTGAACTACATAAAATTTTTAACATTCCAAAGCATATCGATATAAATCAATTTACATATTCGTATAATAAACAAACACAAGAATTAGCAATTGAAATGCCGTATTTACAAGCATCGACAACTATTAACGAAAATCAACATAGTTCATCGTTTAATTCGTCTACAAATAACACAACGGAATCATTAAATCATTCTTATGAAAATGGGAATCGAATCAATGATGAAAATATCTTATCAACGAATTTAACTCGTTCAAATTATTATAATGATAGTAACAATACAAGTGGTATTGGAACAACAGCAGCTGATGTAACATTCAATCCAAGTTTAAATACAACAGCTGCACCGATTTATGAATCATCAATAGGAAGTACGAAGCCATTTGATTTTGATTTATTTCACCGATCTGCTTTTCGACCACAAATTCGAACAACATCAGATGATAATAATAAAAAATTAACTATGTCATTAGATTTAAGTGAATATCAACCTGAAGATATAAAAGTATCTGTTAAAGACGGCGAATTAATTGTTAAAGCTGAAAGAAAAACCGAAACTGATACACGTAAATCTCGTACGTCATTTTTCCAGTCAACTAGTTTACCGCCACAAACAGACATCGATCATCTTCAATCAAAATATATTGATGGAAAATTAGTTATTGAGGCTCCTTATCTTGATAAAAACAGTAGCGAAGGAAAAACTATTACTACCGGTACTAGTACAACACATCAAGGACAGAATTGGTAAGATATATGGTATATTTTCTTATAATACACGCAATTAATAACAACTAAAATTTCATCATACACTTATCTCACAGAAACGATCTCTGATTAGCTTCTGGTTAGTTTATTCATACATATTTTCTGTAATTTCTAATTTTTAACAGCATGCATAAATGTATTTGTCTTTGTCTATTTTACTGCTTATTAATTAACTTCTTGTTTGTATGTGCAGATTTGTTGTTTATGCTTTAATTTAGTAATGAATTTCAATCTTAATAGTTTCATACTAAATTAAACATTTGTGTTTTAAGTAGAATAAAACAAAATCACTGAGTAAACAAATTCTCTCTTAATTTCATCTATTCAATTTCCAGGCTAGTATTCTTTTCATTTCAAGGATTAACTCTTGCACATCTGCTTCTTGTTTTATTCTTTTTTTCTAAGACAGAAAAATAGGAAGTGATTAACTTCAAGGTATGATTTCTTTTCTATCTTAATACCAAAGAAAAGCTTCTTTAGCACATGCTATACTCTCAATCCTTTGTCAAATAAACTTGTATATTTAGGTATAGGAGTGGTGGTGATCAATGTTCATAAAAAGAATTTTCTTATAGTTAATTCTATTTTCTTTTTCTTCTTTCCCTTCGTTGTTTTATCATGCACCAGTGTGTCGGTTCAATATTTTAGGCCAAGAGCAACCGAATCGCAACAGCAAACTACCTACGATGATCCGTTCGAACAACGAACAGAGACTATTACAGAATTTGTTCGTCGTCTACCATTATAATCTTATTTTTCAACCCGATGTGCAATTAATCATGTCAAACATTTTTACGTGGGTGCAAGCGTAAGAAGAAAAAAGAACCAGATGAACCATCTGCATATGTTCCTTTATTCATCTCTTAATACAACACATACAGCCAAATATGATGACTGCTATTTTTGTTTTTATCCCGCTTTTCTTCTAAAAAATATCTTATTCCGATTGTAACATGCAACAAAAAGAATACGAACAAAAGAACATCAACAAACATTTGTGATTATATATATAGATATATATCACAATCAGATCAAGATTTAGTGTAGATAAACATTTTTATTGCTATCGGTAAATGAATTATACATAATTCAGATTGATTGGTATAGCTTAGCGAACACATTTATCAGACCATGAATACCTTCGCTTGACTTGGATTATTGATAGTTAAGAAATGTGTTACCACTATAATGTATGCAAATTGCAATATTGTATTAATTATTCAATTTCTTTTTTTTTACAGACGCAAGGATTTGGGTGTGATTATAGAGATGAACTGTACTAAAGCTTAATCATACATATTCTATATGTTTTTGAGAGTTTTTCGATTATGACAATTCTACATTTATATTTTCTTGCAATTTTATTAATTAGTAATTGTTCACATAGCCATATCGATTCTAAAGAGCATTCAACAAAATATTCAAACAAGACGACTTCTATGTTGAATACATTTTGTCAGCAAAATTTAATTTCAAGTATTGTAGTTAAAGATAAAATTAATCTTAAAACGAAACCTATTTAAATAAATATCGTAAACATTTGAAAGATAAAATTCGATCGTAATATTTAAGTATTCTTTACTATATCAATTGACTAAGAAACAAAAAGTGAAAGTTGATCAACCACATATCTTCCATGGTATTTATTTACCTCAAGGGCAAAAAGGTAGTTTTTGGCTCCGTGAAAATTTTTGATTTCTTCAAATTTCATGACTTGTTTTTATTGTACCCAATTCTACATTTTTTTTCTTTGTCTTAATGTCAATGTTGGCCTCATAATAAAAATAATCTCTTGTAAAAATAAATGTAAAAATCAAGATAAACCTATTTTCATACTTAGTTTATTACAGGCGACCTATTATTCTTTTCTCTATAATGTCTTTTATTGCCATATTTTCCCGAAACAGCAAAATAAAACATATTCAATTATGTGAGAAGAATCATCTATTATAGCCATATAAATATCTTAGAATCGATAATACGTATGCGAGCCAGTCCACATAAGCGACGCCAAAATCGTAGGGAACCTCCTCAAGCGATGTCATCCGATTCTGCTCAATTTGATATATGTTGTAGAGGGAAGAGTTCTGAGAATTTTAAAGAAAGCCGCTTTGAAAAATATTGAACCCTCGAGCTTTTATGATCATTTTACGAAAGTGCCCAAAAATGACCATTTTCATTGAGCTTGACTTCATGCGGCTAGATGTCGAAGTTGACTCTATACAATGAGTAGAAATTTTGTACACGAATATAACTTAATGAGTTCTACTTACCGTAGAATTTGCGTCTCGAAATATGGAACTGTTGAAATTTCATGAATCCTTTGATATAGACGAAAATGAGCGTTTTCGGTAACTTTACTTCTGTATAACGTTTGATCAAAACAACATGGATGCGCCAAACTTTTACGGCAGATTGAACACTCATAGATCTATGTTTTCTGAAAATTTTAGCCGTTTATCTTATTTCGTTTAGGCACAGTAGACTCCTAAATAGTGGTGAGGTTTTGCCGAAAATAGGTGTTCTTAGGATAAGTTTTCTCCTACAATATGAGTCNTGTAGATTCCATGCTGATTTTTTTATAGAATTATAGAGCAGAGATAGAGCTACCAACTTGTAAAAAGCAGCTCCCCAATTGGACTCATATTGTAGGAGAAAACTTATCCTAAGAACACCTATTTTCGGCAAAACCTCACCACTATTTAGGAGTCTACTGTGCCTAAACGAAATAAGATAAACGGCTAAAATTTTCAGAAAACATAGATCTATGAGTGTTCAATCTGCCGTAAAAGTTTGGCGCATCCATGTTGTTTTGATCAAACGTTATACAGAAGTAAAGTTACCGAAAACGCTCATTTTCGTCTATATCAAAGGATTCATGAAATTTCAACAGTTCCATATTTCGAGACGCAAATTCTACGGTAAGTAGAACTCATTAAGTTATATTCGTGTACAAAATTTCTACTCATTGTATAGAGTCAACTTCGACATCTAGCCGCATGAAGTCAAGCTCAATGAAAATGGTCATTTTTGGGCACTTTCGTAAAATGATCATAAAAGCTCGAGGGTTCAATATTTTTCAAAGCGGCTTTCTTTAAAATTCTCAGAACTCTTCCCTCTACAACATATATCAAATTGAGCAGAATCGGATGACATCGTTTGAGTAGTTTCCCTACGATTCTGGCGTCGTTTATGTGGGCTGGCTCACATACGCATATGTATATATTATATACGTATGTGCATTATCGCGAGGTCGTATTATAATGTCATGGTTTTTCTGCTTTTATTAAAAAATAAGAATTTAATTGTGTCTTTTGAAGTTCAGTTAAAGAAAAACAAAGCAGCAATAACAGAGCCGTGATCTTGTAATACATGATTTCAGTTATGATTCATATATATTGATTTGCCGAAAGCAACAGCGGTGCAACGTATGTTTTTATGTCAGACCACTTACACAATAAATATATGCTTTTGCATTAAAGCACGTCCGCCATTCTTGATTGTTCGTGTGGATGACAAATGTGTTGTTCGTTTGCTGGTAGAATAGACTATTCTTAGCCTCATATAGCACTTAGGTCGAACTGTTTTTCTTCTCCTTCTTAGCTTTGGTGTAATTCTTTTTTTAGAACTAGTTTTCAGCACTGTCTTATGCCAATTTCTATCAGAAATACATATGTATTGTCGCTGTGCGCATTTATTTCATCTCGTATATGCAAAAAAAGAAAGAATCTGGTAGAATGCGATTTTTGTCTGTTAGATTGCAGTGATAAACCGATTTCAATCCTTCGTATTTTCTAAAGATACCGGAGGCATTTGTGCATACTATGGTGTTATTTGATCTTCTTCCTGGACGTTTCCTCAAGTGTTTATAGATTACCAACGAAGAGCTAAATAACGATGTTCTTCTAATTGATTTAACTATTCTATTCATCCATCCATCCACTTATTCACTTAGAAAAATACGCAACAAGATCAAGAAATCAATATTACGTAAGTCAATTTTGGATGATTCTTGAAACTATAATGTATCTCTTATTGTCAATTGCTGTCAAAACTTGAATCAATCTACATATCAGTATATCTCATTGGTAATAAAAATTTGTCTGCTAATACGTTACACTGTCATAGATGCATAATAGAGTAGAGAAGAAAAAAAGAAGAAAAATGATGATCTGGTAGCAAAAAAAAGATATTTCTCCACAGAAAGAAGCAGTATGTATCTACGTAAGTAAAATATATATGACAGAATTAAATCGCTGGCGCGAATAACGTCTTACATAATTCGCATTATAACCAGCGGCGCATACTATTCTCGATGCTATATATTATTCGTAGATTTTCTCAAGAGTGAAAGTAGGTGATGGCTCCATGTTGAATAAGACATACTTATTTAATAATTATCTTCGAATGGATAGATTTGAATGCTATATAGTTAAAGTATTATAAGGAAAGAAAAAACCGATGAAAAGTGCACTAAATTCTGTTTACTAGTTAGGTTTTTATCATGAATATGCTTTTTTTTTGTATTAACAAACATATTAATTATCAAAAAATCATGTTTTTTAGTAAGACATGTAAAGTAATAACTATTAGGTGCTTCGCTGGTGAGCTTGTATAAGAAGTCAAAATGAACACGGAAATGAATACGGAAATGAAAGAGAGTTTTTTCTAATAAAATAACACATCTTAATAACAAAAAAGCCTTATGATCCCGAAATACAATGCGAGTAAAATAAAAACGGGCGAGAATGAAAAGAAGAAGAAATAGAAAAAAAAGAGACTCCTAAGCTTTTAACGAGATGACAAACACAGAGGATGCGTCATATTCCTTCTACTAATAAATTTAAGGTAGATATAATATTGCTATTTTTTGGTTTTTCTCTTCTGTTTTGTAGAAAAGCAAGCTGCCTATATCGATGATCACCAGTAAATATAGAAGTCTCTCATATTTCCTCTCCTGTCACTATTCCAATGGGAAAGTGCATGCTACTTGATGTCAAAAACAAATTATATACTAAAGTAAGATGATGTGAATGATTATATTACCGCGCAAAATTGCACTTAATTTGGTGGTTGTTGGTATGATTTCATGCAAATATTATATTAAAAAATTTTCTGAAATCTATCTCGTGTTTATTTTCATGCATACCATATTGCTTTTGTTTGCAATTATGAGCTATGATCAGTCAAGCTGAGAAAAATATGTTTATATATCAAAAAAAAAATTTTTTCAATCAAACTTGATCTAATAGTGATTCGCGATGCTGATGGGAAGTGTTTTTTAGTCTAAGAAGTTGAGGTTGATAGAAAAATAAAATAAAATAAACAAAAAAGATAATTTGATTAAATGCACCACAAAAGTTTTGAATCTATGTTGTTGAACCAATGCGTTTTTCCTTTTTTTTCTTGACTCATTATGTATTCCAGATGTCACAGAGGACACGTTATTTTTAGATCGGTGCAATAAATAATGAAATACATTTGCGCTGAAATTTGATCTTTTCGTTGTGTTAACAACTATGAGAAGAGAGTCACTTTTGAAAAAGCTACGAAAGAAAATAGTAGTATAACATAATTAGACCTCGACTAGCTATAATATAGATTAGAAGAAAAAAATATGCTATCTCTGTAAAAAAAAAAAGAAGCTTCCTCTCAAATTTCACAATTATAAAATATGTGTGAATGATTCTACATGATTCTGCTTTTTGTTTTACTGTGTACATATCGATTTACTTATGGTTTTTATTTTATTTTTTCTAATGTTTTTCTTCTGTCGTTCCCGATCAGAAATGGCTGAAAAAGCAAAAGGATCTATTTTGAGTTTTGTTTTCTCTTTTACATATATTCGCCATCGTAATCTCTATCGCGCAAGTACGAAAGAAACGTTTTGAGTGATTAGATATGTCATCCATATTTGCTAATGAGATCTAGTAGCGAGAGTATTTTTCATCTATTTTTATATTTATTTCAGATATATTTATTTCGTATTGCGATAGAAAAATTTATTTGCAGAATGCACGATAAAGTTAAAAGTATAATTTTTCAATCTATTACTGCTGTTGTCCAACAATTTTAATCGTCGAACAACAACAGAAGGGTCTGTTTTATTTTCTTTGTTATTGTTCAATTGATCATGTGTTATTGTCGACAAAAGGAAAATATAATAAACGTATTTCATAAGAATGAGCGATTTGGCTATTATTACATTATGTCAAGCTCTCGCAAATATAACTCATAATCGTTGTCATTTAATTGAAAATTCAAATACATGTAGATGCATCGATAATATAATAGACCAAAGTATGACAATGGGCTTTGGTTTTTTTCTTTTCGGTATCCAATTTTTGTTTATCTAATCATTTTTAGGACCATCTGCGGTTGTCAGTACGGCACCTCATATAATGTTGAGTGAAGCCATTTTAATATTTTTTGTTTTGGCATTATGGTTTTCAGCAATTGGATTTTGTCTAAACCAATATAAATCACTTCGTCGCCTTGAAACGCAAGTGCACTATTGTGCTAATCGAAAAGATCCATTGAACATAGGCGATATCAAAATAGTTGCACGTGAACAAGATTCAATAATATATAAGAAAGCACGTTATTCAACTGCTCTTGAAACTCATATTAATCGTGATGAATTAAAGTCTATGCAATATGTTAAAGAATATTTACCAAAAAATGCATCAATATCATTAGCTATGGAAGTTCTTTCTGGTAGTGGAGAAGATCTTACTTCCAGTATGCCCGTATCAACAACTACCACAACTTTGTACAGTCCATCAGGATTTTTAACATCGACACCATACGTTCCATTAAGTACACACAATGAACTAGTTGAAGAACAACAATCACTATCGGCTCCTCCACCATCATTAGAATCTTTTGTTTCATTAGAAACCGATACTAATCAATTTATTAACTATATTTTCGATGCTAATCGACCAGGTAAACGTGAAGTTTTTACTATATATATATATATATATATATATCCATAGAAATAACTTAATTAGAAATTAGAACATAAACTTGCTTTTTTTTAAATTTCTTCTATTAGTCAAAAGAAAATAATCCAAATTTCATTTTCATAAATATTTTCTTATCAGGACCTAGCTACTCACGTTTGAACCAGTTTACTATAATATTAGCAGATAGTGGAAGACGTTCTCTTCAGTATAGTTTAATCAATAAATAAAATAAAAATCAATTATGATAATTAAAATTAATATTCAAATCAGAATAGAATACTAAATTGAACTATTAACAGAATTCATTTATTCGAATTATCTTTATCGTTCGAGAAAAGCACATTCATAAGGTTTGGATATTTCAAAATGTATACACAGCAGATTAATAAGTCTACAATAACATTCGAGTATAAGTAATGTTTTCAATTGAAAAGTAATTTGCGAGATAAAATATAATAGCTTATCAAATACTAATCTTTAAAAAAACACTATATTAACATTTCTGTTGAGTATAATGAACAGATAAAAAATATCATAGAACTGGTCTAGTTCATTTAATTAGTAATATAAACTAAACTCTATAGAATATCGTTCTTTAATCCTCAAACTAGAGAATGTGGGAAAGAAAAAGAAGCAGTCTCGTCGCTGGTGTAATTAATTTACATCATAAAATTCATTTCTTTTGAAAGTTCAATTACTCGTTAAAGTTTGTATTTTCATCAAATAAAATATATTGACATGTATACACAATAATCTTTTATTATATTTGACTATTGATATGCCAATGATAAACATCGAAATAGAAAAAGAATCAATAATACTCAGTATTTTGAAAATATAAACATTTCATTTTGAAGTAATGACTAAAATTATTATTAAATAATAATTTGACTACAAAAATAGATATATTCAATAGTTTTGTTTTTTATTATTAGTTCTAGATCCGTTGATCATTTTTCAAGAGATCCTTGCACTTAATATCCTGTGATGTCAAGAGTTTACCAAAGGCATTCGACTTTTTTCATATCCAGAACAAAGCACAATAATGATCGAAGAACCTTCTTTCTATTTCCTTTAGTATGCTCCGGTTCATATATAGCTATAGCAAATTTTTCCTTTCATCTTCATTTTGTTTTCATAACTATTTAAATTTTATAATCAAACTGACAGTTTGCATCGATTCTACTCAATTGTGCTTAATTTTTTTAACGTTACAAAATTTTCACAGATACCAAATACTATAATATTTTCTTGAAAATTTAAAAAAAACTGACTTTTTTGTCTGAAAAACATACATACTGACAATAATTAAGGAAATACTATATAATAGATGAATAAAATTCGATTGTTATATGAATATTCTAATTAGTGTACATAATGTTAAATTATTATCTGAATTTTTTCTTACGAATCGTGTAAAACTATTAAGAAGTTTACATGATTCATAAATTTTTAAAGAAATATTTTTTAGAATGAATTGAATATTGCTTTTTATACAAAAAATGTTATTTTTCGTTTACACAATTTCTGAGAATGAAAAGTTTGACGAAATAAAAACAGATTAAGATTTTAACGTCTTTCTACATATCTCAACTATATCATAGACTTTTGAGGTATTTCTTCGTGTACACCTACGCTAGAAAAATATGATCTAAACTTTCAAAATCAACAACCTTTCACGTAGATAGTCCTCTCAAAAAAATATTGATTTAAAACGAACTCGATTATTAGAATTTCTTGTTTCGTTACTAGGAACTAGTCACTTATCGGCAGGTCTCAATATTCCGCATATTTCCACACCAAATAGCTCATCGTCATCTTGGAACGGTTCTCGAATACATGAAACGAGTTGTTCAACACAACATTTATGTGTACCATCAGCTACTCTCAGATCAAATCGTTATTCAGATGGAAACATATCTTTAGCTGTTCCACAAACTCCACAGAGGAATTCAGAAAATTGTGATAACCAATTACTTGATCCTCGACTGATACCCAATACAGTTCGCCGTAGTTTATTAGCTTTACATCGTGAAAGTCAAGATAATATTCATATGCAACGTACGAAAGAAAAGACTCAATCAGAAAATGATGTTCATATTGCCTTTATACCATGGAAAATAAAAATGAAATCAAAATTAAAACGCACTCATCATCATCATCATAGTTATCAACAACAGCCACAAACTCGCCCACATTCAAATACCTTTTCGATTTTATCCTTACGACAAAATAGTAATGATCAAGAACGACGCATAGCAGAATATGTCAAAATGAATGATGAATATCGATTTTCAACTCCGTCATCATCATATAATCGTCCTGTAGAAAAAAATCCTACAATTCGACGAAGTTTACGACATTTTCCACAATATACAACACAGAGTACAACTGAGAGTGACCCAACACAAAATGATTTGCCAATGATTACAAGTACTAATCTCTCAAATAATAATGATGAATTAGCTAAAACAATAATTCAAACTGATCTCATTTCCCCATGACTACCGTTGTAAATTTTCATTCGTTTTTCTTTTTACGTATAGCACCTATTTTGTTTTGCAATACCGGTGAATTTTTTTAAACATATGATTCACATGATTAGAGAAAAAAAAATTTGATCAATAAATGCATCAGTTTACAACGATCTTTTAATATTTTATTTCTATTAGGGAGGTATTTGGTGATTTTATTTTATGTCATGACTTACGAATTTTTTTTTCTAAGCATCCTTCGAAATTATGTGTGCTTGACAACACCGGTAAGGTAGAAAGGAGGCAAAAACAAGCTCTTGTTTCATATGAAGCAGAAAAAAAGAAGCAAAGAAAATGAATTCAGTCGAAACGAAGATTGTTTTTCTTTTTTTTTACATTAAGTAAATACTGAAGCCACTTATATGATCAAAAAAAGGAGAAAAAATTCTATGACAAAAACAAGAATATTTATGCTAAATAGCAAACTATTTTCGTCGTACATTTAATAAAAATTGTTGTGTCAGCGAGAATGCAACGAACATTATTATTTAAATTTATATTGGCATTAATCATCTTAATATCTTCATCGTATTGTGAGGCATTTGAATGCAATATAACTTCTAATATTCTACAGTGTTCTATTACAAATACTGCTGGTATTTTGGATACGCTTCCGTACAATTTAACCGCTTGCAATTCAATTAGTATCATTTATAGTGGACAAACTACTTTAAGAATAATATCAGCATCAACAAAACCGATTTTTATACAGCCTGTTGATACAACGAATGGTCATACAGTTCAAATATTAAGTATAGATACAAATGCTTCTCGTATAGAAATAAAAATTGTTCTTCTATTTAATACAACAACACCACCATTATTCACAACAAATAGTCGTATAACGGCACTGAACAGCAATATAAGTGTTAATGTTGCAGAAAACTATAATGATGCATCAGCTTTTCAAATATTCACCAGTTCAAATTCATCTATGTTTAATTTTGCTAATTATGAAATAATCTTTGATCAAATCGGTACAAAATCTAGTGTAAGAAAATATTATGTTAGATGTATTTCTTCAGAATAGCCACCGCTGTCTTCCACACTAGTTGAATTGCATGCATACTTGTTTGATCAATGTTTGTGTGTATGGAAGAATGGGGAATATTCTCTAGAATTATCAAATCCTTATTTTTTTTAAATACGTTTTATGGTATTTTGTTTATTTTATAGAATTTATATTTGCCTAATCTTATTGGTCGAATAACAAACGTTAAAAGTATAATGATATCTGGCAATAACCATTATCTTATTGTCGACGGTACACCAATGGTACAATTTGATAAAGTTACTCAATTATCATTGAAATATCTTCGATTATATGATCAAATTCTTGATTATTTTCCTTCTTTACAAGTATATTCTATTGCTGAATGTCAATACAATAGGACCGCACAGTTCTTAATTTCTTCGAGAACTTTTGACTTATCGTTAAAAATGCAAAATAATATTCCTATCGACTCCACTTTACCAAACAATGCTGCAGCATTTCAAAATCTTGCGCAATTAACAAGTTTAGCTCTTATTGAACCAAAGCTTAATTCTTCATGTTTACAAGCAATCCAAACGAAAAATGAACTTAACAATTTATTACTCAATCTTGGTTCATATGCAAAATCTGATTTTAATTCCTGGATTACTTACAAGCCACTTGTTCAAACATTAACGATTAATAATATTTCAACTTTAGATATATTTGCATCAAAATTTTTCAACAAATTTCATAGGATAAGTCAAGTTAAATTGAAAGGTGGATTCACATTAGAAAAAAAACACATATGTATATTTTATCGTATGAATATACAGGTACCTACAGTACTCCCGATTGTAGATTTAAATAATGGACAATTAGCAGTAGGAAATGATCCATGTGCCGATATTTACATAGCAGCTATCAATCAAAGAACAACTAACAATGTTCAATGTTCGCCATCAAATACCTGTGATGACTGTAAACAATGGGCTAAACAAGCAGCGTTATGTGGTCTTATTTCATATGAAAATAATTGCGCCGGCGACACATCTGTTGTTGGCAATGGTAATCCATTTACGTATAATGGAAGTTATCTATACTATTTTTTTCAAAATATTTCATGTGCAACGAGCCCAACAGTGACAGGAACATCAGATTCAGTAAATATTGGTGCTATTGTTGGTGCAGTATGTGGTCTTTTAATAGCTCTTATGATTCTTGCCATAACAGTATTCTGTATTTATCGATCTCGTCAAAGAGATTCAGCCAAAAATCTCTCATCATTACAAGAAAAAAAATACAAACTATCATCATCGGATTCAACACATGTGTCAATTGCAACAAGTAAATCCTCAAAATCATCACGTTATGTACTTGAAAAGTCGTTTTTTCCTCCAATTCAATCTAATGATGAAATTGCACCACCGCTTTATACGACACCATCTGAATCAGTTGGTTATTTATCTAATTATCAAATGCCACCAGTACCAAGTGCACCTCGTGCAAGTGTATCAACTCATACAACACATTTATATGAAACACTTGACACTTAATATAATGAACAAATGACTATACGATGATTCATCGTTGTTCTTTTTTTATTTTTTTATTTAAAACCGAGCATTTTATTTTTATTTTACAACTGCCATCACTCAAAATTCAATCTCTGCTGTTCCATTTTCGTGTTCTACACGAGTACCTATTACAAGAGAATGTTGATATGCATTCAATTTGAACGATATTTTGTTATCACGTCCTGTGTTCCCTATAATATGTACAGATTTTCATCGTTAATGAATTCTTCTAAATAAACTTTATCTCATACGTACTAGCTCCAACAAGTTCTAATGGCCAATGTGTGCATGTGCTTCTATTTTTAACACACTGTTCTCTCAATTGACGAAACTCTTCTAAACTGTTATATTCATTCATGTCAGGTGCAAACATCGATATTGGACTCATACATATATAAGCAACAATACGTAATAGTTCTAATTGATCATTGTTTTCATTGTCAACAATAGCTGGCGTATTACAATGAACACAACGAGAATCCCAAACTACAAGATCACCTGCTTTACATTTAACTAGTCGAGGACGTAGCTTCTCGAAAATTGAATGTTGTTGCGGAACTGCCATATAATCGCCCCAAATACGTTTTTTTTGAGCTGCTGATGGTAATTCAAGAAAATGTTCATGTGATCCTGGTACAACAACAAGACTACCAGTAGATTCATTGTTATCTGTTAGAGCAACAAGACCTTGAATTGAACAACGATTAGGTTTTTTAAATGGATTCTAAAGTAATATATGAACTTATAATTAAATTGATAATAATACAAAAATGATTTACTTGATCGCAATGATACCAACCACCTGATGTTTTCCATTCTTTATTTAAATGCCAATTACGAAAACAACCAGCTCCATCAAACGAAACGCACAACTCATCAGAATTCCAAATATGAGAAAAAACTTTTTTTACATTAGGATTTCCTCGAATGAACCACATGAATTCAGATTGGCCTATACCGTGACGATTCACTAAGCCAATATGAGGCGCGCCTGGCCTAGAGTTATTTTTAGAAATTTTCTAGCTTTAATGATTCTTTTCAGAGAAAAATATCTTACCATGGTTTATCCCATGTTTGTGAGTTATTACGTTGAATACGATATGGTTCTTCTAAGTTTTCTAAATAATTCCAAAATAAATTAACACTAAGATCAACTTGCTCATTGTTAAGTACATTGCTAAATACAGCATAACCATATTCATTGAGATGTTCAATGCCTCCTTGAAGTTCTTCAATATTATAAACAGAAAACCGAGGAGAAATTGTATCATAATCGATTGCTACTTCCTGCTTTTTTTCCAATTTACATTCCGCAATTGAATCTGATGATTTGGAAGAATTGATTTGACCCATCATTTGAAAGCACAACTTAATTACAGTTAATGATCACTAAAATTCTCTGTATATTCTTCTTAGACTAGAAAAAAAAATGAGAAAAGTACCGACATACATCAGCATTTATACTAAAGATAGAGTACGAAAGCACTCTCAACTTTCACCACGTAGCTTTTCAATTGTGACACATATTTTTAAGGGCTCTGTATGATTCATTAAGTAAATGTTGGAATAAAGAAGTAGATAGAATACCGATACATTATCTGCTTATTAATAATTTAACAACAACAACAACAACAACAATTAATCTATTTCCAATGTTAACTAGGGGTGGACCATTGATTGTAATTTGAGTTAATTAAGTGGTTTTACTTAACACTTAATATTAAATTAACGTAAAGTGCCACCCTAATGCTAACTAGTACAAGAATTTTCCCGCAGGCCCAGGTCGAACATACACGGTCGTATACGGCCCGTATTTCACCGTATACGGACGTCGTAAAGCTCGTCCTGGGGAGTAATTTCGAGCAAATGATGAATTGCCAATTACTTGGTTAAATTATGTGAAACTTTATTTTGTCTCTGACTGTTTTTTCGTAAAGGTAAGACATTGACGACTCATGAAAAACATGATTGAATACTTTGTTAAATTTTACCAGAAAATAGCGACATCTAATCAAGTTTACGCAGCTAAATTGGAGTTCTCTATGCGTACTAAATGGTATTCAATTCTCTCTTATGTATATATTATTACTAACATGTCGAACTGTTTGTTTGTTTTTATTTAGATTTTAATAGATCCTTCTGTAAAATTGTTTATTTCAATTACAGATGTCTGCTATTGTCAATCGTGTCACAACACTTGCACCTAAACTTGCTCTTCGTAAGTTTCCCTATTTTTATCATGCGTTCCATCAACTGAAATGTTTTATTTCTAGCTGTGGCACGTTATGGGCAATCAAAATTATCTCGGTTCTGGTATTTTGCTCGTGTTGAATTACGACCACCTATGCCAAATGAATTCGGTCAAATTCAGCAAGGCTTTCAGAAAATAGTTCAATCAGCTACAACTGGTGCTTGGCGTCAATTGACTGTTAAAGTATATTGATTTCAATTAGAAAAAAAAAACTTACTATTTTGTTGTTTTTTATTGTAAATTTTAGCAATTTGCATTAAATACACTCGTCGGTCTTGAAGTTATGTTTTGGTTTTATATGGGCGAATGTATTGGTCGTGGTAGTATAATTGGTTATCGACCTGGCCGAAGTGAAGGCATCCCAGCTCCATATAAATACTTCATGTGATCCATAGAATAACAATTAAATAGTTCGTAGAAAAAAACTGAAGTAAAAACAAAAATCCTTTCTCTATTCATAGCACAGTGACCAGCATCTATATGCTCTCTCTTTTTCTCTCCTTGTATCATCCATCTGTGTCACTTTAGTTCTTTTGAAATAAAAAAGACAAAAACAAATCATAAATTAATTAATCATTTTGTACGATTTGATTAGTTTTTCTGAATTTTTTAGATGTGCAATAAGTATTAATATGAATGAAACATTCATGGTACGAACAACACCAAATGATAAGGATGCTTTATCTACAGATAATGTTCAATTGCAATTAAAAACTACACTAAACGATGAACCAAATTGTACCAATCAACAACAGCGACAAAAAACAGCATCATTAGAATCAATGATTCTACCAAAAGCTGATCATGATATTATGGTATACAAAAATTTCCATTTATTTAATGAAAAAATGAATTATTTTATTCTTCTCTTCTAGTTTCCAAATGTAATTGATCTTAATGTTGGTGGTTTACATTTTACAACGAGTTTGTCAACATTGCGTAAATACGAAGATTCAATGTTAGCAGTCATGTTTAGTGGACGATATAATCTTGTTAGAGATAAAACTGAACGAATTTTTATTGATCGGGATGGACGTTCTTTTGGGTAAGATAATCATTGAACATATTAGCTAATGTGTTTATTAAGCGATAAATGAAATTAGCAAACGAATATACAGATTCATTTGCTAGAAATGATTCTTTGAAACTAATTTTTTTTCTTTTTCTAAAAGAAAAAAACTGAGTCATCATTCACTTTACATTTGATATGAATTTAAATTTATGAGTATGTCATTCATAAATGAGAATTTTTATTCAGGTTCCAGTCTAAATAAGATCATCAAACTATGATTTGCTATTTCACTGAATCTTATTGATATTTATGATGTTTAATCATACATATTAAAAAAGAAAATTGTGTCTGATAATCAAGTTTTTATCTGGGCTAGTGCATTTTGTAATTCTCCTTTTATAGGCTTTCGTGTCTTCAAGCACGTCTAATTTATTAAATACATAGAATGAAGCTTGTTCTCTTATTGTGAAGAAACTACTTAAGGTTATTTGTACTCATGGTCCTTTTTGAAATGTTCTTATTTCTATTATCCTTACAATAATGCTTTTAGTGACTATTTTCAGAAAAAATAGCAAGATTTTATAACAATGCTTTTGTTTTGTTTTATACGGGTTGTTTTAGATGAAAACAAAATCACGAGTTGCAATAGTCCTATTTATTCTCTAGAAAGTAAGAGTGCATGTTTCATTCTATACCTCAATGCAGTTCGAGACTGTTGTAGAAATAAACATGATTCCACATTTATATTAAAATAACTATAAATCCAACAGATAAAGAGACATCCGGTAGAGAAAAGATAGAAAAACACTATTTTTCACTAAAAAAAACTTGCTACAGGGTTAAGATGACAGGTATTAATAATAACATGAATCTCTTTTTATGAATCTTTTCGTTTTTATTATATTTTAGTCATATTTTAAATTATATTCGTTCTAATCAAATGCCAACAGAATCCATTGCATCGGATGTATTACGTGAAGCAGAATTCTTTTGTATTAGCTCTTTAATAACTAAACTTGAAAATTCGAGCCCATGTGTTATATCATTACGTCGACGAGAATCATTTCGTCGTCTTATACCTGATTATGAACATATGAAAATGGATATTATTAATAAATCAACTGAAAACCGTTCATCTTTCCAAGAGTCACGTGTTGTTATAACACAACTTGATCATACGAAATTAAAAGGAACAATACCTTGCTATAATTGTAGTCGAGAATTCGTAACAGCTAATCATGGTATACTAAGATTTACATACGTCTATTTATTTATGTATAGATGATTTTTTAATTCTTTTTCTAGCTTGTGCTTTTGATGGTCTAACAGCTGATTTACAAATACAACAACAATTAAAACCGATTCAATCAGACATAAGCATTGACATGGATAAACTTATATCGTAAGAAGACCAATTGTAAGAAATAAATTATTTGTTTTTTTGTAATATTTATTTAGATTTGTCGTTGATGAATTAGTACATGATGGTTTTAAAGCAACAGCTGAACGCGTGACATGTCGTTTTAGTGTTCGTTGTCAAAGTTGTACCCTTAGTGGTTTATTTACAGCTGGTGGAATATTAGCACCAAGAGAATGCCAAAATATTGCCCATGTCATTAAATTTGTCTGGTCATGAAAAGTTTTTTCTTTTATCTCTTTTTTGATTTGTGATAAATCACATATCTAATCAGTTTAACCTATGTTGATTCTAGTCAATACCATGTGCGAGTTTTATTTTGAAATCTCGAACGAAATTTTTTTTTCTCCTATTGAAAATATGTTGTAACTTTTTCTTTTTAATTCTATTTAAACAAAACAAAAAAAGACGATGACAATGGTATATGTTGTATTTTAATATATACATACGTACATACATGTATATATATATATGTAGATAGACAGATAGATAGAGATGGCAAATGAATTTAAAGATCATATTAAAGCATTTATCGATTCATTGAATGAAAATTCACTAGAAATTCATTATCAAGGATTTGATTTTTCAAATGTAAGTGATAGTCGAACACAATTGACAAAATTGAATTATGATAAAAACAAAGTATCCGTTCTTAATCTTGAAATGGTAAGAATAGAGATTCAATTTTAAATATACTATCGTATTTTCTTAGATCGCAGATATGTTTCAAGTATATACTGCTGTTCATAGTGCTGCTGAACAACATTCATCTAGAGATTTCGGTGTTGAAGTCCCACATCACTTGTCAAATACAAAATCGGTACGATTCTAACTTAAATCGATTTATCTACTCGAAAATTGAACCTTGAATTTAAACAAAATGAGCAAAGCCTCCTTGTAGAGCCCGCGCTGACGAACTACAAAAGTCTGCAGTTTATTTTTGTCCTTCAATATTTTTGAGAGAAAATATGTTATTCGAGAGGTCTCCATCAGATGTAGTCTAAGTCAATATGTATGATGGGTTTATGTTTACTGGTTCTTTTTATATAAAAAGAACATAACAGTTCGTATCTATATTAAATGTATATTGAAAGATTGCTTAGCATAGGTTCTTCTAACATCAATGCAAAAAAACAATTTTCGCTATTTCTGTCGAAAGTTATTTACATTTGAAAAATAATCTATATGTGAGAAGAAAGATGAAATTGTCTGCTCGAATTTTTACTTTTTATGAAATGACACTTGTGAGTTTATTTCCAGGAACATAAATTGATTGTTTAAAGAAATAAACTTTTCAAACAAAACAAAAAAATATCAATTTAGTGTAAAAGTGGAATTCTAATGCCAACTAAATTATATTCTGATAATCACACACATAGAAATCAGTTCTAGATTTATAATTTGAAAATATCCAAAACTTCTTCTGTTTAAATATGTAAACAGTTCTTCTATCGATAGGAAATATGTAATGCTATACAAAAATCATGGCTAAATCATGATTTTCATGTTCAAAATAGTAGTACTCGCATTATGACATATATTAAAAAAATAAAATAATATAAAAAGTGATCGTTAGCATCGTGATCATATATTTCTTGGTGAAAATGAGCAAGAGTTTAACTACCATCATATATCTCTGAAACCGATAGGTTTCTGTTTTTCTTCTTCTTGATTGTTCTTCTTGGATAAATTTTCTTAAGTCGGACGCTGGTGTAAAATACTCTATTTCTATTCTATTTTAATGCTAGATTGGTGACTCATTACGTACTTTTGGTGGTTACGGTAAACCATATGTACTTGTTGTTTCAATTTATGATCGATTCCAAAGTGAAGAATTATTTGGCAAGATTGCCAGCATTGAAAATGTAACGAAAATGACTAATGAACAAATGCAACAATGTATGAAGAATAATTTCGATAATATTCGACGAGTAAGAGAGAAAAGAACCTTGAGGAAAAAACTTTACTTCAAACTTTATCTGATTTTTTATCTTTGTTGAAGTATTATTTTGGAACGACAAGTGATCAAGAACAAGCTACCTGTGAAAATCCAATCGATGAAATTGTTACTAAAATGGTTGCTTCAAAACACTTCTGATGTACTGTTGTTCTATTTTATAATTCCAATAAATAAAACAATCATTTATTTCGATAGTATTCATATTTATGCGTACATATCATAATATTTACAGTTGATAAAATCATGAATCTATTCTACACGCTTTCATATGTTTACACATTCAAGACTTAAAGATCACTCGGCATCAAATTCAATGTTCTCTCTTAATCATAATATTCAATTTGTGTGTATGAAACTTGAGGATGTAATACATTTATTGTACAGTTCAGAGAAAGAAAGAAAAAGGAGAGAGAGAGGGGGCGACGTTTTTTGCTCTTTCTTCTGTAATATTTTAATATTCATCATTTTAATAATTGTCTACTGAGAAAAAAGACGCTTGTATTTATTTGTAAAGTCCATGTATGTTGCAATTTCTTTTTCGACAAGGACGAAATATATATATATATATGTGTGCCATGATTCAGGCAACTTACATTCTAGCTATTTGCATAAGCATTAGTAAGAGCGATACTTCCATAAATCATTAATCATAATCGTTATAGGTTGAGTAGAATTTTTTATAGCCTTTTTTTCTATCGATTAAATTTAGTAACTTCTACTGTGAGAATATGGGCAATCAAGTATACTAATTGGTGACCACTTTTATCTTGAACTTAAATGATGTTTTTTTATCTAGAATGCTAAGCCAATAAGTAATATGAAAACAATGACACAAAGTACTGAACGAATTCCAGATCGAGCTAATCAACAACAAGTAATTGATCTAGATGAAATTGTTGAAAAATGGGTTTGGCAATTATGGAATAGAACAAAAAAGAAATCATGGTCTCGTTATAAGTAAGGATCCTTTTGTTATTGTTATATATTCTATCTGCCTGCAATAGACTGCAAGAAGCAGTGATTCGTTTTTTTTGTCCCTGTAATTAACATATAGTACTTAATTGTGTTTGTATTGTATTGTATTGAAGGTGATTGAATAAGAAGAAAAAATGGAATTTCAATTCATTTGCTTTTTTTTGTTTGATTCAGACGTGACGAATTGCTTATAAAAATAAATTGGAAACGAGTTAAATTCATACAAAGCAATGCCAATTATTATGGTTTACCACCTGTACGTATACCAAAATCCCAAATACTTTTTCGAACAGCTTTTAATAATAAAACAGCCAATGAACATTCTAATGTATTTAAAACAGAACGTTCTACACGTTCAACATTTGAATTTGTATTTACGAAAAGTTTAAGAAAATCGCATGAATCATTTTTAATATTTCGTTTACCGGAAGAGGTTACTGTAGTAGGTGGAGAAATAAAACGAGAGCAATCTGTACCATTTGGACAAAATATGTAAGTAAACAAACATTTTCAAAAATAAAATTATTCTATACACTATATCTTTTCTTTTGTTAGCACAAAAGAATACGATCTGGAGTGGAACATCAATACTCCAGTACGTGTTGCACCTTTTACATCTACATTTGCTGAGTTAAATGTTGATGAAGAAGAATGTTCTGGTGATTTCGATATATCTATTCGATTTCTTGGCTGTATCTCAGTAACTGTAGCGACTCGGCAATCACCTAATACTTATTTAAAATTGATTGGTGGCGATATTGTTCAAATTATTCGTGAAGCTTTGAAAAATAATAATCAATTGAATGGTTTAGAGGTCATTGAAGAATATTCTCCTGTAGTAAACTTCACAATGCATGGTAAATATTCATTTCGATATGGTGTTCAACAACATATTGTACTTGACCACGAATCAGTAGAGCATATATCATCTTCTATTTCTACTCCGAATCATATCCCATTGTTCAGTTCTACGTATCGACCACTTAGAACACAGTTATTGCCGCCAAAGGATGATATTACTTTAAAGATCGATGAAGATGAACATTATGAAATTTTGTAAAATTAAAAAAAAAACAGCACATAAAAAGGAAATTGAATGTTGCGTCAACTTTTGCAAGACATGTTTTTCTTTGTCGATAAGAAGAAAAAAAGATTGTCAATAAACAGAAATTTCATTAACACTATCGAACGAAAGGAAATTATGAAGTTATCTACATTGTTCTATTAGTATTCTTTGTTTTTGCTTCTTTCTTGCGTAATACAAAGCTAAGTGTAAGTGTAGCAAATAATGTTAAAGATGAAACAGCTGTTAAAAGTACTCGTAATCCTTTGAACCATAAAGGATAACCTGGTCTCGTTACATCATAAAAAGCGAAACCTTGAAAAGATGTTAATGCCCAAAGTATTGACCATCGACCGGGTACAAGTAGTGCTAACCAAGCAGCAATTGACGGAAGAATTGCATATGCATATTGTTTCCAATCATTTGATTCTTCAAGTAATCTACCCCAACGAATACCACCAATATATGAAAGAATTGAAGCTGAATAAGCTAATTGAGTAAATGCTAAATCTGGTGAATATACTCCTGTTGAGTACATATATAAGGGAACGGCAGCAAATGGAACAAGACCAAGCAAGCCAAATGATAATGGAACTGTTGGTGCATCTTTTATATGTCGAAGATAACGAAATTGATCGAAATAAGTTGATGAGTGTTCTTTATTATGTCGTCGCAGAAGTTCATTCTTAGTAAATTCATTTGAATAAGTCGTGCGAATATTTGTATGATTGCCGAATGCATGAACTTGCAATATACGACGAAATGATAGAGATGATAAAGATCGGCACGGAAAAGAAGCTAACATCTGAAAACAATTTTATACTTTTAACGACTATCACTCCTTGAAGTTATGCTAGAATAGAAAGATCATTTTTCTAGCAATTATTGTTTTCCATCATTAGTAAGATTTTCAAAGGATTTTACATAAATTTCAAAAATTATTTTATTTATAGCGTCTTTAGGATAAGATTTTCATGAAATACTATTACGTACGCAATGAAATTATTAAGCCAATTTTATTTTTATATCTCTCTTTCGTCGAATCGTTCAATAGAAATTGATTATCACTACAATCATTTAGTATCGAATTCAATGGCTTGTGTCGCTCGTATAATATTTGCAAAAAGGTATATCTATGACAACGATGCTTGCAATGATAATAATTACATGTAACTTACTATATGTTTTTGTAAAAATTACGAGTAATTGACACATATCTTGATTACTTTCGAAAATAGGCTTAGTAAGACATATTTCAACTCAGTTCTGAAAAGAATAGCTAGAACAAAAAAAATTGGGTCATTTTTTTCACTCGATAAATTCAGCGTGAAAAAAGGCGCTTAAGTATGATTAAAATTCTCCGTTTTCAAATGAAACTATGGATAATGACCTTATTAAAAATTTGATACAAATAGGAAAGAAGAATCTTATTATTATTATTATTGTCAGTTCATATCATTGTTAATATTTCAACGTAAAGAAACATACGAAAAAGTATCTTTTTCTTTTCTCGATGGTATTTTTTTCAAAACTTAATTTATTTTAATATTGTTTAGTTAAAATCTGCGAGAAACAAATAGAGAAAAAAAGAAATTACACAACAGAGAAAGACAATTGACAATAGTTAAAAATTTTGTGCAGTCTAAAACAAACGTAGATAGTAATTTATCAGTTAAAATTCAAGGGTGAACATACAACCACTTGAACAGATATATTAAACATGGAAGAATGTGTGAACGTACAAAGTAATGCTTGTTTGATTGCTTCTCAAAGATAGAATACATTTATGTAAGTATAAATATGTCATTTCTTATTCATTTGTTGAATGATTTGTTGTATCAATTAATCTATTATTCATTAGTGAACTAGTCGTCGATTCGTTATCATCATTGATCTGATTTGGTTTAAATTTTTTTGCTGAATTTTTTAATGCCTGTCGTTTATTGCAAAACCTAAAATTATTTTTCAAAAATAAAATTAGTATAGAAAAACAAAACAAATAAATAATTTATTTATACCAAACACGAATTACTTCTCGATCGTAATTTAGTTGTTGTGCAAGTGTTGACATATCAAGACCGGATGGATGTGTATTTAATTCAAATGCATCATTTAATTTTTCAAGCGCTTGAGGAGTGAATGATGTACGTCGTTTACGTTTCTTTGCATTTAGATCAGTAACAAGTTCATGTAAATTGGATGGACCATTTTTCAAACTATTATAAAATTTAAAAAAAAATAGCAACACTAGTAGTGAACTGCCAATAAGCTTCTTTTTCTTTACCGATCTCCATATTTTAATTCAGCTTCATGCATCCATTTTTCAAGTACAGGTTTTATTTTTGAAGCACTTTTTGGTGTTATATCAAGTTTTTCAAAACGACATATAGCCGACTGACTGTAAGCTGGACCACGAGTAACACTCAAAGCTTGACCAACTTGTGTTTGTGTTAATCCTAATGCTAATCGACGTAATTTGAATGCTTTAGCAAAATATTTTATTTCTTCTAAATTAATTCCATCAACAGTTGTTGTTGTTGTTATTGCTGCTTCACCTAGTAGAAGACAATAAATATAAATATTTTTTTAAAGTCATTGATGAATAATAATCAACGAGCATGCATACTATTATGCAAAGGTAATGATGCTAGTGTTGTTGCAATTGTTGGTGAACAATCATCATCATCTAATGTTGATTTTTCATTTGAATCTGATGAACTAGATAAATATTAAATTTATCGAAAAATTTAAAAACGAAATGATAATAAAAAAAATATAAACCTGCAATCAATTGAATCATGGTTATATTTCATATTGATAGGTGACATTGTTCTTGTCTGAATTTCGAAAAGATAAAAAATCAATTCTTATTGTATTTAATTAATAATTACTTACGGAAATCGATTCTGCATTTAATGATTCTTGTACTTTGTTATTATCGATAAGTGCTGGTATTGAACAAAGTGCTTCAAAAAGACAAACCGGGAAAGAATAATAACATTTCTGCAAAACAAGAAGAACTTACAAAGATTCTGTTGTTGATAAAAGAGAGCACTATTATTGAGAAGTAATTGTAATGCATTTGCAATAGGATTATTATTAAATGATAGTAATGGAGGACATGTTGCTCCTGATGATAAATAGAAATAAAATGTAATCAAAGAAAATAAAAGTAAATATAACAATATTAATTTACCAGAAAGTAATAATTGCGTAAGAAATTGTTGCTGTTGTTGTTGAGATGTAAGATTAGGGAAAAGCGTCGAAAAAAGTGGATTCATATGAAAATTTGATGATGTACAAAATGTATTCATTGGGCTAACTAAAAATATTTTAATATCGAAAAAGAGAAGGAAGAAATTAATAAAAATGAAAATACCTTCTGATTTTCGAGATTTATTCGTGACTGTTGGAAGTGTCATATGTTTATATTCTGAAAGAATATTTAAATATAGTTGACTTATCTATAGTTTAAAATCGACTGCTTATGCATCTATATACCCCTCTCTCTCTCTCTCTCTCTCTCTCTTTTTGTATTGCTCCCTCTAATTTCAACTGGACTGTTTATGTATTCTTATCGCGCGCGTGTGCTGCTCTCGCACTTACTCGAGAATGTGAAACACACCACACATATATTCTATCACTTTAGAGTAAGTAAGCACCATCTACTCTCGTTGTCCCATTGGTAATTTGATTCCACAATTTTTTTTTGTTCTATACTACTTGATGGCTACGCTTTGTATTTTATGTGCAAACGAAAAAGATAGATAGGCAACAGCGGCGTCGGAACGAACTAAAATATAAATTGACTTTCGCTGTTTAGTGCTACACCGAATGAAGTTAAACTCGAACCAGGTGCAAATTTAATTGTGTATATGTGTGCGCATATCTATCTCTATACGCATAAGTGAGATTCGCACCAACACTAATCAAACAACTATAATAAAGTTGGAAAGAAAGCGAAAAAAAACTCGAAAGAAACACATAAATTAAAGAGATTGTTCTAAATAGAAGAAATAGAGAGAACGAGACAAAAAAAAAGCTCATTAATATTATCTCGATAACAAAGTCAAAGTACATATGCGAAAATAGGGAGAAGAGGAAGAAGAAGAAAAAAAATAATGATGATACTATTTATGCAAATATTTTAAAAATTTATTGCCGCTGTGGTTGCTGTCGCTTTGGATAATTTATGCTAAACGCACAGCAAGTGACAAAGAGAGGAAGAGAGAGAGAGAGCAAAAAAAGGAAAAGACTCTATCACATACAAACAAAGACCAGAATGAAAAAAGAGAATATTCACAATTATGAACAATCAACACTATCTTTTTTCGCTTCTATTCTGTCTACTCGTCTGGCCTCTCGTCAAACGATTTACACTGGTTTTCTTTTTTCTCTCCAGTCTCTTTTGTTATGTTTCTAATATGTGCGAGAAGAATAAAAAAAAGGAAAAAGAAAGAATAAGAGGGAAAAAAAGATTTCTTTCGATCATGATCATATGATGATGATGATGATGATAATAATAATAATAATAATAATAATAATAATAATAATAATAATAATAATAATAATAATAATAGTTATAATAATCATGATGATGAACATCTCTACTGGATTATTATAGCACGCTAACCTACGATCTTACATATAATATATTTATAGAAATTTTGTCTTTTTTGTAATTGTTATTGTTATTATTTAAAATTGTTAATCCGGTTGCTTACTGATCGACAAAAAAAAATTTCTGATAGACCGATACAACAAAATAAGCTTCACCACATCCATTATCTTTCTTTCAATGCATTATAGATCTTTGTCTCTCTCTCTCTGTTTCTCTACCCTGATTATAATAAATCATCATCTCTTTTTTCGGTCGGTCGTCGTCGGAATCACATTAGCAAAAAATCTTTTCGCTTCTCTTTTTCTCTTTTGCGTTCATTCAAATGAAGAGTAGTGAATGCGGAAGAGAGGACATTATCCCAAAAAAGCTTCTCTGTGTGCTATTCGTGTAGACAGAGTAAGAGAACTATTTTTTTTATATATCGTCTTCATAATGATGTAGAAGACGCGACGACGAAGAAATTAGTGCATGTGATGACGAATCTGTAAATTGGACAAACATGTTTCTATCAGAGTCCTCGCTCGTTCACTCACTTACTTACATACTCATTCATCCACTCAATCGAACAGTTGAGATATATGGAAAAAGAAAAGCCGAAGAATGAGAGAAGTTAGCCAGTGTCAAATTTGAAGTTCGGTAAATTATAGTACAGACAATGATAGATCAAATGGAAGAAAATGTTGCTGTAATGACAGAAATTTTGAGTATAAAATATAATATATTATATAAAATAAAATCTATCTGAATGAAACTTCTGGGAATTCGGCAAAGATCAATGATTGATAGATGAAAAAGATGTGTTAATAAATAGAAAGCATTATTGAATATATGATAAAATATTCAAAGTAAAATAAAGCACTTTAAAAATAACATTTAAATAATCAATTTCATTGGCTGGTATTTCCGATGTTTAGAGAAAAAAAAGTGATACGATCTAATTTTCAATAAAAATGCATGTGTCTAGAATTCTTTTTGGTAGTATTACACATGTAATGACAGGAAAGAGAAAATTAATTGAATCGCTATATTAGTTTGCTAGCTGACTAAGCATGAATAATAGTATATAAACAGCGGAGTAATTAGTGAGATTTTCAGATTCTTATCTCAATTACATCAATTAATCACAACATTCTATATGCAACTTTACGAAGCGATTGTTTACAATTTTGTCCTTGAATTTTCCAACAACGAAAATTTTCAAATAAAATCATCAAACTAAAACAACATTAGTAATACGGAAAATTATATTGAGGTCAAATAAAAGCGACTTCGAGAAATCTGTGAAGTCTGTTGTTTTTTTATTACTGATCAAAACGTATTGTAATCGACTGCACGTTTTATATGTTTTTGTCAAAAAGAAAACTGAATAGTATTTTATATTGAATGACTATCAAAGCTTGTTTTACTAAAACTTTGGATTAACTACAATATGAGGCAGAAAAATTTTATTTTTCAATTAATTTTATTAGACTAGATATAGCACGATACTGTTTGATTCTATGATATTATGAAATATTTGTTTTAAGCAATCGAATCTGCATCGATTTAGAATCTTGAATTAAGTTTAAATGCTTGTTCTTATTAACAATGACTAAACTATTTATTTAGTATTTTCCTATATCATCATACTGGTTTAAGAACAAATTGCAATTTTACTATCACTATCTACATATTTAATGATCGTTTCCTACGTATTATCATTGATATGGATCGAAGATATTTTAGAAAAATACTCAGCGACCAAATTCTTTATAAGTTTTATATTTTAATTGACTAAACTTGCTGTATCAAATGTGAAGATTTGTTTGTTTCAATTGAGAAAGCGTCAAAACTTCCTGTTCTTTCAAATTAAGGCCTTATTTAAGATAACAACTAAATATTTTTATTGGTTTGACTTAAAATAGAAACGTAGATGTCTTCTTTTTGAGATATGAACGGAAACAGGAACTAAGAGTGAAAAACTTTTAGCGTCATTTACGAATAAACTTAGTCAATATTCCATTGGAACAGATGAACCTCAACGATTATCCGAGTCATTGAGATCAACTTAAGTTCAGTCGGAACTGCATTGATTCGTTTCATTCATCTAGTAGGAAATTTATATGTATATAGATATCAATGAAATCTTGAGGTTGATGAGAAATAAATAGATCATTGAACTATTGCATATGAGACTAGCAATGTGTTCGTGACAACTGAAAGGGCAAATTACAGTTCTATATTTTTTCAATAAAATAGACTAGAATAAGTTGCGGCATGACTAAAACAATTAAAGTCCATCAAGACTTCCAATTCAATTGTATTATTACTATAGGAATATATCGGATCTATAAAAATTAATTTAGATAAATCGACTATGACAGTAAATAAAACAGTTTATGGCATAAGACAAAAACAATTCCATTCATAGTCATCTTTATTTAGTATTTATAAAATAAACTAAATGATTCCAAGGGTTATCCATTTTTTTTTTTGATAAAATATGATATGAAAATTTTGTTGCATTTAATTCTTGGGAAAAATAACAAGTGTTTATAAAGAACATACGAATTCTAAATTTATGTGATATCTCGAAAAGCTTCATTTTCCTGATTAATTTAATCATAGATTCATGTAACAACTGGCAAAAAAAAGTTCAACATAATATGTTTTTATTTTTAAGTTAAGAAAAAAATATACATGATTATGTCACAATTTGTTATATGTAGCTATGTTATTTTTATTTAATTAACTGTTGAAATATCAGTAACAATTTGAGTATAATCATAGAATGAACTGCAGCTCGATGGAATTGTTGACGAAGACATTGTATCAAGAATCCATTTATGATAAGCTGATACACGCGTATAAACTCCACCACTATTAGCTCGACTACAACCATCACCAAATGATACAATACCAATAATATGCCACCGATTGTTGCTATATAACATTAGCGGTCCACCTGAATCACCACGACCTATTTAAATTAATTAGAAAAAGAAAAAAACTTTGTACAATTCATATTAAAGTAGTTCATCTTACAAGCATCTTTTTTACCATCAGACCAACCAGCACATAATTGATAATCATGTGATTCAATGGATGAACAAAACGATGGTGGAAGCATTTGTAAATCGGCATGCATGAGAACATTAAGACTTGAACTATATTCAGCATTCGAACCCCAACCAGCAACCCAAACTTTAGTACCATTATCAATCGATTGTTCATTTGTTGCTAAACAAATCGTATCAATTAGTGAACTTCGTACAATTGGTTGTTTTAATTTTAATATAGCTATATCATGTAAAAGTGTATTATGATTAAAACCGGGATGAATACAAGCATGTTCAAGTGTAAATGTACGTGATTGCTGCTTTTCGTTGCTTTCATTTTTATTTGTATTTCTACTATTAACGATATCGTTTTCAATATCGATAACATCAAATGATACACGATATGTATCTTTTAATGATGATTGATAACGATTGGGTAAACGCATAGTATCGAATGTTGGTAATTGATTACTAAGACAATGTGCAGCAGTTAATAGATAGCGATTAGCTATTAATGTTGCAGCACATTTTTGTGTTATATTTATCCAACGGTTTGTATCATCACGAAAGTAAACACCTACTACAGCCATCCATGGCCATTGTCCACGATAAGAACGATCACCATTAACAATGCGTGCTAGTCGTCGATTAATAGGTAAACCACATTCTGCACATTCACCAGTATCATTTTTTGTTCTATTCGAAGTACAACAATCAAAACGGTCTCGAGTTAATATACATGAACGGCCACGTTCACATAATGATGGTGTCATCTCACATTCATTTATTTTTGAGCATTGTCCATTTTCGTGCATTATATGACCAGGTAGACACTAGAAGAAGAAGAAGAAAACGTTTTTCTTTTATTTAAATTTTCTTTTTAAGATGTTTCTATACTTCACAATTGTATCCGTTTGATGACGATACAACACATTCACTGTAAGGACCACATAAATCATTTTGCTCTGCACAAATATTTCTTGGTACACATTGTTCATTATTTGTTTGACTTATTAAACATTGACAATAGTAGCGGCCTGGTAAATTAATGCAATTACTTATACTTGTGTTACATGGTGTATAAAGATTACATTCATTAATATCAACACACGAGTCTTGATGAATTTCTCGTATAAAACCTGGTCGACAACGACATATATAACTACCCATAGTATTTATACATTGCATATTAAGACCAGTACATATATGAAATCCAGCAGAATTAAGACATTCATTTCGATCTATGCATGTGCATGATGATGATGACGTTGATAAACTTCTTTCATATCCAACTGGACAATCACATGATGATAAACGAATGAAAAAATTTGAAGTAAATATGAAAGGAAGAATAGTTAACAAGAAAAGTATTAGAATTATACTAAGAACACATATACATCGATAACGATATTGGTAAAAGCAGGTTTGCTTTTGTTTAGTATCTATGGAAGATTTTGAAGTCAATGCTGGCTGTACTGATAATGATACATTTGTGCGAATGGATGTTGCTGTTGTTCCACACGTTTTTGTTGACGATCGAATAGTACCATTTGATTGATGCTGTAAAACATTAAGTGAATAAAGGTGATAAAATAATAGCGCTGGTGACAATGATGTTGATGATGTTGAAGAAGTACGTGGTGTAGTGGTGAATGGAAGACCATAGAGGCTACGACGAAAATTTCTAAATTTACAAAGGAAATATTTATCGCGATTATTAACTTGTTGGTTGTTGTCATCAATCAGTTGGATGAATGCTAGATGACTTATTGAGTAAGATATTAATGAAACACGAAGAGTGGATGATTGTCAAATATATCACATGAAAAATAGCTTCAATTTCATATTAATATGACTTTTGCACGCGCAATGAGACACGTTAAATGTTTGTTTCATTTCAATATGATTCGAATAAATGAATTCTAGTAGACAGATGTATTATGAAATTTTTCCATAAATTGAATCATAGTTTTACAAGATTTATATAGAAATACGAAAAAAAAATATTGTAACTTCACTATGATTAGAAAATTTCGTCTATTGATCAATATATCATAATCATAATAGTATTGAAGTGTCAATTAAAAGCAGATGAAACAATCCTATATATATATATATATAACTATTTAATTATATGATTTTGAACGAGAAAGATATAAGTACTACAAATAATCTTGTACTAGAGCCACCTGATAATAATGACTTGACTGTTAGTTTTATTTTGTTGAAAATTTTTAATAGTTCATGATCAAGTTGTGACACTTTCGTAAATCAATCATACTATTGTCTGATAGCATTTAGTTTTCAAGTTTAAAGCAGCTTATTTTCTCAAAGCCAATTAAAAATTAACATGCCGTTGTTTTCACACAATATCTATTGCACATATATATTTCTACTATGACATTGTATGGCCACTATGGCATACTAGAAACAACAAATCTCTAGTGACAATGAATGACGGATCGAGTAGAACTAATAGCAGAAAAGATTAATCAGATTCAGATATACATTTTGATTGTCGTCTAGTTTTTCTTTTCATGTAGTCAAATATCTATTGTTTATCAGTTAAATTCTGGTGTTATTTGATTTTTTGATCCGACGATCATGTTACTACTAACAAACTAATTATGATGATATTATTTCATGCAATAAAATGAATTAAAATAATAAATAAATAGGTCCGTGTCGTTCGCAATAGCTTTTAAAATAATATTCTCTTATTGTCTTTGAGTTATCTATTGGATATAAGACACGTTCTAAAACAAGTCTACTCGTGCGATTTGCAATCATCGGTGTCGTTTACAAGTTACACAATCCAGCACAAAAAAAATTGAAAATCTTCAGTAAGAGGAAAAAACGGAGCAATGGTGAATAAAAAGAATAGACTAATTTTTGGCACTGATGGCTCATCAATGATGAATATATGAGTTTTTTTTGCGCTCGTCATTATTTATCTCGACATTTGGGAACACAAAAAGAACATGCATTATTATTTTAATTATCTCTTTATTATTCACCATGTGTTAAACAACAAAACAATTTTCTTAGTCGATAAAGACAAAGATTCATGTACTACAAGTGAGGTTTTTGATTATTATTCTTTCTATTGATACTTTCCAGAACAATTTTCCAGTTTAGAATTAATTTATCGGTACAATTATTCTTGTCTTGTCATATTATTAGGTTACATTTTAGCAGCAAATAAAACAGATGTTCAATAAAAGAAACACAATTAAGATGGGAAAAAAACGATGCAAATCAAGAAAAACTTGATGAAAAACAGCCATTTTGGAAAGTAGAATAGGAAAACGAGTGAAAAATATCTAGTGAGCTAATAATTGTAATTGAATATCTACCTGATTGTTGTTGTCGATACTTTTTCTATTGGTGGCAATTTATTACTATTGTTATCGAATAACAACGGATCATCAATAATAATTTCACGTGAATTATTGGCATCATGGGTGACCTGAGATGAATTCGATACTGTATTCATCCATCCAACATTCGTAAGAGTCGTGTTTGTAACAATGAATGCTGGTCATTTACAATAAATGACGAAATGACAGTAGCCGAAGATAAATATCACCTCCGACAAACGCGTACAATCTCTAAGCCATCACACTATTAATACAAACGCAAAAAAAGCGTCGCTCGGTGTCAATGGCGGCTATAGTATTATGTACATGTTTGCACACTGCTATGAGAGCTTTCAAAAAATGTTACATAAAGAAAAATGTTAATGTTCACTATTGAAATAGATCAATTTGAAAAAGCTTTAATTATCCGTCAATTTTTCATGCATAAAACAAGACAATCACATACATTCAAGTTAAGTGAAATTGCATTAGACATTATTTTTAAATATAGTTCTGATGTGTGGAAATTAAGTTAGTTCACAGAAGCAGATGTTGCCTCCAGGTTTCGGCTCCTGTTCACTATGATACAAGAGAACAAACGAGATTCCGTCGTGCAATTAGAGCTATAACATACAAGCTAGTGTCGCATCCTATCAAAGTGATTGTAGAATCTTTTTATTTGCGTTTATGTGGCTGCTGCTTTTCATGAAGAAGAGAGAGAGAGAGAGAGAGAGAGGAGAAGGGGAAAAACGAGAAAAAATATATTCAGGGAAACAGAAACTGATATAACAGTAAAAGCAGATTCGCTAGCGGTTTTTTTTTGTCAGCAAAATAGCATCGATAAATTCCGGACTGTATGCTGTCTTAGTGATTATCTGACGAATTTTAAACTGAAAAAAACAGAAATTGTGTTATTAAGAAAAAATATGATAGTAGAGCATGTATACATCTAAATGTGCGTGTTTGTAAGACGTCGAACGGAACATTTGACCGGATATTCAGTGGCATCACTCATTATGTTCGCGTGAGGGTAGATGGGCGGCAAAAATATTATTGTGTGACAAGCTACTTCCGCGCTCTCGCTATCTGTATGCTTCACTACGACTATTGAGTTATTACTAATTTTCATTGTTGGATGCGTCTATAAAAAAACTCACAAACGAAAATTTCTGTTAGTTTTACTATTCATCCTTAGTAACGTCTTTTTTCAGAACCGTATATTCAAAAAAAGAAATCTTTTCTTTTTCTTTCATTCTTAATTTAATTTCCTTCTTGAATCTCAGTTTTTTTAAATTGTTTTTTCTTCTTTTGTACCTCTAAAGTGAACCTTCTGTTTTATTGTCGTAGATGGAATCGTTTTTTCGCCGTATGTCATCGATTGTTAGAAGAAATAGCAATAAATCTCCTGATATAGATGAACTTAACGGTGAAGATACTGAGCAACAAGAATATTTTCGGCAAATGCGTGAACGTCGACTTTCAGCACCCGATATTCGTCGACGTTCGCATGCAGTTGATCGGGTTCTGATGGAATCTGATCAAAAAATTGCATTATTCCAACAAACTAGCTTGCAAAAACTGACACCACAAACTAGCATTGGTCTTCCCACTGGTAAACAAAACAGGTCTAAAGGTATGCTATTTTTATTTAATTCTATGAAATAACTAAGAATTTCATTAACAATTACATTTGAATACAAAAGAAAACAATAAAAACGTTTCTCCTGGTAAATATCTTAATCAAAAAAAGAAAAAAACTTCTTTTTGTATTTCAACCATTTAGATTATTCTTGTTCTTGTGCAAAGATCTGTTTTAGAACTTAAATGTTAGATATCTATGTAATTTGCTTCAACGAATGACTCTAGGCTGTTTCTTTACAAATTATCTAATTTGTAATATAAACAAATTTCACATTCTTTGATTATTTCTCTTTCGTAAATGGATTTTTCAATTTGTCGATTATTCCGACACACCACTAGAGTTCTCTTGGTCTCGGTTTCAATCAAAATAAAGATATATATTCCTACTGAAGAGCACTTATAATGATGATGGATAGTTTCTATCTGATTGTGTATGTTAACCAGAGGATATAATTTTTATGTTCATATATAATTATTGATATGATTTAGTAGATTTCATCTAAAAATAAATAAATCTACAACCTATACAACTAACTAATAGTTCAAATAATCAATGAAAAAAGTAGACTTAATGCAAAGAAGAAAAAAAGCTACCAATAATAAATTCTTTTCTTAGACAGAGTTATTCAGTATTCCTATTAACGGAAACAATTTCCATCAAATTTCAGAACTTCAAACTTTTGAGGACGTCGTAGACCATAAGTAAAAGTTTCATTCTTCTTTAGTTTAATTATAGAATATAGTTTAATTTCTTTTCCTTTTACGTATGAAATTATTTTATCATTTACATTTGAATATATCATATTTTATGTCTTTTTAAAAGCAAACGATTAATATTTGAACTTATTCACATCTATCTAAAAAGAATAAATGTAAAATGTTAATATATTTTTAAACTAAATTTATAGAACATTCTATTTTAATATTGAAATAAAGTAATGATCTTGAAAAAATGCTTTCAAGTAATCAAAAACAAAACATAGAGTTAAAATAAATATTTACATTTTCACGACAAAAAACAGATCAACTAAATATTTTCTTTTTCTTTTGTATATATTCGCATCTATTCATTCGATAATATCGTTTCGAAACTTAAAAAAAAAGAATAATATTAATTATAATAAAATGAATGTTCTTCTTTTTCTTCATAAATGTAAAAACAAGAAAAAATACGAGGTCAACTGTCTTTTATCTATAATAGTTTTTTCAAATTTTTATGATTATAATGATTTGTGTAACAACTTCTGACGTGTTCATTTGCAATATATCTGAATGAATGGTATTGCTACATGAAAATGACGTGTTTCAAATGTAAATAGTATACGGACAATTTAATTAGGCTGTTTGAGAGAAAAAAGTATAACAATATTTTTCAGATTACAATTCTATGGATGTAATCTCTGGAAAACTAGAAATTAAGACACCCTATTGTTCTTGTTATTCAATCTACGATAATGGCACGTAAATTAGTTATTCACCCTTTTTTTTTGCTCTATAATTGTTTCTTTTATCTTTCCGTGTAAATAGATATGTCTTCGTATTACACACTTAGTCGATTTCCGTTTAGTTCTTTTTTTAAATTTCTCTATATGAAGAATTCACGCCAGTTCTTTCTTTTTTACAATGCACAGGCGTGTTGATGCTCATTAACATTAGTTTTAAGTTATGAACAAACACACAAACAGAAATATACTACGTGCCACATACAGTAAAACATTTTCTGTGTTTCCTTTCTTTTTTTACTTTATTCTTTGCAACCGGAAGTCAAATCGTTAGAAGTTTGTATTCTTTGCGAACAATGTTCCTAGATTAGATTAATTTGACAGAAGTGATATAGACATCCACTTGTCTTTTATCATAGAGAACTCTGATCATACGATTTTCGTGATACTAATTGTTGTTTACATAGCAAAGGATATGTTATCTAATATGTGACTCAAAAGATAGAAAGAAAGATAATAAAAAAGATCTTGAAAACAAAAGACAAAAAGGCACACACACACGCACACACTTCCTACTCGTTTTTTCTCGTTCAAGACATGACTATTTAATCGTCTACGCTCATCAAAGACTTAAACTATGTTTCCTCGATGATTATTTCTGTTATTGTTTCAATGAGGCACAGACACGGAAAGAAAAGAGAATGGAGAATAGTAGTGTTGAAGAAGAAGAAAAAAAGAAGAAAGAAGAATGAAGTACAAGAGGACCGTACATGAAAGAAAAGCGAGAATAATCATCATTCTTTTATTAGTCGTAGCCTAAGTCTTACACCTGCGTCACTAGATTTATCGGATAAATGTGCCTACTTCCATTGTAATTCTAGAATAGTCTATTGAATTGTACTTAATTTTCATGTGATTATTTCTATTCATAATTATTACTTTTGAAGAAAGAAGAGAATAAATCCACTTGTAAAAATTTATTATTTTGTTATTTAACACAACAAAAAATACTTATGGCTAAATTGGGCTCGTTTTTTCGTCGTTTATTTACTTCAAATTCTTCTGATAATCAGCATTCATCATCATCATCATCACCCTCATCATCATCATCATCATCATCATTAAAACCAGAAACTCGAAAGAGTGTACTTATCGTTGCACCGTTGCCATCACCCAAATCAACAACATATAAGTCAAAGTCAACGACTAGTCAATCATGTTCAGCGTCGCCTCAATCACGATCCCATTCAATGATAAAACAAATAACTATGAATGCTGATAATAAAAAAGAAACCTATAATTCTAATTTTCTGTCATCAGATATACATAAAACCGCTGTGCGTCGTGTTAGCACTCCAGTTACTATTCATACGTCAGCTCATCATAATTCTAAATATTCATCGATAACAGTCAGTGAAGGTACGGAAGAAGCATTGTTGGCATCATTGCAACGTCTCTCCACGTCGTCTTCAACAACAACAACAACTAATGGTAATCCTAATAATAGTATTCATAGTTTAAGTATTAACTGTAATGGTCCAACAAGTCTATTGTCGTGCCTTGATATTCGTTCAGCGTCTGTCAATTTATCGGTATCACCTAGTTTGCTAAGCAACAGTCTAGTAAACAATATTTCATCAGCATCGGGTAGGTAGAGGAAGTGCTTTGCTCCAGAAATATAATTTGACACTTTTAAGTGTTTTACACAATCGAAGTATATATATACATACATACAGATCTGGTTGGATTATTTCTTTATTTTTTATTGTTTGCGCTGGGTTTTTCTTCTATCGGCAATATAGATCAAACAAGGATGATTGGTGTTTATAAGGAAATGAGAAAAGAAGAACTCAAAATAAAAGAACGATCATTTCTAATCAAGTAGAATCGAAATTGATCGTTTTTTTGCTTATTCTGATCTTTTTGTTATCTGATTTGCAAATTATAATCTATCTCACAATCTAATTTAAGAAAAGATATAGAAATTTTTGTGATGTCAACAGATATCGATTGAAAGATATTTCTCATGTACGCTGTTTTTCATTGTAGTAGATGATTTGTGAATAATTTCGATTTATAATATGACAGCTTTTATGAATACCGTTGATATTAATGATGAAAATGATGAAAAACAAATACAGTTTTATCAACAAAGCTCGCCTATAGAAATGAAAGAGAGAATAGTTATAATGACTAAATTCACAAGTATACTAATGAAAGAAATATGATGGGTAGAAACATGAAGACAAGAGGAAATAAAAGAATACTAGTCTCGTGATTATAACTTCTTCAAACTGTCTTCATTTGCCATAAGTGACCATTTTATAAATACAAGGTCGATATGATTATGTGTATGCTTTCGATTTCCGGTGTCGGCATGTTGCATGCTCATTAGGTGAGCATGTCTTTTGGGAGTGTACTGAAAGAATTCAACGTTCTCACTCTTTTTCTGCTTCTTACTTACTGTCATTCTGTCCCAAACGCAATAAAGAGAGAAGATGATTATTGAAAGGTAGTTAAGAAAAATATTGTCTGTTTGTATGTCTCTAATTGCATTTGGTATCAATGTTCATCGATTTATAGAATCTTCAGTCGATCACAACTTATCATCGATGAATTGAGTACTGTCGATTGTCACGATTGGATAGAATATTAAAGAGAGACTGAATAGTAATGAGCAACTATGCTTGACTTGTCAAAGAGCTCGCGTCGATTTCATCTTTATGTATATATGTTTGACGTTATTTTATGAGTCAAAGTAAAGAGAAAGCACATGCACACATTTTGTAAAGACTCGTACTGTGGTACACATTCATTTTCTTATATGTATGTGTGTGTATGTTAATGTGTATCTCCATTTAATTATAGATTCAAAGTGAAAAAGAATGAAACGGCGACGACGACGTAAACAGTAATAACGATAGCGACAAGGAAAACTCATCAAGTTCTTTTTCTATTTCTCTTCTACTCTTTCTTTTTTGCTTTCTCTTCCTTGCTACTACTAATAAAATTTGCGAGGCACTCATGGCTGAATCGGACATGAGAAATCGGAAATTTTTCTCTTTATATGTCTTATTTATTTGATATAGGCACACCGCCAACACAAGTTGTCGCTGGTGCACAAACATCACCACGCATTAGTATTCCATCAAATAATTCGCCATCACACAATGTCATAAGAGATATTTCACCCGTGGTTGAAACTGCAGTCAATACTAATTTCGATAGAAAAATGTCATTACAACAAAGAGGACGACGTCCATCTATGTTTGATCCAATTGATCCTAAAGAATTACAGCAAGCATTATATGCTTCTGCAGTAAGTTATATTTCAGGATTTCATAAGACTTGTTTAAATATTTGTCAACTATAGCAAGCTTCTATACCGACAAATCCAAAAAATGACGATGATGCATTTCGAGCTATTTCACAGATAAAAATTACTTATGATCGTGACGGTGAACATGTTTTTATTGATAGTCTATGTTTTGAAAACATGCAAATGCTTGATGCATTTTCGATTAATAATTATAATTATAATAGCAACCACAATAATACTACTACTAATAACATGGCATTATCATCGACAACTAGCACTAGTATCAGCACAAATAATAATGATTTTATACCATTCTATTGTCGTTTCCGATTATGGCCTGAAAAACGTAGTCTATTTCAAACAAAAATAGTTCGTCATCCACGCTTTCAGTCATCTTATTTATTTGATGCAAAACAATTAAATGATTTTGAATTATCATTTGATCAATTAAATAATCACTTTCTTGAACTACTTTTATATAAAGTAGGAACAATAAAGCCATCATATAAAGATACTCGTATTGCTACTGTTAAGTATGATCTTGGAAACTTAAATGGAACTGATGAAGTTTCACTGAAAAAGCCATTGGATGAATCAGATCCAATATCAACAGTACAAGTTAGAAATTCACTTTTTATTTTTTATTAAATAATATTTTCATGTTATTATTAATTTTCTTTTTTAAACATAGGATCCCGATCTAGGTGACTTACTTGTTTCACTATCGTATTTACAAAGTGCTGCTAAATTAGCTGTTGTCGTACTTGAAGCAAAAAATTTACGACCACTTTCAATTGAAAATAAACTATTTCCAGGTAAAAATTTTATATGAGAGAAATAAAGAAACGAATTCTTTTTAAAAACTTTTTGTAGAAGCATGTGTGAAAGTAACACTCTTTGATCGTAATGGTAAAAAGTTGAAACGTAAAAAGACTAGTGTAAAACGTGCATCAGATTGTCCGACATTTAATGAAGAACTGGTTTTTGAATTACGTCGTGATATAGCACAAGAAGTTATGATTGAATTACGTATTGTTCATGAATCATTGTCGTATAAAGAACAACTTGGTTCGATTATATTTGGTCCAACTATTAATAATATGACGAAAGGACCAATTAGCGCAGAAAATATTTATTGGTCAACAATTTTATCTGGTGAATCTCTCAATGCACAATGGCAAATGCTAAAAATACCCATAAAAATAGAAGAATCAAAGTGATAAAAAATTTGTTTGTTGATGATAATAAGTGAGAGAAAGGAAGAAACATTCTTATATTTTTTCTTTTATTTGTGTCTCTATGTGGTGTCTAGTCATAATCTGTTTTGTTGGATAAAAGAAATATATATATATATATATATATATATGACTTAAACAATGGAATAAATTTATTTATTGAATAACATCTATTTATACTGCAGTAGTCATAAATAACACATTATTGAACAAATAAGTCGGGAAATGAGAAACTGCTAGCCGATTTCTTTATATCTTCCACTTGTGTATTCAAATAAAAATCTATTTCTACTGAAAATAGAAACAAAAAAATAGTGAGAGCTTTCATCATGTTCAGTTTGGTCACGTGTTAATAAATGACAATAAAACAAGGCGAGATTTCCACTTGAAGTTTCGATCTAAACAAAAAGTTCAATTTATCCAGTGTGATTTACAAAATAACAGCAATCATGCATGTATCCTCGTTCGAAATAAATGTATTTTCTGGATCTATGAAAGAAAACGTGATTAAAGAAAAATAAAATATAAAATGGGTCGATTATGTTTTTATATAAAAATTTAAATTAATTTGTTATTATTCAAAATCAGAAATGAAACTATAAATTACTAATAGTTAAATTATTAGAATGAGACATGCAGTACAAATATTCCTATGCTTTTATTTATTTCATTATTAACAAGCAAGACATTAACTATAATTCTTTTAACAACATGCGATTTTTGTGCAGTAAGTTAATATCAACTTATGTATAGAGATCTGAAGTAAGCAAGTTAAAATAGTTATTATTTTCAAACTGAATAGACCAAAATCATTTCAAATCAAACATTATTCATTTTGTTTTGTGATAATTCTTATTAGCTTTATTTCAAAATATTCTTAATTCTGATTGGCAAGATATCAGGCATTACGTTGCCGACTGTTGTGCTATGTCTGACGAGTGATTTTTATTTTCATGAAATTCTAAGAATATATTTGCCTATGTGTCTATATTAGTACTGTTTCATTGCAATGCATTTGTTTGATTGCTATATATATTTTTTTCTTAATAGCTCCGTTGTCTTTTAGCTCGAGGCATTCTTTATTCTTCTTTGCCATTCTGAGCAAAACTTATATTTTGAACGTTTTTAAGTAACATATGCTTGTTCTCACACACACATTTTCTTTTCAAAAAGAGGAAACAGTACTTCAAGTATAGTTTTCAATCCGTTAAGAGAAATATTTTCTAGATATATCTCGATTCACTTCAAAAAAAGCTTATATAGACTATTAATTAATTGGATTACCAAGTATGTCCCATGAGGATGCATAGTGATCAATTGCTTCACTTGTTTTTAAGCATTTAATCGTATTGTATCGTAAATAATTAAAAGGACATAGCTATGCAAAAATGATTAAAATTTGACTTTCACGTGATGAAATTCTACTCGTTTTTGACATAACACCAAGAGAGTAAATTCATAAATACCATTCAAGAAGTCTTACGAAATGACGTCACAAAAAATAAAGATATAAAAATTTCAGTTTTAGCCTTTTATTTTACGTGATTTTTATATGCTTATGTGTTTAACACACTTTTTCAAAGTTGAGAAATCAACATGTATCATTCTTAATTTTAGCATAATTATAAACTTTGAATATAACAATCGTATATAATAAGAATAGGATGCGTAATGGGCGATAATATATTTTTATTTATTTTCTATTGATGATAAATTATTTCTAACACAAGTGCTTCCAAATCATTGTAGTTTGTTCCAATAGTCTTAAGTTGAAAAAGATTAGCTCATGTTTTCGACGCATAGCTAATCATTAATCTGAAAAGAAACCCATGAGAAGAAAATAATTCTTTTGTGAAACACGATCTGAAAGGAGTGTTGACGTTTGAAGAAACCTTATTGTTAGTCTTTGTAATATTTTCTTCTGAAAGATGACACAGAGTACTGTAAAGTCTATTTACATTTGTAACTGGCAATTGAAAGAATCAGTAATCTTTTCTTAACTATATTTTGGTTGATTTTATGAAAGTGAAAACCATAATAAATTTAGTTGGAACATACGCCGAATACAGAATGATGTTGTTTTCATTATCTATTTTTTTCATGCTAAACAGTAGTGAGTTGTAAAGTGTTGCGTGACATTCATTTAGAATCATTTTAATGTTATATTTCACTGAAGCCTTGAAAGAAGTGCTCTAGGTGTCAAAGTAAAAATTTTCGAAAATAATTAGTCAACAGCAGGATGGGTCTAATTTTGTTCAGTTCGTATTGCATGTTCTCGAAATGATGGCATAAACTTGTTGTTCTTGAAGACTGTCAGGCACAATGTAAGTTCCTGCCATTAATGAATCACGGAATGAATCGAATGCAAGTACTTTATGATTGAGAGTTACTGATTAAAAGTATGGGCAAAGATAAAACTGAAAATCGAATCCACCCCTGCCCTTGCACATATACGCTGTTTCGCATGTATAACAGGACCACTCCTCGACTGTTTTCTTTTGTTCTGTGAATAGACGTGACTGACCCTTTTTATCTAGTGTTTTGCAATGTGTTTTTCTTGAGATATTGTCATAATTAAAAAAGGAGTATTTATTTGTTCATTATTACTTATTCAAGTATGAGATTTCTATTTTCCTCTCTAGTTTCGTTATTTTTACCTTGTTGTGTACTCAAAAAGTGAGTACACCCTAGATTCGATCAGCGTGTCTGTTCGGCCGTTAACACGATAACTCTTGAAAGCTTCATCCAATTGTCATGAAATTTTGTACACAGAATGATCTCATCAATATCTCAGTCGAGTTCAAAGATGAGAAAGATTCGTCAAGAAATGGCTGAGTTATCGAAAAAATTGTCATTATTGACCAGACCATCCCTGAAGGGGGGGGGGGGGGGGGGGTGACAGGGTTTTTTTCTTAGAATTATTCACAGCATATCTAAATCGACTCAGTTTTTGCAGTACACATAACAATCGGATGCGAATCCGATGTTTCCGCATTTATTTTTTAATTATATCCGTATTTCATGCCTCAACCATTACATTTTTAACTCATCACAATGATTCTCTACTTGTTTGTGATAGGATCATATGAGAAGAAAGTAAACTTTTTCTTCCCTATAACATGATCGAGGAAAAGAATTAATGATTATGTCCCAAGTTTCTACAATAAAGCTGTCAGATGATCTCTCTCTCTCGTTCGCTATTTTCAACGTTATATAAAATAATTATAACTTTTTAGTATAGCTATATTATTATATGAGAATATTCATTTTCTGACGTTGTTTTCAATAAGCCTTACAGATCTTTTTTCAGAAAAATTACTCTAATAAGTTTTATCCTACACGTAATGCAAATTTTCGAGTATCACCTTGACTGTAAACATCGAGTATTCTCTCGAGAAGTGTAATAAGTGTCGATATCAATGGATTAGTTTTATGAGTTACAATTGACAGGAAGAATTTCGAGAGATATTATCATGATGTCGCTAGCTAGCCTGCTTTTGTATTCATGTCTAATTCATCCACTACAGTTAATAGTAAAAAGAAATTTATTTCTTAAACATTTGATTTTTTCATTATACATTCAAACTCTTTTTCGATCGAGTTGAGTACAGGTATGATTCGGTTTGAGTGCTCAACTGTGAGTCTTCTTTTTACTAAGCTCGTAACCATTTCTTAAATTGGCCGATACTTCTTAAATGGCTTCAGTTAGAAAAAAAATGTATTAAACGAAAATATGCACATGGGAACTCATTAAATACATATTATTATTCACTAATCATTTCGAAGATCTATCATATTTTTGAGAGATAATAGTAATGATGATGATGCAAGTTGATTTTTGTGGAAATGGTTTCTCTTGTATTTTCGTCAGGGCATACAGAAATAGTGTTGATTTAGAAAAAATATGACATAATGCAATCAACAAAATAGTAACTCAATTTCGTCGAGATGAAAATTATGATTGTATTTTAAACAGTTTTCCGTTATAATTGATTGATTACCAAAAATATACTCTATATATTTTTTATTAAAATAAACAAGATTTGTTGAGCATCGTAGAAATTATTGATACATAGTTTTAATACTGTGAAAGTGACAACATCGATAATTCAATGGAAATAAGACTTAGGAGTATTAAAATTTCAAATGTTGTTCCCATCACAAAAAGTATTGCTTATATCTTAAATCAGACATATGAATTTCAATGCAGTGTATATTTTGTTTAGTGCAAACGATAAATGTTTACCTTGAAATGATTTACAGAAAACGGAGTAAAATAAACCGAAATTATCTGAATAGATTTTTTTTTCTAATTTTAGCCAAATTTTACAGGTGAAATATTCGCTCAAAATATTATTTTGGTAATTAGAGTAATGTTTAGTTCAGAAAAATTTATAAAGTATCGTCTATGAAGTAAATGTGGCTATGAAAATTTTTGCAACGATATCCTACCGAATTGAATAGAAGAAAGTTTAAACAATTTTTTTTCATTTTATAATTTATTTGAATAAAAAACAATAAAAACAAAAGTCAGCTTTATTTTTTCTTTCTTTGGCCTTCTTTTGAATTAATTTTATCTTGGAGTTTTCTTTCTAAATATGGTCTCTTTTCTTTGTTTATTGATGAATTTTCGTACACAGGTTTCAGATTTGAATGTGTTGAAATATGTGTTTGTCTGATATCTTTTCGTGCTTGATGACCACAGCCATGTACTTCAGGCATTGAATGTTCAAAACAATAGCGGCGATTACAATATGAACAAAGTTGTCCTAATAAAGTTATTTTAACTTTGCATCGCTGTGCATTACAAATATTATCTTGCTGGCGAGCTACTTCTAATAGATCATCGATCGATGCGTCAGCATTCATAGATGCTAATTTATTTTCTTTTTTCTTAACATTTTTAGGACGTACTGGAGCAACATTTAATGTGGAAGAAGATTCCGCTCCCTAGAATAGGTAATAGAAAATTATTGAATTTAAAAGAAAAAAAATCGTCGTACAGAAGTTGCATTCGTTGAAATAGTAACTGAAGATAAGGGATTTACACGTTGACAATATATTTCATGCAATTGAATATTTTGTGGTGGAATTTCTTTATGGCAATACCGACAGAGATTAACAGGATCGAGTATAGGTGATTCAACCTAGCACATGTTGGTTTGATTTAAATAAAAATGAGAAATTACGAATAAATTTCAATTTTTACTTTTGTTTCATCGTTTTCTTGTGAGACTGAATCTGAATCAGAAATTGTTTTTGATAGTTTTCTATTTTTATCAATCTTTTGATTTGAAACTTTCTTTTCTTCTTCCAATAAAGAAAATGAACGAAACTGTTGATTCACATCTGTTTCTTCTTCTTCTTCTTCTTCTGTTCGATTCTCAATGATTTTCTTTGTTTTGCTGGTTGCAATTGAAGTTTTTTTGCTAATAGTTATATGCCTTTGATCACCGACACCTTCACTGATATGTTGTAAATTATGTTTTTCAGCCAACTAAATAATTGATTTCAATCGAGACTCTCAAATAACTTTCTATATACATACTTCATGCACATAATGTCTGCCAAACGGTGATAGACCATCTTCAAATTGTAATTGTTGTACACGAGGATCATTGAGAAAAGCTGTAATACGTTGATCAAGAATATTCGTCAGCACATTTTCAAGTGTATTTGTTGCTTCTGATCGTTGATTTGTTTGTTGCCTAAAAATAAAAATATAGGAAACAAAATCGAATTATCTTCTTTCTGTTTACTTGGGTTGTTTCGATTGTTGTTTTGTTTGTTTTGTTTTACAAGATGTTGATGACTTTTTCGATGAAATTGTTCCTGGAAAAAAGTTGTTGTCTACAAAGATAAAGGTAGATTTCATTAAAATAAAATGAGGGATATAACTACCATCAATAAGTTCAAATGCAGAGCGAACTTGCGCATTTTCAAGCATATAATTAATCAATCTTTTTATAAATGGATCATGAGTAACTGTTTGTACGTTACAAATTATACATAAATGTCTTCGCGCACGTGTTATAGCAACATTTATTCGACGAGAATCCGATAGAAAACCAACTTCACCTAAAAGAAAAAGAAAGCTATCCATAAAGTACATTTATTGTTCTTTTAATATTTTAGTATCGTTTAACTAACCGCGTAGATTCGATCTAACCATTGAAATAATAATAACTTCTTTTTCTCGTCCTTGAAAACCATCAACAGATTTTATTTCTAATGTTGGATATTTGCTTAAAAGTTTGTGGCGCAATAATTGTACTTGCATATTATATGGTGTTATGACACCAATTTGATCAATTGATACGCCGTAATTTTCAATGAGCTCTTGCACATGAATATTAACAAGTGCAACTTCACCTTCATTTCCACGAGAATTTTCATCGTCACAAGATATTTCTGGCATATCGTAACCCGTTGTATCAATGAGAAATAATGGGCATTGAGCTAAATTTTCATCATCCATTTCATATTGACTATCACGTTTTGAGATATTTGATAAATCTTTTAAAAGATGTGATTTAACTGATTTATCGGCAATTAATTTTCCTTGATAAAATTCATTTGATGACCAATTCATGATGGCTTCGTTCATTCGATATTGAATTGTTAACATACGAGTTATCTAAACAGTAGGTGGCAAAAAAATCTTTTAAAAAGAAAATATAAACTGCTCATATTCAGCATTGTCTTCAAAATTGAAATTATGAACAAATGAAATATTTAATGAAGTCTTAATTACAGATATTCTTAACATCTCAAATAATTCTAATGTCTAAATTATTTTTTCTCATACGAAGTTTTTCTCGGGAAATTAGTTATCCTAACAAAGGCATTTCTTAAAATCGTAATATCTGATTTTGTTTTGTACGAACTTTATCACCGAATTGTTCAGTTAATCGTTGCATCAATGTAATTGCTAAACCATCTTTTGAAGCTTTTTCACTTAAAATTGTAGGCGGTAGTTGTAGATGATCTCCTGCTAAAACGCACTTCGGTGCACGAAGTAAAGCTAGCCAACATGCTACTTCAAGAGCCTAAAGAAATATCATAAAAACAATGAATTATATTGCTAAAGTATCATATACTTGAGAGCATTCATCAATAACAACTAAATCAAAATGATTCAGTGGTAATAATTTTAATGGACCATCATCAGTTGCTGATGTTAATGTACAAAGAATAACATTAGCTGTTTTCATTGCTTCTCGACTGGCTTTTTCTTCATACAATCGAATATCTTTTCGTAAACTTTTTATTTCTCTTTTTAAGCACTCACGTTCACTTCGATCCGTGGACGATTTTCTTAATTTATTCTTAAATAAATCACATGAAATTAGAGACAAATAAATCGAAAAACAATCTAGTCTTACAAAACATTGATTTAAATCATCACGTATAGCATTTTTAACATCCTGATAATTTTCCAGAACAATTGACTCCAATGAAAAACGTTGTATAGATTCAAGTAAACGTGCTGGATGACCAAGGCGAATAAGTTTTAATTGTTTTTTTCTTCCAAGTCGTTCAACAAGATTATCAACGGCTATATTTGATGATGCACAGCACAGAATTTTTGTATCACGTTTTAATGCTTCTTGTAATATATATTCAACAATTGTTGTTGTTTTACCTAAAGAAATTCTATTAAAAATTTCAATTAAAATAAGCAATTAGAAAATACCAGTTCCCGGTGGTCCATGAATGATAGATATATCACGGGAAGCTAATGCAAAACCAACAGCTTCTCGTTGCGATTGATCGAGACTTTCATTGAACCATTGTGATGGACCAGTATTGTGAGACAAATTTAAAGCACTCGGATCACCATTGTCAAACGCAATATCAAGTAAATTATGAGCTACTCCTTGACGTTGTTTTACCATTAGCGTGAGACCACTAGAGAATAAAATAATAATGTCAAATGAATAACTATTTAGAATAAGAAAATCAAATCATCTCTATATGTTAAGCTAGTCTGATTTGCTTCATTCGTGACTTCAATTTAAAATTATTGGAACGTTTTTTAGCACGTATTTGATCTTCTACTATCATTCACGTATCTATTGAAATACGAAGCGAACTTTTTCTATAACGTGTTTCATTTATAAGATTTCCAGCGAATTTCTGATTTGTCAATAATTTAAGATCTAAAATCATTCGATTCATAATCATAATCAATGAAATAAAATGTCTGTCTATTATCTTAATTTAAATGTCATTTAAACTTTACATACTGTTTCAATCGTCGATATGTGACATCGTTAGCCATTTTAATAATCATAAAAAGGCATGTATCGCCTAATGAGTTAAATTGCTCATCATCATTATCCTCAATAGTTATATGTATTGTATTCGCTGTTAAACGAAATATAAGACCATGAGCTAACGAAATTTGTTCATCGATTGAATGTGCTTGTTGATAGATAGCAGCTATATCACCTGAAGAAAACGACACACTTCTTTTGCAACAAATGTTTTTGAGAAAATAAACTCACCTGGTCCAAATGTTTGAGCACGTGAAAGAGATTCACCTTCAAAAACAAGAATTGTTCGTCCATATAGACCTGTATATGTATATTGAAAACGAAGTCGTGTGAGACATAATCCTCGTTCGGCAAGACATTTTATTGATTGACCTTTCAGTGCTTCCCTATAAATCATAACAACTTTATGAAAGCTTTTTTTGTTGTGGAAAATTCATTCTATCTCACGTTGATTGTTTTATTTCTTCTTCACGTTCTAATTCAAGTAAATCTTGACATTTTTCAACAAATGACTCTACACCATTCATCTATAAATAGGGCAAACATACTTTCTAATGTTTATTACAAGTTAGGTGAAATGCACAAAAAAAAATAGAAACAAGTGACTAAAGTCATTTATCTTTTCTTCTTTCTTAATTTTAAAGCAAATTTAGCTGCCAACAAAAAGTGATCCGAAGCAAATTGATCATTTGGTAAATGAAGATCTAATATTTGATTTTGTTTATATAAATCATAACGACTTAATAAATTTAGTCTATATCGATCATGATCTTGTTTTGTGTAAAATATATAATCAACTAAATTTGATTCACTATTAATACATGTTGTAACTTCGGTTAAATCATTTAAATCATACACAGAATTAAACTTTTTATTGTGAGTTAATATTGCTGATGATTTCCGATCCATATATGTTTGATAAATAAGTTGGTTCGTTTGGTTTATTGAATTGTTGCTTGGAAAACGGCAATCAGAAGTAACAAATGATGATGGTAAGAGCTCATTTGATGGAAGTTGACAAGAAAAACGATTACTAGCAATTGTTTGTGGGATTTGACCAGATATTTCAATACAACGATATGTGTCATATTTGATTTGTCCATCGATTAGAAATTGTGAAAATGGAGATTGAGGTTGTGCGTTAAAATCGCCACAAATAATGATAGGATAACAAGTACTTAAATTAGAATCTTTAAGTGATAATCGATCGATTTCAGCGAGAAAATACTGTATTTGAGCTAATTTGATATCACCACGTTTTGGTGAAAACAATAGATGAGTTGTAGCAACACAAAACAAATCATCTGATGTAGCATTCGATGTAAATGGTTGAAATAGAGCGATCAAACCACAGTTGTCTCTGAAAAAAAACCGTAGATGAAAAAATTAGAGTTTTGAATTGCCATCAGATTTCAAAAAAAAAAGAAAAAGAAATGTAGAAACATTTCGGTTTGTATCAAGAGCATTTAATCCTGGAGATTCAGCAAGAATTTCTTCTTGAAATTTTGATAATGACCAATATAGGATGAGATGAAAAGAATTCTAAAAATTCTTGAACTCAATGTGTGTGTATAGTCATGAATTTCATTATTTCAGAAATTGAAAATTGAACTTTTACCACTATTTTATTATTCTTCATAGGATCAAACACTATCGAATAATTAGGGATATCCATTGACATGAACTTTTGTTATATTTAAACAAATTTAGTAACCAACGACTAGTTCTGAGTGTACCTGTCTAAAAGTTGAATATTTCTTTGAAAGAATGGTACTGTTTTGCTGGCAATCAACTTTAATCGATCTTTTTTATAAAATAAACAACATCCATCTGATTTATCACCACTACGTTTAATATAAATCGAAGCATATCCTTAAAACATATTTAAAAAACAATTAATTTTTAAGCGGCTGATTTTGTTTTTACCGTTATCAGTCATTTTTGGGCGAAAATCATGCTTATAATGATCTTTTTGCATTTCTTGCAAGCAAATAATCTAATGTAATGAAATTAAAAAGATCTTCACTTTTCCTATAAACGTTTTTTTAAAACATACATCAGCATTTTGTTTTAAAATTTCCTTCAGTAGCCGTTCTTTTCGTTGATTCCACTCGAGACTTTTGTCTCGACAATTATCATATAAAAATGGGTTATCTTCAATTAATCTTTGAGCAAGAATATTATAACTAACTATGTGAAAATTAAAATGATGATAGCGACTTCTAATTAAACGTTCTCCATAAGTTGTATTAGACCATAAACGTTTTGGAAGATTAGATTCAACTAGAATATATGAATTTACAAATAAAATGATAAATATAATATAAACACTTACAAAATGAATCTTTTTTACGCTTATTAGATATATTAATTGATGATGAAGATTCTCTTGAACGTTTATGCATTGACGTGAAATTAGGATTATCAAGAAAATAAAGTTGTTGTTCAGAAAGTATATTCGTTCGCTGAGAATACGAAAGAAGGGAAGAGGGTTGTTGTGATTGAAACCAGGAATCCCAATTTTCACTTGAATGGTCTTCGACTCGTTCTTCTATGTCTAAGTGATGTTGTTGACGAAATCGAGGATTCCAATGAAGAGTGGGTTCCCGTGGTTGATGAGTTAATTTCAAAGAATGAAGATTAATTATATATTGATTCAACTGTGAGCCAATGTTTTGAATCGCATCGTTATTATATTCACGTGTATTCGATGAAATAGAAATGTTAGATAATAGAGAACGGGTTAAGCGTTGGGAACAAAAGTAAAAATTAATGCGAGCTACCAATGTAAACATAGAACATCGAATCGATGAAAAAAATTGCGCAAGAGAAATAATTTCACAATTAAATTACACACTTCTTTTCCTTTTACAGAAACTTGTTGTAGTTATTATGTAGTTTATAAAACCAACAACTACATGAGTATCTGATTGGTCAAAACAATCAGCCATGAGATGCCAAACATAAGCCTCCCTTCATTCATAAAATGGTGAACTTCCAAGCTATTTAAGAAAGTCGACCGCTTACTCATTAACACCATGATGTAAAATCCTATCAATTCAAGTGTTGAGAATAATCTATTTATAGACAAAAAAAATCGATTCTTAACCATATCAACCGAATACAAAAAAATTGAATTAAGAAATTTCATGGATTGATGTCGCTACGTATACATACTATACATTTTTAATGTAGTATTGTATTATTCGTATTATCTTCTTGAGTTCATACTGATACAGTAGTTCGATGTATATTTTGCGTTGTGCAATCATAATCTACGTAATAATTAACAACCGACCGATATTACTTCAAGGATGAAACAGAGATAAATGTGTACTTTATTTTCGGTCTTCAACCCTTTTCATACAAAAAACGAAGACATTTACATGTAAGAGAACATAGATGCCACCAGGCCGGCCTGCAGGCCAGCAAAAACAATTCTTTTTAAACTGTAGCCTCGCCTGATCCGTCCATATAATATTGAATCAGGTTAACAGGCTATGCCAGCTCAAAGTTACTGACCTGTTTCAAGTCTTTTTTGTATGGTCTTTTTGCATCAATTTAATAGTAAATTAATAAAAAAAGACAAATTATCATCAATATTTTTCATCCAAAAAAAAACTTGAATCAGGTCAATAACTTTGGGCTGGCATAGTCTGTTAACCTGGTTCAATATTATATGGACGGATCAGACGAGGCTACAGTTTAAAAAAATTTCTTCTGGCCTGCTGGCATATCTGTAAGGGAAGTTATCGACAGATTCGAGTTTTTCCTGAAACGATTCGTTTCACCAATCGTGCCACTTCTTGAATGTAGCGCGCCAGATAGAACTCGCTGGACTCTATATAATGCTATATTCAAAAATTACCTTTGCATGAAAGGAAAAGAAATACTGATCAAAATAGGATTTATCGTGGGACAAAATGTACACTTTTAATATTTCCTGAATATATTCGATGCTTCACGTGTGCCACTTTTGAAACTTATGTCACTCGATGCAGCTCGGTGGGTTCTATCAATTGATGTATTGGTTGGCATGATTAACACAATAGGATCAGCTCCACCCAGGTTGATCAAAACGGACTCGTTTACAGTCTGTTTATCGACGGCAAACGGTGTCCAAACGGTATATTTACGGCAGTAAATAGGCCGTATTTGCCGTAATGCCTGGCACAGTAATACGACACCGTAAAAACGGGACTGAATTTTCATGGTTTACGGCTGTCTGTACTCCGTACTCTCATGATCATACGGTCCGTATTACTGCGCCAGATATTACGGCAAACTTTCGCCCGGAAAATAGTCGTAAAGTAACCGTAAACGGCCGCATACGCACCGTACTGTCTGGCCTTGGCAGTACAGCAACACATTAACCATATAGCATAGGATGCAGTTATTTTTGTAGGAGATTTGTGCAACTAGATACCCTAATGATGCGCTGTGTCGCGTTCGTTGCATCTGGGTGAGTGGCTTCAATTGAAGTTTGATTTAGTGTGATTATCACTACTACCGCGAGAACAGTGCTCGAAATGTTAATGGTCTCACGTACGGAATACTTAGTGTAGTGAGCTATTCATTTGGCGAGGTATGCCAATCGTAATCCTGAGCGCCATGAATTTATGTATTACTGAACACGGTTAGTCCTCATACATCTACGACAACAACCGAAGTATCTATGATGTCGGTTCAAAGGAATACAAGGTTGGCAAAACTCTATACAAATATTTTGTTGTTTGCAGAGACTAGATCCTAGTAAAAACACTCTCACTCGTGATATTTTCATTGCGTTCATAAATGAACGCGCACTCAAAAATATTTCGATGTTTAATCGTTACTCTTTCGTACGTTGACCTTTAAGAAAGGATGATTGGAGAACAGTATCAAAGTACCTATCTCATTCATTCTTAGATTGTTGTGAACTAACAGAAGATTCTTTTTACCTCCTTCCCATTTTAGTTTGCAGTCTTCATTAACTTTATTCCTCTTTTCTATTGTAAAATCCGATGATTATGATTTCACTTTTGTTTTCATGTATAATAAAAAGAAGCTAAGCATACCTTAAGCAAACTGCTACATTGCCTGGCGAACATCTAAACATTGATTCGGTCACTTAACATCTGAACAGAGTTACCAAGTTACACTACTATAAGATTAGTCACAAAATGACTTAACAGGTGCTATAAATTATTTAGTATACTTTACAACACCGTACGGCAGTCCATGCATGTAATTGACAGAGCTGTATTCCATAAGACACATAATATTGCAAGCAACTAGAAAATCAAATCGTTCTATAGCAAATAACTTTCAATTTAACTTTTCAAGGATCTGAACTAATGCTCTTGGTTTCTAATTATAAATTTTATCAAACTAGCTGTCTATTGGAACACGCAATCGCGATCAACAAAACGCGGTATGTGCCAAGACTGTTAATACCTCTTGCAATAAACCTTCTTAAAAGATGTGCCATTGAAAATCTAGCATGACTCCTTCTTTGAAACTAGTTTACTGTGTAGCAATGTTAATCAATAGATTGATACATCCATTGATAGGGGCTCCTGAAAGTGAAATTGCAGCGATATATGGCAAGACTGGTACGCCTGTTGTATTGAATACTGATAAATTACACTTTCTTGAAATTCTTATATTATCGACATTTCATCCATTATGGTAGACATATGATGGCTGATCAAGTTGAATGATACCTCAACTCATAGAATACAGACAGCTGCATTGACTGAGTCATTAATCATCAGTTGTATGCTTGGGCAGCTGAAACTATTCCATAAGGATGATTATGTATGTAGCATAATTGGTCTTTCTGGTTATTGTTGATGTAGTACTCTTCATCATATTCAGGCATACATCAATCGATACAGCTCATCGAAGAACATCTAATAAGGTTAGATTAATCACTGGCACACATAGCAAAGCGAGTCGCTAACGAAAATAAGTATCATTTTATGTAAGTTAATTCATATTTGGGGGCTCTTGGTGATATGGTGACGCTAATCATGCCAAACGATACATCAATCGATAGGGCTCATCTAGCTGCACCGAATGATATATCTATCAAAATTGACACTCTTACTCAAGTGCTGTTGCTGGCGCAGTATTGTTAATCATGCCAACCAATACATCAATTCATAGAGCTCACCGAGCTGCATCTAATAATGTTAGATTCATCATAGGCACACATAGTGAAACGAAGCGCTCACGAAAATAATCATTTTCCATGTACTTTTATTAATATTTGGGACCTCCCGGTGGCATAGTAATGCTAATCATATCGAGTCATACACCAATCGACAGAATTCAAAGAGCTGCATCGAGTGAGATATGAAGCGTGATTGTCACGCATACTCAAGCAAATTCTCACGGAAAACAAAAATTGGTTCAATTGTACAAAAGGAGCATAATTCGGGTTCCATAACTCATTTATTATTAGTTACCATACGAAATTATACATCACTCAATAGGTCTTATTCAACCACATCGAATGTAATTGCTCTTTTCAGTGGCACATATTTTGAATCGAATTTGTAAAAGATAATGTTCGCTATAAATGTGTCGTGACTGAAATTAGGAATGCTATTGCTCTTTTAGTACTACTGTGTATATCAAACGACACATCAATCGATAGAGCTATTTAGTCTGAGTCGACTCAATTAGGTTTTGGGGTTGGCACACGTTTTAGCACGGATCCGTAGATGAAGTATCACAAAATTTCCGATTTTCACAGGTGTATTGAATATTTTAGGCTCATGAGTTTTAAAGATTGTAGATTTGAACACTGTACTAGACAGAACTCATCGAGCTGCATCGAGTGATATAAGTTTCAAAAGTGGCACACGTGAAGCATCGAATATATTCAGGAAATATTAAAATTGTACATTTTGTCCCACGATAAATCCTATTTTGATCAGTATTTCTTTCCTTTCATGCAAAGGTAATTTTTGAATATAGCATTATATAGAGTTCAGCGAGTTCTATCTGGCGCGCTACATTCAAGAAGTGGCACGATTGGTGAAACGAATCGTTTCAGGAAAAACTCGAATCTGTCGATAACTTCGCTTACGTGATTTTTATGTGTTTCCTTGGTTTTATCCCTCCACAATACTTACAAGATATGACATGATAAACACATCAAAATAGCCTAAAAAATATTTAATTGAATGTTAACGAGTCGGTCAGATAGAAATAAATCCATATTTTTGTAGCATCTGAAAGAGGTATCAATTGACTTTATTCTGCACCTGTGTTTTCTCACTTATTCAAACTTGCTTTAACTATTAGTATTTATTTCTGAAGATTTTCTGGGTTATGCTTTATTTCACGTTTTGCTGAAGTAACATCAGTCGACTTCGGCGAAGCATTGCTCATGGCTTCTTGACAGCTGCTGTTGTTCTCGCCAAAGATTTATTTGCTTCGGTACTATTTGTTTCTTTCGCTATTGAAGCACTTTTTCTCGTAGTCGTACTAGTCGGCTTTGAAGGTGAAGAATCCTTTCTCATAGAAGAAGCACCTGCTTTTGTTGGTGAGACATTTGTAGTGGTCACTCTGCTGCTTGTCTTTGAAGGTGAAGAATGTCTATTTGAGGAAGCCGCAATTGCCTTTTTTGGTGGTGCGTGAGTCGTTGTAATCGTATTGTCGGATATTGTAGATGGAGAACTCCTATTCGCATTCGTAGAAGCTCCTACCGAAGATAACGAATTATTGTTTTTAGACGAAGTGGCTTTTTGTTGATTCGATCCACTTTCTATTTTTAGGAATTTTTTAAAATCGCGCTAAAATTTTGATATTAGCCATCCTAGGATAAACTCCATTAAAGTATCTTACTTCCCAGCCGAGTAATTTGGCTAATTCGACTACTCCTTCATCACAGCTACTTTTATGAAATACATCGCGACGATTTGTCGGTGAGTTGAACATTAGTGCGCTGCCAAACTAGATCAACAAAGAGAAAGTATTACTGTTTTTGTTAAGGTTATTGTTTAAAAAAGTATTAATAATTGATTACAAACCGGGTTCCAAAATGGGTTTACTTGACCGACTTCCTCCATATTGATCAAGAGTCGAGGACAATTTTTATTAACACTATTGCAAAGCAAAATGATAATCTATGAATGTGTGATCCATTTTATTACTATCGTAGTTGAAATTATATTATAGTCGATTTCGACAAATAGTAGGACTGATCTTACAATTATCTTTATTATAGACGTGTGTTATACTCCTCCAATAGTTGCATTTTCGTCTAATTTATAGATAAGACAAGCTTCTACACAAGACATGGAAAGAGCACAAAGAAAAAAGTAATAGAAATGAACTAAGAATCGAATGAACAAACAACTACTCCTACTGTTTAAAAGAGATGAGAGTATCTAGTAATCTATCGACATGATTCTTGACATCTTTAAATCGATCGACAATAAATATAGATCATTTCCTTATTATAGATACAAGTCAAAACGTTCATTCAACGATAGCTAGAAAATTGTTGATCATACCGAGAAATGAGTCCATTAAATGGCGCAACTGCAAGAGAAGTACCTATGATAATTAAAAAATCGGCTTTCGGAAAATCCTACAAAAAAAAGAAAAAGAGTAGAAGTTATTCAGAGAATTTCAAATATTCAATATACAATTTCAGCACATTCGGAAAATCGTGTTGGTAAACTTTCGCCAAAAAACACAATGTCTAAATTCAATTATAACTACTGAAAAATACCATTATTTTAGAATAAAAACTACCTGGCTTAATAAGGTTCTTGCATGCATCACAATAGGGTATTTCATCTTTGAAAATAATCTCTAAATAATAGAGAAACATGAATGTATAATGATAGATAATATCTAAAACGGTAAGAAAACTCTGAAACACATTATGTTTTCGAAAATTCATATATTAAAAAATCTGGAGTTTTTCTTCAGTTTAACTGTTCAAATACTCTCAAATGGGTTTCCGAAAATCATCGCCAAAGAGTGTCGACTAACCTCGAACATATTCCAATGAGTATTCCTTACGACATTCCAAACAGTGCGCCGTGAAAAATGTTCCATGTGCTTCGACGATCGTCTCCGTTGGAATACCAGCAATGCGTTCCAAGGAATCGATATTCTAAAAGCAAAGAAAACAAACTCGGAAGGTAACCATTGAATAAATTTGAGTCGGTCTTTCAAGCAATACAGCGGAAACCTTTGAACAAAATTTTTTAATTTTTCAATTTTGATTTCTAATCCGAAATATCTGGTGGAAATTTCGAATTAGTACAGCTTCGCCAAATATTATTTTCGCCGACTTTAACTTCGCCAAATAAAAATCTTGACCAAAAAATATCGAATCAAATTTTATCCATTCTAGATATAGAATTTTATCCTAACTAACTACTCTAATAGACACTTAATTAATTAACCCCATCTGACTCGGTAGCCATCTGAGCTGCTAGTCAACTGACTTGATAACCATCTGAGTTGGCCATCCACACACCCACATCCTTCTCTTGGTGAAAAAGTAACTAGTATAATGCGAAAACAGACCTGGGTGTAAACACGTAGTAATTTGGCCTTTTCGTTCATCAATCTAATAAAATAATGAGTCGGTGTTGGCTAAATTAGAGAATACGAGTCTCAATTAGATATATTTCATGATAAATTTCTGGTCTTATTCAACTTACCATAAAATTTTTTGGATAAAGTTCTTTTGCTAATAGAAAAAATGGTTTTGGATTTTCCTGCAATGATAAGCAAAGTAATGAAGAATTTGATAGTCTTAAACGGAAAATATCAATTTAAAAAAGCATACTCGAAAATAATTCAATTCAAAGATTGCTTCAGGAAATGGTAAATTGTAGTGCTCCAATCGAGAATACAGTCCAGTACCGGGTGAACGAAAATCAGGTATGCCAGCACTGGTAGAAATGCCGGCACCACACATGATGATAATATTCGAACAATTAGCCATATATTCGGCAGCGCTGGCAAGATTAAATGAGTTTAATACAGGGGGCTCTACTGACAGTTCTTTGGGCTGCGTGCTCTCGAGTAAACCTGGCAATCGTTCCATCACTAATAAACGAGAGAATCTAGTCTGCATTAATAGCCATTTCTGTTCGACAAACTTTGCTGAATCATTGATAGTGGATCCATTTCATCATTTTTGTCCTCAGTTGTTGTAGATTTTTGTTGCTCTACATCAGGCTTGGGTTCTGCATGATTAGAAGCATTATGCATATTGTTTAAATCAATAAAAATCATTGATTGATGACTTACGCGCAGCCATCAAATTCTTAGTCACGAAGAACACTTATCTAGAAGTAAACCAATGTCATTTGATCATTCTCTTCTTCTACGATGAAATGTAAAATATTGAAAAGAATGTAGAAACACTATACGTACTATATCTTTAATGAAATTAATTAACGTATTTAGACTTCGTAAGTTACGTAATCTAATCGATAAATAAACTAGATATTTCCAGATATATACAAGTATGGAACCCAAGGTGGGGGAGGGGGCGACGACTTCCGTACTTCAAATTTTTTGGAAGTACGATGAATGTACAAAGAAGTGCAAGGAAGTACCCAGGAGAATGAATCCTAGCCTAGGATCCGATGAGTTCCGATCGGTTCCTATTGGAATTCGACGGAGCTCTTCGGAAGGCGCAAGGAAACTATTGGATTATCGTCGGATTCCTGGTTGCGGAATCGATATCGGGTTCTAATATCGGAAACTAATAAAATCCGACAGTAACCGTCAATTGGAACCGGAATGCTTCGGATTTCATTGGTTCCGACAATCGGATATCATTGGAAATACGACTGTCGGATTCGACATTGATTCCTCAACCAGGAATCCAACGGGATTTCGTCGGGTGGCAAGACCCCATAGAATCCGATGGGATTCGGTATCGGATTGATTCACCTGGGTATGAGTGGGGTACAACTGAAGTACAGCAAAGTATGCATGAAGTATATGGGAGCACAAAGGAAGTACGCAAAATACGGAAGTACAGAAGTCACGTGTTTTCCCTCTTGATGGAGCCGTTCAATAAACAATATCAACGGTATCTAGTTCATGCTACAAGAATACAACTAGTATTATTAAGATGTTTAATTCTTTATCTTAAAGAAATAAAACATATAATCGTTAGAATTCAAAAATATTACAATAATAATAGTTGCTAACCAAATCAATAAAAGTGACGTTTTTTGATAGCAAAAAAATTCATACTAGTGCAGTAATGAAATTGAGAAGAGAACAAAATCTCTGGCAGAGAACGCACAAGAGAATAAGAAAGCCAATAGTCATCACAACAGAAGCGTGAGCGTCACCGAATGACATCTATTGGTGCTAATTCTATCCACGAATAAATGCTATCATTCAGCAGAATGGTGACCGACATAGTCGGTCTTTTTCCTCATAGTTCTACCAGTAATTAAGCATATTGTATACTGTATCGAACGCACGGTTCATTATCAAAAATTTACGCGTGAAAAAGTCGGGAGACCGGAATTTCGATCAGACCCGAAAATTCTCTGGGCTTTCGGGCCAATTTTATACAAATTTATTTAACCCTGAAAAAAAAGTAAATTTTTTGAAAATTGGTTTCTAAATTTTTTAGTGCCGAGCGAAGCGACGGTTTTCATTCCATAGAAGAAAAACTAGTTGATAAAAAAGGCGAATTTACACCTAATATACATCTCAACAAATTTCGAAAAATATACCAGCAATAGTGAATTCTACATCTAAAATAAAGCTAAAAAATGTGCATCCTTAAGTCAATATTGAGATTACACTAGATTCATTCGTGCTTGTTGTGGATAAACGATATGTATCTTAAAACGCCATACTATGTTCTATACTAATAGAAGTGCTGTTTTAATCACTATATTACTTCGCTCGGCACTACGCCGCTTCGCTCGAGACTACGTCACTTCGCTCGATACTAAAAAAAAGCTTGAAACCAATTTTTAAAAAAATTCGTTTTTTTTCAGAGTTTAATGAATTTGGATAAAATTGGTCCGAAAGTCCAGAGAATTTTCGGATCGGCCCGAAAACTCCGTAGGCCGAAATTCATGTAACCCAAAAAGTCAACTTGAAATTGTTTTCATGCTAAAAGAAGATAAAAAGTATCTGAATTTATTATACATAAATGATACAGTAATGCAGCATTATAGGCTGAGTCTCTGTTATAAGGTTGTGTAGAAAATCATCAAGTATATGTATCTCATACTTCACACTGAATGCTCTGAAAGCACTACAATTGTTCCACTTTTATTTAATGTCACAGCATCTTTATCATACTGTTCCTACTGCTTCCAGGACTCGGTGGTATTTCAATGTGTTCTATTGAGTATTGCAGTGATAGTGATTAGTATACGAGCCTGCTTGGTTTTAAATAATCATACACAATAAAAATTTACTAACATCGTCTAATAAAACAAAACAAAAGTAACCAATGACTGTATGTTTGGAGTACAGTATCACAAAGTCATCCTAGTCGTAGTTTACTTTCAGATAGCTTTGTGAAGAAAACAGGTATTCATTGTAAAAAATTTACTGATTAAAATATAACCTCGGCCACAGTGTGTCATTTATGTCGATGTGAGCATAGTTTTTCTTTTTCGTGATATATTTTCACGGCTCTTAGTCGATGCTAGCACTAGTATTTGAATTTTTATGAGAATCATATAATCTATTTATGACATAGTTTCGAGGATACAAAATACATATATCGACAAGATAGTGTACTTCAAATACGTGCCTGATCTATAAACCGACCGTACACCTTCAAATCCTCGAGAACTATTGTCTCTGTAAGAAATGTTGTAGTTTTCGTCCTGGAACTACTGACTTATCTAGCTGAAAAAGAAATCAACTAATGTTTACCTTGGAGATATTCTTGTATATGGATTTTCCTGGGGATCTCTTGCATATCGTGTCTCGACATTGTTTACTATGTTTTGATAAAAAGTTCTTTCTATATTCATGGTTGCATCTCCCTCAGTGACTATGATGTAGATGCGACAGAAAGATATGAATGCGCTAACGGGCTTACATGATTTACATACCGATGTACAGACGTACCCCAAACTATTGTAACCGTCGTTTTTCTCACATCCCCATCATCACGTTCATCAATAGACTTTTGAAATCATACATACATGATCCAATCAGCTAGCTTTCTTTTATTAGACATTTATTCCTTACCATTGCACATCTCTACACTCTATACGAACAAGTCTAAAACCGAACTCAGTAAAGTGAAAATACTTTGATTACTTTGAAGTTATAGAAAGAGATAAATTTTACTATCACGTTTTATTTGTTGGAATAAAATAAAATAAGATAAATGATATAAATATATACTGAAAAACAAAAGATAAAATAAACAGAGCTTAAAAGTTTTTTATTGTTATATTATGATTTTAATTCAAAACTACGCATAGTTCAAAGCTATTGGTGATGATGTTGACTATCGTTGTCGTATAAAACTTGATCAAGTACAATAGTAAGTGCCAAAATAAATGCTTGATCTTCATCAGTGACAATTTCAACACCATACGTGTCAGATAATGAAATAAATTTTTTGCTTACACTTGCCACTGTTACGCCAGCTTTTCTTAATGCAAACGAATGAGCGAAAATATCTTCGCCTTCCAAAGAATATTGACCATAAGCAGAATCAATATCAAATTTATGATGAAGAAAACTGAATTTCTTTTTTATTATTGCTAGTTCTCGGTCGGGATCTCCATCACGAGCCGATAATATTTTGTAAGTTGGATGAAGATGAAACAATTCTTGTTGTACTTTAATCAGGCGACTATCAATAGGAAAAGAAAAGAAATTCATAATTTTTCTATTTCTTTCTCTTTTTAAACAATTAAATCTTGGAGCAGTGTTTGCACTATCCCATGTAATCTTTGAGTAGCCTAAGTTTAGATCTTTTAATTCATCGTGGTGAACTTACATAGTCTTTTTCATAAGCTATATTAACATATCTTCGATGAATACCTACACAAATCGAAGACAAAATACTGCAACACTTCAAGGATATTGATTTTTTTCTCGGTGATCTGACAGCACCACTGGTACATTTTTCTTACAAATTTTAAATATATAGTTCGGTTAGGATGAAATAGTATATACGTATGGATGAACAGAACACTAACTCTTATTCACTTATTATGAGCGCCATTGACTCCTGTCAGTCAAATCGCTTTTTTGAATAATCTGACAATGTCATGCACATGGAATAGAAACTAATGAGTCAGCCGCATATGATATCACTCAAATATAGATGTTACAAATATGACAAAAACAAATACCACCTTTACTTTTAAAGCTCGACTACAAATGAATCCTTCTTCAATGGTATACTATTATGTTTAGCAGCGAAGAAATCAATGACCGTGTAAAAAAATTGATCAAAAGCTAGATTTTTTTCTATTAATATTTAATTTCATTTGTGAGATCAATGTATATATTCTACGAAAAAAAATTTGTTTGAATGTATTCACTTACTTTCCAGCCATATCTTCAAGAACAAGTTTATCACCAGCTGAAAAAAGTTTTGATCGAACAGTATACACATCTTGACCTATTTCATCTTTTATTTTGAAATTATCACCAAGTGAAAATATTTTTTCTCGAATTTGATATCGACGAACAGCCATTATTTGTTTATATGAATATGTCTATATATGTATAGTATTCTACAATAAAATACAATTCAAGGTATGAGATTATTGATAAAAAAGAACTACAGTTATAAACAATATATGTTTACACACTTATATGCTTAAATAATTAGTAATTGATTCAATAATATGAATAACACTGTTACACTGTGCACAGGCATCTCAAACATGTTTGAAATAAATGTTACCTTGTCTGATTCATCCAATAAATAACAAAATTGGCTGAAGGCTCTACCTTTGAGAGAAAAGAAGAAAAAAATAATAACCATGATATACATCATCTAACTATTGCATATAGCATGCTTCCAACAAGCCGGCACCGTTTTCTTTCATCTTATAGTTATAATCATCTTTTTATAGTAATTACGTTAAATAAGGTATAAAAAGTGTATTTCTTTATTTTTCTGTATTTCCAAATATTTCTGGAATACAGAAATACGCTTTTACCCATTTAGTAAAATTTAAAAAATTATCTCATGCAATTTCAACACATAACTCAAAAATGAACTTTTAATAAATTTTCAATTGAACAGAATATGCATTGCTTCGTGATATGAGGAATTGTCAGTTGCATTACTTGATGCTAATTAGGGTGCTGCATATATTTTAGGAGTTATACGCTGATTGTCAAAAAAAGACCTGCAGATGGCGTATACGCTTAAAATACAGTACAAATACGTCCGTTAACGATGCATAAATGCCCATTTATAGTGATCTATTTTGATCGACTACGGCATATAATATGATATCGTTCTGATTTGTTAGAAAATTGCTAATGTTACTGGCATTATATATTATAAAAAAACTTGTTAAAATTGTTGTTTGCAGACAAAGAGGCAGTACAATTTTCAGACTGATAGATATAACTAGCCGCATGTTTGCCGTAACATTTGGTGAGTACGGCCGTTTACATGCTGTATGAAATGGTAAGCGGTCAAGAATGTTCCGTAGCCTGACAGACAGTATCGTTCTAGTTGGGTGGACACGAAATAATGTGTAATGAGCTGAATCGATGTAGATATCGTTCTCACGTGACTCGACTGTAAAACTCAAGTTCGAATATAATACGAGAAAAAATTTAATAAAATAAATAAGTTATTCTGATGAAGATATCAGTTCAATAAAAAGCGTTTTTTTTTCAACTATATACTTCAAGTAACTATCTAATCAGAAATAATGATGACTGAAAATAGAAAACTTATCTTAAACAATACTTTTTATCAGAAATATTCGTAAAATGAATACAGACGGAAAATAGTGAGATCGATTTATATTTTCGAAGATGACAGTGTGCTCAAGTATTGCTATTGACATAAATGAAATCAAACATCAATGATTCTATCTTTTCGTTCTATGAAAAATATTGAAATAACATAGCAATCATAATCAGTACGTTACTGAGTATTCTCAATGAGTTTTTATATCGCAGACAATGTCTATCAATAACTTGATTGAGTGTCACTAAAACATGTTACCTTATCATATCATTCAACCTTCAATAAGTGTGTTACACTACGTAATCATAATTGTAAATGAAAAATTATTTTAGTTATAATTTACACGTTATTTACATTTTAAGAAAGTAGAAATATCGAAGAATTTGTTAACAATACAAAAGTATTCTATGAATGAGTTCAACTTTACTAATTGGATTTAAAAAATGATTGTTATTTCAATGAATAAAAAATTATTGCGCCTATGAGCACAATTACTAGTAAGAAAAAAGTAATAACCTTCATTTCATATCATGTCGCCGCTTTACGTTTTATACATAGTCTCTCTTCACTGTCTATCCACAGTTTGAGAAAAAATTAAGTAAAACAAATTCTCTGCGCTTCTAATAATTACAATACACAGATCATTATATGAAACAATACTTATAATCCAAACTCTAACTATGAGAGTCTGATAGAAGAAAAAATAGAATTTAAAGTTTTTACGCGAAGAAGCCAATAAACGAGAAGTATGTAATACCAAGTGAAAATAAAACAGGTTTATCTTTAAAAATGTAATCCGCATAAAATGAGTCGGATCTATAACTCAGATCATTATTAACAAGGAAAAAGGATTATTGCGACCTCTATCACGGTATACACAACTGCATGAATTTAACATGTTGAAAATACTGACGAATCACTATATTATATCATAAACAAATCAATGTTCTATTTTTCACGCTATATTTTACCGAAAGCCTGTTTCGATAAAAGAAAAAAAAACAAGATACAGATTTACGTTTTCTTCTCATTGTTACTTGTAATACTACGTGTTATATTCTCTTGCATTCTTTTTATTTTCATTTATTTTTAAATGACGGATTTTGTGGAAGAATCATTTACAGTTATTTCACCACGTTATCAACATAAATTGTCATGTATTTTCCATCGAAAACATTCTCCGTATATTGATAATCAAAATAGAGAACATCTGGTTATTATATGTCATGGTTATATGTCACATAAAAATGCACTTTTTCTTCCACAACTATCTCGTGATATATCAAAATCGGCTGCAAATCAATTCCATTCAGTTCGCTTTGATTTCCATGGTTGTGGTGAATCAACTGGACGAGACCTATGGGACTATGGAGGATATGAAGACGAAGCTAAAGATGATCTTCGATATGTGGTTGAATATTTACGTAGTAGAAGTAAAAAGTATTTTATTCGAGCTCTTATAGGACATTCACGAGCTGGAACAACGGTTTTACTTTATTCTCTATATTATGATGATATACCGATTGTTGTTAATATAGCTGGACGTTATCGACTGGAACGCGGTATAAAGGAAAGATTTTCTAAAAAACAATTAGATGAACTTGAAAAAAAAGGTTCATTTATAATTTATACCAATGATAATGGAAATTTTCGTATAACAAAACAAGCAATAGAACGTCGAAAAAATCTTGATTTAAGCCAAATCGAAAAAATTCGTCAAGCAAAAGTTTTAAATATTTGGGGTGATCATGATGATGTTATGCCTGGTGATGAAATATATCTCTTTCATGAACAATTGAAAAATACAAAAAAATCTGAAATGATCATAGTCTCAGATGCTGATCATTGCTTTACAGGCAAAGAACAACAATTAATTAACATAATTCAACAATGGATTCAGCAATCAATCGATTGATTTATATCGTTTTTCTTTCTCATTTTAGATAATGATTTTATCAAAACAGTTTAATTCAAATATTAATAATCAAATCATGGATGCACAAAATATTGTTGAAAGTACAATAGCTGCAAGTGGAGATAGTAATAATAATAATGATAATTCACAACAGCGGTTAAATGGAAATGCAACTACATTATCTTATGAAGAAAACTACCAAGTTGATATATCATTAACTAATTTTGAACTTGAAACAATCACATCATCATACACTGGTCTTATGCGTATTTATCGATTATTATATGTAGCTGATCATTGTCCAATGTTACGTAATGACGCTCTATTAACTAGTTTTAAATATATACAAGAAACACATTTTATTTCTCTTTATAAACAAGTAAAATAATAATTTGTTTTTTGTCCGTGTTAAATTTTAATTACAAAATAATATTTAGATACTTGATGAAATCAAGAAACAAAATATACCTTTACCAAATGATTTCGATGCGGCATGGCATGAACGGACGCAACGTAATTATGTTCATAAACTTGAAAAACTTGATACTGATTTACGAAATTTTCGTACAAATTCCATAAAAGATTCTATACGTCGTGGTCATGATGATCTTGGTGATCACTATTTAGATGCTGGAGATTTTTTTAATGCTGTCCGTTGTTATGTACGTTCACGAGACTATTGTGTGACTCCCAGACATATGATAACAATGTGTATGAATGTGATTAAAGCATCATTTTATATGCAAAATTGGTCGAATGTCTTATCTTATGTTAATAAAGCTGAACAAGCTATTGAAAGTCTTGAATCTACAACAAAATCCACAGCAACAGCAACACAATCAGTTTTAACATTAATGACTAATCCAATGGAAGTATCTAGTGCATCAACTACAAATACAATTATTGCATCTGATGCGGTACTAGCATCACGTTTAAAAGTTTATGCTGGCATCGCAGAATTAGCAACCAAACGATATAAACCAGCGGCACGTCACTTTCTCGGTGTTTCATTTGATCACTGCTCAAATCAGTTTCAAGTAAAATATTTTCAAATTAGTTGGTTCTCATATGCATATTCATATTAATATTTAACTTTTCAGAACATTTTATTTGAGAAAAAGAAAAATCTTCTATTAATTTTTTCTTTAAATTATCTACGGCATGATTTTTCTAATCCATACGAAAATATATAATGTTATTCTTCAATTTAATCTCTAGTTGAACATAGAACTTTGAAATATCTAATAGATCTGTCTGAATGAGATAGTGAATTCAGTGTTTGTTTTCAAATTGTACCAAATATTTTTACTAAATTAATTTCTTCCATCTACAGCAATCTTACAAATATTTTTATTTCTTTAGGATCTTATATCACCTCAAACATTAATTCAATACGTTTGTCTATGCAGTTTAGCAACATTTGAGCGATCAGAAATACATCGGTTGATAATAATGTCAACAAATGTGAAACAATATTTAGAATTAGAACCATCGATTCGTGATATTCTTCATCAATTTTATGAAACATCATATTCATCTTGCCTAGCTATAATGTCTCAGCTTGAACCCATATTTGCATTAGATCAATATCTATCGCCTCATTTACGTACATTATATTATGAAATTCGTCATCGAATAATTATTACATACTTTTTACCATATAAAAATGCTAGTATGACACTCATGGCACGTCAACTCAATACTACAATCGATGTACTTGAAGATGAACTTGTTCATTTAATTCGTTCAGGGAAAATCAAAGCTCGTATTGATTCAAAAAATAAAATTTTATATGTTGCTGATACGGATCAACGTTGGTATGCGTATCAACATGCATTAACAATAACAAAACAATCTGAAAAACTTACTCGAGCGCTTTTACTTCGTTCAGCTGTAATTAAGGCAAATTTAATTGTTAAAGATGAGTCAGTGATATCCTCAGTTCGTTCACCAAATAGCAATAATAATAATAACGTTCCTCGTCGACAATTTGTACCGAATGTTGCTGGTAGTATGATGGTAGATGAAGATGATTTATCAGATGAAGAAGCTATGTAACATAATGAAAGAATTTTTCTTCTAATCTATTATGAAATGGAAAAAGAAAACTTTTATATCGATTCTTTTTTTAAAATTTTTGTCTTGTATCTTGCATAGAATGAAAAACTATAGGTAAATCTTTAATTTAACACTGACTATGGTCTATATATGAATGTATTGAAGAATTCTCTTTTTTTTTGCTATTGTATTTGCTATTATTCTTGATAAAGATGATGATGAATTTAAAAAAGAACGAATTTAAAAAGTTGTGTTTCTACAATCAACTTAAAAAAAATTTCTTTTAGATGTCAATGTCTAAGAAACGAAAAGCCAATGAAGATGATGAACAGTTGCCTTCTAAATTGTATTCTAAAAGTAAGTTTGTATTTCTTTGCACTGAATCAACAGAAAAATACCTCAAGAGAAGGTTTTTTCCTACTGAAATTTCTATGTAAGGAATTTTCGATCGCAGTTTTACAGAAACTCTATGGGAATTAAGTAATACTCTCTAAGATGAAAAAACCAGACTTCAAAGATAAATTACTTAAATTTCTAGAGAACTAGCTAAGTAAAATTAAATTCAGATAAATAAAATTTTCGTGTAATATTTGTTTGTTTCTATAATAAGAGTCAGAAAATTTTGATCTGTTCACTTTTCTTAGTACTTTAATATTTCAAGTTGTTGCGGTAAAGTGATAGCTTGCATAGTCTATTCAAATTATTCGAGATACTTCAAAGACATTTGAATTTTTATATCAATCATTCATTTAGAGAATCGTTCATCCGCCGATAGTAATCAAAGTATAGTGGAAAATACTGATTCAATCATTAGTCAAACACATTATTCACCACATACATCAATTCATAAACCTTTATCATCGGAAACTTCATCAATGTGGAGTCCATTTGATAGTCTTAATTCATCATTTTCATCAACATCTACAAATTCTGAATATGCTTCAGTCTCATCATTATATGAAACAGACTTACCAAGTACGAATAATCTTATAACAACTACAAATGAATTATCGATGGTTTATAACCCAAATCATCAAATGGGCAACCAAGAGACAGCTAGTGTAAAACGAGAATTATCACCATCATCAAATGGCACACCAGCACCAAAGAAAAAGCCAAGAAACGATGGACTATCAACGGGACCAACTCCGTCATCGTCCAGTGATTATTCATCTGTTACAGCTAAAATGATGGTGATAAATAATTTAGTATAGATCTGAAAATTTCAATGTCTAATTGCTTTTAGAAAAACATGGGTTATGATGAAAAGCATGGTCTCGGTCGTAATTCTAAAGGTCCAACAAAATTAGTTGAAGAGAGTAAACAACGAGGACGTCGTGGTCTTGGTTTTAGTTATGAAAAATTCAGTGATGAAACAGTTGGATGGGATTTTGAAAATGATCCTGTAAATATATTTTATTTTCATCATCTATTTTATATTCTATATGGTATTTACAGGCTCCCGTAGAAGAAGAAATTTATTGGTGCCCATCGAGTGATCATTTAGAAGCTTCATTAAATCTTGATGAAATGCGTGAATGGATCAAACTTGGACCAGTATATATAACTTCAATATCTTATTTAAAAAAAATACTAATACATAAATATATATACTATTTTTAAACTTAGAAAAAGAAAATAATCCAAGATGAAATTGAGTTTTGTGATGAAGATATTTTAAGAGAAATGCTAAGTGGAAAAGTAAGTAAATTTTTTCTTATTAAAAATATACATTTTCTAATAAGTTATCATTATTTTAGACTGTATTTGATGAATTACCACAAAAAGAAATGGAAGAAGCTCGAGCTCGAAGTAATGTATACGAAACAATTGGAGCATCGATTTTTCTCAATCGGTATGGCAATAAAATCATAGTCTAAAATATTCTATCTCTATATTAAATAGAGCTGCAGTTAAAATGGCTAATATTGATTCTGTTTTCGGACGAATATTTACTGATCCTAAAACACCTAATAATCAAGTAATTAATTATTTTCCAAATGTAATTCTAATCTATTCGATATTATCTAGCGATCACTTGTTCATCCAGACGAACCATTTTATTTTGCTGATATCTGTGCTGGTCCTGGTGGTTTTAGTGAATATATTTTATGGAAAAAACAATGGCATGCAAAGGGTACACTTAGTGATACTTATTATCTCTATTTCATTTGTTTTATGTTCTTTTTTTAAGGATTTGGTTTTACATTAAAAGGAAAATCGGATTTTGCTCTACATAAATTTATTGCTGGCACACCTGAAACGTTCGACACATACTATGGTGTGAAAGATGTCAATGGTGATGGTGATATATTCAAGTCTGACAACATAGATGCCTTACAAAATTATGTAAATAAATGTACAAAACATGCAGGTGTACATATTGTCATGGCTGATGGAGTAAGTTTAGAATTGTTAAAGTTAATAATATTCATTATCTGATGATTATTCTAGGGATTCTCGGTTGAAGGACAGGAAAATATTCAAGAAATTTTAAGTAAACAATTATATTTATGTCAATTTCTAACAGCTTTGTCAATTATACGGCCAGGTTAAACAAGAATCAAGTGTTTTACTCGACAGATTTAATTACTCAAGTTTGTTTCTTTGTTTAGGTGGTCACTTTGTTTGCAAACTATTTGATTTATTTACTTCGTTCAGCGTGGGACTTGTTTATTTAATGTATCGAACATTTGATCGAATATCAATTCATAAACCAGTTACAAGTCGACCGGCAAATTCTGAACGGTAAAAAATGGAGAAGGATCATTTGTTTTAAAACTTGAACCTTCTTATTTTTCTAGATATATTATTTGTCAAGGTCTTCGTGGAGAAATTCGAGATATTGTACGAGCCTACATGTATGAAATAAATGTACTTCAGAATAATTATGGAGTTGATACGAAACCAGATGATGTTCAATCAATTGTCCCCATGAGTATTTTAAAAGGAAATCAAAAGTTTTATGAGTATATTCGAAATTCAAATAATCAGTAAGGATTTGTTTTTTTTATTAATTTGAATATTTTTTCTTACGTATGAATTGAATTAGATTGGGTGATACTCAAATAAGAAATTTAAAAAAGATTCGTGCTTTTGTTAGTAATCCATCTTTGAAAGATGATCGGCAAAGTGATATTCGTGCAAAATGTCTTCAATTTTGGGAGGTTAGCATTTTGATTTTTTCAAATTAAAAAAAATAATTTTAATCTCAAGGTGCCAGATGAACCAAGACAAAAACCGAAAAGATTAATGTATACTGACCTTCAAAATGATCTTTTTTATCAAGTAAATAGCTTCTTTTTTTGTACGGTACTTTTTGATAAAGATACAATCGAACTATCTAGCTTGGAAATGGTATCGAAAATATACTTTGCAATATGCCTAATTTATTTAAAAATACCATTCTTGAACAACATCGTATACAGTCATTATTTGATTATCGATGTATACTTTCATTAGGTGATCCTATTCTACTTCTATCATGTGGTGTAAGTTTATTTTGAATAGATTTTCTTTGTTATTGAAAAATAATTCCTGACTTTGTTTTTCTAGCGAAGTTCAGTTTATTCTATGGACTTAAGAAATACAAATAAACGTTGGGCACAATTAGACGGACGGTGTAAAGTTGAATTGCCACCATATACTTTATTGCTTGCCGAACGTGTGCAAGAACAATTCAATGATGTGAATATTTTCTATTTCTTGATTAAAAGAACATTTACAATGTTTTTAGGGAAGAGACAATCGTAAAAAAACAGCGATTTATATTATTGATGCATATTTTATTGGTAAAGAAACTATGCTTTTTCAACATGGTAGACCCATAGTTCTAATGGATCGGTAGGATATCATGATTTTCAGTTGATAAGCTTTATTGAACTTTTATTTTTAGATATCATTTGTTAAAATTATTTGAAAAAGCAATTAACAAACCAGCTCATGTTGATCTTGTACCTATTCGGATCCATGAACAATTACGTTTGGAACATATGGATGCACAATTTGAAAAGTATATTTGAGAAAACAAATTCATCTTTATAAAAAAAAATGGCAACTTATATTTCTAATGAAATATACCAGAGAGATTTTAGTTTTAATTAACATTCAAGATGATGTCTTATAGATAGTCTTACCCTGTTGACATTAAGAAGACATAAGCATAGTATAACAAGAAGAAAAACTGTAGATATATTAAACTGGAACTCATCAGATTGATTTCTAGTAATCGAACTTGATCTTATTGGATTTTCAGAAACATGATTGCTAAAGTAAAAAGCACATTTTTGTCCACAAGAATAGATTTATACATTATTCTATAGGTCTTAATTTCATACTAGAATAGAAAACTAAAAACCAAAACGCACAAGAGTTGCTTGTACTACAAACCGACATATGTCGTTCTTAGAAAATCGAATAATATAAAAATCCGATATTAAAATTAAAATGTATCGTATGTATATTGAATTTTTTAATAGCTATCTAGAAAAACGAATATTCTTACATTTGAAAATACAATTTCTGAATATTATAAATTATCTGAATCTAAGACTTCACTGATCTAAAAAGAAGCAACAGCAATTTTGCAAACGTGTTTTTTTGTTTTGAAAATTTGTATCTTTTTTCCACACTTATCAGTACTTTTGATTTTTTGTGAATATCTTGATATTTTATCATATTGAATAATTAAAAATCTATAGACGAAATCTAGTAAAACTAAATATGTTCCTTCGAATCTTCCGTTTGTTAATTCATCAGTAAATAAATTGAAAATTGTTTTGTAGTTAGCTGTTTAAAAATAGTTTGTGTTTTATGACTAGATTATGTTCGTCGGGATCATTGAATCAAATTGATAATGAGCAAACATTATGGTTTACGAATAACGACGTCGAAACAAAACCACGTATACAAGTTCGTGGCTTGTGGATATTTAAATTTATACAATGTAAGCATTAATAAATGTTTCATTCTCTAGCGATTAACTTATTTCATGAATATAGATCCGTGGACAATTTTATTAAGTAAATCTCATCAAACAAAATATTTTCATAATCAAGTGAATCGCACATCAATACCAGCTGCTCCAGCTGATTCTTCTAATGTAGCTTCATTGAGGTAGTTCATAAACTCAGTTTACTCTTTTTTATATATTTTTCGAGTGTGTATTTCAATTTTAGATCGATGCTAGAAAACAGTTTCTATTGGGATTTTAATAATCGTGATGATCCTGTAAAAAAATCAAGTTTTATTTCGTTTATTCAAGAAAAAAATCACGAAATTCAATCACAACGTGTTACTCAACATAGATCTGCAAATGGAAGTAACTGAGAAATAAATGTTCTATTGCATTGATTTTTGTTTTAGTGATGATTCAGAAAGTTCCCTGCATATCTGTATCGTTATTTTCAGTTGTGATATTTCCTGTATGTAAATTTGTCGTTTAATTTGTCTAAACGATTTAAGAGAGATAACCATGAAAAGATTTATTTACAATTTCGTGCTGTTCCTGTTTGTTTTTGCTTGTTTGTTTGTATGAGTTATGATTATGCTAATTAAAGAACTCTGCGTTGTGTCTTTTGCCGAAGATGAAGAAAACAAAAAGCAAGGATTGTATTTTGGAACACGACGATTTTTTTGCGATTGCATGTAAATGATCTCAATGTGTTTCTTTTTCTGTTTTCGGTTTAAAAAAAATAATCATTTGTTATCAAAAGATAAAAAACTGAGCTGTAAAATCGATGCACCTTTGACATGACAAATGGATAGCTTTTATTTGGGTAAATAGACTTTTGATCCCCAATCTATTTTATTGTGAAATGATCACAAAAAAATATATATTTGATCACCAATTTGCTTTTTGTGGAATGAATGGTAGAGTTGTGGTAGATAACGTGTTTATCTCAAAACACAACAGATTGATAAGACATAGTTAAACAATAATCATAATTCGATCAAAATGATCTCATTAACTGAGAATAGTTACACAAAATGCTCTATCATAACAATGCAGAAAACTAAAAATGTCAAGTACAAAAAAAGTTCGAGCAGCATGGTTACCATGATTTTGGTAGAACATATTTTCTGTTTCCATTGTTTATTGTATTTTGTGTAACTATAGTTGTTATTTATTATTCTATCTCTTATTGTATTGATAATAAATTCGGTGATCGAATATATATTTTTTGTGATCATTTCACAATAAAATAGATTGGGGATCATTTGTACATTTTTTTGGTGATCATTTCGCAACTAACACATTCTGGTGATCAATAGTCATTTTTTGGGGGATCAAAAATATTGCTACCCCTTTTATTTCTTCAACATTCGGCTTTGATTGATAGTAGAGACTATAGCGCATTGAATCAGATCAAGAAATAGTGTTCTTCTTAAATTATAGTTTGCTCAAATTACCATTAGATTCCTAAAGAAAGAGATGATTTTGTCAAGAAAAAAATTCTACGCATCAATGAAACATATATATTTATTTGAATATAGATGAATTCAAAATGATTTTTTTTTAACACAAAAGAAATCGTAGATCTTCAGTAGCTTTATTACACAATGCCAATCAAGTTTATTTAAGCACGACAAAAGTTCATTCGAACGTATCCATCGTTTATTTACAATATCGATCAGATTTCATTTGTTCCCGTCTATCAAGTAAAACTTCATGTAACAAACCAGTTTGCTTCGCATTAACTAAGTCATCTACATCGCCTGGATTAATACGTAACTTTTTGTCTTGAAATTTTTGAAATTTTTTAATATAATTTATTTCTGTCTCGCGAATAGAACCTTGTTCTTCAACGGGTAATTCTTTTTGTCGTTGTTCTTTTTCATGTATACGTTTAGCATTTGATCGTATGTTTATAAAGTTTGCCTCAGTTGCAGTATCATCCATTGCAACAAGATCACCTTCGTCATTAAAACGAATAAATTTATCGTTGCTTGCTGATAATGCTAAATTTCCATTTTCAAAAACTGGTTCAAAATGTTCACGCATTCCAATAGCATCTGTAGAAAATAGAAATGATAAACGAAAATTTTATTCTGAAATTTCTTAAATACCTGATCGACCAATAACTAAACCATGTTTATTAATGGCTAAATATTTTCCAAAACCAGATTTTAAAGCAACTTTATTTTCTGATGTTCGAATGGCCGTAATAATTTGCTGTTGTTCAGGTCCTTCACCAAAGGGTCGTGTTGGACCAACACAAAATAGTCCATTATCTAGCGAATGAACATAACTATTTGTACCGAATTCAATAGCAATATTGCCATTGATTTCATGAAATTTTGTTACTTTCCACCATCCACCATGTCTGCACGAAAAAATACATTTTCAAATTCGTATTTGATTATCGAGAAGAAAGTAGCTTACTGTACAAAATCTTGTTCTCCATCATCTTCCTCATTATCAATGACTGGTTTTGATTTCTTCGATGACGATGATGACGACGATGAATGTTTCTTTCTTTTCTTTGCATGTGAAGAATGATCATCAACACCTTTCAAATTAAGTTTGCCACCACGAACTGAATACATCTGAAAAACAAAAGCTTTGTTTATTGTCCACTTGCTTTTCTTTCTTGTTTCTTTTTCGTGTGCAACACAAGCAAAGTCACAATAAAAATTAAGCAATAAAATGATATAAATATCAGAAATTGTTTCTAGTTTTCAACTTTAGCTGGAATCACACGACAGATTGGATTTTCTCGACACATTTCCAAATCTACTTTAGGTCCAATCAAATCACGAATATTATTGATACCATATAAGATCATTGTTGGACTTAAAAAGAAAAGAAAAGGGATGAACTACAATGACTGGAAAAACGCAAAAAAAGTAAACGTAATTTCCTACCGTTCGAGTGAGAGACCCCAAGCAATGACTGATACATTTTCTGGTAAGCCCATCGGAAGTAACATTTCCGGTCTAAACATTCCTGAATTTCCAACTTCAATCCATTTTTTCAAACCTTAAATTTTATCGAATTGTAATTCACTATAATTGGTCAATATAGAAAAAAACACTATTTTAATACCTTCATGATAACTAAAAATTTCCATTGATGGTTCAGTATATGGATTATAAGCAGGCTTGAAACGAAGCTTAGTCATGCCTAATCAAATAGTATATTTATTATTAGAAATATAAGAAAATATTTCTGTACCAAGTTTACGAAAGAATTCATAAAGAATACCAATAAGATCACCTAATGTTAAATTATAATCAGCAATTAAACCTTCGATTTGATGAAATTCAGCTAAATGTGTTGCATCGAGATTTTCGTTTCGAAAAACTTTATCTATTGAAAAATATTTTGCTGGTCTGAATGTTTTCTAGAAAGAGAATAATTTACAGATTTCATCATTCTTATTTATATTTTTAACATACTTCTTGTGCCAATTTATAGAGCATTCGTGTACTAACAGCAGTTGTATGTGTCCGTAAAACATTCTTTTGTGCTTCTTCAAGTTGCCAATCATATTGATAACCTATTGAACCGAAAGCCCCGGTTGAATGAACTTGTTTAACTTTTTCAAGATAGTCTGTTGGAAGTTTAGTTGTTATTGCTGGATCGGACAAGAAAAATGTATCTTGTGCATCACGTGCTGGATGTTTTTGAGGAGTGAAAAGTGCATCGAAATTCCAAAAACTATTTTCAACATAATTATTTGTTGGCATTTCTGTAAAACTACATAATATAAATGAAACAAACAAGCGATTCAATTTATCTAGTTAATGATTCAAAATTTTTACCCCATTTCAAGAAATATTTGCCGATATTCAGTGCGAACTTTCAATAATGGATGTAAACATCCATAGGATGGAATCATTCCTTTTGCATTAAAATTATATTGTTTAAAATTTAATGATTTCCATGAACCACTGAAATATTAATAATTGTATATTAAAAATAAATACATTAAAGAATTGCTTTTTTTTTATATGTATTCCTTACGTTTGTAACATGTCTGCTGTTAATTCAGCTTCACCTTTGGCTATGTTTGTTGAAAAACCAGCTGATTTTGTAACAATAAAATAATTGACAACACTTCGAAAACAATACATATAAGACTTTTAACATATAAACAGTGAAATAAATCTTACTCATCTTTAACCAATTTCCTTTTTTTCAAGTCAACTACTTCTTTAGCATTTGGATCAGATAATTGTAATGATTGAATACGCATAAGTAAATTTTTTACCTCATCATGAACATTATCAACCTTAAACGTAACAAAACAAAAAACATGAACGAGTTGAGATGTGTCAGATAACCGCATCAAGATACAAATCCTGATGAATCAGAGGCAATCATGTGAAGAAATTCTCATCATTCACGTCCACACTCGTTTACCTTGCGTTTGACTATTGCTGGTTTACATGATTTGTCAACTTCTAACCAACCATTAGACATTGCTTTAGCAAAGCCAATATTTGCATTTGGTAGTTTCTAAAATCAGATTAATTATTGATCTACAGAATCATGCAAGATAGGTTCGAACTCAATAATCACTACTCTTAACTGATTTGACTAACTATTCTCGAAACAACTTCCAATGTAAGAAAATATATAAGTAAAATTGACACTTACCATAAGTTCAGGTTGTTCAATGCCTTTATCAGCAGGAACTGCTTGAAAGAGGTTGTATTCATAGCTACCATTGTCAATTAATATTTTTCCTTCATCCGTTGGTGCTATTGACCGTGATGTTTCCTGTTCCATTCTAACAATCTTTTCGTTGAAAACAAAAAATTACCAGAACATAACATAAACTAAATTTCTTAAATATTACTTACATCACCCATCGATTGAATACTACGAAAAGTACCAATGACAAGTTGATGATCAATATTATGTTCATTTGCATAAGACCATGTATTTAATTTATTGTGTGTATTCAAATGTAAGAGAAGATCATTTTGCAAAGAAGAAGAAGTAGGCTCCTAAATATTTTTTTAAGTAAATTTGATTTTTATTTCATTATCATAAGAATAACGTTTTTATAATTCGTACACTAATTTACCTTAGTGATAGACGCAGTTCCTGAAGCACTATTTTCTGTTGAATTGCTCATATTTTGTATTTCTAGAAACTGAAAAATGGAATGAGCAGTGTTTAGCTATATCACAAATTACAAAAGTAAATGTTTCTCATTCTCATGCATCATTTTTTTCCATTTCATCATCCTCTCTAAACGGCTAATAGCATCTAGCAATCATAAATTTTCTTCAATATGTGGCGACTGATAATGAGAGACATCTAATCGATGTTTTTTATGTTGACAATAATACGTTATTATTCTCTATCTTACTAGTTAAACTTAGATTGTTTCTATTATTCTACTGCTATTTAAAATGGAGAAATATTTATGGATAGAATAATATACACATGTAAAATATTGATTACAATAAATAAAACAGCGAGTCATATTTAATGATGGTGCAATAGTAAGATAAACTTATGAAAAAAAAAAGAATCGGGTCACCAGTGGCAATATTTCAGAACGAAAAAAAACTCTGCACCCGGCAAAGCGCTGTGCTCCTTTTTTTCTGTTGACAGTTAGGATACATGCTGCCATAGTAAAATTGTCGCTATTTCGCAAGGATAAAGATTTCACTATTTTTCTATTTTGCTTGAACAAAATTAACTAAAATTTTATTTATAAACAATATTTAAAATTCAATGACCGAATCGAATGCGACAGTTTCACACGTATGGAAACGAGAAGAGCAATGTAAGCTTATAATTTATATTCATGTTGTACTTGTTCCAATCGCTGTATCACTATTAAAGGGGTTTCAACTGTTCTTCAATTTTCATCTCAATATAATGATAGTACATGGTCTGCGAATCAAATCATAGGACCACCAAAAGTGTTTCCTCGGCATGGTATGATAGTAAAGAAAAACATTTATTTATTTATTTATTATCAATTTAAATAAATAGGTGATATAGTTGGTGCATGGGCTCAGGGTAATCGAGCAGTCGATGAATTTGTTATTGTTGGATTTGGCCGACCTGTTCATCCGGATCAAATTGACATATATGAAACTTACAATCCTGGTGCTATTGTTCGAGTATCTGCGCGCAATAGTATGTAGAAAAATTCTTCCAAATTGCTTTTTCTCTTATGGAATATTTTGTTTAATAACAAATAGGTAGAGATAAGGATGATTGGGAAATCGTTTGGCAAACAGAAGCACCACATGTAGAGGGGCAATGTACGTAATATACAATTAAAAGAAATCTTTTTTTTATTTTTCAAGAAAATTATTTCCATATTTTAGCTCGTATTTTTTCGTTGCCATGTTCAAATCTATCATGTGGAACAATAGACCAAATTCGTCTCGATATTAATTGTAGTGCTGCTGGAAATTGGTGTGAAATAGATTGTATTAAATTAATAGGATATACATCTCACAATGATATGTCATATAAAGAATTAACAGCAAATTTAAAACAATTACTTATCGATGATTGTTTAGCTGATGTTACATTTGAACTTGATAATGGACGAACAATTTCATCTTATCGTAATATTCTTAGTAATAGATGCGTTTATTTTGCTCAATTATTTGATGAATATCCATCAGATATTGAAAAGCCAATAAAAATAAATAATATTTCATATGAAGCGTTTTATCAAATATTGTATTTTATTTATACGGATACACTTGAACCTGTTTTACAATACGAAACATGTCTTGAACTAATGCGGAAAGCAGATGAATATTATTTAAGTCCAATTTATGATCAAGCATTTGAAAGTTTGAAGAAAATTATCAATAAAACAAATGTATTAAAATTATATGTTCAATCAGGTCTTTTTTCAACGTCATCAGATCTTAATCAACCAGACAATATTATTCTTAATGATGTTATTAACTTATGTGTGGAATTTATACAAAAAAATCGTCGAGATGTTTATTTTAATGATCAAATGGAACAATTAACAAAAGATATGCTACTACGACTTATTCAGCTTGTTCTATGATGTAAAAAAACAATCCTTTTTTAAATTTAAATACATTTATAACAAAGAAACAGATCGATTTATTTTGATAATATGGATTTTTCTGTATTTAATAGAGACTCAAGCAAATACTGCTTTCTGATTATTAGTAAAAATGAATTATAAATTTCATACACGGTTTATATAAAACAGTTGAAGAATAAACAGTAAGACGCGCCAAAGTATTTCAAATATTGACATTTGTTTTTTTTCTTTCATATAAAATATTAATTTATAACTCTCGATTTGAAATTTTACTTATTTTCTTTTGCTCATCTATCATATGTCACGATTTTGTAGTCACAAATCAATGACTGATGTAGCTTTGCAAATTGATTCTAAAGAACGACGAAAATCAAGAACGATTGTTTCAGATTGTACAATTATTAGTGCTACATCATTGCTTTCAAAAAAATATGGTTTGTTACCATGTTTCTGTGATTATGATTCAATAGGAATGATGAGACATCGTCGAGCATCGCTAAGATTATCGAAATCGTCAAATGCATTCTGGCATCGAAATAGTAAATCGAAAGATAAATTGATTCGTGAGAAACAACAACGAAATAATTCAACTGCATTTGAAAACCAGCAAGTGAAGTTATCAAGTTCTCGTAACTTTCAAACATTTCGAAAGTCTATTCTACAACGTTTTAAGCGAAAAAGCAAACGAAAAATGTCAACAATTACAGCTCGATCGGTCGTGCATAAACGTATGAATATCAATGCTATCGGACATAGGAATGACGCAGAACAATCTCTTGTTGATTCTTTGTGTAATACACCACCGAGTTGCAATCTATCATCCTCAATTCAAAATGATAGTCATCATTCTTCGTATGATTCTAATCATATTGATGATGAAGAGAATAAAAAAGATACATTACAACCACCCGTATCATCATTGAAAACAGAACAGCAGAATGTCAATGCGACAAATAAAATAAGTCAAACTATTCAAGAAACGCCTCAAACAATTATGAATGAGATTAAATCACTGAGAAAAAGAAAACATACTGCTGGTAAGCTGTACTCAATCATTTCTTTCTTTCCTATTCTATATCAAATACATATAATTTGTGTCGAAATCTTAATTGTCTGAACTTCTCTGTTCAGTAATTTGAGTTTGATGAGTACCTCAGTTTTTTGTTTACTAAATATAAAGGAATTGATATTTGTCCGCTGTTTTCAATAAAAAAACGAACTTGTCGGTTCATGTACTTAAACGGTATGATTCTTTTTCAATCAACGTATTACAAACGATAGCTATTGAGAGCGTCATAATTTTGTAAGACGAAAAATTCTGTAACAATTACGATTGAAACCAGTCTAAAATAATACTTACTTCCGGTATCACAACACATTTAGATAAATTACTTTTGAGTTCAGTGATTCATTTTTTACTTGTTCCATCTTTCAATTTCAGCCACATCGCAAAAAACCGCATCTAATAAGAGAGGGAAAAAATCCAATCGTCAAACTATGATTTCAGAAAAAAGAAAAAAATCCGGTAAACGGAAGCATATCGCAAAGAGAAAAACATCCTTATCAAAAAGAAATATTATCTTAACATCACAAGTTAAGAACTCAACAGCTTTTCTAACAGAAATCGGATCGAAAACAGATCCCAAGCGAATAAATCATGGACGTAGTCCTTTTTCTAATCCAAACATATTTCATTCTATACCATCAATGCAAAACTCGTAAGTATAGCTATTAATTTTCATAATTTCATTCCACTATTTCTACGTGTATGGTGCATGTTCATATCGTAGAGATGAAATAACAAAAGATAATATACATGAAAATCATCTATGTTGTAAGCCAATTTCATCTGTAAAAAATTTGTCAATAAGTGATCAAAAAAAGTTAATTGAACATAATCATTTAACATTAATTTCTTTACTACCAATTTATCTTGATTCGCAAAACAATTTTGAACATAAGATTCGTGAGAAAACCAACATAAGTCATAATGGTGCATCAGAACTTAATCATTTAATGAATGAATGGGGTTCAGTTCGATTGTTTATTGGTGCTAATAGTCATCACAAAACATTATCACAAGCAATATGAGAAAACTAAACTGAAGTTTGTTTTTTTCGTTCTTCAGTATTTGATATAGAAAAAAACGTACAAAAAATCGAATGAATGTAAACGAAAGTTACATTTTGTTTCATTTTTAATGGAGAAACGTTTTTTTTTGAATAGATAAAATTTATCTTTTTGTTTTCGATTCCACAAGCGTACTTTTTGGGAACACTTTACTTTTAACCACGGAATATGATCTTGTCATCAGATGACTAACACATGCATCCAAAAGATTGAATGATTTTGAAACAGTTCCATCAATGTGTCCAGATGTTGAATTAATACAATGTTTTATAGTCTCTGGTAGTCTACTCAATTGAATAATAATGTAATCTATAAATGTTAACATCCAAACGATGGGTCTCTGTTGTGATGGTGACGAAGGTGAAGATGAGTCTGAGAAAAGATCACTGGTTGTGGTTGATGTAGTTGGACGTCGCACACCGTAGACTCGCAACATTAAAAGATAGAGATATTTGATAATGACAAATGGTAATATGAAAAGTTGAGCAAAAAAACAGGCCGCATGCCAAAATGTAAACAGGAAGAAGGTAATGGGATTGTCTGAATGTAAAAAGTCACTTAAACTCAGTTGTTTACGTTCACGAATTGAAGAATAATCAAGAAGAATAGGTGCTTCAGATGGAGCTATTGGTGGTGGTTCTTCTCGCATTGGCAAAACATTAAATGAAACGCCACGTCGACGTAATGGTCGTCCTTCGCGATTTAATGCACGTGAAGTTAGATTTGCTCCTGCATCCATATAGATACGTTGAATAAATCTTCAGAAACAAAATAGTCAAAATGTATGAAAGCGCTTGTAGTATTTTCATGTGAGCTACAGTAGTAGAAAGCAAAAAACAAGATAGCTTACAATACAGCGATTGGTTCGAAAGTACAGCATATCAAGTAGATGTAATGTGACAGATAACAAAGGGGTCGCATAGATTCAGGAGTGACTATCACAGAAGTAAAATTTAATACTATTTACAACTTGTTATAGAGTCGAGCAAGTTAGTTGAAAGAGAAATATCTAAAGATAAATGTAAAAGACTGAAACGTCTATCAGCTCGATAATTAAGTTGGGCAGTACAGAATCATGAAAATTTTAGAAATTACATAATTTTGATAATTGTCGAACAATTTTTAAAAGAAAGATTTAAAATTTCTTATTTTGTAAATCTGAACAATGCTATTCATATTACTTTTCATATTCATTTTGACATCAACGACTTATGTCTTATCGGGTTGTGTTTGCTTTGTCTTAACTATTGTACAACATTCTTTTCTTGCGTTATTTTCTGCTCTTGTCAAATATCAGTTAGTAGTTTTACTTCATTATAGTTAAATATTCTTATGATTTTAACCACTTAATATTTTACTTTGATAATGTTCTATTATATTATATGTATACATAAAAGAAACAAATAAATATGTAATTCAATTTCAGTGAAACGATGTTGCTTTGCTGGAATTCATTTAAAAAAAACAAGAATTTGTAGAGATTCCAAATTTGATGGTTTATTTACTGTTATTGAAATAAATTTTGCAAGGATCCAAAATTTGCCGCTCTGTACTGCGAAAGAAAAGCTGAATTGATCAACGTTGCGTATGGATAACTATTATGGTTCATATCTAATAGGCATTTGTTGATCATTAAATGTCGAAAAAAATGATGTGATAATTATCGGAACTAGAATAATGATTCGGTACCTTCATTGTGCGTGTAATATAGTTAAAAAGAATCAATTATTTTGTTTCTTTAGAGACACAGATTGTTCTATAGAATGAGCATTCGGTTGTAAAGAAATGAACTGTTAAATTTTCTTAATTCTTGTCAAAAGATTTTTCTCTTTGAAATAACTTTATTTATTTATTTTTGTTTTTATAATAAAATGAACTAATTGCAGTAGTATTTTGCATATTTTCAATATTCAGAACTTGTCCGTTCCAATATAATGCTTATCTATGAAGCACATTCAGATAACTCCTAGCCAATGTTAGGTTTGAAAAAACGATCATACGATGATTATGATATAAGCATTTTTGCTTCATAAACATAAGTTTCATTTTAATGCTCGACAAGAGCAGAATCAAAAACTACAGACACAACTCAATGATTGGAGAGGAGTCGATTTTTCCAAAGTGCAGGCAAAAAAATTTCAACAATGATGAAATTTCTTCGACAATTGTGGGAGTGACAGAAAACCATCCGTTGATTTTTCATTGCAAGAACTAGTAATAGGATGAATAATAATCGAAAAAGAATTCCTATATTGTTTCAACCATATTTAGCTTATACTGATGTTGATAGGATATTTCAGGCAACTCAGATCGAATTCTTTGTTTTTCGAAGACCATTCTCTGAAAATTTTTATAATTTATCGGTTGATTGATTAAAAATTTGCGGAACAGTTTGATCAGATAGTCTAATGCTGTGTTTATAGATAGCGTTGAAAGATAATTCATGTTGATTCAATCAACCGCCAAACTTTTGAATGTAAAAGATAATACTTAACAATTTACGACTTTTAAAAAACACTATTGTACATTCTGACTGCCAGTCTCAAGTAGTTTCTTTTTTTCTTGTATATGGTGCCAGAAAGCTAGGCTAGGAAAATGTTGGTTTTAACCTAAAAAAAGTCTCATTAATTGTTTTTTTTGCATCACTGTTACGGTGAGTCTTAGAAGGAACATTCGGCTTTTACGGATTAAGCATAATCTTTCTATTAAAAGTAATCATCATTTCATTCATGAACTTTCGCCGATGTAAGATCGAGATTAGACACGCATATTCAGCAGTGTCCAACGACTGAGAAATAGGAATTCCTAATGTGTCGAGGAATTGTCAGTGCCGCTGTGATAATTCCTAGAGGAAATGGGAACCAACTATAGGTTCCCTCACAGTTCCACCATTCACGAAAGTCGCGATATTGCTGTTTAAAAATTAATTTTTGCATGAAATCATTGATTTTCAGAATTTTGCAAGTGAAAATGAGTTCAAGAACAAATATTATCGTGAATATTCCATATTGTTACCTTTAGTATGCAAGGAATTGTAGGGGAACTGATGAGGTATTCCTAATCCTCAGTCCTTTGACATCCCTCGTGTTGCTTTCCGTTTCTATAGTTCCACTACTTTTTGTCAATGGGATCAAGCTTGATGTGAAATACAGGAAGTACTAATATTTTTAAGAAGAAACGAAGACGAAAAAAGATACATTATTAATAATTTAAAGAATGCAAAGTGGAACAGAAAAAAAATGAGAGTACAATGGAAGATGCATAATAGTAATGAAGATGTGAATAAAGAACAAAAAGAAATAAAAGAAACAACAGGTCGATCACTGCTGATTTAGAAATGGAAGTTTATATGTTTTTTTTAAAGCGAAGTACATTTTAACTTGCATGAACAATAAAAGAAAACAAAAATTTCACTGCATTGTCTATGGAAAAAGATGAAACGAAAGACGACTTTGTAAGTTGGTTGTATATATATGTATGGATTCATTAATATTGGGTATTGTCACCTACAATATATATATATATAATTGCTATTTTTTGAAAATAATATATTAATCGGAATTTACCTCGTAGAACAAGTGTGACAGGTCCTGGATGCATTTGTCCTGTTGGCAAATAAATCGATGGAGATATCGGCGGTGTAGGATAGTAAAAGACTTGCATAGGATAATAAGTTGCATTCGGATGAAGTCCATTCATAGCAGTCGTTTGTACGTGACCATTAACTGCCGAATTAGTTGAATTTTGAGATTGACATGATGAAAGAGAATTATTAGATATATTTGTTGTTTGCGATGAAGCACCAAGAGACATAGGCATTGTTGGTGGAAGCATTTGGTGTGGAATAGTGGATATTGGTACAAGTGGTGCTGCTAAATCAATATTAATACAATCAACAATCAATAAATAACTTACAACAGATAGCATATTCGATTTCAAGAAAATAAAATCAGTAAAATTTACCTCGATGAGGAGAAAACATTTGTTGACGTTGAACATTAGCTGGAATCAAATTTGATGGGACAAGACCAAGTAAAATTTGATTCATATCTTCACCTGAACATTGAATTACTTCAATATATCTTTTTTTCCCATTAAAAAACATGTATTTATTATTTTTATGTGCTGCTGCATTGAATGAAGCTGCTTCCGAATTCATTTGTATGAATGCTTCACCTGATGGTTGGCCCTTTATAAAAAAAAGAAAAGAAAAGAAAAATAATATATTTACGTTTTCTTTTTTCTTTAATATATTTATCAGTAAAAACATACATGTGCATTATAGACCATATGAACACCTTGTGCCACCTAATAGAAACAAAACATGATTGTCTATTCAATGGTAATATTAAAATTTTCTTACAATATGTTGTGAATGAACTCCGAGAAATTCCAATATTTGTTCAATACCACATTCGACAGGTAAATTACGAACACGAATGCAATCTTTCTTATTTGCACCACTTAGCATTTCAGGTGGCAACATTGGCAAAGGTGCAAAAGGTATATCTTTTAATGATGTTTGAAAATTTTTCGGATCTTGACTGCGTCTAAAAACCTATAAGTATACATATATATATATATATATATATATAACTTCAATAGAACTAGTAAAAATCGTATAATGATGCAACTAACTTGTTGTACTTCAGCTGTTGTACTACGAAAAAGTTCAATATATCGTGTACCCATAATTTCTTTATGTTTAAGTAACGCTTGTGCTGCTTCATTTTCTGTTTTGAGCATGACAAAAGCATCACCTGTACTACGACCATCAGGATAATGAACAAATAAAACACCATCTTCACCATCAACTGCATATGTTGGTGTATCGCCGCGAGTAAAAAACTCGATCTAAATATCATCATAGAGAAAAAAGATATAAAACGGATCTTCAACAAATAAATTTGAGTTCAATTTTGATTTGCCCAACGCCAAACAGCAAACAAAAAAAGATATGTCTGTTGTTTTCTATCAGCTATTTTATCACATCTACATATAAGTCGTGCAAAATAAAAATGTTTTCTTTCAAAGAAGAAGACCCGTTTTGTTTTCAATTTATAGAAACAATAAAATAAAATAAATCTCGTCAAAATAATTTGGCTTTAGTTTTCTTTTAATAATTTGTTATATTAACCTTGGCCAATAAGAACGAAAACACAGAAAGTAAATGAGACAAATCCAATACTACAATATTAGTGAGACCCATAATGCAATAGTTTTCTTTTTCAATTATTATTATATATTTTTCTAGATTGAAAACAAACAATGTCAATTTTCCCAAAGGCGTTAAATAGTTTCTTATATATTATTAAATTACACTCACACATACACACACACACACACGCACACACATTTATTTGAACATCAACCAACCAATTCCCAAATTGTTTTGTTGTTGGTTAAAGCAACTTACATAGGCGCAGGCATATATATATATTACGCCTATAAAATCTCCCTTTCCCGTCTGCATAATAAGTCACACAAATCTGTTCCCTATCCCATAGAATACTTTCTTTTTCTTTCCCGTTGAAGTGTTTTTTGTTCAGTTTGTCGCATTCCCAATATTTGGTGCGGTTCAGTTGCTATTCCCTTCACACGTACACACACACACACATACACACACACGTTGGCGATGTAAGAAAATTTTGAAAATATCATTTAACTACAACCTTCCCGCTGCCCGCAAGAGATTGAGAAAAAAATGACAAAGAACAATGAATGATGGTAAGATTTCCCCGCGTGCATATGTTTTACGATAGAACGCTTTGTTGATTTATTTCTGCAATACCTGTGTTTTCTATTTCATCATTGACTCGATTTATCTGCAATAGAAATATACGTATTGTAAACTTAAACATTTTCACGGATATATAAACAAAATAGTCGAATTGTTAGAAAATTCAAATGCAACCAATCATCATTCATTTTAAACAATATATGTCATATACTTCACCACTCAAGCACATATAACTGTGTATTAATCATATGTACTTACCACATCTTTAGCTGTAGCATCAAATGGTAAACCACGCATACGAATAATAATTTGACCATCGCGTTGTAGAAATGCTTGAGCTTCTGAATTGGATCCTATGATGAAAAAGGGAAAAAATACAATTAATATTAATATTAAATGAAGGATAGCAAAAATAAAGAATAATAATAATTATTATTATTTTCATTGATATGCTCACCGTATCTCTGCATACAATCGTTTTATTCTCTAATTGATAATTGATAAATGAATGGTTTTCTATTTCGATTTGAAATACTCAATAAATGACGTTACCTGCCTATTAAAGTGATTCTTCAATTTATTTTTCAGCTTCTTCTAAGAAGTAGGGATTTAAAGAAACTGATAGTATTAATACGCAGGAAAAAAGGTGAAAATGAAATCAAAATGAATGAGCGACAATAAGAACAATATTTAATACTTTTGAGTTTATTCTCTTAGTCTATCATATACGAGCACCAACGCAATTCTAATTGAAAACAGATATATGACTAGCACTAATAGAAGGACTTAGATAGTAAAAAAGAAAAAGAAAAAGAAAAACGAGGACGAAATAAATATCGTCAGAATTTCAAATACAAACTTTTAAGGTAATTTAAATAATGATAATACAAGTTGCCGTTGTAAGACACTCCTTTGGTATTGCCCATTTGTGTGTACGTATTTGAGAGATTTTACATTGAGCAGTGCAGTATTTGTGTGTGAATGTATGTGAGCAAAATAAAACCTTAGAGAATTTGTTGCGCGTGTTTGTGTGTGACGTGATTTCTTTTCTCCTTTTATTTGGTGCACAACATTTAAGAGAGAGAGAGAGAGAAAGCAAGAGAGACACCTTACCGGCGTCAATTATTTACCACTACTTTCGATTAGAGAGAAAGAGAGAATGAATGATGAAGAAAGAACATCGGATCGAAGTAGTAAAGTATTTAACACGTCTGACAAGCATTAACATCAGTAGTAAGAACGATAAATTTTCGTTGTTGTTGTCGTTGTCGTCGTCGCCGTCGTCGTCATTCGTTGACAGACATATTAGTAGCTTGAACATACACACATAAAAGCTGAAAACTGTGCGCTCTTTATTTGTCTCTCTCTCCTTCTCTGTCTTCTTCTTTTCGCCAAAGCAAAAAGAACAACAAAAAAAGAAAAAAGTGAGCCCACCTCTTTGTTGGCCTCTCAATTTCTCTATTCCTTGCTCTTCTATTTGTGATGATGATGCGACAGCAATCATGATGATAGCAAACGAACGCATATACACCGAAAAGATTTTTAATTATTTACCTTCGATGTAGATACGTTGATCGACAACAGAATAAAAGAGATTAGGCTATTCTTTATAGATCTTTCAATATTTTTCTTTGACAAAAATAAAGCCATCACTGTCGTTGTCTGATACATTTCTCTGTTTACTGAGACATCAGACATGTAGACATAGACACGAACTGAACGCAATTTAATAATGATGTGCTTGCTCTATAGACGTTCATTCGTTATTCGTCTCATCGTCTTTCTTTTTACTTTTCTCTGTCAATTTCTTCTATTTTTCTCTTTAGCCTAGTCGTTATTATTCGCAAGTGAATCTTTTGAATCCTCAAGTAAATAGAGATGTTCGTTCACTTTCTCTTTTTCTTTCTCTCGTTTCCTTTCTTATTTGCATAACCTACCGAAATCGAAATGTTGTCATTCGCTAATGATCAACGACCTTTTGTCAAACAGAACAAATTCGCCAGCCCGGAAGCTCGAAGTAAAGAGAAAGAGACGGAGAGAGAGAGAGAGAGTTGTGTGTGTATGAGTGACAGTGCTGGCCATCAAATAAAGAATGAATTCTTTGCGTTTCACATGTATGCAGTAAAGTGACATATCAGATGATCAGTAGTTTAAGCCAACAACAACAAATAAATAATATTTGCTTTCACAAGAGGAAGCTCTTTTTTTCTTTTAGTCGTTTTATTCTCTCTGCATTATGTGTGTGCATGTGTGAACTACTTGACTGACAGCATTTGAAAATGGTAGTGATACCTGAGAAATGAATTTCACATACTTTTGTAAAAGAAAAAAGAGAAAAAGAAGGCATCGAATGTTTTGAAAATGATTAAATCCATGCGCTAAGGAAAAAGAAATATAGTAAGTATTTACCTGCAGCAATATTGAGAAAATCGCGTCCCGATGCTTTATATACTTCAATATAACGTTGTCCAATGTGATGCTTGTGCCGGCGCAGAGCCAGTTCTCGATGTTCAGCTGATACAAAACGAACTAATGCTTCGCCATTGCGACGTCCTTGACTACTAAGACATAAGGCAACACCGCCCCTACGATAGAAAAAAAAATGAAATTTCTTTTTTTCTAATATGAATAAGATTTAAATTTAATCTTTTTTTGTTAATTAAAATTTAAATAGAAAGACTATTTGAATGATAAATTCAATTCAAGAATTATTTTACGAAAATCATGAAGTCAAGTTCAAAAAGGAATTTCCTATTGTATGTAATATACTGATGAATAGATTAACTATTTAAAAATAATAATAATAACAAATCTTATGTGATTCTATTTAAATTTTAATGGCAATAATTAATAACAAAAAACTATATATATACGAATGAAATTGGAAAACTATTTTGATGTAGCATTTGGATGAATTTGATAAAATCAAAAGTCATTGGAAATAAGTTAAAATTGTTGAAAATAACGAAGAATCACAGATAGCCAATAAAATAAAGTAAAATTTTTCAATAATTTTAGATTTATTTAAGTATGATGTAAATCAGTTATTTTTCTCTTGGTTCTCTCATTGTTACTCGAATCTAATAAGGTTTCTAAGATAGAAAACATCTCACACTCTTGTCGAATAAAAACATATTCAAAAACGAGAACAGATTGATAATTCAAATTTCACTTTGAATAATTAAGTCAAAATTTTATTTCTTTTTAGACATGAAATTTTTTTGAAAATTGTAGATATCATATACTTTAATATATTTTTATTCATTCATATAGCCAAAAAAGTTGATATATTCTGTATAGAATTTATAATTTAAAACTAAAAATTGTTTCTTTTTCTATTTTTTCTTCAGAACTGTTTCAGTTCACAAGTAAAATATGTTTGTGTTTCAATGTTGAAAATATTACGAAGATATAGAAGAGCAATTAAAGAGAACTCTTTCGATAAAATTAAAGGTTTACATCTAATCTTATGTTTGTTTCATATCACTAATCTGTATGTAAAATACAACGGATTTATTTTTATTCAAACAAAGGAAAAAATTATCTTCATTGAATATGTATTTTTTTTTCGTATAATTAATCGATTGGTGTATTTATGCTAATCAACGAAATTACTCACAACAATTGTGCTCTCTTTTAAATCCTTGGAAGTTTTTTTTATACTGTGACATTGAAAGATCGTGTGCTTCTCTACTAATTAGAAACGATTTAATTAAGCAAGTTATGGTTGTAAATAAGTACTGTTTCAAGTGGCAAACACATTTTTAAAGAATATGTTATTTAATAAAATATCAAAATTATCTATATAAGAAAAGAAGTAGCTACTGATATATTTCTAAGTTAAAAATATGTGTTAAATATTAGCATAGCATTTGTTTTGAAAAAAACGCTCAACTCATGATATATAATTACGATTTAATAATCGATTTTACTCACTTTTCTATATCAAGCCCCCGAAAAAATTTGGCTACATCTTGATCGGTACATTGCCATGGTAAACCGCGTGCTCTAACGACTGTACTTTCTTCAATATTATCTTCTAATGAACTAAATAAAAACAAATAAAATTATTATTTAATCAGTATTTCATAACGCTTTGATTGGATTTTAATTTTCTTTTTTTTTCCTATTTCGATAATATTAAAACCCAGACAGATATTGAAAATATTTATTTTAAAATTTAATATCTAAACAAAGATTCAACAGAAAGTAGATTTCGTGTTCTTCAATGATAGAAACGAGTATTATTGAAAAATATTTTCGTTTAATTATCTAATATATTTGTTCTCAGACTGTTTTTCGTACGACTAGAGAACATAGTGCTCTTTTGTTCAACAAAAAAGATTGTTTTAGTTTTCTTTTTATACCAGTATTCTAATGATATTTAGATCCGATGAGAATCTGTTTTACTAATTTTAAGATTAAAGTGTTTTATGACAAGAAAATATAGTGAAAGAATTTTTCTAAAATATTAGAAACTATACGCTTTTTCTATTATTATTATTATTAAAGAAAATGATGTCTAAGCTTTTTGGAATAGTAATTTAGATTTTATTCTTTAAATATATACGTAAATATCTTCATTCTCTATCTGTCTTCAAGTATTGTTTAACTTCAATAAGAGTCAATCAAAAGAGAAAGATTTAAACTTTCAAAACAAGATAGCTTCTGTCAAGATCCGAAATATGTATTTTACCATATGCCCTGTTGTAAGTGAGTCATAACATGTTCGGGTTGTTCAAAACGGTAACCTATGAAAGTATTATGAAAATTAAAGTATGAAAAAATTTTTATGTTGAATAACCTAACCATTATTTAACATTTGATAAACAATTAATTCCATCTGTCTAATATGTCGCATACAATAGTCGATTTCATCTATTGGTGAAATTGACAATTCTAAAACAAAAAGAAAGAAGAAATTATAGTATTAGAATTAGATCAATATCATATTTCACAATGTGTTGAATGTAAGCTGTGACTCTTTCGAAAACCAATCATCAAGGTCAATATCCTTTTCTTTTGCAAATAATTATAAAAAGAAAAAAAAATATAAAATTACTTTCAAGCATAGTATCTATATTGTAACATTCAGTTGTTTTATACATGTGTTTAAATTCATTTCTCAAATCAAAATAAGACCAGTAATAATTCGGCAAAGGTATTGTTGATTTTTTAACACTTTCCGGATGAAGACATTGACGTATATGAAGACAATTCTCACAAATAAATGTTAAGTTAACACCAAAATCTGGATGTAGATACCGATCACGTAAGAATCCATCGAACTACAATAGACAATTGTCAACATCGAAAGAAATCGATAGTATTTTTAAAAAAAACTCACTTTATTCAATGCTCCATTAAGATCAAGTTCTGATGAAAATAGCAGTGTTTCATCAATTCCGCTTGTTTGTTTGCTTTCATCATTCAAATTTTCTATGAATACTGGTTGTATGTATTGACGATGTAAAGCCACCATCTTTTGTTGCCAAAAATAAAATCCAACTTCTATAATTTTGTCAGAAATTCGATTTTTAGAAAACATACCTTTCTTTGATCTGCATCAATAATAAGATAAATCATTTCGATAATTTCCTGTTCATCTGAACCCATGTCTTGGTCCAATAATCCAGCAGTAATGAGAGAAAATAAGCATAGATATTGTTTATTATTATCATTATTTATTTCAACATTCGCTACTGGTACCACGGCTATTGTCAACGGCGGTGAAGACGATGACGACGTCATTTCAGACAGCAACGTGGTCGGCGAATGCGTACGAACCCGTTTACAATTCAGGTTTAATAGAGTCGTAATTGTCAGTTTCGAAGGCGAAGAAGAAATAAGAGATATAAGGATGGAAAGAATAGACTTGATATTATTGAAAAATTGAATACCAAAAAAAAATCGAGAGAACAACAAATGCTATCAATCAAAACCGAATAAGTCAAATATCGATTGAAAAGGACGAGTAATATACACACAACTGTGACACGATACAAAAATAAACCGATGAATATGAAATTTTAATGGCGATCTGCTTTTTTTGTTTCTTTCTTTTTATTCCTTTGTTATATTTTACATTTGAATCCTAGAACGAGAATCAAATTCTATTGATAGTTATGGAAAAAAAAAACTTTTTTTTTCTCTCTCTCTCTCGACTTCTTTACTTCATGTAAAAAGGGCCATCTGTTACCTTTAGGTCATCTTTAATGTTCAAGTTTTTCTTACTCTTGCATTGTCTGATCGTCCTTTTTTTTGCGCAATCAACCGATCTTCAATCATATTCTTTATTCTAGCATTTGATTTCTTTTTTTTTCTCTCTCAATATTTCATCCTACGATGTCCTCCATTGTGTTCAGAGTGGGGCCTACGCAGCGATATGCGACAGCTGTTTGCGCTAGGAATCTATTCACATTAGCGACAGACGCGAGAATGTGCACAATCATTCCCTTCATTAAAATTGATAAACTATCATGTAGAGGAGGAAAAAGAGATCGATGTAAAATCGTTTGTGTGCATATTTCTACTGCTAAAAAAAGATTCTATTTTGTTACTGACCTGTTCATTTTAGGTATTATTGAAGTGATTTTTAACTTAAAAACACAATTCAGCTATAGGCACACAACTATGGTTGATCATGAGTCTATTGGAGAAGAAAAGAAAAAATTGTTCGTGAGAGAAAGATGCACTGCAACGTCGGTAACAAACGATATGCTTCGTCGATTTTTGTCTCTTTGCCGTATAGACGTGTAAGAGAAAGCGCACATGTACAAAGTCAAAGCGTAGCCTTCGTCAACAGCGTCGTCACATTATTGAATGACCGATCCAATGGAGATCAAATAGTCATCAGTATAATCGAATAGGAAAAAAATTGATAATGAAATTTTTTTTCTATATGACATATTGTATATGGAACATTATTTTGAATTATCGATTGAAAATGTATGTACGAAGAACATGCTTGAAAAGTTTTACCTACATGAAACTAACAGAAACAATATGCTCTTGTGTTATTCAATTTGACTGTAAATTGTAAATATTTCTCTGGTTTGAATAGTTTTTTTTTATGTCGCCCAAATATCTAGTTGCAATAAATAACTTTATTTTAGATATTTTACTATCATAAGAAAGAGTATTTATTTTACGGATCAAATGTCGTGCAAAAACTGTCTATTCGTTTGTTCAAATCAAAATATAAAATGAATATTTATGAACAACAGAACTATTTTAAACTTAACTCAGTTTTAGAATGAGTAAAGTTTTGGTAAATTCTCATTAAATTGTTCATTGTATAAAATTAATGAAACATAGAGCAAAGTCAAAAACTAGATACAGTGAATGTGCACCGGTGAGATAGTTAAAAACATGAAATCGGAGCGTTTTTATCATTAAATTTTCATCGATTCAAAATAATAACTATTTATTCCGATGGATTTTCGATTATGCACAATTAGAAGGAAGGAAAATATTAGTTAATTAATTGAATTCAATGATAATTTTGTTAACTATTCACGTAGATACTTTTTGAGTTTATATTTTATGCATCAAATAAATATTTCGGCTAGAAAGTATAATTAATATCTGTACAATTTTTTTAGAAAACTATTATAATTATTCTGACATATAATGATAGATAATAATAAAAAACTAGTCCTAATTATAATCTAAAAGCTGATTAAAGATATTGATTTGTCTACAATAATCTATATTGAACACAGTAATTTTTTACTATATAAATTCCTAACTTGAATATCAAAGAAATGCTTTCAGTATCAAATTTAAAAACTTTCACCATCAATGAGATGACTTAAGGAATTTAAGCAAATTTATTGCATTTAAAAACTGTTATGAAAATAATCAGAAATGATGTTTTCTTTTTTAGGCATGAATCTATATTGTACTTGTAATGATGATCAGTCGGATGTTATAAATTACCTAAAACTTCAACACGAGTAGATACAGTGGATTGTTCTTAACAAACGCATCATTATGACAAAAATATTTTCAGAATACCTCAAGACTGATATTCGAACTGTTTGTCGTTTTATATATTGCTTACATCATTTTCTATTTTTTGACTGAAAGAAAAATTTTGATATAGTTATGCTCGTCACCGGTACCAAAACATTGATTTTCATATTCTCTTATGAATTTTTCAATACTAAAATCTCTACAGAGTAATGAAATGATAGTCATGGGACATGTACAGAAAAAGATTTTGAAAAAAGATTCCACACTCTTATTGATATTCATGACTAACATGAATATACATCATCGAGTCCACTTTTCAACAACCTTACGATAAATATATTGAGTGAATTTAATTTTACCAATAGAACAATTCATGAGATTATAATTCAATATGCATTTTAGCCTTTTATTGTTGAACTTACGTCTACTTTTGAACAAGGTAGGCATTGTAAATTGTTCTAAATGACAGCTTTATGGCTTCTATTTTGCTTTTGCTCTGCCCTGTTCTGCTGCTATCGCAATACAGCTGGAAAACATAATTCATATAGGCGTTTTAGATATATTCGATACATAACGACAAGTGAGCTATTTACTAGTGAAATCAATGTTTAGAATAATAATCATTTTAAATTAAGAAAAGGAGCATATGAAAACAAAAAATAGTAAATGATATACCAAAAATGTTAATGAAAGATAAACTATAAATAAAAATAAAATTCTGCTCAAAGTTCAAACAGAAAATAAGACGAATCGTTTCTATTATTTTATCAATAATCTTTGAAAAGCGCCTATCGCCGAAAACGGAATTTATATTTTACACCTTTTCTATGAGCCTAAAAAGGCTAAAAAACAGGTGATTTCAAAATTTCAAGCTCAAAGGATCTGCATTCATAAACATTTTGCAATTATAACATTATTTGATTTTTTGTATCTTCATTCATTGCAAAAGAGAGGCAACAATGTTCATTTTTTGGATTATGAATAGTTTAGATACTCATCTATAAAGTCAAATGTAAAAAATATTGGTAATACTAAATAAACATTTTATTTAACTTTACAATTTACTTTTATAGCATTCTCTTTTTATCTTATGAAATAGAGAGCGTTTCACTAAATCTATATATAGATATAGATATAGATATAAAAGACGACGAGTTATGACGATTCTTATCCATATGGAATATGTGATCATAGATTTATGACCAGAAAAACTCATTAATTATATTATTTTCTTTCTTGAATTATATTATTTGTATGCGTGATATGAATTAAATAATTTATTCTCATGAAATATAAAAGTAACTCCTTTGTAATTTCCGTAACTAAATTCATGCTTATATAAAAGAAAAAACAGAAGCTTCATTAAGAAAACTTGTTCGATATAATATTTATTTTCTCAACTAGTAACTCGTCTGGAATTTATCTTCGCTGCAGTATCTGATATTAGTTTAAACGTTGTTAAGTGCTACTAGTTTGGAAATACTTAGAAAAACTCATCTGATATCAGCGTCCCAGTCAATGTCCCCCGCCGATAGACAATAATTTGTTACTGATAATAGTCAACAGGCTATTTACTTGCACAAATATTTATTTATATTATCAATCTTGCCCTAAAAGATTCGATTTCGTCGTATCTGATTTATCATATTGGGCACATGTAGCTTTAAAAGGGACTCAATAAAATATGTAAATCTTATTTTTCATTTGTAAAACATTTTATTCTGATGCACTATGCAGCTCTAATCTCAAATTTTACAAAGATAATCTACCGCGAAGAATTCTTGTTACTTTTCATCATCATTTACAACATTTTTGATTTTGTTAAAGACAAGTTTTAGTTTATAAAAAAAAGACAAGATATTTAAATCAATTTTGAAAAATGCATATGTCTTCGTTCATTGATTCATATACTCACATACGCGCACAAACACAATAATCACAAAGCAAGAAATTGGAGCGCATTTTGAAAATAAAGGTTGCAATATACCAATGAGATCATTAATAAACACACACACACACACACACACACACGCACGCACGCACGCACAAACACTATCTACATACGAGAACAAAAAAGGAAAGAAGAGAACAAAAAGAATTTGAAGAAAAAAAAACAAATATTCAACAGTATTTAGTATTATGTTGTTGGTAAAAGTCATAGCTAGTCGGATAATTTCCAACCATTTTTTGCATATGTGGATATGAACCATGCGTATGATAGGATAAGTCTTGTTGAGAAGGCGATGAAGATGTGTCAGACACTCCTGATGGTGTTATTGGGCATGATGAAGGTGGCTGAGTTACCATATACTGTCTTGTCGCGCCAGAAAAGTATGGCTGAGTCGAATATGGCCAATATCCATTTGATGCTGTTACAGAAGACGAACCATAATCATTATTCGGTGAATAAAGATGTTGTCCATTATGATGATGATTATTATTACCATTTTGAATGTGATGGTGTGAATGAAGATGATTGGTTTTATTATTTCCATTTAATGACGATGATGAATAATTTGAAGATGCAGCTGCATAAGCAGCAGCCAATGAAACTGAACTTGATGTTGTTATTGAGTCTGTACAACGAAAATTAGTTGATGATGTTGATGAAGAATTGGATGAATTGGATGTTGTAGATGTACCACCAGTTTGTTCATAGATAACAGCCGCCATTGTCATGGGATCGATGAAATTAAAATTTGGTAATGTTGTCGATAAACTATTAGTCATTGGTGGAGTTTTCGATGACGATGGTAAACCATAAGTTAATAGATGATCACCTGACTCACTGGCTTCCACCGGTTCCATTTTTGGAGTTGTATATCCACCAGCATGTTTCTATATTTTCATTATTAAAAAAAAAGAAGAAAAAGTATTAAATAAAATGCGAATGAAAAAAAACAATGTATATGTAGTACTATACCTTTCTTGGTGACTCTGTACATTCTGTGTCGTCAGTAGTGGATTCTTTACCAATTGAATTCGATCCTTGATTTCGAGAACGACTAACTTTTGTACCATTGGGACGTGGATCGAGAGGACTATTTGTTGTTGATGTTGGACTAATTAAATTGGGTGAATTTCGTTGATGTAATTGACCTCGTTGTCGTCCTCCACCAGATTGTTGATGTCGATGAAGATTATTTGATTCTTGTTTAAAACGACGTCGTCGTCGTAAAAATGAACCATTATCAAACATATTGTGTGAATCAGGATGAAGCATCCAATAGGATCCTTTCCCTATGGAGAAGGAAAAAATGTGCTGGTATAGATTTTTTTTTCTTCTCAATTATAAAGCATAAAACAAACCTGGTCGTTTATCATCTCGTGCAACTTTAACAAAGCAATCGTTTAATGATAAATTATGTCGAATTGAATTCTGCCAACCTTGTTTATTTTCTCGATAATACTAGAAAAAATATATATAAGACTTTAATTATCGAGAAAAAAAATTAATAATATTAACTTACTGGATATTGATCCATAATATATTGATAAATACCATTTAAAGTGCATTTTTGATCTGGACTATTTTGAATAGCTGCTGTGATGAGTGCAATATAACTCATAGCTGGTTTGGCCAATTCTTTTGAATTAACTGATGACATGGCATATGGATAAGCAGCCGGTGGACGTGATAATAGATGATAGGGATCACCATAATTCGCATACGGATTTGTTTGATGAACACCATAGGATGATACGGATCCGGACGATGGTTGTCCTAATCGATTTGTTGCTGATGATGGAGGTAAAGGCGGATAGTATGCAGCAGCAGCAGCGGCAGCAGCTGCAGCTGTAGTCGAATCATAATAGTTTGCAAAACTAGTTGATGACATTGTTGATGTTGTTGAATTATGATTAGTTGATGAAGCAATTGGTGGTGAACTTGGATTGGTCATTTATTGTGTTATGTTTTTGTTTTGTTTTGTTTGTCTTTATTAAAATCGAAGAATTAAAATATTAACACACTAAGAATAACACAAATTAATATTTATGTTGATGCTAGTGATGATGTTAATATCACAGAAATCACTCGTAGTTTCAATAACACGGAGAAGAAAATAATAATAATAATAATAATAATAACATTGCAACTATGAGCCAAGTAAAACAAATAGGGAGCTAGTCGTTGTTTAACACAGAGATCGTTTGTTGCTGTTGGCTGATGTTGTTGATGATGATGATGATGAGGGTAGGCGATCGTATGTTTTTCGTAATAATAAACAGAGAAATTACAATTTGATCGACTGTTTTTATTACTCTCTCTTTCGCTCTTTTTGACAGCCTTGGACAAGAACACACACACGAAGATTTTTTCCTTGGTTAAACAAATACAAGTCCTTCCCGATAATCAAAAATAATATGAGAAGCGCGAAGAGACTGCTACTAGTGTATGCTTACTCATCAAGCAATTCTTTTCTTTCGTCGTAATAAGAATAACAACTCCAATGATCGTAGGTTTGCTCTCGAGTCGATTTTTTCTCTTCTCTCGATTTTTTTCTCTCTCTCTTGTTCTCTCTTTTCTTCTACGTTTCTTCCGTTATATTCCTTCTACTGCCAATCGTTATTGGTACCACATTCCTTGCTTTTTTTTCTCCTTCTCTCCACATCGTAGTACACGAATCAGAATTTTTGACCAATCAAATCAATTCTTTTGTCGTTCGTCGCCCAGGCGAGAAAAAGAATGTCTTATATGTTGTTGTTGCTTTTGACAAGTCGCGGCTGTACTGCCCGAGAAGAAAAATGTGTGCGTGAAAGGGAGAGAGCTTATCAAGCACTTTCATTATTTTGCTACATGATTTATTGATAAGTCAATTAAAATGTACATACACATATGGCAGTATAGAAAAATAGGCAAATTTTTGCCTACGTTCCGATTTATCAAAAGATTTTAAGAAATTTCACATTGATAAATAAAATTTGTCGTCGAATTGATTTATGAATAAATTTTACAGTTCTATAATAATCACTAAATGATAAAATGTGTTTCCAATATTATATTGATGATATTAGAGTCCTGCTGTTGCACACTGAAACGTGAATTGGTATCAATCAGGAAAAAAAAAAGACATGATATGCTCCCGCTGTGTTCGACCGATCAATATAGACGAACGAAGGTCAGAGAAAAGTTTTTCCGTGTCCATGTACATATTGTATGCATGTAGAATAGAAGCAGAGCAGAAACGACGTAATCTGTGTGCACCAATCATCGTTGTTCATGATTTCACTAATTGGAATGACGAAGAAACAATGATCCATGTGTGTGTTTTTTTCTTCTGATACCAATTTGAAATTTAATCTGATTTTGAACAGTCATCTGGAGAAGATACAATAATTAATAATTTCATCCAATAGATATTAATTTAAAGTGTTTCATTTTTCGTACTTATTCTAGAAAAGCAATGATCTTTTGACATACGTATTTAATCCGTTCTTCCGGCGCCGCTTGATCAATCTCTGATTTTGCCCAATGGACACAATTAGTGCCCGTATGTGTGTGCGTGTGTATGTCTGTGTTGGATAGCCTCGTCACGCGGCCGTTTAAGATCAGTGACGTAGTTGAAATAATATTTGTATAAACACATTTCCATCGTCATCATCACAAGGTGTTCATCTGGCTCTTTCAGAGGTGATTTACACAAAGGGTTTCACTTCGTTTATCAGCCCTCGAGGCATCGAAATATAGGATGAAAAGAAGGATAAATCAAGTGGCACGAACCGCTCGTCTTCATTCCATAATTGATGACATATTCTCGTCTGTTAAATATCAATATATCCATATGTACATAAATACATACATATATATATATAAATATTAAAATACACCTGTAATCATCATCAAGATTATTATCTGAAAGAGTGATTGCCACAAATGATTAATGAATAGATTTGAGGCAAATTTCTTCACTCACGGATTAATTGATTTGTATCACAAAGTGAATTGATTTTTGGCCAGTATAATCATTGTTCTAATACGTTTTGTATTTAAAATTAAACTCGAATATCACATAGATGAATTGTACATAAGAATAGTAAAACTTCTTCTAGTTCTAGTTGTGTCTCTCTGCTTCTCACACTTTCTCTTTCTGCTTGCTTCTCTTTCTTTTTTTTACCCTAATGGGTTAGATTTTTTTTGATCAAAGCATATATTTATACAGATTTGTAACATAAATACACATTCGTCGACGACAACGACGAGGTCTCATAGCAGCAACAGCAAAAGCAACCATCAACTTTGTTATCCTAGCCTCTCTTCTTTGCCTTTCTCTCAAGCACTCAGAAGAGAATATGCATTGTTTTTTTCTTTTTCTCTCTTGTAGAACCATATCGGCATTCACACCGTCAATATTATTCTTAGTTAGTGATAGTTGTGGTTGTTTTAAAAAGAAAAATATTACAATATAGAAGAAGAAAAACACATAGAAGAAAAAAAAATGAGAAAGACTACCATTTAATTTATGTTCAACTGTAAATTCATACATAGTTACATACATACAGGTAGGCAAGCTAGAAAAAAAAACATCAGCGTTGATTGTCTTATCCGATTGAGCGATAGATAATTGAGCCGACAACGCCCACATATGGTAGTAGTATTCGAGAATCGTTAATGTTAAGAAAACAATTAATTTGGCAAGATTGTGAATGGCATCTTATACCACTACCTTTGATATTTGCTATAAGAACGAAGGAAATAGGAATAAAGCGTCTATACAAACATATCTAAAAAAAAGAAACTTCTGACGATGATGATGACGATGACGATCACATACATCCTTTTAGTGAATAAATTTTCTATTAATTGAACGTTTGAACATATCCGCTCGACAGATTGTATTGATTTTATGAATATGAAAGTATGTATCAAACTACTATTTTTACATGAGGAAAACGAGTTTTTATTTTTCTTATAAATTTAAATCAGATCATATATGGAAGCAGCAAACTGTGAACTAATGATGCCTGAAGAGAAACAATCTTAAAACAAAATCAATTGACTGACAGATATCCACGCCCAATTTCGAGTGTTTTTTTGATTGAGTGCACATCCGGTATATGTATATATCTTACAGAACGATGATTACGTAGAATGTCGTCTTTTCCTCGTGATCTATGTGAAAGTACGCAGCCGCTTTATAATACAAAGAAGAGATCAACTTTCTTTTTTTTGTTTCATGTTAATGTGACGGTTTAAAACATGAAAAAAGAAACAAGAAATGAATCAAAAGTCTTGCAGCTTAGAGACAATCTTGATATCTATCGAGTGTGACAAATGGCATAGATGAAAAACAACAACAAAATCTTTTCTTTTCCTTTTTCTTTTTTCTTATTATAAATAAGACTAAAAAATAACAATATGTAGATGTGTGTTGATCACCAATCATACTGAAAGTGTTATGATTAAGAATTTATTCGTTACGTCTATAGACACACTTGGAAAAGAGAAGGACAATCGTTGTTCCAAAAGATGTTCTTGACTTTTCGATTAACCGTACGCAAATGAAATGACAACAACACTAGCAATCGAAATGTTTGCTCAATCCAATGATGATGAAATTGACAACTGTAAAGCTTTCTTTTCTTTTCTTTTCTTTTCTCTTCTCAATTTGATTTCTTATGTAAGCAATGAAATGAATATTGAATGAAGACAGTCAAACAAGTTTTATTATTGTTAGCTAACATCATAATGAAGTTAGAAAATACTGTTCTCTATTTTCAAGACCCTACATAGATTCTATTCAAAATATATCAGTATGAAAGAAAAAAAAACATTCTCATCATTGTTTAAGTACTAATCATCGATCATTGATCGATGAGAACTGAACAACAGCAGTAGGTCATAAAATAGTAAATTGTATTTATTGCAACGTAACGAGCATCACAACTGTTTGATTGATGAGTAAAAATTAGATATCATTATCATTTTTTCATAGTTTTGACAATGGAACTAGACAGAACAATTTATTCACCGTTTTGTCCAACTGTTCCTCACATCAATTTGATGGGTTATAAACTAGTAACTAGTTCTAATGGTTGTTGATTCAAGGCAACAGCCGATCAACCCTCAGGTATTGCACATACGTACGTACGTATATAAATTCATACATATACGTATATATATATATATATAGAAATAGGTATGTACAGAATTTGAGTGTTCGTTATTCTTCGTTCTCATAATGCACTATTCTCAATAGTGACAATTTATTCTCTAGCTTCAGATTGTTTGCGAAGAACTTGAAATTGGAAGAACAAAAGCACCACACTTCTCACAATGATGAAATCTTAAAAAAGAACAACACAAATTCCCATTCGCTCTTCGATTAGTTCGATAAACCAAGTAAAGAAATATTTTCTAGCAAAAGAAATTGATTGAGGTGGAGAAGTTGTCAAGAGAGAGAGAGAGAGAGAGAGAGAGAAACAAGAAGAGAAAGCAAGTAACGGAATGTTTGTTTAACTTGTTCCATTGCTATATCTCGGGAACGTAGAAGGGACCAAACGTATTGATTCGATGAACAGGAAAATTGGGTGGGCTAATTTGAATAAACATACGCTAGAAGAGATAAGTGCAAGCACACACCGTGTCTTTCTGCCTCAAGTCAATCATCAAACTCATCAATTGAATAATACTGAAAAAGAAAAGGGAAACAAATTTCGTTGCTTTAATCAAGCGAACAAAACTGATTTCTTTTTCTTTAATAGCAAATAGAATAGAAAAATTCAATCTAGAAAATTTCATCTTCTCTATCATGTTATTTTAAGATATTATAAACGTCTGCTGATGTTGTTGATCATTCCCACATCGATACTCATATTTTGTGTATATTGCAACGAACGATAAACTTGTTTACTGTTCCTCCTTTCCCCTCTCTAAACATAATCATCGTCGTCATCATGTTCTCTTACTCCATAGGGACTTTTGCTCATCATGTGGAAAATGTTCATTGGTTCATTACGACTCAAGACGTTTTCTTTTTAATTTGAACCAGAAGTGTATGATAGACTAAAGGATAATATTACAATAATTAAGTTGAGAGATAAATGTGGACGACACTAGTAGAATTTAGTCTTGTTTTTTCTCTTTATCTAATCGAACTGAAAAAGAAGAGAAAAGAACATATTAATTGTCCATTAAATAATTTATTCAAGTTAACAGTAGTTATTTATCTGATAAAATAATCATTTCTTATAAAACTTTAAAAAAAACTATCAGAACATTTTTGAATGCATTTTCTTTTTCAAGATAAACTTTTGATATGAAGTTGTTTTGTCAAAAAAAAAACAGAAAGGTCACTTTAATCTTTTGAAAAATGTCTTGCGGAGAAACTACTACTTCATTTAAGAAAGAAAATTCATTGATTTATAATGATTACCTTGAGGTTATCAGTTCTCACGACTTGGAACTTCTTTTAACCTATTTTTATAGATTTGAAATTGAAATGCTATCTTAATCATATGAAATATTCATTTTTTCAAGTTTAATCATTCAAATAGAAATTATCTTACACGACGATGAACGCTATTAGAGTTTCAAAAAATGAACAATCATTTCGGAGCCACTGACCACTGTTTATGATGTTACACGAACATCAGGATGAATCAATTGTCAATGAAATCTTTTCAAGTTAGCAATTCTGTATTGGATAGATTTTGTTTTTTCGTAGTTTGTCTATTCACTTTGCCCAATAGCATATCCGTCTAGCTTTTGATCATTTTACTGCAAATGGTGATGCGTGGCATCATCCATAATGTGTGCTCGTGGCGATAAGGTGTCGAATGCGTTAATCGGCATGCTGTGCTTTTGATCCTGCTGGTATTGACCAGTTTGCTTACTTATCTTGTTCGTCTTCTTCATCGTAAAGTGATCAAGTTACATTTGCTATGCACAGTATGGAACTTTCGTCTTCTTTCTCTCAACACCTTGACTTGAGCTTAATATATTCGATGATCAGTCGCTTATTTTCTCAGCTGTATTCCTGCTGGTCGATCAATCGCTTCTTGTCTCTCTCTCTCTCTCTTTTTCTTTCTGTCTTTATCTATCTCTCAACAACGGCTATTATCATACAATGACACAAAGAAACAAGAAGCAATAGGATCATCATCAGTTCCCAAGTTGGGGATTTTATGACCTTTACTCTTCTAGTCTACATTGAAATGTCAATTGTAACGAACAAGATCGACAAATGAAGAAAGAAAGAAAGATGAAAGGCAGACTTTTATCTGTCGATCAAAGCAAATATTCAATATACATCGAATACTGTTAAATGAATTAATTATACGAATATAAAAAGATTCCTTTATTATAAAATAAAAGGACTCATTCTAATTAATTTTCATTGAGGCTTGTCCATTGCTGTTGTTCTTTTTCTTCTGCTAGTTTGGTTTATGTTTACAAATAGTTTAATGTACAACTTACTGATTGTGATTTTATTCATGTACATTTAAATCGCTTCAAATTGTTTTCTTTCCTCTGAAGAATTTTAGAGTAATAAATAAAGGTAAAAATCTGAGAAGCATTTATTTTAGGTAGAATACAAAAACAGAGAAGAACATCTATTTTTTCCTTTCATTATCGTCTACAACATTTTCTATTTACAATATTGCATAGCTTTTAAAATTAACGAATTATTGCCAGATACTTTAGATATGAGTTTTCAAAACAAAAACTGTAAAGCTATTCAGTCAATAGTAATTGCTAGATTTTGTGGTCAACATTTGCTGTGCATCATTTTTATTTCTTCGTTCAAAATGTTTTTATATTTAATCATTCAATTCTTCAATCTGATTCAAATTAGATTTTGTCACTTTAGTTGTTCTTTTAAACAAGTATTGACCGAAACTTGATCTTTGGTAATCATATTGAACTATATATGAAATATATCGACGTCATTCCACACATAATTATAATCGACAAACTATCCTATTTATACTCATGTGATCGTTTTAAATCTAGACGATTTTCTTTGAATATTACCATTATCTTCGTGAGTTGATATTTCATTAAAGACACACGATACGAAACTATTCTCTTTATAAGCCTCGAGCTATCGTACACATACTTATAATATTTGGATCGCAAAGAAATTTCTTGTGTGCAGTACTGGTTTTTGTCAAATTGTCAATATTTTATCCGAATGAATATTACTTTATCCTCTAGACCATCAAGGACCTTAACGAGAAATAAAATTGTTGATTTTATTGCGAAAATACGAAATATATATTTAGATGTTGTCTATAGGTCAACATCTTGACTCAAGAAATATAACGAAAGATTTTATTATTAATCTACATATCTATGACTTTTCTCTGACATATGTACTCAAACATTAATAATAACAATAGAAAAAAAATGAGCATAATTATTGATCGTCTAAGAAATTTATTTAAATTGGAAAAAAAGAAAATATTATTATAACTATGGATATCATTTTATTTTAGTAATTAACAAAGAATACGATTGTTCTTAAACTGGTTCGTTCAGTAAAATAATAATTGAATATAAAATGAAAGTAAAATAGATTTACCGAGATTCACTTATCGAACTGGAAAAACAAATCGAAGAAAACCAAAGAAAACATTTTGCAGGTATCTTTCAATAAAGTTTAGCAGCGTAAGACAAACTGGACATGAAGTGTGCGCGAAAAATAGAATGAATATAAATCACTACTAGTTGATTATTACATCCGCAAAACAATACATAATTTGATCTTTAAAATGAATGTTAATAATTTTCTCGATTATGCATGATAGTTAAAAAAATAATATGAAAAACAATGTATAAAAAAAGAGTAGTTTAACTTGTTTCTTATGAGTTATTTACATTTTAAGTGAAAAAACAAGCGTTAAAAAATCTTCATAACCAATGGTTATTTGGCCAGTTTGATAATGGTCATGGTGACGAAAGGCGTTGGTTAATGTTTGAATAGAAACGCATGCTTGAATAAAATCATCAAAAGCAACTGTACCACGACCAGTTCGATCAAATTTTCTTATTAGTAAATCATAAAATTGATCGGATAGACGAAAACCTAAAAAACACAACCAATTTTAAATCGAACAGAATTCAATGTATGATTGCATTATTTCAGAGACGGAGGCATAAATTTAACAGCCTGTATTAAACTATAAGTTTCATCAAATACTTACCGAATGAGCTCAATGCAGTCTTGAGTTCATGTTTATCAATAGAACCATTACCATCCAAATCATATTTTCTACACAAAACAAAAATCGTTATTGAAATTCACTGTCTTGATTTTGTCAAATAAAAGCAACAAACCTAAAACATTTCTCCCAATCTGATACATATTTCCAAAGATGACGAAATTCATCCAAATCAATAGTCGATGATCCATCTCGATCAAACATTCCTATAGTAACAAATATAAGCTGAATATATTTTCTTTACTTAACAAAAAATAAAGCCTATAATGATATCAATCAATATCGATTAAGATTCATTTTTATTCACTAAGCATAGTCAATTCATACGTTAATTTTATTGGGTAAATAGACTTATTGAAATCTGTTTTTCAGGAATACGGAATCTTTCGTAAAAGAACAGCTACTTTAACATATCAGATCATAGTAGACCTGTTTATTTGACGCTATGAATCGTAAAAATCAATACGTGACCGTTTCAATTCATTTTTATTCTTCTTTAATATTTTCCATGATTGACTAGGAAAATGTTCGTAACTCATCAAAAGATTAACAGACATCAAAAGGATCGCGCATTACTCATCTAGTGACAAAAGCATCGAGACACTCGTACATTTGTTTTTCAAACTTAACCACATTAGAAAAGAAACCAAACAGTATTGAAATAATCATTTCTACTACTTTTATAGCTTACCTATCATCATTCTTACGGTTTCCTGAAAAACAAAACAGTATCCAATCAGTTATATTATATTCGATTTTAGTCGCATAAATATCTTACAGGATTGAAAGGACTCCATGTACCATTAGACAATGCTGCTTGAAGTTCATTTGCTGATATAGAACCTGATCGATCGGTATCTACCCTAAATGTAAAAAAGAAAACTCAAAATTTCTTAGTTCGGTTGTTTTAACAACATTTCTATTAATAGAAACATTTTCTATAGTACATAATTCCTGAAAAAAAAACACTCAAAATTTATATTAAATGAATTCACCTATGAAACACCTGCTGAAGAAAAGTATCGTTTGGTTCAGGTTGAGCCATTGATCTCAATAAACGTTGTTTAGACTAATAATACCAATAGTTTACACGGGCAATAAGCAAACAAAACAGCCGTATTAAAGTACAAAAATAACAATATTTAATCTAAAATAAAACACATAGGAAGAAACTATTTGTTTTTTTTTGCTTTAAAAAACAACAACTGTGTATAATTTTGCAAAAATGTTGTCTTGTATCCTTAGTGGCCATTTTAAGTTTCGTATTATTCATTCAATGAATGTGCGTCTTGTGCTTGGTTTTTCTCTTTCAGTTCGTTTTTTTTTCTCTACACCTCAGTCGATTTTGTAAAAGATGAATAAGAACCATGACACATCGAATGCAAATAAATATAAAAAGTCCTCTTGTCAGTAAATTATGAAGGTTAACAGAGAACGAGTAAAACAAAAATAAAGATATTGTATCATTATCGACTAAAAAAATGTCGAATATTCTTCTCAATTCAATTCTAAAATGGTTCACAAAGTAGGTTTTACTAATAAGACAAAATGTAGACAACGTTTTTATAACATTTCCACTGTTGTCTTCTTCTTTGTGCGGTCTTATCAAAGAAACGACAACTCAAAAAATAAAGTACGATAACATTTGCTTTTTTTCTTATAATACTATAAGATTTTACAATGGAAGATAAATATCAAACTTCGTTGATACATTCTCGAAATAAAACACAAACGATAAAATTTAAAAAACGAATTTGACTTTCTTTTTCGTGTACTCAAAAAGTGAGTACACTCTAGATTCAGTCAGTGTGTTCGGCCGGCCGTTAACATGATAACTCTTGAAAGCCTCTTCCAATTGTCATGAAATTTTGTACACAGAATGATCTCATCAATATCTCGGTCGAGTTCGAAGATGAGAAGGATCCGTCAAGAAATGACTGAGTTACCGAAAAAATTGTCAGTATTGCATCCCCCCCCCCAAGGATTTTTTTTCTCAGAATTATTCACAACATACCTAAATCGACTCAGTTTTTGCAGTACACATAACAATCGGATGCAAACCCGATGTTTCCGCATTTATTTTCTATTAAAAACAATTTACATACAACCAAATATAATCATTTTTTGGATTATTTTGAATTTGTTTGGGAATTTGATAATGATGTTTTCATATCTTGCTGTTGATTAGCCGTAGCTATATTGTATCCATTTGGATATCTTTGTCGAAATCTTCGAACAACATCAGGTTCAATTAAACGAACACCATCTAATTGATTGCCAAGTGTAGTCCAGTTTGGTTGAACATTATGAGGTCGACCGAATAATTCAACTTTACGTGTTCGTGGGGCTAATCGTTCGATCATACCATATATTTCATCTGGCTTACGTGATGTTGCACGTACTTCAGCAACAATAACATCACAATCAAGACCACGATTCATTCCAGCAGTTGAACCTTTCACACCAACAAGACAATGTTCTTTACCATGATTCAGCCAATGACCAGTGCGACCAGTACGAATAATACGTTGTAATTGATTTGTTTTAACCCATATTATTTCATCACATCGTTGATAACCCCATATACGAAGACATTCACGCCCTTAAAGAGAATAAAATTTGAAGTTGAGAAAAAGAAAGTGTAGTTTCTTTTTACCAAGTTCCATTGCACGGCCAGTTACCTGAAATAAATGAAAATGAAAATAAAATGATTGCATTTCTATGAAAAATATTACCCATAAAAATATATATCCATCATCTTGTAATGATGGAATATCAAGTCTTCTCATTTCTTCATCAGCCATAGTTCCATAGGGTAATTCCATATGAATATCCCAAGGTGGATCAGCCATAATAACGGAAAATTTTCCAAGTACTGCCATATCCAATTGCCGCAAATCACATTGAACCCATTGGGGTGGTAATGAACCTGGACTAATTCGCTCCACAATTGGTAAATGACGTTTTGTTTTAGTATTTACATTGTTACTACTATTAGATGATGGTGCAAAATCTGTTTTGTCTATTTGATAATGAATATATTTACATGTTTCCTATAGAAAATTTTAAAAAAATGAAATTTAATTTAATATACTTCTTACCATATGAAAACAAGTATTGAGAAAAGAACAATCACCAAGTGAACGATCAGTATGTGGTTTAATTAAGCGTCTAAAATGAACTTTACCACATGTATGTACATTTCTTCCACTTTTATTAAAATAACGTGATGAATATTTTGTTGACTCATTGAAATCTATGGAATCATCTCGCTTTCGTTTCTTTTTAATTTGAAAATCGTCATCCACTGTTTCTTGTTCATTATCAGATGATGTTGATGATGATCGAGAACGAAGACGTGAATGAGAATTTGCTGATGGACATTCATCACGTGTTGTATATTGGCAATATTCTTGTATTGTATCGTTTGTATGAAAACGACGTGATAACATTTTTTCCATAGATGTTTGTCGATTTAGTAACCGATCCATTTCAACATTGAAACTTTCTCGTTCTAATTCTCGTACAGTTAAATGTTTAAGTAAATGAACTAGTTGATGAGGTGGATGTTCACGTGGTAATAACGTACCACGCCGTGCTGGTAAATCCATCCACGACGGAAGAGAACGTTTTATAGGCTTAGAAGAAGGCTTTGATAGATTTGAAGTTGACAATTGATCAACATGATCAAGAGGTAATACTACTTTACTCTCGGTGTCAATTTTAATTCTTAATTTTTTTAATAAATTATTGATTTGTTCATCTTCTTTGGAAAATACCTGAGCTAAACTTGATACCAAGATCGGAGCGTGTTTGCTGAGATAATCAACAACTGAAGTTTCAAATTCGAAATCACTGATTCTATTTGATGATAACACTTCTTGTTTTTGTTGTTCAATGGAACGAATATCATTAGCACTTGTACGACAAGCGACAACAGCCGATGCAAGTAAATCAGAAACATTTCGTTGTCTCTCAATCCATTTTTGTTTTAATAAATTACGACGTTGAGAAAGATCATCGATATTGTTTTGAAGAGATGAATTTGTCAAAGTCATTATTGCTTTATAGACGACATTTTTACATATATGATATAAAGAGAAGAGTTCATTCACACGCAAAAAAATGGCATATCATCAATTTTTTTACCATATTCACCCACTTGAACCACATTGAACCATAATAACAATAAAACAGCCAATCAGATATTATATATTTTTTTCTTCTAAAATTATGAATATTTTCTAAATTTAACTGAAACTCATGCTGTGAGTATCTTAAAAAATATTAAATAAAGATAGTTAAAAAACAGAACTGATTACTAACGACCTCTATAGATGAAAGTTGATATATATAGATATAGATATTTCAGGGCTACCCTGAGTCCAGGTGAACGAATCTGCAGGAAAAAAGATTTTCTTAATCCCCAATGAATAAGCATATGGTGTCAACAGAACACATGGATCGAATGGTTACGTTGGACTCCGTTAAATTCCGACACTGGAACCTATGGAATTCCAACACTAGGGTTCCGATCAAGAGCGAAAAGCTTATTTATGATTTTTTGAGTTGAGATGATTTTTAGCTGAGTTAAATCAGCTTTTCCGTCTTGTCCAGCATTGTTCTCCAATATGGAGACACATCTCTCCAGATAGACCTCGGCGAGCTCTATCTGGTGATGACCTTACTGAATTTGTTAGAGCACCAAATGGTCCTCAAAATTACTAATTAGTGGCTTTAATTAATGATATCATGAATTAAAGCCATCAGGATTCGCCCAGAAATGCTCTTCAACGATGAAAAATATCTCTCGAGATAGATCCTTATGAGTTCTATCCAATTGGCGCCTCATTTATTCAATTTGACTAAGTCATTTTTCTGAAAACTGCTAATTATACCCTTGATTATGCTTTTTTCAGTTAAAGCCGCCGTGATTCCCTCATGTGTATTCTCCAATATGGAGATACAGTTCTCCAGAGAGATCTTGACAATTCCTATCCGATGGACACCTTGTGGAACTCGTTAGAGCATTTAATGACCCATAAAATCGCTAATTAGTGCCTAACTAACTTCTTTCCCAATTAAAACCTTCGGGATTGGCGAGGAAGTACTCTTCAACGTCGAGATACACTTACCCTGATAGATCTCGACGAGTTCTACACAATGCATGTGTTACTGCAGCTACACCATCGGGCTACCAGGAAAATACAAAAAAGGTTCAAGATTCAAAGTTTTTTTTCAATTTTTTCGATTTCAATTGAAGTTATTTGTTTCAACAGAAAAATTAAGAATGTTGCAGGCAGACGAAATTCAATGGCATTGATTGAAAAATACGTGAGCTGCACTCATTTGCACAGGTATTCGGAGAATTAGTTATTTTCAGTACCAATTCTAGAAAACGTCGGAGAAAAAATGTTCATTTGTTGTTTTTTTGCTTTCATGATCACAAAATATATCAAGAGGCCACACTACTTCCGTTGGTCCATTTTTTTATTTCATGTACATGCGATGAGGAGAGAGAAAAGAATTTTTGTTTCGTATTATTGTATACACGAAAGAGAGTTATCAATGAATAGTATTCTAGATGGGTTCATTGATAAACTAATGAGAGTTGTGTGTAGAATGGGACGAACTCCGGCAAACTATGAAACCAGTTCGGAACAGACTAATAAATAGTCAACTTATTGTCATTAGGAATGTCTCATGCATAGGGTCCATGCAGTGTCTCGATTAGGCTATTGTCTTATGTAGACTACAATTAGATATTAAAGTATTTGCTATGACTTTGGTTTTGATACTGTTATAGCTCACAATGTCTAATTTCGCGAGAAGTTGAGTATGACACATACAGATTTTAGAAGAAGTCGAGTAAATGTCAACGATTTAGCTCACCTAGCGTGAATTTCTTATAAAAAGTTGATTTGCATTCGGTTCTTCAAGCTAAATGGTACGAAGTTGTCTCTGAACAACACGTATTTGTTAAGATTAATGTCATCATGCAAAGCTGAAATACACTTACGTAAGCTTCCGAAAAAAGATGAGAAATTAAAAATGGATAATCTTGATTGAATTTAAGTGTGACATTGATGTTTTCCGGTATTTTTAACTTATTGAGTAGCGCAATAGATATATTTTTCCATAAAGATTAAAATGAAAACATGTAGTTTATTCGTTTTCTTCTTTTGATGAATTATAGAGAAATAATCAGTGAGGTGAACGTAGACTATCTTTTAAGCAAAAGACCCATATCTGTTTAGATCAGATGAACATTTTTGTCCTAACAGTGGAAAAATAAATTTTATCCAATTAGAAGACACAATTGATGGCATACATTTGCTAGTTCTTTCGGATTTTTGTGTGCAACAATCAACGTTCTTCTGTTGAAGACCAAGTCTAACTTTTGAAGACAATACAATTCTAATTTCTTTCTCGACTAAAATAATTGACGAAATAAAGATAATTTATAAGAAGTGATTAGTTTAGTAATATCAACTTTGAGAATATTGCAGGGAAACTTCTAAGTAGCTGCACAATTCAAGCAACCAAGTTTTGTTTTATTTAAAATGGCTAAGTTAATCTTAGCATAATTAAATGTTACTAAGGCGATCTATTGGATAAATTATCGCATAATACACCGTCTTTGCACAGATGAAATTACCTCGACTTTTTTGCCGATCTTTCAGCTAGCTTTCGAGAAAAAAGCAAGGAAATATTCTCTATTATCTAAGTTTCTACTGATACTGATGCGTCAAGTTTGTTGATGAATAAGAAAATCAATATAGACTTCTTGGCAAATTTTGATGCTTCAGCAACTACAAATAACTCAATATCATCGTCACAAACGTCGAATTCGCTAACATCAAGCTAATTTAACCAAATAGAAATAGCTATTTCAAAACGCAATATGTACTGTTCTAGTTTCTCTCAGCTAAATGAATTGTTTTTCTATGGTTTGAGAAATGTGTTTCATTTCATGAAGATTTATAAACTCTGTTAGCAAAAGTGGCATACGATATCACACTATATTTGGTGCCAACAACTCAACTGAATAATCTGAAACGTTCTGTCGCCTCATATTCGTAAATGTAACTTATGCTACTATATGAGAAGTTATTCTATGATAACAGATAAGCGTCCACTGAGTTTCACTGAATAATTAGAGCAGACTTACAATAACAAATAGAATATATAGTATGACGATAAATGATCGATTATTTGTTAATAATTAGTAATTCCTCGTGACTTTTAAACATGGTGAAGATTAAATCGCATAAAGGTTAATTATTGAATACAACAGTAACAACGTGACGAAATTAATGAAACCAACAGATACCATAGGTCAATTCAAAACAGGAAGGGCATATCAGCATAGTAGATGGCGTTTCCATTCCTGCGTTGCATTTTCTCATAATAGATATCTGTTTTACGCATAGTCACTAAACTTCCAGTTTCGTTTCAAAGAACGAAGTATGGGATTGTATGTAAGTATAAACATTATCGATAAAGTCTTCTTTATATATCAAATTATTTTTCAGTGTTATTCTGGTTCCTATACATTATCAAGGCTTTGTTGGATTCATTCACTTTGAATAAAAATTTAACGAATAGACAAAATTCGTTGTCTTGCTTTCTTAATACTTTGGAACAAATGAGAGACAGAATACACGAAAAACAAATTGAAACTTAATAATACGAGAAAATAGATTTGACATATCAAGATTGATGTTTTCAATACAGACTGAATTTATATGTACAGTAATAGGATGCTCATACTTTCGTCTACTGATTTAAATGAAAAGTCCTATCACCCGAAACCTCAATATGACATCGATAGTAATCCATACTTTAGAAAAAGACGACCGATGAGACGAACGACAGCTGTGTCTGCCAATTCTCGAAGATTTTTTCCTAGATTTAGTTTCTGATAAATCTTATTACAAAACATGTAAACGAAGTTGAAGAATCTATCGGTGACAAATCTCTAGTGGAGGTATTCTCTGAAGGCTTTAAATCTTCAAAAATTAAAATATTTTTGATATTTTGAGTTACTTTTTCCACATTACAGTGATGCGATCGACTAAACTTGAACAAAAACTTATTCGCTTTTGGCCACGGTAACTTCGCCTCTTGTTTTAATTTCCAGGGCATTGTGCTAAGAATAACACATAAACTGTCAATGCGAGCGTAAAACGAATAAGGAAAATAATATTAATCAATTTAAATGAGATAGTTTCAAAATAGTAAAGTACAGGCTGATATATAAAAACCGAATAGCAATACATATTTTCTTTCAGTCATTAATTGATGATTGACGTTTACTATACGTTGTTTGTTTGTATTCAAGTTCATCATATAACTTTTCTAAACATAATTTGGTACTCCGATGGCGCGATGGAAGATTTTTCTGACATTTTAAACCAATATACACACTGTTCTCCATATTTAACTATATTACGTTCTTGAAAGAAATTGACTGAATGTTGGTGTGTTAATCCATGAGAAAGGCACACCTATAACAATTTATATACAGTATTGAGAATGCACATAGAAGACCAAAACTTTTTCATAGGAATTAAAACATCAACAGTGATAGAAATCGATAAATTCATATTTAAACCTTAATAAATACGGGATTAATTTCAATAGTTAGACTTTGTTAATTGTATCTTCATTGAAAACTCAAATTGTTTGATTTCGAAATTTCAGAATTAAAACTTGATATTTATTTTTTGGAAAAGGATTCGCCAATATACCTTATTATTGATCACAAATAGTCATTCGAAGGGCGGCGTCAACCCTTCCAACTTTTGTGGAAGTAAAAGTGTTTCAAATACAATTTCAACTATTGGTAATCTGTTAACTAATGCAACTAAGCAACTTTCTATTATTGGAGAAGAGGGGTGTTACATTCTCATCTCTGGTTGGGGCAGCCCTGACCAACTTCTATTTATACTTAATTAGGTCTTTAAGTTTGATTTGCTCTTAATCGAATAGATTCTATTTTCCTCTATTTATCACAAATATATATCCTTTATTTCTTCAAGACATTTACATTTGTATATCAATGATGAGTTCAACAGGAAAAATATTAATCACATTTTCTTTGATGAATAGTGTACAATAGATTTTGATCGTTTATGAAAGAGTAATTTTCGTTTGATTACACATTCAACTTGATAGCTTGTATTATTTGTTCCATCTGCTTGTCGTTTACGCATTACTAATAAAGGTTTGTCAAGTTCTACCATTTTTCCATCGAGAACATGTTGTCCGATCACACATACTGGCATGTCCTTAAAAAATGATGATAATTATATTTCTCTCTCTATTGGTTATGATCAAACTTGCATTTTGTGTAAAAAAGAGAAAGCCAACACGTTCACCAGATAATGATTGTTTTTCAGCAGCATAATCCTATATTTCAAAAAATAATTCTAGTCGCAAATGACAAAACTCATAGAAAAAATATATTCAATTAGGCAACAAAGAAAACACGAGTAATACGTGAACATTGACTTACTAATGCACCTTGTAGTTCTATTAAAATTAATTCTGTTGAATTTTCTGCTCTTGAAATGAAAAGAAATTCTCGTATCAAGATGGCATACTGTTCGAATTACTCACTGTTCAATTAATATTTGCACCATATCTAAAAATTTTGTTTTTGTTTTTTATATAGTCATTCTTTTTTTTCTCGCAAAAGCAAAAAAACAAACAAATAGGTTTTATTTCGGAAAAAACTATATATTCAATTTTTTCTGTATTGATGAAGAGAGACACGATTCAAAATCTAATGTTACAATAATAGACTGCACAAAACAGAAGGGAAAAAAGTAACTTTACACATATAAACACATGAAAATTAGAAGCAAGCATCTGAACTATGCCACACACACATATGCCTATATATATATATATATATATATATATACTATATGAGAAACGGTGTAGTGAAAAATGAAGATTCCTTATATTTTTCGACGTTTACTTGAACGTAATGATTCTGTTGCATTAGTCGATGTTTCTTTTAATGATCGTTTTCCATTGTCAATTTTTATGGTAACAAGAGATGACTTCGACGATTTCATTTTGCCAAGTTCATTCAATAAAATAGGATCGGGTCTCATGCGAATCGTTAATTTTGGGAGAGCTGGGCGTTGAGATATTTGATTTTTACTTTCATTAGTATCATTATTATTATTATTATTATTATTATTGTTGTCATTATTAGTATTTGTATTAATGTAATGTTTTTCACTATCAGCTGTTGTTGATGATGAACTAATAGAAGAAGTACTTGAATGACGACTAGAACGAATAGTTGGGCGCCACATAAGAAAATTAGGATTATTTGAATGCACGGTTGTTGTTAACGAAGCAGATGATGATGAATATTGAGAAGAAGTTCGTTTACGACCACTAGGATATGTTCGCGGTGAAGATGATATCGAAGATGATGATGATGATGATGATGATGATGATGAAGTAGATGACGCTGGCGAAAGAAGACGAGATGAAGGTGAATGCATCGTTGTTGTTGTTGTCTAAAGCAAAAGAAATAATAATATTTATATGATATGAATCGATGATATATTTTGAATATTTTACTTGTAAATGAGATATTGTTTTTCTAGTTTGTTTCATTGGTACTGTTGATGATTGTGAATTTGAGTTTGTACCGTCCGAAAAAAATGCTGAATCAGAAGAAGTAATTGTGATTTTTGGTTGATATCGAGTCATAACAACATATGACTTTGATGAAGATGAATGTGAACTACTTGGTCGTCGACGTGGTATTCTTCTATTCAGTGGTAATAGACCAAAAGATGATGACAATTGAGATGAAAATGTAGTAATAGTATTATCTGTTTTTTTCTTTCGAATCGACTAAAACAGAAAATACATATGTAATAAGAAGTACTATATTTCTAGCTTACTATTTTTTTCTTATGAGATTTATATCGAATATCTTGATGAGAAGAAGTTGACGTTGTTGAAGTGTTTGTAATTGTCTAAGTAATACATTCAATAAAAACTTTATGCATATCATATTATACATGTTAACTTACCGTATTATTTAAACTTATTCTCTCTGATGGAGAAGAAAATTGACCATTTTTATTACGATAAATTACTAGTGATTGTTTTTCATGTACTGTAACTTTGTCGACTTCTGTAGCTTTTTCTAAAACATAGAGAGAATAGTAATTCTTCTTATTCATCATGAATAAAAGTGCTTACTTTGTTCTTGCATTGAATTCATACTGTTAGCTGAATGAATTTTACGAAGACGTTTATCAGTTTGACGTAAACGAGTAGAAACAATTATATTTTTATTGATTAATTTCTCATTATTAATAGATGATGCTACTATTTCTGTAGTAGTAATATCACTAGTTGTTAATAATTTTGGTATTGATGAATTTGTTTGAGCAAATGCACCATTACTAAGTCTGAAATAAGATATTTTGAATAGATCGTTGTAACAAAAACAAAAACAAATTAAAATTACGTTTCACAGCTACGACATTCACAGAGTGAGTTGCTGTCTCCGAAAAAATCCGAACCATAACAACAAGTAATTTCATCACCAATTTCAATTGGACGAAGCACATGAATGTAAGCCGAACTTAAACCTGTGGCCACAAACTGAAGAGAACAAACGATAGCTAAGAATGAAACAAAACAAAAAATAGGCTAATTTTACTTACTTTACAATTTGCACGACAGTCATGATTGATATACGCTAAGAAGAAAAAGAAAATAAATGAAATCGAGGTTTTTCTTGGTTAAATTTCAATACCAGCAGGCCCTAGCCATAACTGTGAACACTTTTTACGACAAGAATACATGACAGAAAAATCATTTACACCAGGTTTAAGAAATGCTTGTTCTTCGTCAGGACTTAATTCAGCTATACAACCAATCAACATTTCAATTTTATCATGTACTGCCCTAAAACAAGAAACATACAGGTAATTTATTTAAACAAACGTAAGAAAAAGAATCTATCATTACCATGCTTTCGTTGCTACTACTTTTCCTCCACATTTCTCTGTTGAATAACGATAACATGGTTCAAGTGTAACACCAGAATTTTTATTGAACAAATGAAGAAAACGATACATCTAAATCGAAATTTTCAATACTCCTGTAAAGTATCTCTATTATCGTACATGTTCTTTGAATGCTGTTAACTGAGTTGGACTTTTTCGTGCAAGTAATTGATCATACCATGTTCCAATTGAAGTAACTTCATCGAAACATCGTTGATAATCAGTATGTTCTTGAAACTGTTCAACGGCTAGTTTCCATTGCGGCGTTAAACGACGATTGGGTCGAAAACGAATATTCATCTTATGTGTTGTAAATCCAAATACACTATCGACAGTGATCATTGTAGCAAGATCATCATTCTCACTAAAATTTAATAACAAATCAATAAAGATAAGAAAAACAAAACAAAGCACTACCAAAGATCGGCTACTGCTCGTGGTACTCCGTTGTACATACTGATAAGATGAATAATTTTTATTTATTGATATGCAATAATAAATTGAAATTTCACCGTGTCATCTTATTACTAATATCAATTATTGAAATTGAAGTGTAAAATATGGAACATCTTATTATCCTCTAAAATAAAGATAATTATATTCTAAATTCAACGAATAACATCAGTAAATAGCTAATTAGTATAAAAAAAAACATGTAAGTCAAACTTTAGATGAAAAATCTTATGGCATTTTCACAATCTTTGTGTGAACAAAGCAGCACGATGCCGAGAAAGTGTCTTTTATTGCCACTAGCCATAGACATATCTGTGTCTCTGTAACCAATAAGGCTTGACTATGAATTCATTTTTAGAATCTCTCTTTAACTTTCAGTGACATCTACTCAATCTGTTATACACATATATAGTTCAAGAAAAATAATTACTAGATATAAAATGCTAATTGTAAGCTATATTATGCAAGTTATAAATATTTATCTTAGTAAATATTCAGAGATTTCTTGATATCCAATAGACTAATCATAATTGCTATAGAAAACTTTTCAACAACAAATTTACATATATAGAATGACTTTCTTGAGACATATTCTACATGTTGCTGTCTAATCAAAGTATTAGCAACAAATGAAGTCTTATGAGCAAATATCGTTCATACTAAACTGTTTCAAACATTTATCAAACAAAACAATACTATACGCCGTTCATTTTAAACGATATGAAAGTTTAATTTTTATCTAATACATCATCAGTACTAATGATGCTCTATTAGTAGTGATACAAAGAATTTTTTATTGGATTGAAAAACGTTGTTCTCATTCTGTGTACGATGGATTCTAGTAATAGTTTTCACCAAAATAAATTCGTTATGATAACTATGTTTTAAATGCTTCATGATTGTTCGTTAAATATAAATTTATAGATCTAACATCAACAATAATTTGTTTGATAGCGCTACAATTTTTTTATTACCAATGTTACAACGAACTTGATTAAATACTTAGCTACGAACACTTCATACGCATCTTTTCTGAAAATATAAAATGCTGATTAGTACTGGACGGGAATCAGTAAATAATACTTAATAATTTAATTAATAGAGACACGATATGATCTCTTGTATAATATTATCTAATTTAAAAATTTGCTGTATGTAATCAAAGGATAATAGAAAAAGAATTTTTCCTCTGTTTATGCTGTCGTTTGTATAGATAATTTAAAATTCTTGTTAAATCGTTATAACTACATTAGCATTTCGTTTTTACGTCCTTTATATCACGTGCTCAAATAAATTCAGAAGAACGAACAAAATTCTATATATGTAGAAAAATTGTTTGCTATCATTCTATAACATTTCATTCAAATTTGTAGTACCATGTCGTACCCTATCGAAACAAATAATATAACAGGTCAGAAATATATTGTGGATGTAACACGCCGTCGTAGTATTTGTTCAGTAGATGGTTGTATGTCTCAAGCTCAACGAAATTCGCTTTGTACAAAGTAGAATAATTTAGAAAATCTATATTGAATATCTTTTTATGACACATTTTAGACATTTACGCTCGTATGATCGAACAAAACTTGCTAATAGAGTTTGTGTTCCAGTCGATTAGTTTCAATAGACTAATGAAGATTTCTTTTTTAGACAGTTAATAGTAAAACTTGTCAAAATTTACGAAATCAACAATGTTCAATGAAAAAGAAACGGTCGAGTATTAATCAATGGTCCAAATCTTCCACAAACCAGTTATCTAACGATAAATCAAATATTAATGTTAATCAAATTAAAGAAATTTTCTCTGAATTTCAACATTGTTTAGGACAAAACGTAAGAAAAAATTAGAATTCGATTCAAGTTCAAAACGTTGTTTTCATATTCTATTAAGAATATAATTTAATGACGTTTACTAAAATATAAGATCTAGTTTTAATAAGCTTTTATCTAATAAAAAATTTGATCAAACTTGCTCTCAGTGTTCAATTTCAATTCACTGACTTATCTCCTTATCTCTTGAGTTTTTTCATCGATTTATTCTTTCAATTTTTCTTTCGCAGTTAAATGCTGAAACATTTCCTGAAACTAAACAATTAAGTTTAGAAATTGATGCTGATACAATATCTGAAAATTCCATTGAATATGATTACACTAATCCATCATCGTTACTTCCAACAAAGCATATTGAACATCGACATGTATCAATCGCAACTATTTACTTACTAGATGAACAATGGGTATTAAAATAAATTATTATATCTTTCAAATAATTGTTACTTAAGGTTTATTTTAGCATCAACTTGATTTATTTATCAAACATTTTTCTCAATATGCCTCACTTTCGAATAATCTGGCTGTTAATTCATCAACTACACATTTAGTTGTTGATGATTCTTCTCACCCACTTCAATGTACGTTGTCGAAAAAGATTTTTCAAGCTGTTGCTCGACGTATATTCATCGTTTCAATACGCTGGATTGAAGAATGCTTAATGAGAAACAAAATCATTGATGAAACTCCATTTGAAATTCACGGTGATGCAACAATGTCAACTATGCATCTAGCTCGACAGAACTCTATTGTTCCATTATTTTCATCATCAGTATCATTTGCCATTGATTGTGCATCATTTCAAAAAGCATTAACTCGTAATGAATTAGCTGAATTAGTTATATTAAGTGGTGCAACATTATTCAATTCTGAACAACTGTCAACACGAGACCAATCGAAAACTCTTCTTGTACTTGCTGATGCCATAGCTGATCGCCACCAATTAGAAAATAAATATAAATCATGTCATATGAATGTAAAATTTCTTACACCGGGATTTTTACTCAAATCTATAATTTATCATCAACAACAACCATTTGAAGATTTTGAACTCTAGATTGTGTTTTTTCGTTTTTTCGTTTGTACCGATTGTTTAGTTTTTGTTTTTTTTTTGTTTTGGATATTTTGTTCTAGGCAAATATGCGTACCTAAGATTATTCATTATTTGGTAGTTGCTATTGTAATGAAAATGAATAATTGAATATATGAGAGACAAAACAGTGTTTTGGATACAGCATTTTAGAAGTTTCCAAAGTCTAAAAATATGAAAACACGTAAAAAACTTGAGTTTTTCTCATGAGTAATTTACAGACAACACGATAGAAAGAGATCATGTGATATTTCTCTCTATTTAGATATTGCATTATTTTTATTTATACTGAAACATATACTATATTGAAAGCTTTCAAACACAAAACTAATGAATGCATGATGACAATATAATTTCTTATGCTAGTAAAATAAAAGTAGACGGACTGTTTCCAAGAGCAAACTCAATGTATGATCAAAGAAATATCAAATATTTGATGTCGTCATTTTAGAAAAAAGTTTTGTCTAGACTACTCTAAGAAGCAAATTTATTAGGAAATATTAAATATAGTGAATCGATGTCAGTGATTATATGGTACCGTGGACAGGTTTGTTTCTCAAAACAAAAATGAAATGTTTCATTTTCTATTCCAAACACACTGATGGACATATCAAATTTAGAGAAAAATCGCTGATGATCTTTGATCAACTTGCTATAACCTTCTATATTAACGTAGGGGATGAATCCTAGTTTGCATATTCACATATTAACAGATGTTCTATGCAAATCCATATCAATATCAACTATGTAAAATTTACGATAGGATTCTCAACAAAGTTTCAAACATTTCGAATGTTATCTTCAGATAGGATACATAACTGACTATTTTTGTTTGTGGTTAGTTGATGCTTATCAAAATGATTTCTTTTGTCGAATAGTTGAACTTAAAATTTGCATTTAGATTTTTTGTCCGATATCAAAATACAGGTAGTCACTAGCTTCACACAGTTATTTACAATAGAAATTTTCTATTCTCAATGATTATTTTACACATTACCTTCAAAAACATTTTAAAGCTTGTCATTGATTTTCGCATATTATTTCCTAATTAGATGCTATACCAGCAGCTCGTAGATCAAAGATCTACACTGTGCATGCCGGACATGCCCATCGTTTGACATCGATATATTTAAAGTGTAAATACAGTGTTTATAGTTAAACTTGATTATATCTTCATTTCAACTCTTTCCTGTTTGGTAGTCTATTATTTTCATCTAAGCAATGATAGAACTATAGTAATTGAGATAGTCATCAAACAAAACCTCCTGGATTATCCGAAAGTAATATATTTTTTCCTGAAGACTCACTCATCATGGAGTTGTCAACTTGGATAATAGTTTTTGGAATATTTATTGATGAGATGATCGAAATAAACTGAAAGAGATCTCGTTTGAGCGAATGCATTTTAAGCATGGTAATAAAACTTAAATTGATGCTTCTTCATTACTACATAAATTTTCATATGAGCTTCATTCAATTTATTAGTGTCCTCAAAATTTTCTTCTATCCAGTACAGTCTTCTTTCAGTTGCATCATAGATATGATAGGAATATATTTTCAGATCAAATGACACTCCACAATTTTATCGTGGAATGAGTTTTTTTTTGTCATACAGTAATTTTCACATTTTGATAAAGTACTTGGTGGTGTGATAAAGATAGTTGATTTCGATTGAGTACTTCTCTTTCTTCAGTGAACTCATTTCTTCTTTTTTAAGAGCAACACGTTATCTTTATAACTATCAGATGACTACGTAAAACGAACGCAGCAATCTTATTTTTTCTTATTATGCCCTCAAAAGTTTTATTTGACCAGTCTAAACATGTGTTGGATTTTTTCAGACAAAATCTATTCTTAAGACTAACTCTTTTGATCATCCTTCGAAATTGATGAGAAATGTGAATGAATCTATCCCGATTGAAGCCAAATGTTTCTTTTATATATACCCAAGTCTATAAAATCTAAATTGCTGCCAATAGTGAAGTTTACAATAGTGAACAATACTTTCACTACTTTTAGTAATGATTTCTATCGGATATTTAAAGGTTTTTAGAACTCATCATGTACGATGGAAGAAAATGGTGAGTCAAATCAATAAATACTTTTGGACATAATGAAGAAAGAAACGCATGATCAGCACGTCTATTTGATTATTTATGGAGACTATTGAGTATTATTCAAAATGCATATATTTCGGTACTGGGACAATTCGTTGCAATAATATATAATAAGCTTTTGATTTCTACGATTAAATATAATTGAATAAAAATTAAATCAATAGTTAAAAACGCTTATTTTGTGATCTTTTTGATCTTGATTAAAATTAAATCTATAATTTGTAGATTCTCCCTATCAATATCTATTGATATATTTAATACTAATTAGTTTACAAGTTAGAAGTCAACGATGATCTGATACAATAATCCTCTTATTTAATTATTTCTTATTATTAATTTTTTTCTTCTTCTTCCCGTTGTATTGTCTCTCTTTACCGTTTAATCAATAGAACAAATTATATAAAATATTTGATTACAATGTTGTAGTTATATTAACAGCGTAATACAATAGTTACATATTTGCAACGATTTCTCAGGCCACAGTTTAAATAAAGGATATTATTATGATGATATTTGATATATCATCGAATATTTACATCTAGTATTTTATATAGATTTCCTTTTGTATTCAATGAACAAGTTCTCTCTAGTTGAATTTTTTCAGTGCAATACAAGTAAATTTGCAGTAGATCCGAATATCACACAATTTTGGAGCTAAAATAGAAATAATCACATTTTTTTCTGTAGGTTGTAATCAATTATAAGAGATCAGTCTGATCGTTGACACTTTTGTTTTTGCTTGTTTCAATACGAATCGCTTATTCTGCAACAAAAACAGTATCGTGATGATAGATGATATTTGATTTCTTATTAAATCTTGATTTCATTCTACGAAATCTAAAAATAATTCAAATTCACAGAATTGTTTCTAAACATTTCAACAGTTTGCTTTTATTTTCATGTTGCTAGATGAGTCAGAAGAGGTATCTCATTAGCAATGAAAATGGAATAATACATACTTTCGTTAATAAGCAACTAACAACTATTGTTACTTTCCAATGATCGATTGTTTTCGAACCGACATCGTCAATAGTGGATGTATTGATAGCAGCGATCATTTTACCATTAAACATAAGCTAAAGAGGAGATATTGAATAGATTGATTAGTGTTAGTGCCCTTCGACTGTAAAACACACGAAAACAATACCCAACTTTTAACTTGTATCAAACAGAGATAAAAATGATAACGGCATGAATTTCTCGCTTACATAGTCAACAATTGAATCTATTTACTATACTCTTACTTATTACTTCAAATGATCATTTTGGTTACTTCTTTTTTTATAGCGATGTATAGAGCAGCAAAGATGAAATCAAACTATAAGGGTAATTCAAATCTTATCAAATGATCTTTTAAAAGAAACTATAATACAACTAATTTTATGAAGATATTTCATACCTCTTAATCAACATACTTAATTTTGTATTATGCAGTAGTTAATTTTTTTCGTACCTTTCATCGTATTATTCGATGTTTTTATCTATATTTATCGATAAAGTACTGGCTTGTTTATGTGTTGAATACCTTGATCTTTATATTTTTAAAGAATTCAAGCAAAATGAAAGTTTTATCTGACTTTATTTCTATGGCAATTAGATCGCGACAAAGTCTTTTAATGCGAACTCTAAGCAATCCTATTTCTCTTACATAAATCTATTCTTTTGTCTAAATGCCTTATTCTGAAGATATTATCGACGAATTTGACACTTATTATTGACTTTTTTACTAGTATTTTTTTTCTTTTGATAATTTGAATTCTCTTTTGTTGAAAAGAAGAAATACTAATCTAAATATGGATATGATCTATCTTCTCACACACAAAGCTTTTTTTACTGTTCTTTGTGTGTGATGAGTGAGAGAAAGAGAATATGAATAGAGATTCGACGAAAAAAAAACGGATCAAAGCAGTACACACACACACACACCCAGATACTTACACTCATATTAAACATTCGAACATACACACACACACATATAGAAACAGACAAAGATACATTTTCAAGATTTTTTAGTCAAACTTTTTTCAGCAGCCAGTTTCTTCATTTGCTTTAATCTTTTTTCAAAATCAAGACTCGTCGCTATTTTAGCAGTTGTACCAATTGTTGGTGGCGAAGAATTACTACCGGAATTATTACTACCCGAACTATTTAAACGATTCAATGTTGTATTTGTTGGTGATGATGCTGACGGGGGAGATTTAAGAACAGATGTTTGTCGACCAAGTGGCGTCGGTGAACTGATTCTTTGTAAATTTTTAGATGTTGGCAGTAATTTTTGTGTAGACTTTAATGATGACGATGATGACACTTGAGGTTTTATTACAGGAGGAGACGATGGTTTGGTTGATTTTAATGATGACAGAGATAATGAACTTGTTGTTTTTAGTGATCCCGTATTGCTACCATTGATTGATTGTTTTAATGAAGAATTTAATGATTTTGGTGATGGTGGTGAACGCTTCGTATTATTACTATTACTCGATGTAGTCAATGCTGTTAATTCAGCAAGAATAGAGCTTGCTGAAGAATTAGAAGTAGTACTAGTCACTTCTGACGTTGTCTTTTTTTCTTTAAACCCAGTAGCTAATGAAGCCCACCCGTTAGTATTTTTGGTGGCATTACCATTTGCTAATGAAGAATTTGAATTAGAAATTGTTGGATTACTAATTGTCGTAGTATCTGATATTGTTGAATCAGACGGCTAAAACATATGAGAACATGATTTAGAAGTATGATACTAAATGAAATATAATTTTACTTTGGATTTAAATGAAAAAAGTCCAGTAGTTACATCTGTAATAGACGTTGATATACTTTTCTTTCCTGTTGACAATGGTGACTCAGACGTTTTTGATTTATTGATTGATGACGATGAATTACTATTTGTTTTTGTTTCTTTAATTGATGATTGTGATTGTTGCTAGAATAGAATTATATTTTTTAGACGATGTTCGACGAGAAATCACAAAAAAATATTATTTTTACTCGTTTGTTAATTAATCGTCGGCATTTTGCACAATACCATAAACATCGAGGATCACTAATATCACCAGTACTAACTGATGGTTTGTGGCATTTTTGATGATACTTCGCATGACATTCATGACATTCAACTAAACGATTATCTTTTTCTTCCGTAAGAACCCTATAAAATAAATTTTTCAATGGTCAATAATAAAGAAAATTATCTTCACACTTACATGCATTTATTGCAAACAAGACCTAATTCAATAGCGAATTCATTAATATCTCGAGATGATGATGATGGATTAGTGTGAGATTCAGATGGTTTTGATTTCGTATCATCATTATCATCTTCATCTTCATTACTATCTTCGTCTTTATCATTTGTATTGATTGCTTCCTCTGATTGTATTTTTTTCTTTTTAGGAATATCATCATCATCTTTATTTGTTGTTGTTGTCGTTGTTGTTGTGGATTTTAAACGTTTTGGTGGTGGAGGTTTCGTATTTGCTGATATTGGAGCTGAACGTTTTTTCTTTTTGATATATAAAAGAATGTATTTTGATATATTCACATATGTTATAACTTACGGGTAATGGTTGTGGAGAATTAGAAATTGTTGTCTGTAAGTCAGATTTCGAATCTGACGATGTAGATTCAGGAGAACACTAAATAGAGAAAAGTAATTTCTTTATGGTAATGTCAAATATATGAATGAAGAAGGAAATAACCTTTGGTGATTTATTGATTTGTTTATTTTCTTTAATAAGCTCATCTATTAATAATTCAAATTGTTCTGACATATCAGATGGATTCGTCAAAAAAATTGAAAGTGTTCGTTGTAAATAATCAAATTGGCGCATTGGCTGTAAATCCATTTTTAAATTATATTTATTTAATAAATGTGTAGAAAAGAAATCTGAAAGATATTTGTTGAAATAAAAAATATGCAAAATTTTGCTTTTCAAAAAAGAATCTTTGCTGCTTTAATTTTACTATAATACCAGCTTTTATGTAACGAGTACAGAGCGGATGCTAGTTCTATTTTTTAAACCTGTTCTGCCTAGTCTTATACGGATTCAGACAGAAAATTTCCAATTTAATACTTAGAAATTAAATATTCTATTGGATTTTTTATTTCAGAAATGAAATTCTGACATCTTAGGTATGAGCCGTAGATATTATACCTTTTTTTTAAATCGAAATTTCGAATAATAACGATGTTGATGAGAAGAATAATCAGCCTGCTGTATGCTTGTTCTTCGCATGTTCATTTGGTTTTTATTGAATATCTAGAACACATGTACATATGTTCACGTGTTCATTGTAGAGTACGAGCTATGTCATTCAAGAACGATCCGTATCTGATGACATCTAGAGATTATATATTCATATAAAATTTTAATTGAGCCTTTTTTATAAACTAGATTGTTGATGTAGTCAAATATTTTTATTTTAATATATTATTAACCTTATTGTGAGTATCATTCAAGTCATATTTCATCAATCCTGACATACTCTCATGTACCAATAACTACTGACATCTGCTAATCGAAAAATCTTGAATAAATTGACTGTTTCTCCTATTTTCTCATTCTCATTGAGTTCGCTCTTTTTGCTTCATCGTTCTTATTTTCTTTTCTTGTCAACATCAATAGAAAATAAAATGCAAAATTAAAATTTTAAAATACACGAGTCCTAGAAAAACATGTCATATTGCAAGTAGCTGAGCACTCGATTGCATCTCTTTCGATCAGCATTTTGATGGACGACGAATGACGTACACCAGCAGTTCGTAATAGTGTTTTGAGTGTTCAACCTATTTGACAAGATGTACATGTTTTTTTATTTCACTCCACCGTATATCCCTCCCCCTCTCGAATGTGCACACTCATTCCAGCCATGAACCATATCTTTAATTCAGTCTCTCTCTCTCTCTCTCTCTCAATTTATATACATATATATATATATATATTTAAATATGTATACATAAACGAGTGGATGCATGGTGCATCGAACTCCATTTGCCAACGTCATCACCTAGAATAGAAAGAAAGAGGCAATGAAAGAATGGACGTTTTATGTTTCTTCTCTCATTCAACGATAGTAGACAATATAATGCGATGACGATATTACTTTACCCGAGAAGAAAAAGAAAGCGATGCAGCCGAGATTCGAACCACGCTCCTTTTCACAGCAGTCACAGCTCGCATACATGCGAACAAAATGATAGAAAAAGCCAACAGTGAGCCCTTCATCATCGCCCTCTATTTATATGTCGCTCTTTCTCTCTCCCTTGTTTACGATCGAGAGAAAAAAAGAGAAATATAGAAGAAGAAAAAAAAAACATGAGCAAAAGAAAATAACATCGAACCGAACGAAACGAACATAGCTAGATGAATGCACACATATAAATGCCGTCGTCATGCATCTCTCTCTTTCTCGAGAGAGAGAGAGAGGGGAGAGTGAAATAGAGAAATAGAGAAAGACAGTCAAACGTCGTTCGCCATTAATAATAAGATGTGTTAGTGACTCTATTGAGACGATGGATAGAAACAAAAAGAAAAAAAGCAACGAGAAATAATATTACACCTACAAGAAAGACATCGGCGTATAAGAACTTTGTCGGGTAAATTGAGTTGAGGGGCCGAAAATGGGGTCCACATGTTTCATTCAACTGGTATATTTTATAAAATATTATATTTGATAATTTTTTTTCTCTCCATTATAATTGATTCTTACAATATATATATATATACATCTATCAGTTTATTGAGCTTGTTTATTAGAAAAGTTTGATTTTCAAAAATGATATTTTATTTTTTTTCTTATTTCGTTTCTTTTAACAACACACAAAGAAGAACGACGAAAACCAAAATTCAAAACAATTTTTTTATTTGTTGCTGCTGATCTTTTATCTTACATTGCGTGAATGTAAAATATGGTCTAATTTCGTTCAGTATCATCTTTGCGTGTTAATGGTGTATCACGTTTCTTGCGAAATGAGCAACCTTCTGTAAGACGAGCTTTACCACCGGATGGTGAGCAGAGTACATAATTGCAACCAACGCATAAGACTACAGTTTGTGCATGGCTGAAAACTAAAGAAATAGCAAGAAAAAATACAGTTTTGAATTCATCAAAGAAGCTTCATATTTGATTTTCACCTGTTGTAATTTTATAACAACCTGGACATTTAACATCCATAAAATATGAATTTGGACTTTGCACAAGTCTTTTCTTTTTGTGTTTACGACGTTCTTCGTCCATTGGTGGGTGAAGGAGATCTTTGGCCAAAGGCATTATTGATATTGATAAAATAATAAATATTTATCTGAAAAATCGGTAAAGTTCAGTTGCAAGAATTATACTCTTTCGCTTTTCGCTGCAACTTAATTTGTTTATATAGATACATTATATCTGAGCAAAGACAAGAAAAAATAAAATAGATTAAAAATACATGAATAATGTATGTAATACTTGAAATATACTAGCAATTAAAACGAAAAATTCATTGTCGAGTCAATAATTAATATCGAATCGGATAAATGGATTATAACGAAAAAGCAGAAGAAGAAAAAAACGAAAAATAAAACAATTAGTAGTAAGATCATTTAAATGTACTTGTTGTTATGTATATAATATCTATTGATTATCATTTAAAATATTTAGCAGCACTAACCAATATGAGTTTTTCAACAAATAGTTCAGAATCCAATATCGCTATATGTGCGGCCCGACCAATAATATTATTGGTACCCGATGGAATGCTATGAAAGGCATTATAACGAACGAATGTTATTGATGGATTACGTAGTATTGGTTCAAGTAAATTACTTATCATTTCGACATAAATCGAGCCTGAAAATAGGATTCAAACGATAGCAAGGGTACGCGTGAAACAGTATATGTGAAAAAGAAAAAAAAAGATCTATCTTTATCCATACTTGTACACGTATCTATGTACGTAAGAGAGTTTTTCAGCAATAATAAAGAACTTCAAGATCTGTCAGATGATCAATTATTTGAAAATCAAGGGTAATCAGCAAACATGACTCGATAGCTTAATCTAATTTGGCAATATGTACTTTTTGTATAGAAACTAACATTTGTAGATAAAATTTAGAAACTTATCATGTTTGTGAGACTATCCAAAAGAAACTTATGAAACATTCTATCCTAAAATCATCATCATCATCATGAGAAGATGAGAATATACTAAATAAAGATTCGACATGTAAATTCTCTCTATTGCAACTAAATAACAAACCATAAGAGGTATCTTTCAATGCAGCTTTGCAAACTTCAATTCGAGCTGAATGAAATGGAACATAACGATCTTGTGGTGAAGCAACCATTAAAATATTTTTAAAAAATTCCAAACCTCAATGAACAAGCAAACTTATGAACGAATCATTTTTTTTATTTGCGTTTTCAAACTTACAAGGTTGTTTACTAAGCTTGTACAAATATGTTTGCTTTGGATCGATATGATCAGAAAATGACATTTGTGATAAACTAGAGGATTTTTTCCATTTTTGCATTAGCCACATTCCTACGAAATAGTTTTGTCTTGTTCGTTTTGACATTTAAAATTGTATTCAAACAAACAAACCTATATTAACTAAACCACTAGTATTAAATAGTGTTCCTAAGTGTGGTCCAGACAAAGAAAGATATGTGTAAAGTAATGATCTATATCGTTCAAAACGTGTATTACTAACAGTAGCACGTATAATTAGATTGCCCAACGAATGACCAATAAAACTAATACGTTGTGGTCTTGAAATACTACGTTCAATATGTGAATCGATTTCTTCAATAAGTTGCTTAACCATAACATCAATATCATCAAATGTTGATGAATGATTTGATGATGACATAAGAAAATCAAATTGACATGATGGCAAACATAATTCAAGGTATGTTTTCATTAAACGTAAATCACCAGAATTACCATCTAAACCGTGTACACATATTATTAGATGAATACCATTCGTATCGAATGGTACTATCTCTTGATAAAAATATGGAGTCATTGATATTGGAGTAGAAAAATCAGAGAAAAACATAAAATTTGCTGAACATTTTGATGAAAGTAATTGTTTTAACTTTTCTTTGTAAACAACAAATCTAAATAGTTAGAGAAATAGTTTCATTTTTATAGTTAATTGGATGAAGATTTCTAGACATATTCTTCTTGGCACAGAATTTCTATTTGAAATTCATTCTTGATTCAATTGATTGTATTACATACAAAAATGAAAAAAAAGTATTAAACTAAATTTTGTTGAATAACATGAGCTAGTACATGAATATGATATCAGCTTGTTGCTTTCAGATTTTTATCCAAATTTTGAATTCAAAGAAAAACAACTATGTAAAACATCTCAATTATAGGATTAAATCAGACGAAACAGAAAAAAACGAATGGATCAATTTTAAATGAAATTATTGAATTCAAAGTTATAAAAATATGAAATAGTTTTACAATTGATGTAATAACTTAAATCGTAACGTTAACGAATTAGACAATATCAATTCAAAAGAAAACCTTTGAAATTTTTATCGAAAACATTAAGCAGCTGATACCAGAGCGTCAAATGTTGCCTTAGGGTCTCTGTATCAAAAGCGAAAAAATGCTACACATTGACAAAGGTTACTCATCAACGAGAATGGTAAAATGTTGGAGTAAATCGAGTTCTTAACGCGAGCAAAATCTGAGACATTGGTAGCTGACAGCTTGCTTCGATAGAAGAAAAAAAGTGAGAATGAATCTAGTCTCAGTTAACGATCAATTTATTAGCTTGTATCTCAAACTCTACAGAAAATGTATGAATAACTCAACAGAAACCCTTGTGCAACCTTTATTTCTTATGGTTGGACAATTAGCGATTATAACACAAGTCTTTCAATTAGTTTTAAGAACAGATGACTTCACTGTTTAAGAAAAAATAACATACTCAATAGTTTGGCTGTTGATGGATTTATTTTGTAGTCGATCATATTCTAATGAAATGTCTTGTTTATTATCTGTTGCATTAGTTGGTTCATTATTAACTATTATAGAAGAATTCTGTTGATTTGCTCTTTCTATCAGATTCAATTGATTTTCATCATCAGTTAAACCATTTAATAGTAAAGGATTGATATCGTGCGCTGAGATTGTATGTCTACGTTGAACATTAGCTGTGGCTGTTTGTTCTAATTCTAAAGTTAAACTAAGAACAGAATCGAGTGCATAATTCACTGGTTGATTTGGTGTTGTTGCTGTTATTTTATCATCAGTTTTTGTAATGAAATATTTTGGTTGCGTATTTGATGAATGTTTATTGTATGTTGTTGATGATGTTGAAGATGATCGTACTGCATTTGATATTCTTGTTTGTCGATCCATTGTATGAGGCTTACCGCGATAAGATGCGCGTAGAACTTTTGATTTCGTACTCGAATCGCCAAATGTTGACGCAGCTACAATATTATTTTGATCGCTTGTTTGAAAAACATCATCATCAACTTTATCCGATGTTGAACATAAAAATGTTGGGACAATTGATGAATCAATTACATTGGAATTTACTGATGATATACTACTATTACTTCGTTGTATTGAAACATTCGGTAATGACTGATGACTTGTTTTTGTAGATATACATGAAGAATCGAATCGTTCATCACGACTAACATTGATGCCAGAATCGGATTGATTAGGAAATAGGCCAAATGCAGGACTAGTATGTGATTTCAGTGTTGGTGATGATGATACATTATCTTGATCGACTTTACGAATTGAAGTTAATTTTACAAATGGTTCATTCGATAATGCTACCACAGAATTAATATTTTTTTGGGTATGATTTCGAAAAAATGAAAAGGTTTTAGCAGATTGATGACGAACTAATGTGGAACTTGTATTATTTGAATTACTTTTAGTTGGTGATGTTGTCGTTCGTTGTTGCTGTTGCTTTTTAGATTGTGAACGTGGTGATGATAAAATATTTGAAGCTGAGTTGGATCTCATTTCGTTTAACTTTTCACTAACGCTATGACTGAGTTTTGAATTGAGTTGACCTAAATGAAAGAAGAAAAAAAAGTAATAGAGAGATCCTGATGAAATTTGATGTTTAAATTGAAAATTCGTCTTATTATCTAATTCATCAAGCAAATTAGAATTCACTACTCTTAACCAAAGTTTCTAACAAAAACAAAAAATTCTATCAACGACCAACTAATGTAAATAACTTTGTCATAATTATACAATCGAATTCTATAGAAATCGTCTAGAAAGATACAATTATAATAAAAACAATTCTTACTAAGATTCTGAACTCTTTGAAAAACAGTATTATCATTATTATTCGTAGGATTTAATGATGATATAATTGTTGTTGTTGTTGACGGTTGTTCATTAGGTGAATAAATCTCTTCGATAAGAATCGGTAAAGTATCTGATACACCATCAAGTTCAATACATTCGATTGGTAAATGTGGCAAACGTGAATAGTATAAAGAATTTCTAACAAGTTCATGTATATCGTTGAATAAATCACCTCTGAATAAAAACAAAAGTTAATTTAGATAAAATAAAGAAGAAACATTCATGTTAATATTCATACTCGTTGATAAGAATGTTAATTCTCGATGTTTCACGAAGAAAAAATCCTTCTGAAAGACGTTTTACCTATAAAAAAAAGTACAGTATTTATTACATGAGATGAATGTTATTGCACAAGGTTATTGCGACAGAATGAATAAATATTTTTTTAATTTTTTGTTTCTTTTCTTACTCGTTTGAAATGATAATCTTTTGCAAGAACAATTGCTGTTATTTCATGTAAACCGAATGTTTGAATAAATTGACACCAAAGCATTATATTTTCTGCTGAACATTGAGCAATATGTGCATGTGCTAAATTGTCTATTGAATGAATATCATCTGTGGTCTATGAGTTAACGAAACAAATTTTGATGAGCTTTTTTTAATATACAAATAATCAATCTATAAATACTTTTAATTTGTCACTAAGCTCTTTTAATCTTTGGCGACAATTTTGATGATCTAGAGTATAGAAGAAAGAAAATTCTTATACTAATTTTTGGAAATTAAAAACCAATTTACGATGTATAGGTTTTTGTTCATGTGCTGATAAATGTTGTATCATTTTTTCATAGAAATCTTGCAAAGATTCATAAGACGAAAGAAGTATTTCGCATATATTATTATGTAGATGATATGCTCGATCGAGTAATGTTGGATTTAGTTGATCAGTGGTAATCTAAACGAAAAAAAACTCCCATGGAAGATCGATAAAAACGTTTAAAACATATACCTGTGATAAATCTTGACCGAAAAGAAAACTAAACAATGAAGTGTGACGTACGTTGGGCCTAAGATTTTCAAAAATAAAATTAAGTCGAAAGAAATAAAATAAGAAATGTTATAGTACCGATCAAATACATAAGGTGGAATAAGACAAAGTAGTGAACCATGAATCGTTGCTGTTAATGCAGATAAATGAAAATAGTCGAAAAGTATTGGTACATGAGTATGAAGTCCCAAACGTGGATTAAAATGAAGTTTATAAGATCGGCTGCATAATGATTGCATTGCTCCAATTCGTTCTGGTCTAAATAATTGATTAAAAGATAAAGAGAATAATTCAATCTGATACAAATTTTTTTTCTGATAATGTTCAAAACCAGTTGTATCGCAAAGTTGTACAATGAATGGTAATATAATATGAATAGTTCTAGTCTACTAAAATGATTCATTAGACAAAAATTCATTTTTTTTAGTTTGTCCTTTCTTTTTTTCCAATGAAATTCCTTTCAAAGGATACATCAACACGCTTTATTTTGTGTTATTAGCGAAGAAAACTAAAAAATGAATCTCCCCTATTTTAGCAGTTTTAACAAAGATAACCGATAGAGTATACTACACTAACAATCTTAAATAAGATTAATAGAAAACTTGCTCTATAAAGTATTGTAATACATACGAGTACTCTTTTTCCATAAAATATAGCTCAAGACAAAGCTGAATATCCATTCGATTAAAGCAATCCGTAATCTAAATAGAAACGAACAACATTTTTAATGAAATTAAAATCTAAAAGAATCGATATTTTTTTTCTCTGTTCATACATTTTGAGCATCAACAATAACAGAGAGTTTGAAATTAAATTGATCATCAAGTTCAACTTCTGCATTTTTATATATAATTAAAAATGTTTTACTAACACCACAATCATTAAATATACAAGCAGGATAAATCTGTTCATTGGATTCATCTAAAGAAAAATAAAGTTTCATATTATAGATTTTATATTTTTTGTTTCATACCTAAGATGGATGAGAGTTCAGATTTTATTTCAATTTTCGTTGCTGCTTGAATTTTCGGTGCAAATTTAATTCCAATACGAATTTGATAATAGCTAAAAGAAATTTTGTTAAATAAAAACCGATAATTTTCATTAAATTACCCTTGAACAAATAAATCAATATTAAAAAACTTTCTTAATTCCACAGTTAATTCGATTTCAGCCTGTAGATCGGCCATGACCTGATTCAAAACAAAATTGTTACAATGAAATGAAATCAAAATATTTTACCCGATTATATATTAGCGAAAAAATTTAAATTTCATTCTGCAATTTATAAGAAATCATTTTATATTTTACCTATATTAAAATAAAAAAGAAGCACAAAAACACAATAGAAAAGAACGGGAGAATAAAAGTGCTCTCGAAAGATAGAAAATAAACTAGGGAAGTTACACTCCAAAAATGAATTCATATTGTAGAGAAACTTATCAAATGGTTCTTCTAGAAAAATTTCCAAACGAAATTTTAATTTTTAATTTTTAATAAAACTAAAAGTAATATTCATAAGAAAGCTTTAAGTATTTGTTTTCGAGCGACATTTCATTTCTTTTCGCCACGATTGGTGTTACTAATGACGAGCAGATATTCTATGGATTGATACTTACTTTTGTTGGAGACAACAACAGCATAACAGCAAGAAAACGCGCATAGGTATTCATACTAGGAAAAGAAAGACAAGGAGGAAATGACGAAAACGAAAATAACTTAATATCTGTAGATTTCCAGAGAAAAAGCACACTTCTATACTAATCAACTTTGTTTGTCGTTTTGTCTTATTGATGACGATGAAAAGCAATAGATTAATACTTTTTGATGAATCATCATTCATTCTTTTTTTTTTGTTATTTTTTTAAGCTATTTCATTCTTAAAAATAAAGATAACTCTACGAACTATTGTGGCATCATTGGAGTGAATTCTATCGTCTCGACGAGCTACCTTCTACTGTTTTCGTTAGACTATTAATATGGTAACTATGATAGCAGATAAAGAAGAATTAACAACACCTGTCAATAATGGTGTTACTGCCGGCTCGAATGATAATGAACGACCATTTCAATATATTAAAGATTATCAAGAAGTAAATTTTAATATTTTTATCAGAAAAAGAAATGTACTGTTTTCTTCTGTTTTTTTCTTTATTAAATTTGAGGTTGACTTTCATCGATCATCATCTTGCAAACCGTTACCTGGCGATTTAGTTGAACTAGCCGATAGTCAAATAGCGAAATCTTCGGTAAGTAACTGCTAATATGATTATAAGAGAACAATTTAGTCAGGAAAAAAACGACAACTTACATACACCTATATATTCACTTGTCATGTTGTACTAGACAAATATTAATGTGATAGGCATAACTAATGAAATTCTTTGGTCATTGCAGAAAACGCTGGTAGTTTGTTTTAGCTGAATTTTCTCTTTCAGATCATTCAATACAACTATGTAAAAGCAAAAGTTCAGACGACGACGGGGGGGGGGGAGGGGGAATATATAGATATTTGCTATCATTGCACGCTTCAAATATACAGGTATCAATCAAAAGAACATTTATCGTAAATATATTTTTTCCCGCACTATTGCTTGATTTCATTAAACAATATAAGAGAATAATGAAATGTTTTTATTTAAAAGAAATTTTTTGATAAATCCGTTTTTAATTCATTTATTTTTATTAAAAAACAACTTTCTTTTCAATAGATCAATGGCACATTTTTTGTGCAAATCGATTCAATTGAATTAATAGCTAATTTCAATAATAATCATCATCAATCAGAGCAGACAAACGATTATAGTTCTTTTCTTTTAACAATAACAGATGGTATCACAACCGTCAAAAGTATTACAACTGATTATATCCCTAAATTGAAGTATATATAAAATGCTTTTTTTAAAGTAAAATAGTTGTGCTATTAAATTTAATTCTTTCAGTTTTAATATAAGACCCGGCTGTAAATTATTATTAAATGGTGAAATCTTAATCAAGGATGGTTTATTACAATTGACACACGACAATACACGTTTTCAATATGGCAGTAACACATATCCTCGACCACGATCTGCTTATCGAGTAAATAATCTCTATAGAAAAGATAAATGTATTATGATACAGCATAAATAGTATATTTGAAAGTTCTTTTTTTTTCTTTCAACAAGACATAAAATTCAAAAGGATGATATTTAAATTCTTAAGTAAAAGGACAAAATTCTATTTTATTATTTCAGGGACGTGGAGGTGGATCCCATCGACCTTCATATGAAGGACGGCGTAAGTCTTCTATCCTGTTCTATCATAGGTTATGTACATATTTTTGTTGAAAGGTGGTGGCGCTGGCAATAGTACTAGTCGACATGATAGCGATGACAGTGGATCAAATTTTCTTAAAGGCCCCCCACCAAAAAATACATTAATGGATTTTATGACTTCATTAAAAATCTCAAATGATACTAAACAAACAGTGGATAACGAAAGTCTAAAAGTAAAAGATCGACATGAAAACAAACGCCGAAATACTGAACATCATTATCCAACAAACAAACATAATGATAGTATTAATACAACGAATTTATTAACAATGAATAATTCGAATCATCATCAACAATTGAACGATAACAATTATACCGATCAAATAACATTTCAACAAGACGGAAATCATGATCCATTAGATCCCGATGATGATTCATCCCATTCAAATTATCGCGAAAGAAGAAATCCTTTACCCCCTAGGTTTGTTTCTTTTATATAGAGTACAGTGACAGAAAAATATTGACGCTGTTATATAGAATATTAATAATTAACGGAATAGAAAAATATTCTAAGATTTTTGTTTGCCAAGAATTTTTCTATGTAACAGGTCATATTTATGACCTAGACAAAGAAGCTTTACTAAAATAAGCTTAGCAAAAATTGATTTGTAGAGGCAATCAAAGAAAATTGAAGCTAATTTAAGTTTGCTGTAGAGTGAGAGAGAAAAGAGTTTAGTGTAACAAGTATATCCTGAAAACTTTTCACACAACAGTGCATAGAAGTTTAATACAGTTAAATGTGATTTCAATAGAATTTGAATCATGGATGCTTTCAAAACAATAATATTATCTATTTATAAGTAGAATACGTACTTAATCTAGTTTTATCATAATTAGTAACCCGGATGATGCCTATCTAATATTTATTTATGAATGTAGATAGAAGATACTTGTAAAAAAACAACAGCATAGAAATTATATTCAATGATCAGAATTTTAGCGAAACATGATCGAAAAAGAATATCGGATTGCAGAGATAGGAACTTATTTTCTATTTGTATTGTAAAAAGATATTTTATTAGCATTCTCTATCGACTATCATAGCCTACAGTAAGCTCTTTTATGAATCTGAATGTCTCTATAGGATTATTAGGCAAGAAGATTAATTCTAAAATATCTACATTTAACTCTTATTTGATATGCATACCAATGTATTACTAATAACAATTTTTTTAGCAAGAACATATCACTAATTATGCTAGAATTGAGAATCACAAACTGAAATCTATATATTGTTAAATTACTTCATTAACAATATTTGTAGAAACTTAGTGTTGTCTATTTTAATCCTCTAAAAGACTGGATCAACAATTTTCTTCTCAATTGTTTACTTTAAATTTTAAATTATCATCTTTGAGAAGTAATTTTTGATAATAATATCTTCAGCTCAAAACTCATTGATGAATAGACCGACAAAACTACTCCATTATCAAAGAAAACAAAATTTCACTACTTTAAAATAAATGTGAATCTCTATCGATATTCGTAATCTAAAGAATTGCTACGTCACCTGTTTTCTTTTTATTCGCAAAATTAAATGCTTATAAGAAATCTATAAAATTTACTAATCATTTTGTTTATTATTTACACTAGACTTCAACGTGCTCAAGAAGAGCGTACCCGTCGAAATACAAATCGTTATTATGAGGAACTAGCAACATCAAATGGTAGTGAAATAAATGGCAGCTATCTTAATGGCGCAATAAACAATAGCTCATTGTCTTCCTCATCGTCATATTCAAGACGTGAAGATCCTACGTCGTATATGGCTCATAATTCATCTGTTGGTCATCCACATACCACTCCATTGAATACTTATGCGTCCCACATGAATATGCTTGCTCCTGGGCTGGGTTCAACATCAACCCATCTTACTTATTTCTCACCTAACACGGTATTAATCTATTTTCTTTTTTTTTTAATTCGAAACGTTATGTTTTCTATACTTTGTTTTTCTTTAAATAAGGGTTCTTTAACATATAATCTCGCCGGTATTCCAAGTCCGTCATTTCACAGCCAGCAACCACCAATGGTTTCTGGCTATACGAATGATCCATTAGGGTTTTGCTGCAGCTGTCCATATATAAATCCAGCTTATATTCCATCTACAGTTACTAATGGTTTAAATGAAGATTCAAAAACGTATAATAATTCACTAGATTTACAAAAGAACTCATTAGTTGATGAACATGAAACAAAAACAGAAAATGAATCTCAACAGAATCCAGATGAAAATAAATATCAAGTTTCGTCAATCGAACAAAAAGCAACTTCATCAGCATCATCAATAACATCTTCGTCATCAAATGATGTAAATGATAATTCTCAGCAAGTTCTTGTTGAACAACAGGAAGATAATAGTCGAGATTCAAATTTAGTATGACTAAAAAATTTAATTAAATTTCTTTTTCTTTAAACTCTTGTTTAATTGTATAGAGTGCAAGAGTGCCTTGGAGAATAGGCGATACCTGCTTAGCTCGGTGGAGTGAAGATCAAGAAGTATATTTCTGAAAATTTGCATAATGAAAATATTGATTTTTTTCCTATAGTTTTATGTCGCTACTATTATTCAAATTCAACATCCTTTTTGCATTGTTTTATTTCGTGATTATAATAATTACGATAAATTACACTTTAGTGAATTAAAAATATTACCGCGTGATCAACAATATGTAAGTTTCTTACTTTAGCTCTTTGTGTAAAACTTAAGAGAAGATTAATAGGAAAATAAAAGACTTTTGTTTTTCAAGCAAAAATCTGTTTTTTTTTGTTCCCCTCGTTTATCCCTTGCTAAGAGTTAAGTGTAAAATATCAACTTACAGTTGTAAATAGCGCAGGTTGCATATGCTTTATAAGTCGACATGCGAATTAATACTTGTGCTACAATTTTTTCTGCTAGATTTATAAAAACCATTTTATTTCATCAATCATTTACAGAAGCATGTGATTATTAGCGAAATAGTGTGTTTGAATTCCTCGATACAATTTCTACAAAATAGAAATATATTTGCATTTGCCTAATAGGACCATGTGAACATCAAGTTCTACTTAGGAATAGGATATCAACTGATCTAAGTCAGTTGTTTGTTATCGGTGTTGTGGTCATGCATCACAAATATTATTTTGAAAAAAAAACATGTTAAATTTCCGGTTGGTTGAGATTCCTTCAACAGTAATGATTAATTCGCTAACTTTCAATCTAGCGCAACGTGTTCACGGATGTGTTGGAAAGTAGAATTTCAATTCGAAATTAAATTTCACTCATATATAGACCTTGTGTTTATTAGAGTACTGTTGAAATTCCGCTCAAGAAAAACATCTACTTCTTGCAACATTGATTTTCAAAAGATGCCTATTTTTGTAATGAAAGTTTTAGAGACTATGAGGAAAGTCTCAGCTTGAGCTTTGCTGTTTGACATATTTCTAAATGTTTTATCCTAAACCAAATATTTGCAAAGTGATCGTAACTTTTCAAAGTAGCCACATCTGTTTAAGTCCAGTCAAGTGTTTTAGAATAATGTCATCTGATGATTAAAAAAAGATATCATTGAAAATGGTTGGACTGAGTCCAAGATGATTACTTGTTAGGTTAAAATTTATAGGAAAATAAATACTTTTTTAAATGTCAAAAATACTGAACAATGGATTATTTGTGTTTGTTTTTTGTTCTTTCGTATATAGTATCAATTTGTTCCACCGATAGCTGCACCACCACCACCACCTGATATGAATGTTCTTGGAGCTAATGTTTGTTTTTCTCCTCGTACAAATTACTATTCTCCAATAATCGATGAATGTATAATGATGCCAGAAGCCCCACCATTTCCATTCAATTCGTCTGGCACATTATATATGTGCCCACCAACGTTCACATCTATGTCACATTCAACTCGTTACAACAACAACATCAACAATAATAATAATAATAATGACGTGTCATCTTATCAACAGACTAATAGACGAATTGAAAATGTAAATATTAACGATATTAATTATACAAATGTTAATACAACAATAAATTCTTCGTCAACACCAAGTAAAGATTCAAATGATACAAGTATAATTGATTCAACAACAACATCAATTGATGATAATCAAAATTTACAACAACAAGATATACTATTATCAACAAAAGGAATTCGAAAGTGTTCCATTGCTGATGCACCTATTAAATTAGTTACACACGATGATGAACGTGATCGCACTTCAAGTACAGAAAGTGTAACAAGTAGTAAATATGATGAGCAACAATCGACAAACGAAGAAGAAAAACAAGGAAACAACTCTGTACTTAATGTTAATTAAATTTTTATGTAAATCAAAAAAAAAAGAGAGAGAGAGAGAGAGAAACGTAAGTGATTCATTGTTAACACTCGGATAGTAATTTATCACATACGCATATATGGTTACAGTGAGGATCTTGTATCTTATTCTTTTTCTATTTTTTATTTGATTGTTTCTTCCGATACGAAAAACAAACAAACTAACACGCATTCTTCTCTTTTGTTGATACTTATTCATTGTTCGTTTGCTTAAATATGTTCCACTTTTTTTCTCACAAACACACACACACACACACACTCTCTCTCTCTCTCTCAACCTGCTCTCTTTCGTATAGTATTCACATTATTTGTTATTTGTTTCTCCTTGCAAGGCATTCACGTGTTTATGCTTATTTATTTACTCTTTGTAAATGCTTCCCTCCTCTTTCCGTGTTTTTTCATTTAATTGAGCCTAGCATATACGAATAGGGAGCTTAACAAGCATTCATTCATCAATTTATCCTTGATCTGTAAACAAAGAAAGTAGAAAGAAACAAGCCATTATCTTTGTGAATTCTCTTATCATTATCAAAAACAAGGTCCACGCATATAGACAACTCTTTTTTTTTTAAATTTCTGATTTGCGATTGTTTGATTGTTGTTACTGTTTTATTTTATTTTTCTGGTGACGATACCATGATGCTCTCTTGTATCGCATGTGTGATTCTATGTTTGTTTTTCTTTTTGTGTGTGTATTCTCACATTATTATTACTGTTGCTATTAACTATATCTCGAGCGTATGCATGTGTTCTCTGTCAGGCTCTCTTTTTTTGTTTCGTTTCATTTTATTACTATTATTATCATCATTGAAAACAAAAAAAAAACTGAAACTGGTTTTTAAACAAGAACATGAAAGAAAGTCAATCATATGGATATATCTCTTGTTCTTTGATCTTTTTAGTTCTTTGTTTTTATGATTATTTTATAGACAATGACAGATGAAAATTCAAATGAATTTCAGTCAGGATCTTCATCAGAAGATCATGATGAAAATCATAGTTCATTTGTACTGAATCAAACTAATGTTCCCATGGATGTTGATATTGTTGATGATGATTTCATAAAATCAGCTTCAACAAACATCAATGGACATATGTCACCATCAGTACCTACAAATGAGAATGAAAATGAAAATGATGATAAACACGATACCGAGGTTATTTTCCGTCCAGGGTAAAACTAATGTTTCAAGGATAACAGATTTGTCTTTTATTTTAAGTTACTTTTTCTAGAAATCCAGTATTAAATAAATCATTTGATATTTTACCACAAGTGAAAGATGACGAAACATCTGCAACTGATTCATTATCAGATAGTAATAGTGTAAGTAACCTATTTCTTTTTAATCATATGAACGAAAGAAGTTCACTTGAATGAATAGTAAAAGCTAACCTTTTGGAATATGTATTCAATTCGTTCTTTTTTTTTATAGGCTCCAAATACCAATTTACTCGATGCAACCGCTGAATTACCAAATCAAAATGACGAGCATAGTGAAAAACCTTGTGGTATATTTTCATTTTGTTTTAAAATTGTTTCTCAAAATAATTCCCATTCATGTAGACGACTTGAATATGGTTACACTAGCTGATGACGGTAATACATCTATGATTACACAATCGCCTCTACCAAATCAATTTTCTCGTATGTGAAACAAAAAACTTTCCTTTTTTTTATGTGTTTATCAATAAAATTCTTTAGCTGAATATCCTTATGTAATATCCCAACCACAAGAGAATGTTCAACCTTCATCACCAAATCCTATTGAAATTGTAACGGCATTGACAAAAAATATGAAATTGAATGTTCCGAAGACATCAGAAGTGCAAGGTAATCTCATACAAGTTATTCTTTCATTAAATGAGCTTTGTATTTCTTTTTTCTTCTGTGTGTTCTAAGAGCCTTCAATACTAACAACTTCGACCGATAAAACATTCGATACAAATACATTTGTTCTGAAAAAGAAAGAACGACGAAAACTACCAACAATGAACAATGAAAATAGTTTCAATGCAGTAGGTTTTCATTCATCATTGACGAAGAAGATAAAATTAAAATAATAATTTCATAGACCACCGAAGAGACTCCGCCAGACATCTGTAGTAAACAATCTCCGTTGAATACTCCAACCATATCATTGGATACTGCCGTACTTTCTCGAACAGCTGCAGCAACGTCATCATTACCACAACAACCGTCAATAGATCCTACACGAGTCATGTAAGAGTCACAGCCTCGTATATTTCTATTCGCGTTCTCCATTTTTCTTTTTTTTACCAATCGATGTGTTCTCAAGGGAGAAGAACAACAAAAAAAAATTTTTCTCTTCTTTTATGTCCACACGTTGACATATTATTATTGCTCACGATAGTAGGCCTCCGCTTTTTTTTCTCCATTCAAATCCACCATGTCGACATCATCTGATCTGTATGACGATCTTGTTAATCTAGCCCCAGAACCATCTTTATTGCCGAGTATCTTATCGACAACATCATCGTCATTTCATGAAGACGATAAAGGTCAAGCAAAAGATATCAATACTTGTTCTTTAACTGATTTTATGAATGCTGAAAAAAATATTTTTCAACCAACGCCAGAAACAGACATGATAAAAAGTATTATTATGTCTAATGAGAATCCAATGGAAAAATCTTCTTTATTTCGTTCATTAATCGAACATACAGAGCCAACAGTTAATGCTCAACAATTAGCCGAACATTTTTCTTTATCAAAACATGAGCAAAAACCTTCGAAATCTAATCAAATTGATGAACATATTTTACGTCCATTTAGTGACTGTGTTGAACAATATTATCGAACACTTCATCGTGTATGTGAGTGTACAGAAGAATTAAAACAAGAATTACGACAAGTTAAAAGTGAACGTGATCAAATGAGTGAAGATTTAATTAATGCTGAAAATGCTTATACGGATGTTAAAAAGCGAAATGAAAAACTGAAATTAATCATAAATGAGCATAAAACGGTTCGTAGAAATTAACACAAAACAAAGCGGTACTGAAGAATTCTTTTATTTTTAGAATACAGATACATTAAAACGTTTCTCAGAAGAATCTGTTCGCTACACTGAAGAACAAAAACAAAAATATAGTGTACTTAAACAGCATGCACAAGAAAAATTAAATGAGTATATAGAAACTTATTTTCAAGTAAACAGCAAATTATTTCTCTTTTCTTTCACTGTTTTTTCTAGAGCTAATGTTGAAATTGAACGATTAAGACGAGTAAATACATCGGAAGTAGAAGGCATTCAAACACAGTTACGTTACTCACAATTACGTGTACAATCCCTAGAACAGGAATTAAAATCTGTTAAACAAGAGCTAGAACAGAAGGTAAAAGGAAAAATCGTCTATTTGAACGAAAAATATTGATTTATTTTTCTTAAATTTTCTGTTTAGAAAAAAGAAAACATTGAATTGACAAATATTTGTGATGAACTATTAGCAAGTCATAAAAGATAGTTGACCTATCCGAATGATTAAGAAAATATATGCTAGTGTCTCGAAACTGATGTTACGTTCAATCTTGAATACGAGATTAGACATGTCAAATGTCGGATTAGCGCAGACAAAATTCACGGCGAAATTCGAATCGATTTGTAAATTGATATTAAATACGTATTCTTCTTGATTCGCTCTTATGGTTTAACAAATAAATTATATAAAAGTTTAGAATCGACCATTGCCTTTGTAAAAAGTCGTGTATAACTTTACGGATTCAAGCTTGCTTAATCGGGTTATGACTGTATTGCTTGCAATGCCATTGATTCATCTAAGAGAATCATTTTGAATCTGAATTTAATATTGATTTACACACAAATTCGAGTTTTAACATAAATTTTCCATTTTATTGGACATTGGACGTAATCTCAGTTTGAATACTAACGTATATTTATACACATACATATATAGATATATATATATATATATCATACTCTACTAAACACTCCATTTCTATATAGCTATAATTATTTTTCTTATAATTTTCTTTTTCTCATTTTGTACTAGTCCTATATTTTGTTTCTGCTACGCTTGCTCTCGGTGTGTTTCTTATGAAAGACAAAACAAAGACGTACAATACTTATGTTTGTAGATAAATATATCAGGCATACGTTTTTAATTCGATTAAATACTCTGTTTGCTTTCACTAATTGTTTTTATTGTATTTACAATTGGTGTATTTGTTTCAAGTTATTTTGAGCGATATTATGGAAATCTTTTGATAAGCACAGCTAAGTGTATTGTGTAAGTAAAAATTATTCTTATTCTTATTATAAAATTGAACGGCTTTTGTTTGTTGTTTTTCTTAAATAAAGAAAATATGACTGATTTTCCGGTTAATCGAAACACAACAGATTTCAGTATAATACAACTTAATTCGGAGATTAGTGAGTTCTTTTTTAATGATATAAAATGTGAATTGCATTTTTATATTTGATTTCATAATATGTTATCCTATGAAATGTGTCAATAGAGATTTCATTTGAAATATGAGAATATTTAAAATCGAATTGAACAAAAAGTACAATAGAAAGAAGTTTATTTTTATCATAGACTACTATAGACGTAAGTCTTTATCTTTGGAGTCGATCTCATTTTAGACTTTCTCATTTCGGTGTTAATCATATTAATCATATATACTTTTAATACAGAAAATGATAAACTTTTAAAACAGACAGGAAAATCATAAATGGAAAAACTATGAAAATGTATGGCACATAGACATATTATCAATGTCTGATGAAAAATAGAACAGATGTTTGTCCTTACTTTCTCGAAAATTTCGTTTTACAGCTTTATTTCATTGAATTACTAAGCGCAAACCTTGATAATCAAGTACGAATGTACTATTATGTATGGTTGTAAATTGTACGTATGTTACTTGTTAGGTTTTCGTATTCATTATGTATATATTAATGATAATCAGTAATAAATCATTTTTCCTGAACTGAATTCTTATATGAATTCTAGATAACCAATGATCATTCGAAAAATAATACTTTCAATGATAAATCACGAGCATCGATGAATGGTTATCATCTCATTCTCATTTGACGTATCGCGAATGTTTTGAAACAAAAATGAAATAAAAATTTGCAGATAGGATAAAGTCGAATGAATCTCCTATACAAAATATAATATAAACTCTTTTTGTGGTTTCATAAGATTTAGAATGAGTTTAAAAGTTTAAGGCTAATGTATTCAATTGAATTGAATTGAATAAAACATCCTCGATCTTCCGATGAGTATAAAGAAATTTATTTCAACTTTTGTATCAAAAACAATTATATTAACTTGATTAATATCTGAGTTGAAGAGGCAATAAATATAAATCAAAAGACTTGGTTCATTATTTTTTAACCAACTAAACAAGAATAATAGCTATCAGATAATATTTGATTTAATTAGAAGAGTTTTTTATGTTCTACGTATTTTATTTTATTTGTACTTATTTCAAGTCAACGACTATTTCTGAGCATTCATATTTTATTTAACAGAATCATGAAATAAATCGGCTTGAGTGTAATTGACTGTTTCATAATTGTTCTCTAGGATAGAAAAAGAAAAAATAAGAATTTTGCCTATCTTGTTACACTGGGCAAGTCAGAATTGTGTACACAGGATAGAGTAGAAATACTTTTTTTTATAAATAAATGACTAACACTAATAAACGGAAGGAATATTTTCCGTTGTCAACGGATTAAAAATTTCTTATTATTTATTTAGGGTCTTAATAACGTAGTTTCATGGAATGAAAGAATGAAATGCGGCAAAAATCGATTCTATCATTTTATTTTTCATTATTAAATTTGGCATTTTTATGAATAGATCGAATAATGTAGCATCAACATCGATATAAACTATACTATGCAATGATACTGGTCGTTTATTTGATATTTGGCAAAATAGATCACTTTTCCTAGTCAATAAACCAATGAGTCATTCGGCTGACTCAAAAATCTCTGGTTATACATAGAATGCAATAGTGAATAAAAAAACTGTTTTTGTATTTATTTAGTTATCCGATGATATTTGTTTTCAATTTTTGTTTCTCTTGTGTTTTTTTCATGTTTGAAAACATGCTAAAAAAGAATGAATTCATTTCACGTTCATTGTCAAAATCAATATTTTATAAGAAAATAATCATGATAAATATTTGTCTATTTCTGAAACCTAGATTTTAAAGAAAATTATATATATATATGGCTTCTCAAGATCAAATTGTAAGTTGTAGCTATATGATAAAATGATGTTTGATTGCTTAAAATTGATGTTATAGCTTCGTGAATTTCTTGAGACATACAACCGTATTGTTGAAGAATGTTTCAATCGATGTATTTACACATTCAACTATCGATATTTACTTGATGATGAAGTAAGTTCAAAAACTATATTAAAATAAGTTTTTATTTGCTCATAAAATATCACTATTTGAATGATTACAATAAGTGATCTTTTATTTATACTAATAGTAGTAAAATGAATCAAGGATATACATATTTATTTATTTCAAGCATAGATATAAAGTTCTTTTATGCATTTAGATAGATTGTTCATCTCGTTGTGCATCGAAATTTATGAATGTTAATCAACGCATAGCAATGAATTTTGCAGAAATACAATCAAAAAAAATGATTGATATGCAGGAACAAGCCGAAGCACGATCAGAGGAACAAGCATCACCAACATCCAATAGTCAAATGGCTGGCAATTCTAAACAGTCTTGATCAAATCTATTATTGCCTTTTCATGTTCTTGTTAGCGTTATTTTGTTTGTTTATAATATTTGAGCTTGATTCGTATTTGTTTAAGAAATGGGTATTTCTTAGATCCATTTTCTGACAAAGGCTAGGTAATTTTGTTTTTGTATTCTTTGCTATCGCTGATGATGCTAAAGTTTAGGCGATAAATATCATAGAATGACAAACAAACAAAAAATAAACAAGAATTCGTTTATATAGATATTAATAAAAATCTGAGTAGGACGTTTTAATTCATAAATGAACTTGCTAGATCTGATATCACCAACTGTGTATACAAAAGAAAACGATTCCACAACTATGAAAACTCAACATGTTACCATAAAACTATCGAGCGTGAACGTTAGTTAGAGTGTTATCATTGCGTCTATTTTTGAAAAATATATCTAGAAAATTATTGCAATCGATGCATATATTTAATAGAACATTTCATTTGTAGCCATAGCTCTTCATAATGCATTATTAGCCCGTTGTTCTAATAGGTGTTTTCTATTGATTGAATCTGATGGTGCAATTAAATATTGATTTCGATACTTCATCAAGCTATCATTGAAAGAAAATATACATATGGCCTACGAAAATAAAATGAATTACTTATGGATTTCTGTCATTGTCGTTGATTGATTCGTTTTTCGTAAATATAACTATGATTGTAAAATATATTTAGATACATCAATACTATACACTTCTCGTATATTATTTTTCTATCGTCACTAAAACGATGAATCACTATATGGTCTTTATTTATTCAATTAATTTTCGTTTAGATGAATATCTTCTATTGTTTTTAATGCGGTGCGAAGCACAGCATTTATATAGTCCTACGCGAGTTTACTTTCTTTCTTCTTTTTAAACTCGACGTCCACACTATATATTGCAAACTTCTGTCGCGATGATCTAGACAACCCAACATCAAAAAACGCTCGTTAAAACGTGAAACGCAAAAAACCGAGATAATAGATGTACCCTTTTTTTCAGAAAAAATTATAGCTACTTTTGTTTGGTCGTAAATTGATTCCCAAAAAGAGGATTTTGATCAAATTTTACTTTGAGATAATTAAAACGAAAATCAAAATGATAAAAGTTTGGCGCGTTAATATCAACATTTATAAATGGATCCTATTGTAACAAATCAAACATATAGATAATAAAGTAGTGTGCTCTATAACAAATAATATGTACTTCTTTTCAAAATCGATTTCTAAGCTTTCAAAGAGTCTCTATCGATATCTCACTTCCAATGGCTTCTCAAAATTCATTTACAATTCAACATCATTTATTTGTTATTATAATGATTATATTGATTTTATCTGAGAAATAAGTTTCCGAAATTACGTATGTGCTTCGCACCGCATTTGGTATTCGAGTGAAGCTCGAGTACCATCTAGTTCTGCTGTTGATATTTTAATTCAAGAAAAGCTTTGATTCGTTTTTAATCAATTATATGAAAATTTCATGAAGATTTAACAAGATGTGAAACGTTACTTGTGATAGGATACATCAAAAAGAACATGTTGCAGTCAGATTATCATTCTTTAATATTAACTAAAGTAAAAATTCATAATCTTCGAATACAAACTTATAAAACACATATTTCGAAAAAAATGTCGAATACAGTTGTTTAAATAAATTCTACATTGATTGATTATATAGAGAAGAAAACACATCCGTCAAAGATCTGCTCGTCCTAGTTATAATTATTGTTTTCTCAAGCTTAGACTATTCACCTATCGCTTTTATTTACTTAATCACTCTCAATCTTTCATTGTTGATTTCTTTTTACATTGAATAAAATAGAAAAGAAAAGGAAAGCCTATTCATCAAGTTTGTTTGGCAAGAATAGCATCAACAAATGTCCATGAGTTTCTTTGTCCTTCAAGTATTGTCAATGAAAGATAATTGATTTTTTGTGCTATTTGCTTTAATTCATTAGGTCTCGGTTTTGCACCAATTAATTGTCTTGTTAAAGTTTCTAATGATGGCGCATGACCAATAAATAATATCGTCATATCATTTATATCATGTTTCAATAATATTTGACGCATTATTGAATGTGATCGTTCATAATAATCATATTCGTTTTCATCTGTTGATAAAGATTTTTGAATACTATTGTACGATGTTTCAATATTTAAACGGTTAAGAACAAGCTCATTGATTGACATAAAATGTGGTATAACACTTTTATGCCATAAACCACATTCAAATAGACCCAATTCAATACGAATCGGTACTAGTGTACGTAATTTCATTCCGTCGAGAATAGCATCGGCTGTTTGAATACAACGTAATGATGGAGATGAATAGCAATGATCAATACGAAGACCTGTACGATAGAGTGCTTCACCTGAAAATATATAAAACACAAAATCAGTAATGATAAAAAAAGAAAATATCAACTGATGAAACCTGTTCGAAATGAACGAATCAAACCAAGTTCAGTTAATGGTGGATCATATCGATAATCTTGAAAATTTTGTCTATAGGGTAAACTAATAGGTAAATTTGTATGAAAGCGTCGATAATTTCCTGCTCGATCAAATGCTTCTTGAAACCAATTATCACCAAATAAGACATCGACACGTTCTCCATGACGTATTATGATTAATTTTGTTTTTGCTCGTCGTTTTTGTTTTATTAGTTGTTGCTGTTGTTGGTGGTGTAAGAACGAAAGTTCATTACTATGACTAACTAAGGATTTTGATTCAAAGTTATATTCATGTTTTGATGATATTGATACAAGTTTATCATTATTATTCATCGATAATTGTTGATCTTGTTCATTAATACCACATGATAGACAAGATGCACTTTTAAATACATCAAATGAACGTTTTCGACGTGTATTAGTTACTTTGGACAATGATCGGCTACGTTGTAATGTTGATAGATTTAGATCACTTGAATTTTTAGAAATTATATTTGGATCATAAGATCCGTCAAATTGACCAAGAAAACGGTTCAATAATTTTTGAAAGGAAGACATACTAAAAAACGAAGAGCATACATTTCTGTGTTGTTGATTGAAAAGTATCGATTTTATTTAATACAGTTTTGTTTTGCTTATTCAACTGTATGAATATCGCACTTGTCATTTACGCTGTTTCAAAATGTAACAGCTTGTCATATGTTAAAGAATTGTTAGATGAACATACCTAGATTTTATTATTATTATAAAACTGTAATTGATTTGATATTTTGTTTCTATCAATGATAAGTGTCACAAGCTGAAGTTAATGCGTTTATTACAGATGCATACATATATCTATCTGCCGTTGTCTCTTACTATTCAAATAAGTTGATGATGGTTTGTATTTGCACGCAAGTATAAATGAAAATAAATGACCATTATCATACCTGTATGAACAGAACAAACCTGAGCAAGCAATATTCGTGATAGGTGACGAAGAAGATGACGATTATTTTTTCTCCTCGTCCTCCTCCTCCTCCTCCTCGTCTTCCTCTTCTACTTCTGTTCTTTATCAATAATTGTATGAATAGATGATAGATATACTATATATGTTTGACGTTGTTCAGAGCACGAAAAGAAGGACAAATACAAACAGGTTGATCTGATCTTGGACAGACGATATAAACACACATGATCTACCATTCTTTAGTTATTTCTTCTTCTTTTTTTTGTTCAGTGAAAGAAATATCTCATTAGATATTGAATAGAATTGACATTACCATTCTATTGAAGTTATAATGAAGCGTAAATGAATGTCGTTCATATTACTAAAACTTGATAAGATAAAATTAAAAAAAAAAAGAATCGATTTATGGGACGGTGTAAATACATAGGTATATACAAGTAATTTAGTGAATGAATGAATGAACGAATGAATGAATGAATGAATGAATGAATTTAAATTGATGTGAATTATGATATTTAGAATGACTTGATCGAGTTTTACTTCTATTGTTAAATGTTATTCACTTTGGTGGATTATCAATTCTATTGATCTTATTCATGTAGCTAAGGCTATTCGAGATTTTGATAGCTTTTAATAAGACATGAAATTTTGTATTTCGAGAGAAGAAGAAGAGGTTCTCAAGGACAGAACGAATAATACTATTTGGATAACAGATAATAGAAAATAAAATTTGATGAATTTCTCGGTTGGCGCTAGCAAAACTTTGCTTCTATTGAATTTAAAAATTTATGCAGTATTGATGCAGGTGTGAACAATGAAAATAGTTTGAATTATTAAATGATATACGGGATACAGTTGCCAATATGATATGTTAAATAAGGGCTCCAAAAATCTTCAACAAAAGAACACTTCTTTTATGACAAAGTGAACATTAATGGAGTGACGCCATTGATCAAAATGTGCAGTTCAATAACAGTAAGTTCAAGTTTTTGATTGAAGATCAAGTTGATTGCATCCACTCGAATATTATCATAGTTGTAATCAATAATATTAGTAGCTATATGCTAATATCAATTTTTGTTCCATCGTTTGAAATATCGTTTTCATTCTAATGTATGGAACGCAAGGGCGAAAACTCATTCCGAGCCATTCAAATACCTACGAATGCCCGAATGAGTTTTTTCCCCTCGAGTTTTTGTAATACTCAATTATGATATACAATTTAATTTTGGCGTTAAAAATTGTAAAACATACTAATATTGATCATGTTTTTAGAATAGTTTCCTTATCTAACACCTGATTCGAACGAACTATAATAAGAACCATTGGTACAAGGCAAAAGAATATTTTGATTATTTGCTTCGCGAATAGTTTTCATCTTGTGGTGTCTAGTTTGATCTTAAACTAACAAAATAGGCGTACAAATATAGTCGCATGTCACTATAAAAATGGATTAGCTGGAGTTTCAGACAAACGAGATTGAGTGATATCACGGGTATATTATAAGTTGCTGTAAAAATTATTTTTGAGCAGTAATATTAGAAGACTGGAGGTTAAAACTATACATCGTGTCAATATAATTAGATACTAACACTAATTTTTGTGTATATATCGCATCATTATTTGGATTTTAAAAATATATTAATTTCACAATTCGCTAAGTTTTTGTTTTGCTACTCATATGTATAATTTATTCTCAGATCGAGCCAAAGCGCAGTTTTACTATTTATATCTCAGTTGAACATACACATATATGCGTGGCGTTGAATTTGTAATCCAATCGCTCTGAATCCTTTCACCCATACGATTCGCGCATGTCACTTTATACAATCAGTTTCAGTCATACTGAGTGCATGATCATTTTAGTCGTATTTGTAATACAATCGCTGAGATTATGTTTGCTATATGGATCTCTTGACCATAGTTACCTCGCTGCCATTTGTGTCATATATTTCAGTCTTGTTTACTCTAGTGATGTTGACGAACAAGTGCAGACTCTTTTTAGGTCATATTATTATAGTCTGGGGAACAATATGCAATTTTAAATAACGAAACGATATGTAATTATTCAATCAAACATTAGGTTATGCATCTTCAAGTTATTGCATATATTTTTGATAATTAGCATCGATTTCTTGATATCAGTATTCCATGGCAGTAGAATTAACTATCCGAACATGCAGCATCAATATTAACAAGATAGGCCCGTGTAAAAAGTTTTCAACATTCAACATCCTTCTTTTATGTAAACATTTTTTAATCATCAATATATTTATTCTACTTGATAGACTTCTCTAAATGGTTCGATTAATATGTTTAATTTATTTTGTATGAAAGTTTAAATTATCAGCAAATAAGTTTTTATAAATTTATTTCGATTTACTTGATCGTAGATACATATCAACATATTCAATAAAGAAAATAATTATATTTATGTTCACCTGTTATATTCAAAGATAAATATAAACCATTATCAGAACCCACACGTGAAAAGCGTTTTTAAAAAATTATAGGATTTTGAAAAAAAACTTCATAAATAGTTTTTTTAAACTTGCTAGATGAATGTCGTTGTGTATTCGTATTGATATTGTTGGACAAGAAAGGAAAACATATTAGTAATATAGAGAGAAAAAGAAAAAAGATTTGCATAAGGAATCATGAACTACTAAATAAACAGCAGATCTTGTAGTCGACTGTTCATGGTTCAGATAGAACATATTTATATTTAACAAGTGAATATCAACGATATTGTAAAATAATAGATTGATTACGTATAATACGAGATCGGTGATTGTTTTTATTTTTTTTTAAATTTATTTAGAAAAAACTTGTGTATATTTCAGATTGATCTTCAGTTCACCAATAACACAAGTAATGCATTAGCATTGGATGAACAGAAATGTTTCATCCATTGATTGAATCACATTGAAAAGAGAAAAAAATATACATACATCAACGGAACTGATGCAAAAACGAACAGATTCCAGAGAAGAAGCTAATCATCATGCTTCACAAGTTAATGAATTATGAATGAATTTATCGAAGTTTTGTTTATGTGTATTTTAATTGAGAAGTGATGAGAAGATCGTCGAAAGAACGTCGAAATCTATTTCTGAACAATATGAAATGCGATTGACTTGAAGATTTTTTTTATTTTTGAAAAAACAATTTTGATACTATTGAAATGAAAAAGTATAAAACAATTTTCGAGAACTGTGATTTTTCAATATTATTTCCTTTTTCGTTTCCAATTCTTGCCGTCAACGCAAGGGAAAACGAGAAAACGTCATCACCACAAGATACCACTCGTAGATGAAACTATATAAAATAATTCTTTAAGAACCATTGAATCAAATTATGAAGAGACTCAATAAAAGAAAAGTTAATCGTTTGAGAAGTAATAGATGTATAAATTGTGCCTAGACATGAATCAGTTTTTATTCATTTTTTAATTACAGATTTTGTTTGCTAAAAAAAATGGAAAGTTATTTCTTAATAATTCTTTGCACAAAGCTTATTGTCTCGGCGCTGTGGAGTACGTCACACATTATACGCTCTGGTATATACTTGATTAAATAACTAAGATAATACACGAAAGAATAACATAACTTATAAGATCTCCAAGAAGATTGTTTCTATTTATTTCAAGTTTTGTCATTCAATTCTATCATATTTATTTTCATGTAAGAAAAAAAATACCAACATACAGTCGGAACAATTCGATCATCAAATTGAATAATGCTGTCAAACATCAACATCAGCTGATGACATTATAACGAGTCAATGCATGGAAGCATATTGATAATGTAGAATAGTTTTTCAAATGATTAAATGATATTCAAAAATCATTGGCTATTACCATTATCTATGTGACTAGACGATGTGAACTTATTTCACTCAATAGTTTGACCTTTTGAATTATATCATCTTGTTTTGTCAATCGATTCACAACCTTTTGTCGTTGTTCACAAAGACGATTTTTTTTATATAAAAGATGATGTTCAAAAGTCCTTGAAGTCAGCCACTCGATTTTCATACATGATTAGATTGCGGCTGCATTTGAAATTTGAAGGAATTTCAATTAGCTTGTATTTTATTGATTGTATGAGTTACACTTGAGACAGTATTTTCGTAAATATTCTGTTGTGTCACTCCGATGCCTTCAAGTTTTCTTTTATTGACATGTTTTCATTTCATTATCGAATCAATAAATACATTTATGCGCATGTATATATTTATAGAAAAAAAAAATCATGATCATGACGTCATTGAATTTTTATTTCATTAATGTAACTTTTACAAATTATCCTATTCATAGAAAATTTGTAAATCGTAATATCATATTAATGATTGGAACAATAGTTTTTATTTACAAGCAAAGAGATGATACAACTGATAGAATATCATCTCATAATATGTCTCTTCAATTTTTTAATAATTGAGAGAAAACAATTCTTGAGTAGACGAATGCTTTAAAAGCTAGTGAATGAATATTTCGATTATCGAAAGATGGCTGTAACCTATTTGAAAATTTACAAAATCACTACTAATCCAAAACTAATACATATGACATTTATTTCTGTTTTGTTAAATAATGATCAATTCAAAGAACAAGTCACAATCATATAGCTTGAAAAGCACATCAAAACTAGTCATTTTCTTATTTAATGTTTCAATGAACAAAGTGAACAATAGCGTTTTTTTGTTTCATTGAATCAAGTAATTCGATTTATTTCTTCGTCAAATGTCAGTATGAAAATCTACGAGATGAAAGAGAATAGTATTAAAGATTATTGTCGCATCAAACATCTCCATATATACTTGTATTGCTCAACTATTGATCGATTGTGAAACAAACTTTAAAAGAGAGAAGAGTTGGCCTTGCTCGTAGCGTAGTGCAACTTTCAAGGTCACACCCACATACAACTGCATAATTTTATTTATTGCGATCTTTGGTAAAGAACGGAAAGGTAACGAGGGAGAGAGAGAGAGAGAGAGAGAGAGAGCAAGAATAAGAAAAAATCGAAGACTTCTTTAGTTGATCCTTTGTATTCTTTTACCGAGCTTCAATGCAGATGTGTGAGAGTGCCACAAGCAAGTATATATATAAATTTTTTTCAACTACAACATAGAAAGTTGAAGGAGAAAAAAAGAACAGAATGAAGACAAGAAAAAGAAAAAACCTAGGGAAGAATTTTGAAAAGAACGCATGCTCTTACGCATGTGCCTGTAAAAAAAACGACAACGACATGGCCCTGAAAGATGGGTTGGTCCCGTTGTTACACTATGATTATGAAACTAGCTGACGTTAGTCAACGGTAAGAGTCACTGTCATCGGTTCTTTTTCTTCTCTTCATTTTTCTACGCCTCATATTTTTTTTGTCATATAATCACACACATATATATATATATATATATATATATATATATTTGGCATATAGTGAGGTAAACATGTTATTCATCAAAAAGGAGCATAGAAGAAAAAGAAGAATTCGAGTGCCACCTACTAATAGATCGTTGGCATTATGAATTGATTAAGTAGAATGTTTTCTTTCAATAAATATTTTTGAATAAAAGTCAAAAAAATATTGTTTTTCTTTGTCTTACATCTTGAATGATAAAGACACGAAATAGTGAGAGTAAAACAACAACAACAACAACAACAACAACAACAACAACGAAGACTACAGCAACAGTAATTGTATTAAATTACAATGTTTGCTACTATTTCGTATGTGTATTTACTTATATGCACGAAAAGCCGATTAATCATAAATATTAGTCGTCGAAAAATATCCAAAAAAAAATATGAATATTGACAAAACTTTTCGAAGAGAAATAAATTTAATAAGGCAATTGTTGTATTTATTATTACAATTTATTTTTAGTTGTCTAGATTGTGTAAAATATTATTGATTACATTTATATATTTCATACATTAAATGGTGACAACAACTTTAAATTTTGAACGACCAAGACCGTCTGGTGCTAATAATGAAGATGATGAAAACAATGATCAACAAATTCAGAGACACCTTGTAAGTGTTTCACCTTGACATTATCCTATAGTTTCTTTGATTTTCTATTTCTGTGGCATTAGAAAGAAAAACACTGAGTCAAAGACAGACTAATTCATCATATTCAGTAATATATCAAATCTTGTTATGTTTTCTTTTCCTCCCAATTTTAAATAGGATCGCTTATATGTGGAGAACTCACAATATCGTCACTGTCATCATCAATGTCCACAAAGTACACTTTCACCCATGGATTTACGTGATATACCTATATCAATAAATACTGTCCCTGTCTATCGTCATGGACGTAAGTTCTATGTTTCCGCTGAAGAATTTGAACGTATGCGTGCAGAAGAACGACAAAGTCGTCGTACCCTTGTGCAAAGATCACAAAATCTACCTGTATCAAGATCGCATCAAACAAATTTACGATCACCGTCGAGATCTTCATATAATCCTATTCATCGGAGTACTTCGCATTCACATGATCATAGATATGGCATACTTAGAGCACCACATTTACCTACAAATTCAATAATAATAAATGACAGTAATAGCCCACATGAATCAACTAGGGAATCTCGTTCAACATTTAGACATTATAATGATCGAGATGATCTATCATCAGTTACATCAACATTACCAATCAAATTATCAGCAACTTCTACTCGTTCAAATTCATCGGATAGAGTAATTGATCTGCGAAGGACTCCACAACCATCAGTGTCATCTTATACTGGTTATATTCCTAATGATTATGAATTGAAACGTTCATTTTCAGCTGAATTAGTACAGCCATCACACATTTATATGCAACAACCACAAGTATTACCACGCCGTATAGTACCATTTACAACTTCTAATTATGGAATGTCTGCTATATCATCGTTTCCGACGACACCTACAGATCAATTATATAATCAATCGAAATCTTCAAAAGTAACAAGCTATTTTGATAGAAAGCAACCATCAGCTTTAACCTCTCCAATCAAACAATCTAATTCAGATTTTTCTGGAAGAGATTCAACATACGAACGTGACGCAAAAGCTTCTGATTATGCTTATTCTGTGCTTTCTTCTTCGAATCGACGTATTCCAACAAGTTTACCATCTGTATTGACACGATCAGCGTCCAATAATAGTAATGATGAATATCATTTACGAGGTGCAACAAATGAATATTTATCTGATGATAACTCATCATCACCATCAATGCTAAGTCAACGAAGAACTCTAGATACTAATCGTTATCGACCGACTCAACTTGCTTTTGAAACCGACGTTGATTGTGAACGCCAAACTGAGTTAATTACTCGTGCAACTGCAAGAAGTCAATCAAGTGATGGTTTAACAGAAAAAAAACGTGTTCGTTTTGCTGATATGGAAGGTTTTACGTTAGAGACAGTTTCTAATATTGATCAAAATCGATTACCTATGAATAATCAGTTGTTGACTAAACAATCATATATTCCAGCATCAAGTAATCTTCGAGGACAAGAACAATCTATTCGTCACTCATTGTACCCAATGACTACCAGAGTTGCTAATGGTGGGAGCAAACTTGCCACCGATGTGTAATTTTTTTCTTGTACGTGTGTTTTGTTCTTTTTGTATGCAGATATTTTTAAACGATCGAAATGAAAAAAAGCACCAATTTATTAGTCTTGATATAATGCATCTGTCCACGATAAAAAACGAATTGAAAAAGAGAAAAATGCAGTTGATACAATATAAGCAGTGAATTCAAATAATGGAAGTCGTATTATATAAGTTTCTCGTCTGCATGTACCAAACAAAAAAACAGGAAGAGGAAAAATAATAAAAATAGTTCTTGGCTAAAATGATGTGTCATTATTGCCATCTCTATCGGATCTTCTTCCGTTAAGTTTAGCATTACGAGCTCCATGGCCATCTCTTGTGCCCGGTTGAGCACGAGAACCATTAACAGGTGGTTTAGAAGGTGCGTCACGTGATCGAGATTGGTTTTTACCAACATCTTTTTGGTGTGCCGTAACTGTTGGTTTCTCAACAGGTTTTGCAGGTGTATAAGGGGCATTTTGTGATGCTTGCTTATCTACAATAGGATCATAATTATAAGAAAACAAATTGATAAACATATTTGTATGTTGTCTAGAGACGTGCGACAACAAATGTCAGTTTTAGTGTCAATCCTAGTCATTGGGTTTGCGATTACATCATTACCAGGCAGGCAAGAAAGAATTTACATCAATTGAAATTCAAGATTATAATTAAATATTCTACGATTGTAAGCGATTAATCTTATAGATCATAAGAATGAGAATATACCTCATGAGTGATAATCCAAAAGAATCTTAGCCGTTAATTGAATAAATTACAAAAAACAACAATATTCAAAAGCTTTTTTTATTGATACGATGCCAATAATTGACTAAATGGTTTAGTTTAGCGAATGACTAGAATTGCAGTAGATTCATTGCCACAATAACCAGTACTAATAGAAACGAATTAACTCGGACCAAGAGCGCAGATAAGAAAAACTTGGCTCACATGTTTCTTCTACTGTCGATTTAAATGAAGTTTGATGAATCACCATTAAAAGAAAACTATTTCATAATGACTTAAATCATATCGTCTATTATTAAGCATCTATTTTTTAACAACTCTCATCTTATTATTAGAAGCCGAAAAGTTTTTCTCATGCACAAATTCATCAGGTATATGTACAAAAGGGTTATCAAACAAAAATATAAAAGTAGACTACCTACTTTGTCTTCCAGGATGCGGCTTTGAATCATTTATTCTTTTTGCAGGTAGTATTGTCGACATACTGCCTTGTTCACTTCCACCACTTGATTCATAATCATTATAACCCGAACCAGAATGTCCAGAACGTTTGGTACATACCAATATCAATAAACCCTGATTATATACAAAGGCAAATTACCAATGCATTAAATATTATTCGAAATACTTACAATCAACATCAAAAACGAGATACCAGCTAAAATGATGCTTGATAAAAAGATTCCGGTGTAAGCTGATCGAGGCATACATCTTCCGTTATTAAATAAATCGATTTGGTCGGGATCTATCAAAACAAAATTAGATTTTACTAAAAGGGCAAGTACTTACATCGACAAATAGTTGTTGTTGTTGGTGGTGGTGTTGGGGGACCTGTTACAGGTTTTAATGTAGTTCCGTCGGTTACTGAGGGATCTGTTTCGGTTCCTAACGCAGTTCCGTCGGTTACTGTAGGACCAGCTGTGGATGCTAACGCAGTTCCGTCGGTTACTGAAGGATCTGTTTCGGTTCCTAATGCAGTTCCATCGGTTACTGTAGGATCTGCTGTGGATCCTAACGCAGTTCCATCGGTTACTGTAGGATTTCCTGACGTAGTTATCGATGTTTCAAAGGAAGTATCGGTGGTGACTGTGCAAAAACATTGATAGGAAAAAGCAATATTAGAAAATCAAAGTATCATCTAAGGAAAGTTAAATACCACCTTGAGAAACTACTGAATACAATTGAAGAGCTACTAGTAATAATATCACAAAAGTCTTGCGCGCAGCCATAGTAAAGAAATAATAGATAAAGTCGACAGAGTAAATGAAGTCTTCAGACGACGAGAATATGACGATGTGTAGTTGTTGCTTTTTCTTTTTATTAAAATGTGTCCATTTTCACCTTTTATCTATGATCCACCAGCATCACTCTTTCTCACCCACGCTCACTTAATTTACACATTGATGAAAAATAGAAAAATGAGAGAAAAAATAATACTCAAAGTTGTGCAACATGCAAAAATGCATTCTTTTCTGCCTATTTACCTTTTATCTACAGATTCTAATGAGTCCTATGTTGCAAGTAAAATATCTTTTATATAAATGCGAAGATGATGCATGGGCAACGGTAACATGCGATAACAAGTTTCTTATCGAAAAATACAAAACAAAGGGTTCTTATTTTAATTTCTTCTGAATTTCATGACTAATTCATTAGAGGGTTAAGAATTTTTGTGGAACTCACATATATTTTCGAAGAAAATAGTGAGTGTAAGTTGAATTGTTAGGTTTTTGCGGCTCCCCTGTACCCCACCGCCCCCCTCCCCATTACAGACATAAAACATGAAAAAACTAACACTTCGGTGCACTAATTAGATCAAATTTTTGTACAGATCGATTGGCTATGTTCGCCACTACTCATATCACTAATTAAAATCTAATTTCACTAATTAGAAATCAAGATAATTAGGATTTAATCTCTAATTAATCATCAAAATCTGTCGTTTTTATTATTATAGCCCATAGTTACGACAGTATTATATATTTT